GGGGTTGTGTTCGAAGAAAGGGATGTGTGGAAAGTTGACAGCTGATCAAAGGGAGAGCTGTCGAGACAAAGGACGATGAATGGCGACGTCATCGATCCTTCCAGCCTGATCTTCCAAGCCCAAGTACAGAGCGAGGGATATAAACGACCCCGAAACAGAGCTCAAAGGATGGAGGGGATCTTCAAGTTTCGACGCAAGGTTTGTTACCGCACTAGGCTAAGATTATGGTGTCTTGCATCTGGAGTCTCGACCACGCTACATCGGCGACTAGTGGTGTAGCAATGACTCTGGCTATGATGTCAACCACGCACACATCGTTCCCGAAAGGCGGCTTGACTTCCAAGGCTGTTCCGAGGTCTTTTACGACTCCACTGGCAGCTGCCATCTCGGCCGTTCGTACCGATCTCAGCCACGAGGATGACATCCCCACTGCGGTACCGTCGAGCTCAATGCAGCGAACGGTGCTTACCGACATTACCAACACCACCAACGCACTGCCTTCAACCACTTCTCGAGCGACAGTGTCGGTACGAGGTAGGAAAGTAACCGATGCTTCACTGCGTAAGACGATCGTGGCGCTTCAACACCGCAAGAAGGTCATGCGACGTAGAAATGCTATCTCGCTCACACGCGAACAGGCAACCCGTCTTGCCCAACAACTCTCACAAGTCCGGCAACATCCCTCCAACAATGACGATGCAAGTGAGGCCGCACACAATGCCAAACCGATCCCCTTCGTAACGTGCCAACTCGACGACAATCTCTACCTCGTCTCGAGACGCGATGGACACACTCTCACCTGTCCACCCCACTCCACCACCTGCACCTGCTCACCATCCCACCTCTAGATCTCAAGTCACATTCGAATCCATACCAACTCTGCTTTTTTTGTGACAACGTGCATTTGGGTTGAGATTTTGAAAAGCGAGATTGAGAACATGATCCAGTCAAGACCATGCGGGAGACCTGGATGAATTTTGGGGTGTGTGTGTGGGATAGGGAAGAACCACGTCGGGATCGACGAGGACGAAAGAGACGTAGAATTACATGCAAAAGCCGCAGGATCGCTTTGCGAGACGAAGAAATCCACCACGCTGCACTGCCGCGCCATCTCGCTTTTCGATGGAAGAGTATGGGGGTTGTGGTATCCCTCTCAACGGCCCTCGTCGGGCCGTTGGATCTGGAAACGCCACAGCGCAGAGTGCGGTTGTCGTCTCGATTGGTGAAAGCGCCTGTGACCATTACGTGGCCGCGCTACGCCTTAGCACAGCGTGGCGCGATTGGGAAAAGAGTGGAGGATGCTGGGATGAGAACATTGTGCGAACGAGACCGGGGGAGATGCGATGCGAGGGAAACAAAGTTTACTCGTCGTCGATCTCGATCTCGCCGGCGTCGATGCCCTCAATGATGGCGTGGGGGTTCTGGCCGTTGACGGTGCAGCCGACGGACTGGGCGGTGCCGAGGATCTCCTTGACGGTGCCGGCGAGCGACTTGGCGAACGACTTGAAGCGCATCTTGCGGGCGATCTCGACGATCTCCTCGAGGGCGATGTTGCCGCCGTGCTTGATGTTCTTCTCCTTCTTGCGGTCGCGAGGGGGCTCCTTGAGCGCCTTGATGACGAGCGAGGAGGCCGAGGGGACGACCGAGACGGCAGCCTGACGGTTCTGGACGGTGAGCTGGACGGTGACGCGGAGACCCTTCCAGTCGCCGGTGGCCTTAGCGATGTCCTCACCGACCTTCTTGGGCGAGAGACCAAGAGGACCGATCTTGGGGGCAAGCGCCGAAGAGGCACCAACCTCACCACCGGTGGCACGGAGGTAGATGATCTGTTGGAGGTAAGCAGGAAGGGGTCAGTCTTTAGGCCAAGAGACGAATCTTTGAGACGGCTGCATGTCTCTGTAACACTGCGACGCTTCAAGTCGACGCTGCACAGATCCGATGATGGTTGTCCTTTTGTCGGGTGGCAGACTGGGCTGGGTCGAGCGCAGGTTCGTGTGTATGCGCGCACGAACGCCGAGACGGATGGCCAGCGCTAGAGAGACTGGATCGACAGTCTCTCGACCTGAATGTTCTGCCGCATCCATGCCATCGCTCTGCGAAGCGCAAGCTGCTGTCAATCCCCTCCTCCTCCGATGTTGCCACAACTGAAGCGAGCTGCTAATGTATCGGCTACGCCCTGCTCTGGCCACCACGGTGAGCATATCCACGGCACGTCCCAACAATCGAACAATACTAGTGACTCGGTCACAGTATCCTGTAGTTCGAAAGAAGCCGCACCTGACGCGGCTGCGGCTGCACACTTCTTCCCTCCTGGTGCCAGATGCCAAGACGATTGCGAACGCCTTCTGCAGGTGTGTACGAGCGCATCGTCGCTGGGCAAAGTGTCGGACAAGGGTATTATGTGGCTCGGGTGATGATTCAAGATGCCATGGTCGAGGTGGTGGCGGCGTGGCGGATCTGTGCAAGCGTGTCGGCGTGTCGAAAGTGTGCGAGAGTGTCGATGCAGCGAGGCTGGATAATCACCTTGATCTCGTTGGGGTCGATCTTGGGCGCCATTGTGAATAGGTATGGATATGGTGGTGATCTGAACGGTGAAGACGGCAGGCTGGGATCGACACAATCACACCCACCACACCGTCTGCACTCGCCCGCGCACACAGTTCACAGTTCACGGCTTCTTGGTGCAGTTCAGATCGCGCTGTCGCGCCGTGCAACCGGAAATTCCATTCGTCGAGGGCACCTGCTGCTCCGAAGTCACATCACTGCCGATGCCTCGGTCTCTGGTTGCTACCTGCCTTTGACGCTCAGAGTCCTGGGGAGCCCGCAGTGCAAGTTCAGCCTTGGGGCGCTGGCTCCAGCCAGAAGGTCCCTCCGGATTTTTAGAAAGTTCGGCCGAGCTTTGCCCGTGGCCTTTACAAGTCACGTGTTATAATGCTCTTTCGAAAAATCAAGACTGCAGCCTTAGTCAATGGAAACCGAGCTGGGGCGCGCAGCTGAGGCAGGCGGCTTGGCCTGCGACTTGGCTCAGGAAGAAGATGTCGAGGTTGCGAGAGCGGGTTGAGCCAGCTGCGGCCTCAACCTGCGGAGCTAGCAAGCAAGCAAAGACACACATGGACACGAAGTGAGCAGGCTGAGACGCAGCAGAGCCTGGCTCGCCTACCGACTGCAGCTGCACACAGAGGCTACGCCAGGCCGGCTCTGCGACTGGGCACAGGCGGGCGGGCGGGCGGGCGCGCCAGTCGTCGAGATGATCTCGGCTTCTCGTCGTCATCACCGTCCCGCTCTCATCACCACCTACTCGAACACATATTCGCCAAGATGTAAGTCGCACAAACAGCACCAGCCATATCGCAGATACAAGGAGCATTGCAGAAATACGCAGCTACGCCACCAACATCGTCCAGGAACTGCCAATCAACCGCACGAGCCCAGTCATTACTGCCGCCAACGTCGCTGCACCACATCGCATCACACTGCACATCTTCACCGACAATTACGGCGCATCAGCAGGACCATCACCGCCCATCGCAACATCAGCGAAAGGCACCCCGACGACTTTGTGTTGTTCCTGCTACAATCAGATCCAGAGCACCGGCACGGACTTCATAGCCCTTTATTGAGAGCGATCCGCCGACCCGCCGCAGATTCATTGCCATTGGAAAGCAAGCAGATCTACCGACAAACATGCAGTACTTGCGTAAGGGAGATTCTCCTTGAAGCGCCGATCTCCGTCCGTGCAGAATAGTCTGTTACCTCCTGCAGCCAGTCCCTGCAACATCCTCAGAACTCGTCTCAACCATCGACGTTGCGCCGAGCCTTTTCGCATTCTCAGCTTGCCCTTGTCATCTGCGATATGTGCACTACAAACGCACTCATTGGGACAGCAAACTGACCTCAGCCCACTGGTGACTTTGCGTTCGCAGGTCTGAGTCTCTCGTCTACAAGGGCTCCCTCGCCGGCCACAAGGGCTGGATCACCGCCATCGCCACCTCGCAGGAGAACCCCGACCTCCTCCTCACCGCCTCGCGTGACCGCACCATCATCGTCTGGCAGCTGTCGCGCGACGACTCCAACTACGGCTACCCCAAGCGCATCCTCCACGGCCACAACCACTTCGTCTCGGACATTGTCATCTCGTCCGACGGCCAGTTCGCCCTCTCCGCCTCGTGGGACAAGACCCTGCGTCTCTGGGACCTCAACACCGGCACCACCACCCGCCGCTTCGTTGGCCACACCGCCGACGTCCTCTCGGTCTCCTTCTCCGCCGACAACCGCCAGATCGTCTCGGGCTCGCGCGACCGCACCATCAAGCTCTGGAACACCCTCGGCGAGTGCAAGTTCAACATCACCGACGACGGTCACTCCGAGTGGGTCAGCTGCGTTCGCTTCAGCCCCAACCCCCAGAACCCCGTCATTGTCTCCGCCGGTTGGGACAAGGTCGTCAAGGTAAGTTTCGCTTCGGCTCGCCAAGCTGGCATGCGCACATCAGAGTCGGCAGACGACGTCATGGACCGCAGTTGCAGGCGGAAAGAACGGAGGAACGCGGCAGTCAGCCAAGAGCGCTGGCTTGCGATGAAGAGTGCTTTTTCAAATATTTGCTACTATAGAGAGCATAGCTCGATGAGAACATCCTAAAGTCACCAAGATCACTGAGCATCCACCTCGCAAAGAGATGGAGCCGCCAAGGGAACCAAGCAAGGAAGGCGTCGTCGCCGCCAACTCTGATCTGCGCCGAGTCTTCTTTGGAAGCAGAATCGATGACTGACGACTCTTTCGCTCTTTTTCTTCCGCGTTGCATAGGTTTGGGAGCTCAGCAAGTGCAAGTTGAAGACCAACCACTACGGCCACACTGGCTACATCAACACCGTCACCGTTTCGCCCGATGGTTCGCTCTGCGCCTCGGGTGGCAAGGACGGCATCACCATGCTCTGGGAGCTGTCGGACGGCAAGCACCTCTACTCGCTCGAGGCTGGTGACACTGTCAACGCGCTCGTCTTCTCGCCCAACCGCTACTGGCTGTGCGCCGCCACCGCCTCGTGCATCAAGATCTTCGACCTCGAGTCCAAGAGCATCGTCGACGAGCTCAAGCCCGAGTTCACCGGCGTCGGCAAGAACTCGGCCGACCCCGAGTGCCTGTCGCTCGCCTGGTCCGCCGACGGCCAGACCCTCTTCGCCGGTTACTCGGACAACATCGTCCGTGTCTTCACCGTCTTGTAAATTGTGTAGCACCACCAGCACAGGTCTTTTTTCCCCTTCGCGCCAGCGATGGGTTGAAGAAGCATCTCACGGTCGGAAGGCATGCCTTGTGGCGCGCCTTCTGATCACTTGCCGATCTTGTCGCAACGGAACGCGGCGAGACGGGCAACGTCCTCCTCCATCCTCTCAATCACCCTCCCGTAAACAAAAAATGGTCTCGTGCGCGCTTGTACCTGTTGCATTTCTCATCCTCCTCTCTCGCAGATCTAGCGGCCAATCCACACGAACCGTCCCGGTTTTCCGTTCTCATAATGCTCGTCTGATTCCCAAATGGTCTGTGTAGCAAAGCTTGTGTGCTGAGCGACAGTTGGAAAGCGATATGATAAGAGTCTTGTCGATTGCTATAAGTTATGCGGAAGCAAGATCTAGACGCTCATCTTCATGTCGATTTTGGGGTGGCACTTGTAGCCTACGACTTCGAAGTCGTCGTAGGTAAAGTCGTCGATGTCGATGATGTTGCGCTTGAAGTTGAGTTTGGGGAAAGGCAGAGGCTGGCGTTCGAGCTGGACCTTGAGAGGCTCGATGTGGTCCTTGTACACGTGCGCGTCGCCCATGGAGAGGATGAGCTCCTTGGGCTCGCAGTCGGTCACCTTGGCGACCATGTAGGTGAGCAGCGCATAGCTCGCGATGTTGAACGGCACGCCTAGCCCGAGATCGCACGAGCGCTGGTACATCTGGCACGAGAGCTGCTTCTTGCCCTCGCCGCGCGCGTGCGCCTCCAGGTTGGACACATAAAACTGGCAGAACATATGGCAGGGCGGCAACGCCATGAGCTCGAGGTCGCGCGGATTCCACGCGCTCAGAAGGATGCGTCGGTCGGTGGGGTTGTTTTTGATCTTGTCGATCACTTGGCGCAGCTGGTCCACCCCCTGCCCCGTATAGTCGGCATCACAGTCCTTGTACTCGGCGCCAAAGTGACGCCACTGAAAGCCGTACACGGGGCCGAGATCGCCCTCGCGACGGTGCTGCAGGCCGCGCGAGTCCAGAAATTCGCGCGAACCGTTGCCGTCCCAAATGTGCACGCCCTTGTCCGTCAGCAGCTTGGAGTCGGTCTTGCCCGCCACGAACCAGAGCAGCTCTTCGAGCACGCCGCGGAAGAAGACGCGCTTGGTGGTGAGCAGCGGCAGCGTGCCGTCCGCGAGGTTGAAGCGCAGCAGCTGCGGCGCAAACAGCGCCACGGTGCCCGTGCCCGTGCGGTCGGACCTCGTCTCGCCCGTCGAGATGATGCGCGAGACGAGCTCGAGATACTGCGACTCGTCATGCTTGGCCGAGCCTGCGGAGCCGGGCGCGCCCTCGACGTTGCCCTTGGGCCCGGTCTTGGACGAGAACATGCCTGCGATGGTGGGCTCGGCAAAGTTGTGGTGCGCATAGCCCAACACCACCATGCCTCCCGCATCCATCTCAAACAGACGGCCGTTGGTGAGCGGAAGCCCCAGCCAGCGCGCGATAAAGACACGGTTGAAGTGGCCGTGGCAGACGAGCAGAACGTCGCACGTCTTGGCACCAACGTCGTGGCCCTGGTTGCGCTTGTCGACGTGCCCCGACTGGAGCTCGCGGATCTTGGCGATGACCGAGTCGATGCGGTCGCTCATGTGCTGTGCCGACTCTCCCGGCAGCTCGTCGGGACGCTCGGGGTGGTCCGGCGTGCCTTCGGTCCAGATATCCCAACCGGGATGCTTTGCTCGAATCTGATCGGTCTTGAGGCCCTCGTAGGCGCCGTAGTCCCACTCGCGGCAGTCTTGGAGGATCTCTACCTGCGGGATGTGCTCGCGCTGGCTGGCGGGGATATGGTCGAGCATGATTTGGAGCGTGCGCTGCGAGCGCGTCCTTGGGCTGACGAAGATGTGGTTGAGTTTGGTGGGGTCGATGAGCTTGCCGTTGCCGACGCCGACGATGCTGGGCGCGAGCTGGCGCATCACCTCTTCGCCGTGCGGTGTGAGCGGGATGTCGGAGCGGCCGGTGTGCTGTCCCGAGATGGACCATTCCGTCTCGCCGTGACGCGCGAGGAACACGCGGGGCATCGCCATCTTGTGCAGAATACTCGGCCGCTGTTTTGCGTGCGCAGGGTGATGGAAACGGTCGGATGTGGCGAGAGGAAGGGAGCAAGAGAGGATGTCGGGGTTGCCGATCTTGTCGAGGCGCGGCATAATCTCCGACGCTCTTTAGCGAGAGTCACACTTTTGAGCTTCCCACGGCTCGCTTGGGCCAGCGCTGCTGCTGCTCCGCACTCCGAACCCACTCGAAATCACGTCCATCAACGCGACACGCGCGTCGCCAGCCAAGCCCCGATTGTCCGCATTTCACATCGACACACCCGATCTTGCAGAGGCAGCTCAGCCCTGCCAGCTTGACGGTACTTCCGCACTGTCGACGCGGATACACTAGACTTGCAACTGAATAGCGACACTCGAATGCTCAACGACAACTTTGCTGTGACTCGGCTTTTGGTTCTAGGGCCTCAGCAGTGTACAAGTGTGGATCGGACGAGACTACTACGACGAGAACCAAGACGACGACTCCTCCTTGCCCGAGGTCATGTCGGAGCTGATGATCCTGTGCACGTGGCAGAGGTAGTCGACGTAGCTCATGGCGTCGTTGTTCTGGTCCTCGACCAAGCTGTTGGCGAGCTCCACCTCGGTGCCGTCGCGGTTCTGGCGCGCGATGAGCACGGGCAGCTCCGGCTTGTTCCTCTGCTGCGCAAACGACTGCACGATGGCGCGCACCTGCTTGGACAGCTTGGTCGGCAGCTTGGGCAGCCGCGTCATGCGCGCATCGACCTCCTCGAGCGAGTTGACGCCGTACAGATCCTCCAGCAGACGCGGGTTGACGTTGGCGCCCAGCCACACGATGCACATCTCGCCGTTCTCGAGCAGGTAGGCACCGTGGCCCTCCATGCGCAGGTACGACGGTCGCATGAGCGCGGGCGTCTTGATGCGCGTGCCGTCCACGCTGCTTCCGTCCGGCTGCTGGATCTTGATCGGCGAGCCGTCGGCATCGGACATGGTGTGCAGCGCAATCATGCGTGGATACAGCATCGACATGATCGCCGACACGCCCTGGGCACGGAAGAAGCGCATGTAGAACGCGCGCACGTCTGACGTGACGTTGCCGCCCTTGATGCACTTGGTCTTGTTGATCGCGAGCGCATATAGCGGGAAGAGCTTGAAGCTCTCCGGGAGGATCAGCTGGCCCGGACTCGTCGACGACGCACAGTTGCGGCGATACGCCAGCAGAATCTTGACGCACTTGTCTGTCAGGTAGTGGCGCACCTCCTTGAGCGGCTTGGCATGCGCCAGCGACACCACCTCCTTGGCATAGTACGCCACCGTGCTGTCCATGTCGGCGTAGCGGAAGACGTTGCCCAGCAGCGACGTCACGGGAACGGCGATGTTGTGGCATCGCACCCGCCTCTCTCCTTCGGCCGTCGTGTACAGCACGGCGCACTGGAAGTGTGCCTCGTGCTTCTCGTCCAGCTTGCCATCGTGCTTGACCAGAGCCGCCACGCACTTGTCTGCGTCCATGGTGCCCACCTCGAGATCCGTGACGTTGCGCTGGAAAAAGTTGCCGAAATGGTCGGCGACGCGCAGCCCGTTGGAGCAGCGCAGACGCATCGTCACGTTGTACGCCGTCTCGCGCAGCACCGTGCGACGCACCTCGCTCTGCAGCTTGACGCCGTCGCGCACCGGGTCGAAGCGCGGGTGGAAGAACACCTCTCCGCCCGTGAAGCCCGGCAGCACGCCGATGGTCGCGACGTCGATGTACTGCGAAGGGAAGAAGAAGACGTTGATGCCGATGCCCGCATCCACACACTCTTCCGCCACGCCGCGGTAGAAGCCGTCCTGCGGCACAAACAGGTTGCGCTCCTTGTCGGTGCCGTACAACTTGGTGTCTTCGCGGTGCTTGAGGGCACCAGGGCCGACGGTCGGAATGGTCGACAGGAAGATGTTGACCTGTCCGCCGATGGTCGAGAGCGCAGCCTGTGCTCCTCGAACAGCGGCGCCGAGCGCGGCATCGCCGACCATGCTGTCGGCGAACATGGAGGGCAGGCTGTCGAGCAGGCCCTCGATCAGATGGCGCGACTCCCAGGCGTCTGCCAGCAGGCCGTCGCTGATGGGCACGAACGGCTCGTCGATGTCGCCGACGACGAGCATCTGTGCCTGATCCAGCTCGGCGGAGAGGTTGTAAAAGTGAAGCGCGCGATCAAAGGTGAGGATGGCCACACGTGCGCCCTCTACGAGGCCGAAGCCGGGGCCAGCGGTAGCATCCGCATCCGGTGCACCGTTGGTGCCCTCGGCGTCGGCAGCGGTCTTGGGCCCGTAGAGCGTCTCGCGGATCGCCTCGACGGAGCTGGCGAGGGCGCCGGAGCGTACAGCGCTGTAGCTCACGTCGATGGCGAACAAGTAGGTCAACGGACGCGGAGCACGCACGGTGGTGCGACCCTTGCCGATCTGGAGCCCGCTGAAGGCCTCGCTCGCGGCCTTGGTGGCGGTCTTGGCTGCCTGCGCACCTTGGCCGCTGAGTCCGAGCGTGGTCCCCTCAAAGTCCTTGATGGCGTCGGACTTGGGGTCGAGTTTGGCCGTCTCGGTACGGGTGCTGGCCGGGGCGACGGGCAGCAGGACGGATGCAGGCGGCGCCGACTGAATAGCCCAGTACTCTTTGGGCACGGCAAAGTCGATCGAGCCGCGGGAGAGTTCGGGACGCTGGTCGAAGTCGACACGGCGGCCGCTCATGTCGAGGTTGCAAAAGTAGTCGGCGGCGACCTCGGTGGCAGTGCCGCAAAGATTGCACGTCCACTTTTGCCCGCCTTCGACGAATACGCACCAGGGGTTGATGTAGGCGCGGCAGCGCTTGCATCGGGGTGGCCCGCTCTCGCCGAACGTGGCGACGGGGATGGGCGCCTCGTCGATGCGCAGCTGGGCGAACGGCTGCATGAGCACAGCGAGAGGCAGCTGCGAGGTGGTGGCGAGCTCGTCGGTGGCCGGCATGCTGTAGGTGGTGAGTCGCATGTGCCTGGGCGAGCAGTTGCCCTGGTCGACGGCGGCAAAGCTGGTGGTGCTGAGCGGCATGCCGCCTCGTCCGCACGTGGCGAACCACTCCTTGTCGAAAAAGTCCTGGTCGGCATCCTGCATCTCGACGGGGCTGGGGATCTGGTCCGGGTCGATCTTGCTGCGCGGACCGGCGAATCGCTGGCCGGCCTGGTGGGGTGGTTGTGCGATGCCGCCGCCTGCGGAGAGCGCCGCCTGCATGCCGGGGATGTTGCTCTGCTGGTTTTGGGGAATGTTGGGGCGGCCTGCATTTTGTGCCATCATGGCGCGGTTGTGTGCGGCCTGTGCCGGAGAGACGACGTTGCGTTGACCGGGCATCTGGTCGAGTGCGGCGTCGGCATCGGCGTCGTTGAAGTGGTGGCCCTGCTGTGCGACCCTGGAAGCAGCTGCTTGCTGCCATGGAGCCGGCGGCGGATTGGGCTGTCCGGGCGCATCGTTCCAACCGGTCGACGGAGCTTGCTGGGCGTCGGTGTGGTAGGCTCGAGCGCTGCGCTTGGTCTTGGCGGGGCCAGCGTCAGCGGCTGAGCCCGGAGCGGGGCTGGGCTGGCGGCCGTGCAGATCTAGACCAGCCATTTGCGATTCCACACCCACCGTGCTGCCAGGCTGTCCGGGCGGTCGAGGGCTCAGCCTGCCTTGCATGGCGGCAGCGTTGGGCTGCAGCCCCGGGTTCTGCGGCCCAGCACCAGGAGCGCCTCCAGACGACGACATGCCTGGCTGTTGCGGAAAGGGTCGGCCTGCTGGAGGGCGGACACCGGCCATGCTCGTGGAGGCTGCAGATGGTGGTCGCGCCATGGGCATGCCGGGTTGAGGTCGGGGCTGCATGGCTGGGTTGGGAGGAGGACGAGCGCCTTGCTGCTGAGGCGGCATCTGCTGCATAGGACGTTGCTGACCGAACTGCTGCTGCTGTTGAGGTGGAAATGCGGCGCCAGGAGGCGCACCTGGACGTGGTGGGGCGGGCTGCGCCTGGAACGGCTGTCCCGGAGCCTGGTGAGGCGGCTGCTGCGGGTTCATGGTGCACGCAGCAATACCAACGAGAGACGAGGGTGTGCTTCTCGGTGCTTTGCTTTGAGTGCCTGTCCAGACGATGCTTGGGTGGATGAAAGAGGAAGGATCGGTGCAGGGGAGAGCTGGCTTTGGATGAGGGTGGGTGGTTGCGCATCTCGAGCGCCGAGGGTTAACGTGGCACCTCGAGTTGGGCGGCCCCGTGCGCTGGCTGGCTCGGCTCGGCTGGGCCTTCCCGTTCGCTCACTCGCTCGCCGGCGCTGCACGCGTCGCCTTCATCTTCCAGCTCAGCGCGGCGCGGAGACCTGAAAGAAGCAACTTCCGTGCGAGATGGCGCAAATTTGTATTGTTAGACCGGCTTCATATGGGACTCTCATTTTTTAATTTACTGTGCGATTTCCGATACGCTCCGCGGCGAGCTGCGTCGGAAGAAATGCACGTTGGTTCGGCGACCCACCTGCAGCGACACGGCAACCGAAGCTGAGATTCGGATTTTCACGAACTGAGTCAGACCAACACGAGCAGCACTCAAGCCGCGCCACCCGCCTGACAAATCCAACGGTACCGGTTCGAACGGCATGGAACCGAGCATCGCCGCCAACACGCGCCGAGGACGATCGATCAGCTGAACCGCTCCAAGCCCGGCTCGGTTGGACTGCCGAACAGCGGCTGCGCAGCCAAGCCAGCCAGTTCTTCTTATCTCCCTGCTGTCCATCCACCACCACCACCACCTGCTCTGTTCTACTAGCAATCGTCAAGATGGCTTCGCTTCGCACTGGTCTTCGTGTGGCTCAGCCGCTGCGAGCATCGACTCGCAACATCAACACCTTCGCCCGTCCCTCGGTGCGCTCGAGCGTGCGTCACTACAGCAGCCCGGCGCCTGGCTCGCCTCCGCCTCCCCCGCCCTCGAGCAGCTCGTCGACGAGCAAGGTGCTGCTCACTTCGGTCGCCATCGCTGCCGTTGCTGGCGGTGCCTTCCTTGCTTTCGGCCAGGACGACAAGAAGTCGCTGCTCGGCGTCGGCCCTGACGGTGCCAACAAGCTGTCGGGCTCCAAGGGCGCCGCCGTCGCCGCCACCAGCGCACACTCCAAGGCCGACTACCAGGCGGTGTACAACGCCATCGCCGAGCAGCTCGAGTCCAACCCGGACTACGACGACGGCTCGTTCGGCCCCGTGCTCGTGCGCCTCGCATGGCACGCCTCGGGCACGTACGACAAGCACAGCAACACTGGCGGCTCCAACGGCGCCACCATGCGCTTCGCCCCCGAGTCCGACCACGGCGCCAACGCCGGTCTGGGCGTCGCGCGCGACTTTATGCAGAAGATCCACGACAAGTTCCCCTGGATCACCTACTCGGACCTGTGGACGCTCGGCGGTGTCGCCGCCATCCAGGAGCTCGGCGGTCCCAAGATCCCCTGGCGCCCGGGCCGCAAGGACTCGGCTGCCGACAAGTGCACTCCCGACGGCCGCCTGCCCGACGGCGACAAGGGCCCCGACCACCTGCGCCACATCTTCTACAAGATGGGCTTCAACGACCAGGAGATCGTGGCGCTCTCTGGTGCGCACGCCCTCGGCCGTTGCCACACCGACCGCTCCGGCTTCGAGGGTCCCTGGACGTTTGCGCCCACCTCGTTCACCAACGAGTACTTCAACCTGCTCATGAAGGAAAAGTGGAACATGCGCAAGTGGAACGGCCCGCCTCAGTTTGAGGACAAGTCGACCAAGAGCCTCATGATGCTCATGACCGACATGGCTCTGGTGCAGGACAAGTCGTTCAAGCAGCACGTCCAGCGCTACGCCAAGAGCGAGGACGAGTTCTTCACCGACTTTAGCTCCGCCTTTGCCAAGCTGCTCGAGCTCGGCGTGCCCGCCGAGAACTTCAAGGCCTTCGAGACCAAGCTCGACGGCGGCAGGCCCTTTGAGTTTGCCACCTCCGCCGAGCAGGAGAACGCCAAGTGATTCGAACACACGCACCCGTCACCCTTCCCTAGCATAGACGCCATGTTCACGCGCTAATCAATTCTCCGTTCACACACTCATGCTTGGGGTGCAACGCAGCCTCGCAGTGTGTTGTCACGAATGTGTGCGAAATGTGGGCTCGCCGAGATTGGCGCGCGGTGGGGCTTCCGCTCAGAGTCGCTCTGAAAGCGTCGACTGGATTGAGCTTGATGATATGATGAGATCCAGCCTCGGACCTGCAGTGCAGTCACATTGGCGACTCTCAGCCAAGGTGCAAGCCAAGGCTGTTGTTGTTGTCTGGGAAGAGAGGCCCCACCCGACCAGGCGTGGAAGCGAGTCATAAATCGACAGCCGCACTAATTGGCGGCGTGGCCGAAGGTGGCAGCCGTTTGTTTCTTCCTAAAACCTGCATGATTTTCTCGCACGCGCTATAGCACACTGCAATTTTCCACGGCGGAGCAGCACAGACCGCTGCGCAGATGGGTGGGCTGCGACCCACAGGCTTTCATTGCACGCCCGAGCCCTTTTTTGGATCGGAACAGCCGGACCCACCGTTGCCAACTTAACTTAGCGTTTCGACCATCACATCAGCGGCAACCTTACCCACACTCCCACAAAACAAGCGCAGTCACACTCGCAACCCGCACGTTTGGCTTCAGCAGCAGCAGCAGCAGCAGCCAGGATCTATAAAGCTTGGCGCTTTCCCGCCTCGCAAGCCAAAGCCCACTTCGACATCCCTCCACCTTTGCTCCTTCTGTCTCTGCCCCAAAATGTCGATCCCTTCTGAAGGCTTGGTCTCGGTCGCCTCCAACGTACAGCCCCAGGCTATTGGCACGGGCTCCCGCGTTGCCAAGGGGAAGACCGTGCTCATCGACAACTACGACAGCTTCACCTACAATGTCGTCCAGTTCCTCGCCGAGGCTGGCGCCGATCTCGTCGTCTACCGCAACGACAAGGTCACCATCGAGGAGATCGAGGCTCTCAACCCCGCCAACATCGTCATCAGCCCTGGACCGGGCCACCCGCTTCACGACTCGGGCATCTCCATCCCCTGCATCAAGCACTTTGCCGGCAAGATCCCCATCCTCGGCGTATGCATGGGCCTCCAGTCCATCTACTCGGCCTACACCGGCATCGTCGAGTTTGCCGGCGAGATCGTCCACGGCAAGACTTCTGAGATCGCTCATGACGCCAAGGGTCTCTACGCAGGTCTCCCCGCTCACGGCGTCGTCGGCACCCGCTACCACAGTCTGGCCGCCCAGCTGCCCAGCTTGCCCAAGGAGCTCGTCGTGACTTCCAAGACTTCGAGCGGCGTCGTCATGGGCATTCGCCACACTCGCTACACCGTCGAGGCTGTGCAGTACCACCCGGAGAGCATCCTCAGCGTCGGTGGCCGCGAAATGATGGTCAACTTCCTCAGCTGGACCGGCGGCACTTGGGACGCCAACCCGCAAGCCAAGGTCGACGCCGCCGCCATCGAGCGTGCCGAGAGCACCACCGAACCCGTCCTCGCCATGGCCAACGACGGCGGTGCTGCTGCCCCTGCAAGCGCACCTGCCGCCGCCAACGGATCCGCGCCCGCCGCCACCGCCAGCGTCGGAACCATCCTCGAGCGCATCCACGTACAGCGACTCAAGGACATTGCCGCCACCAAGGCCGTCCCGGGCTTCTCTCAGCGCGACCTCGACATTGCCCTCTCGCTTCACCTCGCTCCTCCGCTCATCAACTTCCCCGAGCGTCTCCAGCGCCACGCCGCCCGCGGCCTTCCGGGCGTCATGGCCGAGATGAAGCGTGCCAGTCCAAGCAAGGGCGACATCGACCCCACCGCACATGCTGGCGCCCAGGCGCTTGCATACGCGCGCGGCGGCGCCAGCGTCATCAGCGTGCTCACCGAGCCAAAGTGGTTCAAGGGCACCATCCACGACCTCTCGCTCGCCAGACGCGCCGTCGACAATCTGCCCGACCGTCCCGCCATCCTCCGAAAGGACTTTATCGTCGACACCTACCAGATCGCCGAAGCCCGACTCGCCGGCGCCGACACGGTGCTGCTCATCGTCGCCATGCTCACCGACGAGCACCTCAAGCAGCTTTACGACTACAGTGTCGGCCTGGGCATGGAGCCCCTCGTCGAGGTCAACAACCCAGAGGAGATGACTCGTGCGCTCCGCCTGGGTGCCAAGGTCGTCGGCGTCAACAACCGCAACCTGCACGACTTTAACGTCGACATGGACACCACCTCGCGCCTCGCCGATGCCGCCAACAAGGGCGGCGTCATCCTCTGCGCCCTCAGCGGCATCACCGGTCGCAGCGACGTCGCAAAGTACCTCAAGGAGGGCGTCGGCGCCGTGCTCGTCGGCGAGGCGCTCATGCGTGCCAAGGACAAGCGTGCCTTTATCCATGACCTCCTCGGCCTGCCTTCCACCAGCGCCGCCGCAGAGACCGTCGAGGGATCCCTGGTGGGCCACGGCACCCTCGTCAAGATCTGCGGTCTTTCCAGCGTCGAGGACGCCGTCGCGGCTGCTGAAGCCGGCGCCGACATGCTGGGCATGATCCTCGCACCGGGCACCAAGCGTACCGTCTCGCACACCCAGGCGGCCGAAATCATCCGCGCGGTCCGCGCTCTGCCCGGTAGCGCCCCCGAAGACGCCGTCGCATTGGATGCCGAGGCGGTCGCCGGCTTGCTCGAGCACGGCGTCACGCCCGAGGACTGGTTCTCGTTGACGGTCAAGAAGCTGCGTTCGCGCGCAGGCAAGCGCCCGCTGCTCGTCGGCGTCTTCCGCGACCAGCCGCTGGCCGAGGTGGCGAGCACCGCGCAGAAGCTCGGCCTTGACGCCGTGCAGCTGCATGGTCGCAGCGAGGGCATCGAGTGGGCCAAGTTCCTGCCTGGCCGCCTCGTCATCCGTGTCTTCCCCGTGGGCGCCGACGCCCAGATCGGCACGGGCCTGCTGCGCGACGTCGCGCGTCCCGGCTACCACCACCTTGCGGCGCTCGACACCGCCGGCACGCCAACCTCGGCCACCGGCGGCGACGGCGGCACGGGCGTGGCGTTTGACTGGTCGCTCGCTCGCGCCGTGCGCACTGCCGACGCGCTCCCCGCCATCGTCGGCGGCTCCGCCGCGCGCCCCGTGCCCCTCATCCTCGCCGGCGGCCTCACACCCGACAACGTCGCCAAGGCGATCCACGACGCGCTCCCCTTCGCCGTCGACACGAGCTCGGGCGTCGAGACCGACGGCAGGAAGGACCTCGCCAAGATCCGCGCGTTCGTCGCCAACGCCCACTCGGCGCCGCGTCCGCAGCAGTAATTCTCACTCACGCCTTTGCACACGCGCAATCGAAGAGATGACTTTCTTGACAAAACAAATGTATGCGACTTACCTATGGATGCATGTGTGTGTGTGTGTGAGGGGGGAGAAGGGGGAGCGATTGGGGGGGATGAGGTCCAAGAGCGAGTGTGTTGGGGGGTATTACATGAATGGAGCTTTAGACGTGTGGACAGACAAGAGATTTTAGCGAGCAAAGGGGGTTGGAGTTGGTGGGGATTGCAGGGTCATGGACTGGGAGCGAAGGGGCGGCTGTTGGAGCCGGCAAGGAACTTTTTTACTTGGAGGCCTTTTTGACCATTTCTCGGGCCCAGGCGGCGGTCTTGCGCGTTTCGGAGCCGTTGCCACGGCCTCTGCCGGCCTTGACGAATTCGGCCACCCAGGGCGCGGTGAGGAGCACCTTGAGTTGTCCGTTGGGGAAGGCGCTCGCGAGGTCGCCGAGCAGACCGAGCGTGGCGCGGATCAGAGGTTCGCTCGCCTGGCTCTGCGTCTGTGCCTGGGCGACGAGCGCGATGAAGGCAAACATGCCCTCGACGTACGGCTGCAGAGCCTCGATGCGGTTGCCTGCACGCATGCCCGAGACCGTGCCCACGTACGCCTCGCAGATGCCCTCGCGCAGCGAGTTGATGTAGTCGATCATGTCGTAGTCGTTCGGGTCCACCGTCTGGATCAACGACGCCTGCTGCAGCACCGACATGCCCATCTGGAGGTACTTTTCAAACGCCGCCCCAATCGCCATGGCAATGTCGCCAAAGCACGACAGGATCGGCGGCTTGACACTGCGGTTGAGCTGCGGCGACTGCAGATTCGCAAACAGCGCGTTCATAAAGTCGTCGCAGTACTTGGCCGAGCTCTCGCCCAGCGCGCGGCAGATGTCGCCGATCAGCCCGACGCTGATCGAGCACAGCTGGTACTCCTCGTGGTTGCGCAAACCCTCCACCATGAACGGCAGGAATGCGCCCAGGTACTTTTCAAAATCGGCCTCGAACGCCGAGATGACCGCACCGACGGTGAAGAAGGCGTCCTCGAGCACCGTCGGCTGCTTGGCGCCGTTCTGGATGAGCGTCAGCAGGTTGGTCATGATGCGGTCGCCCAACGCCAGCGTCTCGCGGCCAAGGCGGCGCACGCACGCCATGAGCACGCTGCACAGGTTGCCCTGCAGCTCGGCCCAGTTGTTGCGGTCGTCCATGCCGACGAGCTGCGCTGCCACCTCGTTGAGCTGCTGCTGGCGATCCAGAATTTGCACCAGCACGCCGCTCGCCTGGTGAACGCAGTCGGCAGCGCAGTGGGTGACGGCGCTGGCCAGCGCCTCGTACGCCGAGGTGCGGCTGTTGGACTCGTTCGAGTTGCGGCCGGTGGCCTGGAGCAGGCTGCCGACGATGCCCTCGAAGAAGGGCGAGAGCGGCGTGGAGGGCACCGCGGCGGCGTCTCCGCCGGTCTCGTACGACAGAGCATTGGCGCCGAGCTGCTCCGAGAGGTTCATGATGGCCCAGCAGCAGTTGGTCACGATGCGTGGCTCGTCCTGAAGGCCCAGCACGAGCGCCTGGACGAGCGCCGGGAGGTGGACGTCGGTCTTGATCGAGTCGCAGCAGAGATCCGAGATGCGTCCGAGCGTCCAGGCGGCGGTGTCCTTGACGGCGATGCTCTGGTCGCGGAGCATCTCGATGATGGTGGGCAGCGCCGACTCGACGAGGGGCGCCAGCGTCTTGCGGTCGGGGCCTTCCATGATGGAGCCGAAGCACATGACGGCGGCCTCGCGCGCGTGCCAGTCGGGGTTCTTGATGTTGCCCTCGACGAAGGGCACGGCAAGTCGCACAATGTCGTCGCCGACCACCTGAGCCAGAAGGCCGACGCACGTGCCGGCAGCCTTGGAGACGTCCCACTCGTCCTCGTCTGCATCCTCGTCCTGGGTCTTGAGCAGCTCGAGCAGCACGGGCACGATCTCGGGGAGGGCGATGCGCGCAAAGTTGTAGCAGGCGCGCTCCGGATCCTCGCCAAACTCGGCGGCCTCTTCGGCCTCGAGGGCGAGCTCGATCTCCTCGTCGCAGACGGTGGACCAGAACTCGACGGCCTGGAGGGCCACCTTGGGTTCCGAGTCGCGCATGCCGAGGACGGTGAGGCCGAAGAGCGCCTGCTCCATGTAGAAGCGCATCTTGTCGTAGTAGAGCTGCATGGTACGCACGAGACACTCGTATGCGGCGATCTTGACGGCGATGTTGGGGCTCTGGGTGGCCTCGCATACGACCTGCATGATGTAGTTGCGCTCGCCCTCGCGCTCAAAGTTGGCGCGGACGAATTCGAGCGAGTTGTAGAGCGCCTGGAGGGCGGCGAGCTGGACCTCGGGCGAGGGCTCCTCCTTGCGTGCGCCCTGGATGACGGCGGTGAGGATCTCGTTGGACTGGGCGGCCAAGACGTCGGAGCTGATGCCTTCGCAGGTGAAACCGATGGCCTGGAGCGCGGCCTGTCGCAGACGCATGTTGGAGGCATCGCCCATGGCGCCCAAGAGCTGAGCGATGAGCTCGTTCCACAGACCGACGGGAAGCTCGATGGCTGCGATGGCGGCGATCACCTGTGCAGCAGCGGTTCCGGCGCGGTGCTCCTGGCTGCCGAGGGTGCTGAGCACCTTTTGCTTGATCTCGTCGCGGCCGGCCTGGGGTAGGAGCGTCCATCTTGCGGTGTACTCTTCGACACGGGTGGGATCGCGAGCTGTGAGTGCGTTTTTGACCGCGAGACCGGCGGCGGTTCGGATATGCGAGGGGGAGGATTCGTTGGCAAGCTCGGCGGCGAGCGTGCTCATGTAGACGGGGTAGCTATCGCGAGCGGCTGCCTCGAGTTTCTGCTCGGCATCGGTACGGATGGCCTGATCCGGCGAGAGCGTATTTGTGAGGAGTTGGTTTGCGTCCATGGTCGCGAATCAAACGGCGACCGCGTCGAGTCGCAAAGTATCGAACGGTGGCAGAAGGGGGGGAGGCAATAGCTAGCCAAGGCTGCCTGGCGTAGCGACTCTCGGCGAGGACGATGTGGTAGGAAGAAGAAGGAGAGGAAGAGGCAGCGGCGTCGTGGCGCAGCCAAGTGTAGAGATGGCGAGGAGGGGTAGAGGGAGGAAATGCGGAGCGGGTCGACGATGCGGAGGAAGGAAGGAAGGATGACGTGCAGAGAGCAACAGAGGCGCGCTGGGGAGCACAGAGCGGGCGAGGCAACTTTTTGGTGTGTTGATCTCTGACCAAGCCTAAGCCTTTGCGTGGGCCACGCCTAAAATCCAAGGGCCGTCCGCGATTCATTTCCACGCACACGCATCCACGCTCAGTCGGTCACACTTTTCGCTCTCCCTCTCTCCACACTCGCCCGATAGCTTTCGCCGTCCACGGCCCGCTGCTGCGATTTTCCATGCAGTCACACGCACGACCCCGCGATGGGAGTTATGTAATCCCACCTAATTTTTGCACCTCGACCGCCGCCTCGGCCGCTGCCGCTGCTGCTGTCTGCAGATGCGCACACACGTCGCCGCCGATCCCGCCCACCTTAGATTTGGCGGCAAGTGATCCGACATCGTAGCTTTGAGCGTGGACCCAAACGAATGCAGATTATTGTTACTGTATACGGTGAAAGGAGAGAGTATGCCGGATCGGTCGCGGATAGGGCTACAGGAGAAGGGGCGTGCAGCAGTCGAATGGTTACGCGGATCGGGAGCTGGTGAGCGGGTAGCTGGCTTTCTTGTCGACGCTGATCAGGCCCACCGCCTGCGTATCGCCGTCGAGGTGCGATGCCTCTTCGGATGTGAGCGCGCGTGGCGCACGGCTGAACTCGTACTGCGACCATCGCCATGCCGGGATGCGGTTGCTGTACAGCTGGTCGATCTCCACAAACGTGCGGCCGCGCGTCTCGGGAAGCAGGAAGAATGCCAGGATGGTGATGACCAGCATGCATCCGCCAAAGATGAGGTACGCCTTGGCGGCCAGGTTGCCTGCATCGCTCGCTGTGATCTGCGGCAGAGCCAGCGTCGTCACCACCGCCGTCGCCTGGCCCCATCCGATCGCATACGACATGGTGTAGTTGCGCAGCCTCTGCGTCGGCAGCTCCGACGGCATCAGCAGCGAGATCGAGTAGAAGCAGAGCGTCCAAAAGAAGTTGAACACCATCGCCAGCGCCGAGATCGCCTTGGCCGCATTCGCATTGCCCGAGTAGAATGCAAGCCCGCCCGCGCTAAAGTCGATCACCGTCAACACCACAAAGCCCGGAAGAGCCAGCGAGCGGCGTCCGACCTTTTCGAGCGCCACAATGGCGATCGCCGCTCCCACCACCTGGCACACGTACGCGTACACCGTCAGCACGAACGGGTCGCCCAGCCCCAATTGCGTGAGGAAGACGGTGGCGTAGGTCGTGCTCAGAATGATGCCGCTCACTTGGTTGAGCGAGAAGAACGAGCCGGCGACCATGGTGCGCAGCAGGTGCTTGCGGCTAAAGATGTCGGTGAACTTGGTGTTCTTGACCAGATTCTTGCGCTCCTGCTCGGCACGTACGATGTCCTGCAGCTCCTGTTCGATCTCGGCGTCCGATACGGGCCGCACACGCTTGAGGGCAGCACGCGCTTCACCGATCCGGCCCTTTTGTACGCACCACACGGGCGATTCGGGCAGAAATGGCGTCGGCACGAGCAGCAGGAACGGCAACGCCGCCTGCACCGCCAGCGGAACCTTGAACGAGCGCGTATCGTTGTAGTTTTTGTCCGATGCCCAGCAGCAAATAGCTGCCAACAGGTTGGCCAGAATGGTGAGCAGATTCGAGCTCGCCACCGCACCACCGCGAATGCTCGTGGGTACCACGTCGGACAGATACAGCGGTCCGATCGACAGTGCGCAGCCGTACGCCAGCCCGTTCATCACGCGGCCCAGGATGAAGGCGGCCAGATTCGGCGACCACAGCTGCAGCTGCGTAGACGGGATGCTGAACATGTACGCCGCACACAGCGACCACTTGCGTCCGAGTCGATTCTGCACGTACGGCGACAGCAGCGCTCCAAAGATGGTCCCGATCAACGGGATGGAGAAGATCATCGACTGATGACTCGCGGTGAAGGTGTAGTCGCGCGTGTCGCGGTTGAGTCCTTGGTACTTTTTGACGAATTCGGGCATGGCGGCGAGCGGGCTCATCAGCGAGTTCTCCAGGCCGTACGTAGCTCCACTGAGCGCGATCGTCACGACGGTCACCAGGACCGACCTGCTCAGCACGCGCGGCTGAGCAACCACGCTCGTGCCGATCGACGAAGCCATGCTGAGCGACCTAGGCGAACGAACGTCCGTAGTCATGGTGCGGGATGTGGGCGGCCGGAGGAAGCCAGAATGGCATGCGCGAGACCGTGGCGGAGGTGGATCAAAGACGGGATGGCCCGGAGCCTAGGGGTAGATGCATCAAGGGTCGTAGAGTGGCTGCTCGGGGGTGTGCGAGCGTGCAAGTGAGATGGCGCAGCCGAATCTTTGTAGTTTGCTGCTGCTGCTGCTGCCGGTGCCGCTGCCGGTGCCGCTGCTGCTGCCGCTGCTTCTGCTGACTGCAGTCCGTGGGAGCAACAAGATTGCATGCGAGTGGGAGCAGAGCAGCGCTGTCAGGTGCATGCATCCCTCTGCCCCACCAGCCCCGAGTGCAGCGAGAAACCGAGCAGCTGGCGCAAATGAAGTCGGAATCAACAGCCCAGCCAGCTCGGTGGTGGAACCGGAGCGTCGTCTGTGCAGCGAGCGTTGCAAGGCCGACTTTGGTCTAACGCCTACGCAGCAACCTTGGCGCGAGCAGGAGAGCGCCCATGAAAGATGATGGTCGTTGACTTGGGCCTTGTTCAACTCCGACTAAGCTAGGGCGCTCCAACAGGATCGTCTCGGAGATATATTTGGATAATCCCCGCCGCCACCCTGGGACTGGACTGCCCAACAAAGCGTGCCCTGCTGGGCGCCAAGGGTCGTGCAGAGGGCCCCGCAGCTGTCAGCCTCGACTCTGCATTTCGTTCTGCGCAGACTCGGCGCCGAAAAAGTCCAGAGATGTTAGCTTTTAGGCGTAACAATTTGCGTTTGGCTGCGCGAGACGATCGGACGATCAGACGATCAAGGTTGCAGACACGCAGGAGGAACAACGGACGACATTCGAGATCTGAGCATGGCTCTGATTCTACGCTACATAGGGACCGGCTGCCCACAGCGCAGGGCCGAGTGCTTGGTGTGCAACGACTACCTGCGGGGCGGCGGCGTCGAGTCGCGTGCTGCCGCGCCTGCTGCCCACACGGGCGCCGAGTCATCCTGCTCTTGTGCTCTCTGCAGCCGATCGAGGGCCAAGGAAGAGAAGTCAGAGTCGGTGGGATCTGCGATGCCAAGCAGCACGACCAAATGCTCACCTTGAGTTGTTCGGCGTACGCCGCCTTGCGCTGCGTGGCTTGGCGCTGCGCATCCACCTGGCGCTTGAGGTCAGGCGACAGAGCCTATCGTTGGCAAGCCGCCAGGGAGAAAGGGAAAATCACGCGTGGGAGCCATGCCGAGACGGGACGGCGCATCAAAGGGCACGACAAGATCGGCGAATGGGAACGGGGAATGGCATGAAAGGGGCGAAAGGGACGAGGTGTGAGCACGGAACAATGGACCGACGGACAATGATCTACAACCATGCTGGGGACTTACATCGTAGAACTGCTGATCCGTCGGAGTCGTGGCTGCGTTGACGCAGAAAGGTGAAACAAGTCGTGTGGGGGACCAAAGTCAGCTCGATTGTGACCGAAAAGGGACGGAACAAAGGGCTGCCAGACGGCAAAATGAGGGGGGAACAGACGACCAACCTTTCATAATCGCGTAGCCCACCGCAATGGTCGCCAGACCACCGACGATGGCGCGCGGCCAAGGAGAACCCGACATGATTGGTTGGCGTGAAGAGGGCCAGGCGAGAGGCGCGGCGAACGAGAATCGACGAACGAAGGCTGGCAAACTGTATGGATGAAGGGACGCAACGAGCGAGAAGGCTTTGCTGCGCCGATTCGAGTCTGGGACAAGGTTCGGTGGGGCCAGAGGATTGTGCGTGCCTTTTGGACCGAAACGAGCTAGACCTTGTGGGCGCTATCGAGGACAACAATGCGCACGCAAAGCAAAGAAGCTTGCAGACAATGGCTGGATCCGTCGGAGCGGCTCGTGACGATGCTTTCGGCTCCCGAACTTGCACGAAGGATGTCCCTTTGAGCGAGCACAAAGGAGCAGGTTGGTGTGGGAAAAGCGTCGCAGTACGGTGGGAAGCAAGGTGCACAAAGGGACGTTGACGATGCATGATGCACGGGGCGCGCCACCCCAAGGCGAACAATCAAGCTCGCGCGACCCTTTGTTCCTGCTGGCCTCTCACCGTGGGAAGGCCGCAGTCCTCGCCAGAGCCCTTTTTTTTGTCAGCGGCGCGGGCAATGTGGAGGGTGAATCGCAACTTTTCACTGTTAGCATGCGTGAGGGAACAATTGTTGCTCCTAAGCTGGATCGGAATCGGCAAGCGTGGCAGCCGATTTCGCGTCCATCATCGCCATCCGAAGCGCCAGAAGAAGCACCAAAGACAGGAACGGGAAAAAAAAGAACAACACAAGATGGGGACGAGCCGGCATGTTCAGGCACCAACACGCTTTGACCTCTTGCCTCCACCTCTGACGACCGTCCGCGTTGTCGGGCAACTGCGAGCCGCTTTAACCTCAGCATCACACTTTGCCACCATGTCGCACGCAACCGCAAACCTAGCCGCACGGCCGATGGTGCGGAGCCTGCTGGGCTCGGCCGGTAGCAGCTCACGCACGCCCTCTCCGTCCTCCGTCGCGATGCGGTCGACAAGCTCCACGCCCGGGCAACGTCTGCGACGCACGCTCTCGACCAAAACGCCGCGCGCCCTCATGTCTCTTTCGTCTGCGCCTCCTTGCTTTGCTTCTCCGTCTGTGCGATCGGGCTCGCGTGGGATCTCGTCTTCGGCCGATGCGCCCGTCGTCGACTCGACCATCCCCATCCTGACCACCGTCAGCGACTACCGAGCATGGCGGCTGCAAGCCACCAAGGACGGCAAGTCGGTCGGCTTCGTAGCCACCATGGGCGCGCTCCACGACGGCCATCTCGAGCTCGTCAAGGCCAGTCTGCGTGAGAACGACTATACCGTCGTCTCCATCTTTGTCAATCCAGCCCAGTTCGCTCCCACCGAGGACCTGGCGTCGTACCCTCGCACCCTCGAGTCCGACATGCACAAGCTCGCCTCGCTCTCGCACTCGACTCCGTCACATTCGCGGCGCGTCGACGTGGCGTTTGTGCCCTCGGTCAAGGAGATGTACCCGAACGGCTTCACCCAAATCGTCGCCGACCAGATCGGCGCCTTTGTCGAGGTCAAGGGCCTGAGCCACCAGATGGAAGGCGGCAGCCGCCCCACCTTCTTCCGCGGCGTCGCCACCGTCGTCACCAAGCTCTTTCACATCATCCAGCCCGACCGCGCCTACTTTGGACAGAAGGACATCCAGCAGTCGGTCATCCTGCGTCGCCTCGTCTCGGATCTCGCCTTTTCCCATCCGCCGTCGGCCGAACACCTCCGCGTCATCCCCACCGGCCGCGACCCCACCGACAACCTCGCCCTCAGCAGTCGCAACGCCTACCTCACCGCCGACTCGCGGCAGGTCGCTCCCGTCCTCTATCGTGCGCTCAAGACGGGCCAGGACGTCTGGGATCAGCCGCACTGGACCAACAATGACAATGCCGAGCGCATCCGCCAGACTCTGCAAAAGGCTAGGGCCGTCGTGCTCCAACAGGCGGCACAATGTCAGAAAGACGGCAAGGGCGTCGAACTCAAGCTCGACTATATCTCGCTCAACCATCCAAAAACGCTCCAAAATCTCGAACAGCTCCTCGAGCAAGACGGTCCCCATGCGATCCATGTCGGCCAAGGTGCCATCCTCAGCGGCGCTGCGCTCGTCAGCCAAGGCCAAGGCGGCAAGGTCACCCGGCTGATAGACAACCTCACGCTCGGATTCAAGCTCTAGCTTCAATCGCAAAAGAAGGATGTCATGAATCTCGTTTGCTTGAGAGTGTGCGCGCGGGCGAGTAAGTGAGAGGAGGGAAGAGGTGCGGGAGGGTGAAAGCAAGAGGTGCGGGAAGGAGGTGCGGAAGGGATTGCCGGCGGTTTTCGACTTCCGAGTTCCGGATCGAATCGGACAAATCGCATTCGGCGAAGCGTTCGTGCAGGATGCATGGACCACCACCACGCACATTTGCCTTGCCCCCACCGCTGTGCACCAACACACCCCTGGAAGCCATGTCGTATCGAAGGGTGGATTCGACCGATCCGCGCCGCCCCGAGCTGGTCAGGCCGCTCACTATGCCCAAGTCCTGGAAGGCCAACGAACTCGACGTTTACGCCTCGTTCCTTTCATCAGTCAGCATGGTGAGTTCTGCTGCCATGCTCACGCGCGCACCGTACATCGCCTACGCAGGCCTCATCTTTGCTTGCGCCCACATCGCCCACGACAAGCCTTTCAAGTCCAGCAAGACAAAAGACGCTTCCACAGGCGGCCCGTGGATGTCGCTCGCGTAAGTATCATCCAGCCCATCGATTCACAGCCCCAAGCAGGCCACAGATCGTTTCTAACTCTTGCGCTTCTACCGTTTCATGTCGCAGATTCGCATTCCTGGCCCTCATCGCCCTCATCATTCCAAAGGTACGTGCAGACTGGCACTCGCACCACCCAGATTCTCGCGCTTACATCTCGCCGATCTTTCTTCCACTCCCGGCTGCAACCGGCTCATCACGGCCGTGCACACTTTCAGCTCTCGCTGGACGACCCACTCGGGCTCACTCGCAGGCCGTCATCCGCTTAATTCCAACCCTCTTTTCTCATTCCAAGACCATCTCTGTGACTGTGGCGGTGGGTGCAAAACACCTTTCAAAAGGGGTATTATTTTGTGCCGGCTAGGAACCTCTCAACGGTTTTGCCCACACGAATGACAGTTTCATAGTGCGATATGGTAGCATATCATACGGCAGACAGCCTTCATGCCTTGACCTGTGGTGGCATCGCGCGAGCTTGAGTTGATGTGGGTGCCAAGCCAATCTACCACTTCTTCTCTCTGCATGCGCCGTGGCCATAAGCGAACATGCATCTCATGGACCGGCAATTGTTCGTGACGATTGTCAGCGCTCCTGCATGAACGAAGCGTCTCGGTGGTGACATTTCTCGCGCGTACGGTATCATATGATGGCGGTGGACATGAAGTGAAGCATCTGCCAGCGTAATGCAGCTCTCATTGCATGACCCACTTCATGAAAGCTCGCCGTATTCACCCCTGTGCCGGCTCGTATGAGTCCAGTCACAGCATAAAGGCGAAGCGTTCCAGGCATCCTCGTCACTGCAGTCCATCATATCGAAGCTGCTCAATCCGGTACGCCATCTCGGTCGAAAATGGCAGCCCTCATGCTCTCTCGATTTGCTTGCTGGCTGCTGTTGGCTGCCATCAGCGTCCAGCTGGCTTGGTGCGCCGGCGACTCTATTCCCTTTCGACACGGTCAAGATGTATCGGGCTCATCCCATCCTATGCGGCAGACCTTTGCCGAAAAGTATCGAATCGTCGATCCCGCATCGGGTCGACCGTGGTCCGAGCTCGAGTACAGGCACTTCGCCGACCAGGCTCTGCCTCTGATCGACGGCTCAAAGTACTACAAGAGGATGTGGCGATCATTTCGCACTGCAGGAATCGACAAGATCCGTCGGTTCGGCATCGGCGCCACGCCCACGGACCTCCTCAAGCATCCGTACTACGTTGACCACGTGATGAGCGGCTCGCACATACCGGCTCTTTCTGTTCGAGTCGCCGACATCCTCCCCGACAATCCCATGGGCATAAGCAATCCCGATGTCGTCCTTTACATGCATTCGATCAGCGTGGACCGCCAGACCGACGCCAAGTTTCAGCTCGAGCCTCGCTTTGTCGTGAGAGGAAGCGCTGGTCAGGGCCGTGTACCTGAATCCGACGGGCCCGCTCACAACATCAAATGGCAGAAGCGGCAACCGTGGAAGCCCGAGTATGTCTGGGTCGAAGAGGTTCCCGAAATCTTCCGTTCCGCGGCGCTCGGCTCCATCGAGGCACTTGGTTATCCACCCCTCACTGTCGAGGGGCAGGTGGCCTTGCTGGATCGAGAAAGCAGCGTCAATCTCTACGCTGCCACCCGCCCGAGCAAACTCGCCGATCTCCTGGAGCAGAGTCGACTGTACATGTTTCAATTTGTTCCTCCTCAGGCCAAAGGGACACTCGAATCGTACGGCTTGATGCGACTCCCCATCGATGGCAATGGTCGCGAACCCTGGTTTCAAGCCCCCCTCTTCGACAAGTTCGACCCCTTGACCGGTCATATCCAGCTGAAGATGTACCCCTCAATGGGCAAGAGAACGCCGGTGTTGGATCGCGTCATGTACACGATGTCTCAGGGTCGATATCGCCTCGTACCACGAGCCATTGTTCGACCGACTGGTGTCTATCCCAATGTCCACCTTAAGACCATCTATGCGATCCCTCCCGAGCTCCAGCAAGCTGCCAGTGTGGATTTGTCGTACATGCCTGACCTCGATCGTCCCGTGCCGACTTCAGGCGATCTCTATCGCCCCTTGCGCGTCATGATGGATCGGCCACGACCTGTGGGTCATCCCCTCGACTATGCGACATCGAATCCGTCTCGGCTACCCACGAACGGGAACAAAGCGCTTTGGCCTGGTGCAGCGGGTCAGCGTGCAGCTCGGCAAACAGATCGATCGGACGAGCCTGGACTGCTCGGTGCCCCGACTCGAAATGCGATGGCCAACAAGGTCGACCAGGGAGTGCGACTTCCATCTGAAGGCCCTCGGCGGCTTCAACACAGCCTGCACGGGGCTGCGCATCAGCAAGACAGTTCCGGTATCCCCCCAACGCCGGGAGAAAGTCCCGAGGTGGAGATGGTCGACAGACTCCCTGCGAATGCTCAAGACGTGCATCGTCAGGCTTTCCATCCTCCTGTCGGACAGGTGGATCCTGAAGAATTCCGAGCTCATCCACCAACGCCACCGACGCATTCTCGCTACCAGCCGCAGTATTTCCACTACAATCCTGGCCGTCCCAATCCGTACGAGCTTCCGCGCGACAGCCCCTTCGACGTGTTGATGGCACATCTGGAACCCGACATGGAGGAGACAAGGCACTACTTTCAAACTTGATCTTTCGCGACGCACTTCTTTGCTCTCTCGTTCACTAGCCTCGTCGGTCCACAATCCTAGAATCAAGTCCTACACGATCCTGCTCACAGCGTGACCCCGCTCGTTCAATGACGTTGCGTTTGCAGAATCAGAGAGGATGTGAACATTGCCGTCAACGCTCGGAACTCAGGCCGTCTCTTTGCAGCGCCGAACTAGACTGCACGTGTATAGCATGGCACTGCCCGGCATTTCACACTCGCACTCGACAGGTCGATAGATCTTCACAGCCGGACAGCTCAACGAATCGTGTGACAGCACCAAGGATTCAGCAGAAGCAAAAGTGAAATCGTCGGCCGAACGAAGGTAAAATTGCGAGGGAGAACTCGATGACAAGAAGTGAATGGAGAGACTTTGTTGTTTAGGCGGGAGCTGGATGAGCTCGACCTGCGCTCGATAGGCCCGAACCTGGAACCGATGCGTCGCGAATTAGCGAGCCATCAACCCAACTGAATGACCGCAGCGAGAAATGAGACTTCGTCAGCACAGACCTCTCGGCGAACCAGTCCAGAAGGTAAGGATACATACGGAAGCGGTCTGTCCGGCATCTTGAGGTTGATACTCTTACTGAACCGAGCAGTACGGCGCTGGCTGGCCCTGACCAGAGTTCGTAGGGGCGTGCTCGGCCTCGGCAACCTGGACGGTAGCGACAACAGTCTCGAAAACGAACATCTTTAGAGGGCTCGGAGAGGAGACAAAAATAAAGGCTTGGATGTAGTGGTCGAGAGACTGGCTTAGAAGAGATGTGGATGTGTGGACGAAAGGTTTGATGAGGATCTTGACACATGGGGTTATATACTTTCAGGCGCCCAGATCTACCTTCAATTTCGATGCCATCTATCCTGAACTACATGTGTCGAGAAGCTGCGCATTTTCACATGGGAGCATGCGATTCGCAGGAACAAACGAAAGGCTGCCCTGTACCCTCTACTGTATCGATCTCAGAGACGAGTGGCTCAAACAAAGCGCTCCGACGGATTCGGACTCGCGCGCCTGCGATGGCCCTTTGATGGGGAGAACAAAGCACTTCGACGGGTCAGAATTCACACGCCCTGCAATGGCCCTTTGTTGGCGATGACTTTCTCACACGACAACGGGATTGTTTCGGATAATTCACGTGCCTGCACAGGCCCTTTGATTCGGAAAACTTGTCCGAAGTTGTCCTGATAAAATATTCACACGCCCCAGATGCAAGTGCACATGGTGGCTGCACGGTCCCTTTCTTCTCAAATAGAAATAAATAAATAAATAAATAAAACCCACAAGGTGACGAATGAGGAATAGGCGAAAACCTAGAACAAACGCAGTGTAGTGCCTGTACTGTCAACAATTGATTCTCAATGGTTCATACTGAATTCGTGTCGATTTTTCAAAAATGTGCGGAATATCATTTCAGGAAAGGATCACGAGACGATATGAGGATTACGAAGGAAGACTCTGCGTAACGTCAACGCAATGACTTGGTTATGTGTATCAGGTGTATCAGGAGAGGGCTCATATCAGCGAGTGTACGAGTTCAGAAGCACCTACGGCGCTCTCTTCGTCGGCAAGGCTCGCCATTGACCGCCTTAGTGAAGGCATCGACCGCTTCGATAGCATCCGTGTACAGAAGAGCTTGCGTAGATGAGCGAAGGGTGGACAGGAAGGTCCAAATGTTTCGCGTCCTAGGATCGCGCACCTTCCACATAAGCCTGCGCGGTCAATTTAGGTGAGCTCATGACTTGTAACATGCTAAATGTTGAAGTGTGACGGACTTACTCTGGAAAGCGACCAAACCGGTTCTGGAACGATTGATACCGCAAAGGAGACACTCGGCTTTGCAAGTATTGCATGCTCCGAACCGCTCTTGGGAAGCTTCGATCGTTCCAATGTCGACTCAGTCTTGGCGTATCTGCGGGACAGCGAAAGCTGTGCTCTGCGACGAAGCTGGTATCCGTTTGTACGCTTCCTGATGGTTCCACGGGATCAATAAGATCTATCCAGCACGGATTCTTTGCTGTCTTTCGTCTTTTAAGTTGTTCCCTGGTGAGCGACGTTGCTCTGATTCCGAGACGCATACGATCCATCCTTCCGGCCAGTCTTGATTGTCAGCTTGAGTACAGCGGATGGAGAAGCCTTGAAGGTAGCGAGTTTACGGTGGATACGGAAACCAGTTGGATGTCTACGAGGGAAGATGGAAGCTGAGAGGAAACACTGACGTTCAGGAGGGAGACATTGCATTTACTGTAAATTTACTGCAAAAGTGAAAATAAAGGGACACACTCTACTCGTTCGCCGGCCATAATTATCGAATGCTGCAATGAGTAAGTTAGATCTGATCTGTTTTAAATTTGCAAGTCTAGCTTGCTGAGCAGCACATTTCACGGAACAGAGCAGCACGATACGTGCCTTCTGGACGAACTAGTTCTTCCACCATTGAACCGTTCATCAATATTTGACGCTCTGGAGTTAGCGATCTGACCGTCGTCCATCGTAGGACTGATAACGAAACCGACCCAACGAGCAGGTCTGGGTTTCTGGAATGAATAGAATTGAACCGTGCTGGCGCAATAGAGGCCCTGGCTCCTACGCATTAGGTCGGAGCCACGAATCAGTCAGCGGTGCGCTCGGACCTTCAGCTGCGATGCAGGCTTCCTCGCTTCACAATCCTGAGCTTCTCCTCTCAAAACGCTGGTCAGGCTCCTCTCGGAATGTACTGATGAGCTCAATGACACATCGGAGCTGTACCTAATGATGCCGCGAGTCTATGCGGCTCAAGAAGTGCATATATACAGGCCACGAAAAGCCCGAATGCCATCGTCTCAACTCCCCCATCCCTCTTCGCAAAGATGTCTGCCCTTTTCTTCGCTGGTGTGCGGTTCGGCTCACTCAGAACCGCCGTGCCGGTGCCCTCACGTACTTCAACATCCTTCAAGCTCCTTTCGCCCCTCTCGAGCAACACCTACCGCACGATTGGTGAGATTGAAAATCCATGAAGTCAGAACGTTCCATAGCTTACACTACGACATCTCGTCTGTTGCAGCTTTTCGGGGACAGGTCCTCCTCACAAGGGCTCCGAAGCTGGAGAAAACGAACCATGGGCTCATTGAGAGGCAGGAGTGGACGGCCATCCGGCCCAGACAGACCTTTCCCAAGATGGATCGAGCTTGCGATATGGCCAAAAAATTAGGTATGTACCATTGGGAACGCAACAACGTAACGTTTCTCACCCGAAACTGTCAAGGGATTGCCTTTGCAAGGACTGAACAGTGACTTCATCTCGAAATTGGATATCTTCCACCCGAACTGAGCAGTAGGCGCCTCTCTTTACAGCGGACGAAAGTTGATCTACAATGCCGCTGTCTCTCAAAACTTCCCGGTATGTTGCAACGGGCCTCCAGCTTTCTCGGGGTGTATTCTGACCGGATCTGTTGTCGTCTTGTACCAGAACTGGACCTCTAAGAAGCGGGGCAAGATCGGCGGCTTGACCGAAAGCGAGTTTCACAGCAAGGTCGAAAATGGAGACCGCCTCACGCGAGCCACGTGCACGTTCAGAAGAATTGCCAAAGCATATCAAAAACAGTCTGGCCTCAAGGATTTGCGAGGAACCTTCCTAACCGTGAAATGGATTACATACGGCACGTCACACATCCTGGAAGTCGAAGACTCCCCCTTTCCGGGGCGTCGCAAAGATTGTGAGTATTTCACTTCCGCACGGGATGCAAGTAGCGAACTGACCGCCGACTCGTACATTGATTTCTAAAGGCGCTCGCCAGAAGTATCGCATGTGCATCCGGCTGACTAGCCCCGAAGAGCCCCCGGTGATAGCCCAACAAGCCACTTGAGTGGGTCCGAATTTGGAAGCTGCGACCTTGGATCATGACAACGCCAACTTTGATTCGAGGAAGACGCACTCTTGCCGGCTAAGATTTTATAGACCCTCTTCAGTCAATTTACAGAGGAAAAAGATGACGAGAAACAGAAAAAAAAAAGGAAACCCCCTCAAAAAAGCAAAAACAAAAAAAAACCCGGATTGCCCTCTTCTGTGACACTTTCTTTTCACTTGCTTTCCTGCTTCGCGATCGTTTTCCAATCTATTTAAATTGCGTGACATCGCAATTTCCTCCTATGCCATCTCGCTCAATACATCCTATGAACCCACGATTCGTGCAGACCGTGGCGAGCGCTTTATCATGGCTGATGGCGTAGACTTGTACATTACTCCACTGTAATGTACTAGAGCATAGCGGTACAGTGTATGACTTTCCGTGGTTGTTGCGTTCTTCCATTCCGCAGAAAAAAAGGCAAGCGAATGTGTGGATCTAGCGATTGTTATCTCAATGGACACTGTGTGGTTCAAGCAGGTTTTCAAGTAAAGTCCCTTTGATTCTCACCTCCGCCGATGCGTGTGAAAAGCGCCGAATTTCCCACGTTGAACAAAGGGAATATTTAGGTAAATCAAGACAATGTCATTTACCTGCTCAATTCTTAAGTGCGCAGAGGCTGCGGCTCAGAATGTATGAAGGAAGGCTATATAGAGTCCTGTGAATCTGGCGATCCTGCTCTCGTCCCTCATTCTTGTATCCCGTCACTGAAGCCAACACCATGTTCTCAATCGCCGAGAACAACACGTACGCCGCCTTCTGCTTGATTGCAGCATGTCTCTCGACTCTTTCCGTTCCGGTCCACGTGCGGGCCGGCAACACTGCAGTGTTGCTCATGATTTTTTGGTGTAGCCTGGGGCTCGTCAACAAGGGGGTCAATACGCTTGCCTTCAATCACAAGCTTCGGGTGACCTGGATGTTTGCTTGCGACATAAGCGCCATCATCGAAAGGACCTGGCAGCTAGGCTTGTGCTGCGGTTCGCTCTGCGTCTTACATCGACTTGAAAACATCGCATCTCTACGACAAGCCCATTCGACAGAGACGGATCGCAGGCGCAGATTCTGGATAGACGTAGGCATCGGACTTGGCATCCCTTTTCTTCAAATTCCACTGTTTTTCATCGTGCAGCCAAACAGGCTGGACGTCCAGGAAGATATAGGGTGCAGCGCACCGCTCTACAACTCCGTGCCGGCGCTCTTCGCATACTACCTATGGAGGCTGCTCGCCAGCGTCTTGTGCGTTGTGTTTGCAGGTATGTGTTTACGTGTTCAATCCCTTTCATTGTCCCCACCCTTTGAAGACTAACCCGTCTTGATTCGATGGTCCTGCCTTGCTTCGTGCTCGACTTTCTCTCATGACGATTCAGTGTTGATCCTTAGGTGGTTCATGCTGAGGAGAAGACAGTTCAGTGCAGCTTTGTCTTCTCAGCACTCCGGTCTGTCTCAAAGAAAATATTTCAAGCTGTTCGCCTTGGCAACCTGCGAAGCTGCTTTGATCTCAGCTGGTCAATTCTACCTTTTAATTAGCTCGCTCGCCCTCAGCGGGCTGAGGCCGTATCCAGGCTGGAAACAGTTCCACGCTCAGTTCAACACGATCAACTTCATCCCGATGATCCGAGATGGGAGCATGAGGGGTACTTTGGTTCAAGTCAATATCCTCAGGTGGCTATCCCTGTCTCCCGGATTAGCCTTGTTTGTCTTTTTCGGACTCACCGATGAAGCCAAGTCCATCTATGGGTTTTTCTGGTCATTTGTAAAAGGTGGACGACGAAGCGCACAGTAAGTTCAGCACCCCGAAGAAGTCTCGGTCGTCAATTTCGATGCAAGCCACGGCTTTGACTGAACATCCATTTCAGCAGGTTCAAGAAGAGTAGCTCCCCTCTCAGGGACCACAGAAGTCTGACGAATGGTACGGAACTGGACCTCGAGGACTTTCAGAGGTCTACAGACAAGATCTCCGTGGCCCTGCACAAGGACGTTCTTGTTTCGTGAAGATGCCGCCTAAGCGATTCGCTTGCATCCCTCGATTCGCTTTCTACGCATGAAATGTTATACTTCTCTCGATTGCAATACTCCGAATTTTCGAACATGCGAATCAGAAAGATGAGTGTTGCAAACTTCCAGAAGGTCCGCAGCTTAGCCGGATCACCTCCTTTACGTTGTCCGACGCCAGATCGGCCAGCTTTGCTTGGTGGTTCTTCCTTGACAGACTTTGAGGACAAAGTGACAGTGTGAAGGCCGTACATTAGCGTATATCACTCATGCACGACACAAGCTTCCACAACGTTGGCGCTAGAGGTGGTGGCCAGTTTCATTCTGGTACCTCCAATTCCGTGCTATTTACAACATCAACATACGAAAGACATCGTTTACAACGACGGCACCTTCGACGATCCCCTCTGTTCCGGTATGGTCTCATCAACTAGTGAACTTCACGCATATCTTTCAACACCTCTTTCCCGATAGCATCGAAGTATGTTGAGGACTCAAACAACCTTGTCGGCACCCGATCGGGCAACCATCTTCGAGAAATTGCCGGCATTTATTTCTCAATCAATCATGACTTAATGAACTCGAACAAAAGTGAAGTGATCCATAGGATAATGTGCGTGTTTCAGGACAACATGCTGCTGTATTCCGTACCTGCCGCATTCACAACGATCATAAAGTGTTAGTTTAGGTCTCATGCGACGGGAACAAAGAGATGCAAGTGTCCGGTGGCCTACTTACCTCTACGAGCAAGAACGCTTTCTTCACACAAGTAGTCATAGAAAGACACCGGTAAATTCAGAAGGAAAACGGACCACGAGGTGGTGAACACGACTTCGAAGAGTTCCACAGGGAAGCGATTATGATGTCGCCAAAGGCCAGCATCATCTTGCGATCATGTGCCTAGTGGACGAGCCGAGACAGATGGAATGAGAATAGGTCCACTCGCAGGGTTCGTTTGCGTTTTTAAGACTTACAATCCTAGCACACAGTGCACCCGCTCGTCCAGGGAAGGCCGCGCTGGCCAGGGGCTTCCATATCGACGGGAGCCTGCTCGGTGTCGACAGCCTGAGCGCTGAAGGGAGCAAAGAGAATGATGGAGTCCATTTTGCTGAGAGCTGAGTTAAGGATGGTTCGGAAGAAAAGAAAAGGCTTGATTTTGCTGTTGCGAGTCTGTAATGGTTGGATGATTTTCGAGGAGTCTTGTTGATGACCAAGTGAAAAGAGTCGGCCTATTTATCTTTTCGCTCTGATGGTCAATCCTTCCATCACTAACGTTTCAGCCTCTTTGAAATAAATGCATCAGAGCCGCAACGAAACTTCGCTCGAGTCAATTGCGCCGCCTACTCAATGTCGGTGCTCGCACTGCGATTGACGCGCGGGACAATCCCTTTGTGTTCTTCCTGGGAACGTGGCTCAAGACTGTTCTGCCAAATAGCTTCGAACCGCTCAGCTGCAGTGCACAGTGCTTTGAGAAGATCCCTTTGATGTGAAATATAACCGCCCAACAACAGGTGATGGGAAAACGACCTCATATTTACGTAATTTGAAGACAGAAAAAAAATCTTAATCCACCTCTTTTGACATCTGACAGCACACAAACTGGTCGTATTGGACTTTTCGACCCCTGTATCGCTATGATGCGGTCTCTTTTTTTACTTTTTTTTTTCTTTTTTTGACAATGGCGTGGACCTCATTTCGCACGCTCTCTTGTTATTCCCTTTGTCCCCGCATCGACGCCGACAAAGGGCGCGGTCGGGCCTGAGTTTGCCGCCGATGTCTCACATGCGCCACAGCACGCGGTTCTTTTTTCCCACCCCATCTCGCGAACAAAGGGTTCATGCATTCTACAGGTGCGTCACTAGGCTACAATTCCCAGGCTGGCTTTTCGGGCCACATGTTGTGCATCCACGCTGTGAATTTGGCGGCTACCTGGTCGGCCCACTTGTCCGTGATATCGTCGTTGATGCAGACCAACGCCGGGCGTTGGATGTCAATGTTGCTCTGCGAGGCTACCCACGCGGGCGCGGGTGTGTCTGTTCCATTTGCCCGTGCGAATCGATCGAGAGCCGACGGTCTCGCTGCGGCCGACTGGAGCGCCTGCATGACCTTGGTGGCCGAGTAGAGCGTTTCCATGCGGTGGAACTCGATGGGTGTCTCGGCAATCGTGTAGGCGTAGCGCTGGATGAGCCTGCTGGCAAAGTCGCGCAGCCGGGTGCCGTGCCCGAAGCCCGAGTTGGCCAGCACACACGCGACGCTGAAGCACGCCCGCTCCGCCTCGGCGGCGGCATCTACGGGCGCGCTGGCGTTCCACACCGACGAGAGCGGCAGATGCGGCACCGCCTTGCGCCTACGCGCCTCTGGCTCCGTCTTGCCCTCGTACGTGCGGTGCTTCTCTGGCAGAAAGGCAGACAGCCCGCGAGTCCCGCTCTGGCCGACGAGGTGGTGGATGAGGCAGTCACCGCAGGCGACGTCTTCGTAGGCGAAGCGCGTAAACACGTCCTGCCACTGCACTTTCGCCCCCGAAAAGGGCCTAACGAAGCACCGACCGGGGTCGAGCTGGCATGCAGGACGGTCGAAACGCCTGTTGTGCCACTCGTTGTTCGGGTGCGCGGTCGGATCGTCGACAAAGTCGGGCCAGCCAAAGTAGCCGCTCTCGCCTCGATGCGACGACTGCCAGTACGGATCGCGCGGCGAGGTGCGTCGCTGCATGCGCGGTTGGCTGCGGCGATAGATGACGCGGTCCGAGACGTCGCCGAGTGGATATCCATCTTGCGAGACAAACGAGTATTGGCTCTTTAGCGGCACCGGCCACGCGGCCTTGACAAGCGCCTCGTTGGCGTGGTCCTTTGCGAGGGTACTGCGCCTCGCCAGCTTGACCTCGACAATGCAATCCGCCTCCGACTGGGAGCCTTCGACTCTGGAAGCCTGCTCCTGCGTAAGGCCCATGACGAGCAATGCCTCTCGCCTCTCGTCGTCCGACACCACACCATCGCCGTCGCTGTCCAGACGAAGCATAAAGAAGCTCCACAGCATCGCCTCGCGGTGGCGTTCCACGACGTTGTAGTAGGCGAGAAAGTGGGTGACGATATTGTCGCCGGCGTTGCGGAACCTGTTGATGCCGAGACGCGCGTGCTCGGCGGCCCAGCCCATGCGCGTCTCGTGCAGCAAGGCCTTGGAGAAGCTCTTGTGGACGTGCTGGACGTACGGCCGCTTGCGCGCTCCAAAGCGCTGGTCGAGCAGCCAGTTGGTGTGCCATAGCGACGACCACTCGCCCGGCGTGGCGTCGGGAGACTGGACCCCCTTGACGACGAGGTTGTAGTCGAGCCGCATCACGGGCCCAAACAGCGGCGAGGTGACGTCGGCGACACTGACGTCGTCGAGGAGGAAAAAATCGTCGTTGGCGTATACAAAGCTGTCGGCGAGACCGGGCTGATCGCCGAGCATCGACTCGATGGCCATCGAGTTGAACGTGGGCAGCGCGGAGCGGCGGTAGTTGTCCCTCTGCTGATGCTCCCGCTCCGTGACGGGACGCGAGACGAGCCAATTATCCGTCACCGCGTTCCAGTCGTGATGCAGGCGAACATTCGGCGAGATCGCTTGCTCGCCGTCGTCCGATGCGAGCGCAAACAGCTTTGCGATGGACTGGGGCAACGACGACTGCGCCGGGCTGTCCGACTCGGCGTCTTGACCGGCAAGGACAGAGGCTGCCTCGGTAATTGCGAGCCACTGGGGCACCTGACCCTCGCGCAGCTGGTTCTCGTGGGTCATGAATCGGTCGGTGCCAATGTCCTGCACGCGACGCAGCTGCGAGGGCAGCCCGACGAACCCCTGCTCTAGCCGATCGACGGTAAGCATAAACGGCGGCTGGGACGAGCGCTTCTGCCTTGGCAGCTTGGCGCCGGGCTGCAGATGGTAGGGAGCCGAAAAGTCGGGCGAGACAATGTGGATGGTCCGCAAGCCATGCAGATGCTTGGCGGCCGAGCGCATCGAGTACCTCAGCTCTTCATGGTCGCGGAACCTGCTCGGCACCAGCGCCTTGGACGGTGCCGTCCTTTTCGTCGGCGTCTGCCCTTGAAGCCCAGCGTCGCGACGACCAAGCTGGTGGAAAGAGGGAAAGAGGTCCTCCTCGGCATACTCCTGCCACCGTCCGGTCGGCCTGTAGGCGTGCATCCAGCTTGCACTCGAATGGCGCCAGTCGGATCCATTCACCCACGAATACAGCAGATCGACGCTGGTCAAGTCGGGTCGCTTGCCATATGCACCTTGGAATTCATCGCAGACCTTGCCCTCGGCGACCCACTCGTCGAGACATTCTGCATTGTCGAACAAGATCCGCTGGGCCGGGATCACGTCGAGCTGCCTGCGATTGGGAGCTGACGATGCTGGCGCACGAAGAGGCGGAGGGTCGGCATCGTCGTGGTGCAGTCCAAACGGCAAGATCTCCTCGGGCTCTGTCGGATGCAAGGGTCTCGGAAAGGTGGGCGTGATCACCGCCTTGTCCTGCCAGGAATCGTCGTCGTGCAGCGACGCCAGGAACGGATCCTCGGGCGTTGTGGCCTTGCCTGCCATGGACTTGTGCAGCTTGCTGCCACCGACACCGAGCAGGAACGCAGCAAGCAGCAGCACGCCGACGACCCTGAGCCTCCTGCCGTTGAGGTTCAGCTTGCGAGGCTCTGCATCAGTGGCCACAGGCTTGTATGCGTGCGCGGAGCGGACAAAGGGCAGTCTATGCCAGAGGCCGGGGAAGCGTTTCGCAACGAGTGCGCCCACGAGCGTATCTGTGGACCCATTCGAGCTGTGACGGCGGTGGCAAGAGGCGGTGTCGTACGTGGCTGGATCCTCGCTGTCAAAGATGGTGGCGGACGAGAGCGAGGTGGTGGAAGAAGCAGCTTCGAGATGGTGAGGCAAGCCTGGTTGCTTGTGCAGATCATTGGAGGCCAGCAAGGATATGCGCACCTCGTCACCGACCGACTGCATGGCGCGCGGGTACAAGACCTCCTGGGCGGGTTGTGGTGTAGGAGCGGTGATGACGATCTATGGAAAAAGAGTTGGTCCAGAGAGGGGATATCATCGTACTAGCCAGGGAAAGTCCAGGTGGGGATGCATCGTGTATATAGTGTCGAGAGGGGAACGAGGCGTAACGCAGATTGGAGTCTTGTGATAGCATCTGTATGCGCTGCCATGCGACTGGGTCGTAGTCTGGTGCCGCGTGGAGAGTGCCGCGTGGAGAGTGCCGTGTGGTGAGACATTGGGTGGGGAAGGCAACGCATGCTGTGGCTCGTAGCGGCCTAGCTTTCACCAACGCGGCCGGGCTTGTGTGCAGCGTCAGTGGTCGAGGCAAGGAATCGTAGTCTCGCGATACGACGCCATCGTAGTTTGTCGACCGCGAGGCGAGTGCGAGTGCAGGGAGGTAGGAGCGATGCGATGCGGACGGGGCCATGCATTGCATGCAGCCGAGCACGCGAGCACGCGAGGATGTCATCTGTACCAAGCCGGAAGGGATGTGCCAGAGACAGGCTCGGCGGCGGATTGTTGCGTGGGACGGAAGCTGGCAGCCGCGCGGTGGATCGTTGAGCCGAGGCGGAGGAGGGTGGCAGCGGCATGGTCGGACGAGCGGCGGTGCGCCATGCCGGCGGTTGGGATTCGTCAATGCATGTGGTGCTGACCGCGTGGTCGGGTCGGACGGGAGACTGGGCCACAGCGCCTGTCTCGGCGGCGCGCGATAAGAGAGTCTCCGATACGGTAATGTGCTCCGTGTTTGATGCGGATGGGCGATGTCCGGCTCGGCAGGCGAGCTCGGCATCGCAGCTTGGCCAGGCAGCCTGGCCCAATGCGTTTTGAGAGAGAGAGAGAGAGCAAAGGCATGATTGCCGAATGTCCTACGTATGCGCGTCGTGCCGGCGGCGGAAGTCGGAGTGCCAAACTTCGCGTCGTGCCTTTTCGCCCATTTCCAGCCCCTATTTTTCCCCTATTTCTGACGGAAATTGCAACAGCAAGAGGATTGATTTCTCTTCTCTGCATCTCGCAACCAAGCCCCGCGTAAATTCCAACTCGTCCATCAGAGATTCGACCCTGGTATCGCCGATCTGAGCTGGTCATCCACGATCTGACATTGGAGCGGGATTTTTTGGGACCCTGAAGAAATGTGGAGCTGCAGCAGCAACTTTTGCGCCTCTCGCAGCTGTCAATCGTTCCTTCGCCGTCGTCTCCTCCATAGCACATACCCACGACAATGGCACCCACATCTGCGTCAGCATCCGACCGAACCGGAAGCGGCGAATCGACTGCGCTGCCAGAGCCTACCCCGCACCAGCTGTCCAAACGCCAACAGTGTAAGTCTCAGCCCGGTTCTTTGCTGATCTCTTCGCGCGCATGCTGATCCGCCTTGGCCACCGCCGACGCACACAGATGATGCCCTGGTAGATGCAGAGGTGGGTGCAGAAGTGAATACATCGCTCGGATCCCCCGCATCGCATCCGTCGTATCCAGCAGCCGCATCGCTTTGCCGCGCATACCCGACGCAGGCATCGGCCATCTTCCAGACCTACCTCGACCTCAAGAACGGCGCGGCCGCATGGGACGTCGTTGAGCCTCTTGCCCTACGTCATCCGCAGCAAGCACCCAAAAGCAGCACAGCGGTGTCGGGCAGTGCGGAGCTGGCAGGCTTGTCCGATTCAGAGGCGCACGAGTTGGTGCAAACGACGCTAGCGAGCTGGAAGAACGCCGACACACGGCTCGGACTCGTCAACCCGCCCGAGCCAGAGCAAGACCAAGATGGTGATCCTATGCTGACGCATGGACTGGCTGCGATCAAGGGCCGCAGAAAGAACGCAGTATGTACACCTCCCTCTACAGCGCAGACTAGCCGTTCTTCGATGGACTGACCCGAACATGCCTTTCTCGGTGACAGACCGCATACGAGATCGTGATTCCTCTGACCATCTCGCAACACCTCACCACTTTGCAGTAAGGCAACCTTCCATCCCGGCTTTCACCAGCAATGCCGTCGCTCAAACTGAACCCTCCCCTCTTGAACAACACAGACTCGTCGGGATCTTTACCCTGCTCACTCAACACGCCGCCTCGTCCACCGACACCGTCGACACCTCGCACGTGCTGCTCGCCATCATCGCGCCCGACTCGACGCTCGTCTACTACACCGTGTCCAAAGACATGGTCAAGCCCGTCAACTGATCCACCTTGCTCGCCAATCTTCCTCATACCCCATCACACACTCCAACTCACGAGTGAAATAAAAACGGCGTTGCAATAGAGCGAAAGGAAGAACAAGTGTCCATCGGCTCCTGTCACGGTCAGTGCGCGTGCGGACAGGACGAGCCAACTACGATACGAGCAGGAAAACAAAAGGAAAAGGCGGAGCTAATCGTGCCCACGCCGTCTAGACGAGGACGGCGACAGCGCCGCCCGCCAGCGCCACCGCCGCCGACACGCCCCACATGAGCAGCGTCGAGGTGGGCGTGCTGCGCGCGGCGCCGCCAAAGTTGCGGTACGGGTCGACGCTCGCGCTGGCGCTCGCCGACGACGAGCCGGTGTTCTGGCTGCCGGTCGAGGTGAGATTGTCGCCGTTGGGGCCGATGGGACGCGTCGAGTCGGTAAAGCCGCACTGCGAGCCGGAGCAGAGACACTTGGCGGCGACGGGATCCCAAAAGGGCGTGTCGCAGTTGTTGGGGATGCGCGTGCGCAGCGAGCGGTCGTTGTTCTTCTGCGGCGGGTTGGGCTGCTGCGGCGAGGGCGTGGTCTGCGGGCAGCCGTAGCACGTGTAAAAGGGCGAGTTGTTGAGCGCGTCGCCGGCCGTGTTGGAGATGCAGTGCTCGAGCAGATCGTTGTTCTTGGCAAAGCCGTTGCAAATGTGCTGGTCGACGTTGGCCGTCTGGCACTTGAACGCGTCGAGCGTGTTGAGCTGGCTCGCCGGCACGGGATTCTGCATCCAGGCGATGAGCTGCTTGTTGCTGATGATCCACACGTTCTGCATGTCGGCCGAGGTGGTGGCCCAGTCGAGAAACTCGTTGAGCATGTTGATCTGGTCGACGGGGTCCTTGAGGCCCGGGTAGCCCTTGGCGAGGTGGATGGGATGGGTGTAGACGCCAAACGGCTGGCGCTTGCCGTTGTAGTGGTCGGTAAAGGTGCTCTTCATCCATGCGAGCACGTCCGAGGCGTTGGCCGAGTCGAGGTAGGGGTCCATGAGATGGGCGCCCGCGGCTCCGCGCTCGTCAAAGATGGCGTACATGGGGATCTCCCAGAAACCGGGCAGCTGAGGCTGGCCGCCGCAGATGTTGGCGACCGACTGGCAGTCGTTGGCCATGCCGTTGTCGAGCGTGTAGGGCCAAAAGGCGTCGGTGTTGGGGTCGGTGACGGGCACGGATGCGGTGGAGCTCGAGTCGTAGGTGAAGCCGGTCTTGGCGAGATGCTCGAGGTTGGCGCGGTCGTAGAGGAGGAAGGGGGCACGGTAGCCGATGATCGACTTGTAGGGGATGCCTGCGAGGGCGTTGAGCGTGATGAGGTTGCCGTCGATCTCTGCGTTGGTGGCGGGCTGCTCCTGGTGGGTCATGGTGTGGTCGCCAATGTCGTTGCCGTTGACGTAGAGCTCGGTGACCTGGGCGTAGTTGGTGTAGTTGAGCGAGACGTAGTACGACATGAGGGGCTTGCATCCGTTGGGGTTCTTGCGCTGCGCGAGGAACTGGTTGACCGAGTTGATCGTGTAGTCCTGCACGGCGTCGTCGGCGGTGAAGACGATGAACTGAGGCACGTCCTTGGGGTCGAGGCCGCCGGGCGGGTTGGTGTCGGCGCAGTGGCACTTGGGCAGCTGGCAGGTGGCGGGGTTGCAGCTGTAACGCGCCGCCGAGGCACCTCCGCTGCCCGTCACGGTCTGCCCCTCGCCGCCAGACTGCAGGAGCTGGCGCTTCTGCAGCGGACGGCATCCGGCGCCGTGCAGATCAGGGCCGTGTGCAGCTGCGAGGCCGGCACAGGCGAGCGTGAACAGCGTAGAGACGAGCGACGTCCTCATCGTTGAAAGCGTCTATGTACGGTCGGAGCACGCACAGAAGCGGATCGAGGGGAAGAGGGGAGGAGAAAGGATGAGGCGGGGAGGAAAAGAGAGGGAGATGGGGACGGATGTTTTGGTCCTGGAGTGAGAGAGGGAGAGGAGATGAAATGGCCACGACAGAGGGGGCGAGCAAGGGAGGGAGCAGTGCATGAGCGGTGGTGGCTCTGATCGGGTGTTGTGTGGGCGCCAAAGAAAGCCAGCAGTGAAATGCAGCCAGCATCTGCAGCCAGCGTTTGCGAGCCAGCGTTTGCTAGCGGCTGTCGCGCGCCACGCTCAGAGTCGAAACGGAGCCCGGCGTGTGCAGCCTGCGATCTTAAAAAAAAAGTGTTGGTCTTAGCCCGCTGGTAAATTAGCGATTTTCGCCTCTCTGCTTTCGAATCGCCCCTGCTGCGCCAAGCGCACCGCACATCCGTTGCCGCCAGCTCGAGGGAGCGTGCCAAATTGCATGCACGCGCGACCGCTCAGCCCCACCCGCCGGTCGTTTCGTCGGTTTCCAGCTGCCGCGACTCCGACGATTTCTCGGTATGCGAGGTGCATGCTGACTAAGCGTTGACAGCGTGTGCGCTCGTCGTCGGCCTCACATTCCAGCATTTCGGCCAACGACCCGAGAGGTGATGGCCGTTCGGCCTAAATCCACTTCCAAACAACACGAGAAGACAAAGACAATGCGATACGATTACGACAGACGAGCGAGACGATCAGGCGCTCTTGTTGGCGCGCCTCTTGAGCACGGCGGCGTTGAGCTTGTCGAGCATCTGCACGGTGGTCTCCCAGCCGACGCAGCCGTCGGTGATCGAGACGCCGTACTTGAGCTGGTCGATCTGGCCGTTCTTGGGCTCGCCCTGCTTGCCCTCGTTGAGGTGCGACTCGATCATGACGCCCGTGATTGCATCCTCGCCCTGCTCGAGCTGCTCCGCGATGGCGTCCACCACCTTGGGCTGGTTGCGGAAGTCCTTGTTCGAGTTGCCGTGCGAGCAGTCGATCATGATCGACGGGTGGCGGTCCGGAAGCGCCTTCTTGAGCTGCTCCTTGGACGACTGCACCGACGCGGCGTCGTAGTTGGTGCCCTTGGAGCCGCCGCGGTGGACAATGTGAAGGTCGGCGTTGCCGACGGTGCGCACGATGGCAGCCAGACCCTGTTCTGTCACACCCATAAAGGCGTGCGGTTGCGAAGAGGCGCGGATGGCGTCGACGGCCACACCGAGGCCACCGTCGGTGCCGTTCTTGAATCCGATGGGCATCGAGAGACCCGAGACGAGCTCACGGTGGAGCTGCGACTCGGTGGTGCGCGCACCGATCGCTCCCCACGAGTACAGATCCGAAGTGTACTGGGGCGAGATGGTGTCGAGCACCTCGCACGCCACGGGCACGCCCTGGGCGGTGAGGTCGACGAGCAGGTTGCGCGCAACCTTGAGGCCGCGGTTGATCTGGAAGCTGCCGTTGATGTCCGGGTCGTTGATGAGACCCTTCCAGCCGACCGTGGTGCGCGGCTTCTCAAAGTAGGCGCGCATGACGACCACGAGGCCCTCGGACCAGCGCTCCTCGATGCCGGCCTTGAGCAGCTTGGCGTACTCCTTGGCCTGCTCCGGGTCGTGGATCGAGCAGGGGCCGACGACGACGAGCAGTCGGTCATCCTGTCCGTTGATGATGGCGCTCGACAGGCCACGCGCGCGGGCAATCGTGGCTTGCGACTCCTTGGGCACGGGGATCTCGTGGAGCAGCAGCGAGGGCGAGATCAGCGGCTCAAACCCAGCGACGCGCACATCGTTGACGTAGGCGTATTCGTCCTTGGATCCGCTCTGGAGGATGGCCTGCGAGAGGGGCTCGGCGGAACGGCCGTTGGCCGTGTTGGCGGCGATGCTCGACGACATGGCTGAGATGTTGCAGAGCGCGGGTAACGGTTAGGGTATGAGAGGTTGGTGGTGGTGGTTAAAAGTAGAGTTGGCAAGCTCGAGGGGCCGTGCAATGGACTGGTCCTCCGGGTTGCGCAAGACCGACCTTGATGAAGACGCTCCACCGTAGCATCGGCAAAGGATGGCCTAGCAGGCGAGGCTGCCGCACTTTCTTCACACTCTTGCCGCCGTGCCACTTTCCGCTTCGGCTGAGAAAAATGAAATCTCGCAGAGTCACATTTCCGCTTCACTTTTTTCTTTCTTTTTCTTTTTTTGGTGGTGGCAGCAGGTCGGCGGCTTTTCAGAAGCCGTTATTTCTTCTTGATTTCTGGCCCGCCCGCGTCCCGTCGAGACCGCATCTCGAGGCACCAACCACCGGTCGGGCATTGCGAATGTCATGCGATCGATGCGAGGTTCGTCGGTTTCTGCCCTGGGGCGGTCGAACTGTGTTTCGCGAGCTCGGCTGTGAATCAACAGGCGCTGCTGCTTTCCCGACCGTCTTCCGGATAGAGCGACGGAGGGCGGCAGCGTCATTCGGGCCGCCAAGACGGAATTTCATGTCGGTGCGCGGCGACACCTTCTGACTCGAAAACGTGCGTGCGAAATGTGGAAATTTTTAGGTGGCCCACCCCGATTGCATCAACGGGCGTTTGGCTGCAGCGCGAGTGCGTGCGGCGTGTGCCCGTCTGCGTGGCTCCGAAATAGATGAGACAGCGGTCAGGCCCACCCACCCACCGTGTGAGCTTTGGTGGCAGACCCTGCGTGCTTTCAGCCGTACAGTATCGAGCCGCCACTCTGTCATCTGGCCGCCTTGGTTGCAGCCAACGAGATCCCAGCGTGTAGTTGGCGTGGTGGCCTGCGCATGACTCGCCCTCGCGCGGCCCACTCGCGTTGGCACACAAAGACGCATACCTCCAACTGCTGTATCACAGGACACACAGAGCAGCTAGCTCAGACTCGACATCGACATGACTAGACACCGGAGCAGCCGCTGTGCGAGATCGGAGGAGGCGGCCCGTCTCGGTTCCTGTTTTTGAGAGGCGCCTGTCCACAGATCGACGCCGCTTTTCCGGCGCGGGTGGCAAGACATGTGCGCGCCGCTCGTTTGGGTCGTGTGAAACGAGAAACCGAAGTCGAACCGAGATGCGAAACGCAAACAAATTCCTCCGAGCCAACAGCTCGTGGCCTCGATCGGCGATTCCTTCCTCGAGATGCGATCGGCGATCTCCCTCAACCCGAATCGGAATTCGGCACTTGGCTCCCACTTTGTCCCGACTGGCATCTCTGTCTTTTTGCACTTTTTCCGCCCGCGCCTCGTATCCCCATCATCTCTCAAGACCCGGCGCTGCACCATGTTGCCAACAGTAGTCGCGCGATCCCGCTCGGCATGGAAGGGTGAGTGACGCGCACTCGGACGAGCTGCAGAGATCACCACGGTATTGACTCTCACTTGGGGCCAACGTCGTCTTCTTGCAGGTCCTTTCTTCGTCGCCTTCCCCAACTTGGCGGAAGCGCTCAAGAACAACACTCCCATCCGAACCAACGCTAGAAGCTGCACAATCCTTCCCAACTTCGTCGGGTATGTCTGATCTCCAACTCTCGTCTCGCAGAGACACTCTGACTCACCTCGTCTCCTCCTTGCGCTCGTCAGACTCAAGTTTATGGTTCACAACGGAAAGCATCACATCCCTCTCACCATCACCGAGGAGATGGTCGGCCACAAGCTCGGAGAATACGCGCACACACGAGCGCGCTTCAGCTACCGATTGACGAAGAACAAGTAGGACTTTGCTCCGACACCGACCTTGCACTCTTCCAACACTTGTACTTGTACCTCGATCATTCAACAACAAAAGAAGCGCAAGCTTTCAATACACAGACGCTTTGTATCAGCCTCAGAACGACTGCATATCGATGTCACGCACAAATTCAAAGGCACCTCGACGGAACACGGGTGAGACTTGGAAGCAGCAGCGTGGATCACATGGCGCCAGGTGGTGGCGCAAACCCGGTCTCGGGCGCCAGCAGAAGTGGCGTGCTCTGCACATCGGCGGTGGCCACGTACACCTCGTTGCCCCACCACTGCAGCTCCAGCGAGCCGTTCTTGGGCATCTCGAGCAAAATGTAGATCAAGATCGACTGCCCAAGCCGAACAGAAGACGTCAGTCACTTGTCCCACACGCCAGTACGGACGCGGCTAGACTGACACTTACCGACATGATGGTGCCAAAGTCGAGCGCGCCAGCGAGCACAAAGTTGTACCGTGACCACCATTCGACGCGGTACTTGCGCATCCAGTATCCAAAGAACCAGCCCACAAGGATCGCCGAAGTAAAGTTGATCCCGGATGCGGGCGGCGCCAGGCTCATACCGACAAAGATGATGGGCGCGGATACCAACTGCATTGGGCGCCACTTGTACCTTCGCGCCAGGTACCACGTGAGCACCGGCACCACCGCTCCGACCACCAGCCCGTAAAACAGCCAGTGGTACGCCGAAGACTTGCCGAAGCTGCGCTCGACACCGATGGCACCCCAGATGACCGAGGCGGTGAAAAAGATGTTGACCGTCGGGCATGTGAAGCGCTGCGCCTGGTTGGGATCGCACAGGTCCTTGATGCGGCTGCGCAGAAAGTCCTTGGTTACAATCTGCACCGCGCTGCTGACGATGATCGAGGTGATCTGCACCAAAAACACCGACCGAGGCCCGATCTTCATATAGTTGCCCAGCTTCTGATCTTGCGCAAACAGCAGGCTGAACGTCGTCGTCTGCTGGCTGACCGTCTTGAACATCATCACCGGCAGCGGCTTGCCCGGCAACAGCCACGATGCCAGCAATTCCGCCACCAGATTCGTTCCGGCAGGCAGGCTGCTGATCGCAAAGATCAAGCCAAAGGGCAGCAGGTAAGCCACGGGGATGAGGATGGCCAGCATGAGTGCCCAAATGGGCAATCCCGTGTCGTAGGCCGCCGTGAGCACAATCGCCATGCCGAGTCCAATGATCAGCAGCACGACGTACCAAAGCACGGGAACGCTCGGATATTTGCGTATCAACCGCGCATGGACGTCGTCCGACACGGCCATGCGAGAGCGCAGACGTTCCAGGACAAACCTGCCGTGGTACAACGTCGTGTGAACCACCGCCGCTGTGATCAGTGCGAATCCACCAAAGTAGGCCACCACCAGTCCTGCCGAGATGTACACCTGCGAGTAGGCGGCGTAGGCGTCTGCATGCAGTGTCTTGTGATCCGGCGACACCCTCGACACGTTGTAGTGCTGTCCGAACCGGTCGAAGCTGCTGCCGGACAGGAGCGGCATGAACGAGGTATGCAGCGAATTGGTCCAGTACAACAGAGGCGCCGCGATCCAAATGCCCAGCACAAAGCCGCCGAAAAGATTCGCCTGCGCCCACCACGGAGTGATCAATGGCGAGCCGAGGTAGACGATCTGCGTCCAGTCGAACGTCAGAAAGCTCGCCCCGAGCCCTCCCGACACGCCAAACACCACGTTGACGGGCACATTGTCGGGCCAGATCCAGCAGACCCAGTTGAAGATCGACAGCGCCGTAAAGAGGTAGCCGGGCAAAAAGTAAAAGACGAATGCCAGCAGCGAAGCGATCTGGAAGAAGCGCAGGCGCGAGAGCGTCCGACCTCCCGACGACGGCTCCTCGCCGGCATGCAGTGTGTTGAGCACCGTCGACACGGCCAAGTTTTGGGGCCATAGCATTGATGCGGGATCCACAAGCACCGGCCGGACGAACCCGGCGAGCGCGAGTCCGATCAGCTGCGGTGCGCACACCGACAGAAATCCATACAGGAACGAGCGTGGATCGTCCCAGAAGCGCGTCAAATCCTGCGCCAAGAGGATCGAGAGCGAGTAGGACGGATTGAGTCCCGTGGTGGCCGATATGAGCACCACCGTATGCTCCTTGATGTTCCACGGTCCCGGATTGAACGACCAAGTCCAAGCTTTTCTCCTGCCCTTGGATGATTTACTACTGCGCAATCGCGGCAGGTTGAGCTGGAACGAGCGGATGGGCAGGATGTTGGCAAGCACCGTGCCCAACGGATGCACGAGGATCTGGATGACGATGGCAAAGATCTGGATCGGCGGATTTCTCTGCGATAGAAAAGTGTTGACGGCCGAAGAAAAGGCGGACAGGCCTAGACCGAGCAGCACCGAGCGAAACGTGATCGAGGGCATCGTCGGATCGTCCACGTTTGACACGGACGCGCGCACTTCCGGATAGGGCGAGTCGTCCTCTTCTTCGAGCTCCAACTCCACCGCGCGCGAGAACGAAGGCCGAGGATTGTGACGAAGGAGGTCGGCGCTGTCGGAAGTGGGCACATTGCTTTCTGGCTGGCTGTTCCAGTGGATCGAGTTGTTCCATGACTGGCGGGGCGAATCCGGACTGTCGAAGTCTTTGGAGTCTTGCTCGAAACGACGTGTCAAATTGCTGCCGTCGCTGATCGAGGGATGCCACTTGATCGAGGTCGAGCGCTGCAGAGGTTGGCACGAGCCATCCTGGTGTGCCGTGCCGATCGCAGAGCCTTGCTGGTGGGGCAGGTTCGGCAAGGCTGGGGCGTTTGGATCGGCGGCCTGTACGAGATTGCCACGCGCATCGTAGACGCTGCCGCTCTGCTGATCAAAGTAGTAGACGCTCTCCCGGGCTGCTGCTTGAGCTGCGAAGGACTCAGGCCTGCCTGGAGCAGTCATGGCTGCGGGGGGCGGAATCGGCATATCTGGACACGCAGGCACCACTCTCACTGTAGGCGCTCCAAGTCCAGCTAGAATCGCGAGCAACAACCCATCATTGGAGTCAGCACTCTCTCCAGTCGAGGGTGAGACGCAGGCATATCCTACTTACGAGGTGCGAACGCAAAGACATCATCGTCCTCGTCTTCTTCAGGTGGCTGGTATGCGGAACTCTCAGAGTCGCTACCAGTGTCGGTGCTGCCACACGAAGAGCGTTTGCCCTGACTCTCTTCTGGCTCGCTGGGCTGCACGGCACCTTGTCTGCCCCCGGAAGTGACGGGACGAGCAGAGGCGGCTTGCGCACCGGCTGACGTCATGGGTCGCACGTTGGCGGTTCTTGGTCTTGACATGGTCTGACTGAAACCGTCCTGGCGATGTAGGCTGTTGCTGGAGCTGCTAAAGGAAGGGAGGGACGAAAGCTAATGCTCTGGTGCTTTCTGCAAATGTAGTTACACATCCTTGTACGGCTCGTTGATGAACCGCTAGCCGGCCAGACAGGTCCTTTTCGAGCAGCGGCTGATCAGGTCCAGATGAAATGTGGGTAAGGACCGCCACAGCTGCGGCAGGTCCATGCTGTTTATTTGCCATGCTTTTGGAAGACCATCTCGCCTCAGGGAACCTCCCATTCCCTCCACACCACCTGCGCGTCTTGTGATCGTGGCACAAACAAGAAAGGTACCGTATGCGAAATTGACGACGCATACTAGTGACAATTGTCAGCTAAGATACTCTGGGGTTCGGCGGCAGCATGGCGACAAGGTTCGTGTCCCTCGCATGAAGATGAGGTGCCGAGCCTGCGAATCGTAATTCCGCAGCCAGCTCATGTGGGCTTGGCACCACCGCTCAAGCCTCGTTCTTGGCGGCGCACGACTGTCCTCAGAGCTTCCGCTCCAGATCGAGCCCGTCAGTATGACATTCCGTGGCGGAACCGTCTCATCCCCGCCACCTCATGCGGTGCGACTGTCGCTGTCGAGCGCCAAGCGCCGAGGGCAGATTAGCGAGACGACCCATCGCGACGCACTCTTTTGGCGGCCGCCCCTTCCCGACTTCAGGAGGCGCAAATTGCAGAGTTGATTTTCGGCGCTCAAATTTGTGAGCATGCGCAAGGCGTAACACGTCCGTGCGTTTGCAAATGCGATTCGCTTCTCGGATCGGCGTCACCCAACACAGCCGCCCCGAACGCCGCTGCTCCACCTCGACCATCATCGCTCGTCTCCGTCCACCATCCACCACGGCAAACACTGCACACTTTGTCTGGACACGTCCTACTCGAAGTATCGCGCCTATTGCCATCAAATCGCAGCATCACTTTCCTCACCCGCAACGACTGCACCATCATCGCCAGCAGCACGCTACCACCGATAGAAACAACACAAGCGACAGCCGAACGGTTCTACGGTAGCGCCCCCGACTCGAGTCTCTGATCAACCCACGAAGGAACATCAGGAGCAATGGACAACTTCCGCAAGATCGATATTGACAAGTACGACGAGGATGTGATCCTGGACGAGGAGCTGGTGGAGCCGTACCCGAAGGCGCCAGAGCAAGCGCTAGCGGAAGCCAAGGCCAAGTCTACAGAAGTCAGGACACTCATCGGGAGGTAAGTCGTCGCTTTCATCCAGAACCGCCTTGCGCAAGGCACCGCGGAGCTGGAGCAGTCATGCCTGATTGCGTTTGACGACGGTCGCTGACATTCAAGTACGCCTGATCGTTTACGACCTGCGATGCGCAACACAGGGGTGATACCGCGGGCGCACTCGCTCTGGTTCTTTCCGACTACCCGTATGGTCCCACGGTTGAAGATGCAAAGGTGAGTCCCCGCTTCGCATTGCATTTCCGGCTTCAACTTGGCCCTGGTCGGTAATTCCCTGGATAGAGAGCGATCGCTGACTCGACAGTTCTTCCTGCGACTCTGCTTGGGGATGGTAGCAAGTGACGTTGCAATCGCTACTCGAGATTGTGAACAGCACCAAGTCGGCCGAGATTGGAGCGGCGATCAAGGCGATTTCGATCGACCAGCGCGATGCCCTCATGAAGTTCCTCTACAAGGGCCTCGAACTCGGCGGCGAGGGCGAAGGCATCAACTGCGCAGTCCTCCTTGGCTGGCACGAACGCGTAAGCATCCCTCGAATCCCCACATCCTTGTTTCCCCTAGCTCCAAAGACCACTGACCCCGCTTTCCCTGCGCACAAAGTTGACCGAGGTGGCAGGAACAGGTTGCATCGTCCGTGTCATGGCCGACCGCAGAACCATCTAGATCTCGTCACAGCCCCACCCATGCCACGATCAGACCATCGCTAAGCACACGCCAGTCTCAGCGTAATGACGAAACTCATGGACACCTCAGCAGCACGTATAAACAGCATCTTCAAAGCTGCCATTCACAATGTCTAGCTATAAAGATCGTTGTTGCGGCATACATTTACTACATCTACGTGGGATAAGATCAACACAGGTGCGGAAAGACAGCGCGAAGGATTTCGAGATCATGGATCCTGCGCACCAGGACCGGACCCGCCTTGGCAGCTGCGCGGTCGCTCGCTTCCGCGGGTCGTCGAACCACGACGTGGACCGCCTCGACCTGGGCCACGAGTGCGCTTACAGTGGACGACGACGCTGCCGAGGCGCCCGAGTGCATCTGCGTCTCGAGCAGGCTGACGAGCCTGAGCGCCACGGGCCAGAGCTTGGCATGCTTGCCCATCGTCTCGAGCAGCTGCTCCATGTCGGCCTGCGTGTGGTCGAGCTGCATCTGCTGGGCCCGAGAGCGATCCTCGCCGCGGGACGGCAACTCCATCACCTCCTGCAGATACTCGATCTCGGAGAGCGAGGCGCATCCAGCCAAGAAGCATGCCACAGCCGACAAGGGCGTGTCAGCAAGGAGGTCCGGGTTGAATGCCTCGCCGAGGCGGCAAATCTCGGCGGTCTGGTGAACGGCAGAGCGCATTGCGTCGTGCTCTGCCAAGGTGATGTGGGCCTCGGACAGCAGGAAGCGATGCAGGAGCGCCATATTGTGAGTGAGGTGCAGCTGCAGAAACGAGAGCGCCTCGCCCTTTGACTGAGCCCTTTCAAGATTGGCAGGACTCAGCTGGAGAACCGAAGGCAGTGACTCGTAGTGACCGACCAGATCGGCCCCCGCGGCCGCGATCTCAGCATCGCGGACCCGCTGACGCTCAGGATTGCTGCCAGGGCCCACGGGAGCCGAGATGGCCACCTCGGCAAGGCGGCCAAGGTAATGCAGCTGCCGAACGAGCGCAGCAAAGATCGAAGGCTGCCCCTTGCGCAGCGTTGCCGGGAATGGGGTATCGATCTCGTGGTCCTTGATCGCTAGCGGCCTCGCCGTTGCAATCGCGGTGATGCGATCCAAGCAGTAGATCATCCAAAAGACATCATCGGCTCGCAAGCCCTGCTTCTTTGCACCCTCTTGGCCATCTGCACTTGTTGGAGGCGTCGAGGCCCGCGTGCGATGCAGATCCAACTGCATGCACAGACGCATGGCCGAAGACACGATGGCGGCCGACGACACGATCTCACCCATGAGGATATCACGGATGGCCATGACGCCGAGCGCCAAGATGGCCTCCAGATCCGGGTTCTGCAGGGCGCCACCGATCAGCGCCCGCGAGCGGCGGAGGTACATCTTGCTGCCGAGGGCTTCGGCCACCGGCAGGCGCTCGCCTGCGCGCTCGTAGAGACTGGCTCCAATGGCACACATGGCGTTGGCCAGCAGCGCCGAGATGGATCCGTCGCGGATGCGCTGCGCAACCACCTCGGTGTCCAAACCGGGCACCTGCTCTCCGACGGCCCTTGTGTAGGCAGCAAAGCAGAGCTCGAGAACTTTCTGAGGCGGCTTGACATCTTCCTGGCGCAGGAAAGGGACAGCGTCAGAGGCTGGCAGTGCCGATGGGTGCACGGGCGACGTCTGAGTGGCACCGACGGCCTGTGCGCTCTCGGTGGCATGCACCGTCAAGGCGCGCCGAACGCTGCTAGAGAGCGGCCAGGAGAGGCGATCGACTGGAACCGCGTAGCTGAGCGTGTCGTAGGCGGACGAGGAAGCCTCGAGCAGGTCGTCCTTTTGTTGTGGAGAGAGATCCAGAGCCACGCTTACATGGCGAAGGTCCGGCTGCAGGGCCGAGGCGGCGCGCAGGCGGAAGGTGTGCAGGCGAGCATCTTGTGGAGGCGATGGTGCAACGCCGTGCGGGGCCTGCTCGCCGAAGATTTCGATGATGCCCACGATGCCGGCTGCGACGTCCATAAAGGGACGTCGTGCGTTTGGAGACAAGCCTCCGAGGATCTGCCAATCGGCGGCGAAAGCGCGATCCAGACGCTCGCCCGGTGAGGCTCGATCGGCGAGGTCTTCGAGAGAACGTTCGCGAAGCAGATGTGCTTCCACGGCCGTACGCTGCGGATCGATGGCCGGTCGTGCAAGCACGGCGACCTCGGCGGCCCTCTGTCTGCATCGCATCAAGGCTGCTGTTGTTGGCGTCATGCGCAGCTCCGGCAAGCCTCGCACGGGCCTGCTCGGATGGCTGTCGTAAGGGGTGCGAACGTCGTGAGGATGCGATTCTGTGCGTTCTTCGCGCATCCATGATGCAGTCGGATCAAGCCGCAAGCCCGGCACGCCTCCCGAGCTGTATGGGCGTGTCTGAGCTTCCATCCTGTCGTATAGGTCGGCGCGACCGTCGCGAGCATAGGGGGGCAGCAGATGCCTCTCGGAGGGACTGCGGCTGACCGCAGGATCCGCATACCGAGCATCGCGGTCACCGTCGGAATGCGTCCGATAGCGGCCGATACGACTTTGAACGGGGCTGGTTGCCTGAGGGCCCGCACGGGGATGCAAAGCAGCACCCATGGGCAGAGCAGGCAGTGAAGGCGACGAGGCCAGGGCATCAGAATGGCGATCCGAGGATACCAGGCCGCGGCCCTCTGCGGCAATGTCGGTCAGGGGGCGGCTTCTGTGCTCCAAGGATTCTGGCGATCGCTGACCCGACGGGCCAGCGGGGCTCCTCTTGCGGGTGCGAGCGGCGTCTCCAGTCTTTGCACGACGGAAGTCGACCTCGGGCCACTTGCAGTCGATTTCTGGCGAGAAGCCAAGGAGAAGATGGGTGTATAGGAGGGGTCAGTCAAGCTGTCTCTGAGGCTGACGCTGAGGCCGAGGTGCGCTAAGTCACTTACTCATGTTGGCGCAAGTCTTGCATGTTGGGCGAACGCCATCGCAGCGAGACTTGCGGTTGCGACAGGCGAGGCATGCAAGAGAGACGCGTGGACGCTTGATAGGCGTGCCGGATGCAATAGGCTCAAGTTCGGATGGGTGGCGCATGTGGGCTGATGGTGCATCGTAACGCATGTGGTGGGCGGCGTGGGAGCCGACGTGGGTTGTCGGTGGCTCCTGACGGTACGGATCCGGATGTCGCAGATGCGTGGGATGATAGGGCAGCGCGCCGCTTTCTCCAGGAGACCTTCTCGAGTGGGTGTAATCGGCGGAAACCATGCCAACGGGGACGGAATGGCCAGGTGGGCTGGGCCGACGGAGGGCATCGTAGCCATGCCTCTCACCGAGGGATGGAGCGTAGGCTCGGTGGCTGGCAAAGGATGCCACGTCGGGCTCCTTGATCGGAGGAAGGTGAGCGTGGGAGAGAGGCGGAAGTCGTTCGGATCGGCCGAAGGGCATGGCGGGCAGCGAGTTGCTCGTAGGCAGCACGGGAGGCAGTCGATCCGATCCTCTCTGTGCATCTGCCGCTTGTGGCCTCGACGCGGAAGACCGGGGTGCCGAGGCACGCGGATCATCTGGAAATGGAGGCCGGTCCATGGCACTGGGCGCCAGGAGCTTTCTGCTGCTCAAAGCACGCTCGACGGTGACGGACGAAATGATGGGCAAGGCGTCGCGCGGACGTGGTCGATTTTGGAAGAAGTCGATGCACAGAGCCTACGCTCGCGAGGTCTGTTTGAGCCTCAAGGTGCAGAGGGTCGGCAGAGGAAGACCAAAGCTCGAGCAAGCGACAGCAAGTGGCTGCAAACGCTGGCGTGACGGATCGTCCGAATTGTGCGGTGGATAGACTTGCTGTCTAGTGATGACGAAGAGGACTTCTAGTGCACCGGATCAGCTGGTGGGGATGCGCGTTCGAGATGGTGGGAAAACGAGGCGCGAGGCAAAGGAAGAGCGAGACGGCGACGATACAAGAATCCGAGGCCAGGCTCTGGAGACCGCTAAGGGCGATCGGAAGCGCCGACCGATTGGCCTTTAGCGTTTTTGCCTCTGCGACTTGGTGCCTCTCGGCCACGGCGAATAGCGAAGGAGAACGGTGCGTGCGATAAGCCGTTCTGGAGGGGGCTCAGCTGCTCTTTGGCTCAGATGTGAATGGTGATGGGCGGAGAGGAAGCGGGATGGATGCCAATTGGAGCAGAGACGGTCGAGTTGCGGGCGGGCGGCCACATGCGTGGGATTGACTTGCCGGTCGGTAGGATTCCCGAAGAGGCGCACGAGGCGTGACGGCTGCACCCCTGGGCGAGGTTGCGTGTTTGGACAATGCGGGCAGCATCCGATGCGGGAACCTTACGGCTTGGGTTCATCCAGGACAGGCTCAAAGCTGCAGCCGAAACATGAGCAGGAGCAGGAGCAGGAGCAGGAGCAGGAGCAGGAGCAGAAAGGGAGGCAGGAGCAGTGACGGCTGCAGCTGCTGCTCATGCAGACGAGCTACGAGACAACGGGTCTGGATCCGAGTTGCGTACGGCTATGGATTCGCGCGTGCATGGTAGCCTGATGCTCTGTTGAACGTCGATCTCGACGGTCGCAGGCCGCTCGCTTTCTGGCACTGGCTCGCAGCTGCAAGCCCAACCGCAGCGCGGCGAGGGGAGGATAGCCGTTGTACAGCCGAGCCACGCCCTCAGAGCAAGCAGCCGACAAATGAGGTGATCCGGTTTCCTGCACATCAGCCGCCGAGCACAGAAGGTGGAGTGCATCGCGCTTCACCCAGAAAACCCTCTCGAGCCACCCAGGTCCGCCAAAAGCCGAGGCGACGCAAAGTCCATCGTCCGTCCCCCTGCCCTTGGTTCGGACTTGTGGCTGTACACGCCAGCAGGTCTTGCATGCTCCAATGGCTCGTATGGTCAAACACACAGCATGCTCGAACGGCGAATTCTCTCGAACGTGAAAGGTGCCGAAACACCGTCAAGTTTGGGGCTCCTCCAGGATGCGATGCCAGCCCATTGTGCGATTCGGTGTGGGCGCACCAAAGAGCACGAAGCAGTGTCAGCCACGCCAAGAGGCAGGCTGGTGACGGTGATAACGGCGCATTAGTGACAATGGTCAATGTCTTAAGCCACCACACGCCAGATGGACGACCTCGAGCCAGAGAAGGCCCCTATGCAGCTTGCATCAAGCATAGTGGCTAGCTCGGCATGGCAACGTCCACCGACGCCCCACCGACTAGGCGAGTTTTCGGTACGCCAACTCACAAAGTGTAGCATGCGCATGCGGAAGGCGCATAAGCGGGCTTCCCCTGGGCGGCCACCTCGCCTGGCTTGCACAAGAAATGTCGGGAACCTCTGCCAGCCGCTTTCACCCTCCGTAAATTCCGAGGCAGCCACGCACCTTTGCTCGGCTCCATCCTTGCCAGACTCACCTGTTTTGTCCCCCTTTTTCCTCTTGATTTTTCTACTTGAGCCTTTCGCCTGTTGGAAAGATCAAAAGCTACATCACCGTGCGGCAAAGGGCATACCATCCTTGCTTTCTTTTTTTCACAGCACAGTCACCAGAGATCTCGGGCTCGAATTGCACTCCGGCGTTTGGTCGCATCCGAGATGCCACGCGAGGAGATGGTTGACAACGCAGATTGTGCTTCCATGGCCGTGGTTGGAGCCATGCTCCGTTCTCTCTGGCCAGAAGCTCGCCAGCTGCCCTCCGCCCCCACCCTCTCCCCAACCCTCTTCGGCATCGGATTCGGAAGGCACTCCGCCCACAACCCACTTTTCTTTTGCCCACCAGAAGCGCATGGATCCCCTGCCCACACAATGACACAATGGTCTTCAGTTGCGCGACTCTCCGAAGTGGTCCCGAACGTAGCCCTCGGAGAAGAGCTCGGAGATACCGGTGCGCAAGGCCAACAGCCTGCCATGACCTCACGACCTCATTACGATCCGGGAATGCTTTCCTTCAGCAGGCTCGCTTCGAGCCTCGGCCATCGATCCAGCCAATCACCCCCTAGAACACCGGTCACCTAGAGGCAATCATCTCTGCGCTGATGCTCGTGATGTTCTGGTGAAATTTTTCTGATTCCGCAGGCGTTCGCCTCGATGTGTTCCGAGAGCGGCTTCCAAACTCGCAACGGAAGATGCTCCCTGATAGCCATTGTGCGCTCGGTCCCGTGCGGTGTGGCGTCGGACCGAGTTGGCCGAGTGGGGGATGCATTCATGCGAGGAACATGTTGCGAGAAGGCCCCGACGCTGTTTGTTGGCATTGCCAGTCCATCGTGCACGTTAGGCTAAGCCTGAGCCTTGGCAAAGCCGATAGATTCCCCAGATCCGTCCTTCGGGCCGTGACACCGCTGCTCGCGGTCTGTGATTGGAGTGACGCATGGCGGAGCCACACCTGAAATGCATACGAAAAGATGCGCATCAGCACCAGATCCTGCCTGCGATTCGTCGGGTGGCACGCGGCGTCGCGCAAGGTGCAGGCAAGATCGCCATGATTCTGCGGTATGCATGTGCGGTGACTCTGTGAAGAGATGCCACCTGCATTCGTGCTGCAATCAGCTTCATTGGGGCGTTTGTGCATGCGCGATGGGGGTGCTTGTGAAATGCCATGCTTGCTGGTCGTGTCGCAGGGGAGCCGCACGCGTTGGTTCCGCGGGAAAGCACGGACATGTGGTTCCGCCCCTTCGGAGGTTTCCTCACGCCGGACCTGGGTGTGCAAGCTCCATGGCCGCAGCGCTGGGAGCCCACGGGCCCCGCACGCGGGCGACAGTGCCGTCTCAAAATTTAGACTCAACTCTTGCTTACGCCATGCGGCTTGTGCGACCCTTCGCAGAATCCCACGCTGCTTTCATGCCCCGATGCTCACATCTCTCGGATGGTTCGAGGGGGCCATGGACACTTCAATGGGGGTTATTTCAAAACTTCGGGCCAAGTGGGCTCTCATTGGATCCCCACACGGCCAGCATGGCGAGGGATGCACGGCTCGGACCTTTTGTCGCGCCTGCCCTGGCCCCACTGCAGCGCATCACCAGCAGGGATGATGCGCGAGACACCGGTCAAATCCGCGGTCCCAGTTCCACCCCAACCTCGGCTGCCTCGGGTCGGAGTTGCGCACAGCAACGACGAAGGCCATGTGGTGATAGTGCATGCCCGCCTCAGGAGATTCGCACGACATGTTCGCAGGCGAGTTTTGTACTTGCTGCCTCTTCGTACGCTACACGATTCGGAGCATGAATCTGCCGCCGGTCAACTCGGCTTGGTCTGTCGCTTCCAGATGATAAGTTCGCAACACGATGCTTCGAATCGCACGACCACGTTTGATGCATCTTTGCTATCAGATTGTAGCGCTTTGTCACCACGCCCTAGCGTGTCACGCCGGCGGTTTGAACCCCAACCCAAGCCCCGAGGTTCAATGGCCACAGAAGAAGAAGCCTCCTCTAAGAGGCAGCTAGCCAAGTATCGATCGCGCTTGCGCTTGCACCTCTTCGTCTCAGCACCGCAGATTGTCGGTCGCCGCTTGGCGAGCTTAGCTTCAGCTCATGCGAGCCTTGAAAAGGCGCTAAGGCTGGCCGGGCAAACTTCCGTGTTTTCCGCCTCTGCACCGAACTCACCGGTTGTTTCGCACGTCGCCGACGTCTGGTCCCTAGCCGAGCTACGTTCTTAGACGCCTGCGAGTGGAAAGCATTGCCACGCGCTGCACAGCTTGTCGTTGGTCACCGACCAGAACCAGAGCTGCGCATTTCAAGCTTTCCCGGAATTTAAGGGAAAAAATTGTGAGAGAAAAGGAAAGAAAATTAATTAACCGAATTGAGGGGCAATGGCGATGACACATTGCGGCCTGTCACGATGGATCCTCGCGTGGCGCGTCACCGGATCGGAGCTGCGTCGGACCCAGCACGCTTCACTGTACACTTTGCTTTGGCAACCGCACCTTATCCGTCCGCTCACCTTCGCCCTGCTTGGGCGTCGATCGCCGACGAAACCTCGTCGATGCTGAACAGCCCTGCTTCTTAACCCGCTCAAACAGATGAGCTACGTAAGTCAGTCAGCCCTCTGTGCAAAGAAAAAGAAAAGGGAAATAAAAAATAAAGCTAGCCGCAGCGTACGACTTCGCTCCCGCAGGTTGGCAGAAAGCCTGTGAGAGCCGGCAATCTATTTCCTTTTTTTGCAGATCCGCTTTTTCATGGGCCGAGAGCTTATCGTGAGCAGCACGGCGAGGATGGCATCACCGACTAGCCGCACACACGAGTCCGGGCTTGTGTAGGAGATGAAGGCATGCGGAGCCGATACCGTCATCCACCTTGTGCCGGCCGCACAACGTGTCACACTGCTTGCTACTGACCAAGGCGCATGCACGGTCTTCGGACATGTGGACGCGCAGACGGGCAGGCGATCACAATGGGGCTTGTTGCTCGGCACGAACGGCGGCACGATGCAGCTGGGTGGCGCACGCAGGATCGGTTGGAGCCGATCCCCAGTTTCATGGCTCGAAACCGGCTGCATATGCGTGCAGTCTGGCTCATGGCCATGATGCGCCGGGAGGGCTGAAGTCGCCTGAGCGGAACTCGGAGCCGAGATCCCACCTGCAGAGGGAGACCGGGCCGGCACTTTTGCCAGAGGCATGCAGGTTGATCAAATGCAGCGCACATGTGGATGCGCGCGCACCAGGGTCGAGGGTTGAGGGGAAACGCACCGAGCGACGGACCCGATGGTTTGTTGTGCGCCTCATGTCTCGCTGTTGCGCTGCTCCATCGCCTCGGGCCGCGCCCTTCCGTCCGACGTTTGCATCACCTTTATCCAGATATTGCCCTTTCGACACGTCTACAGAAAGCAGGTCTGTGGAAGACATTGATTAAGCGAGCATGCCGTCGCTCGCGTCCGCCACAAATCGTCATAACGCTGCATGACCGCCTCGCTGCCTGGCTGCCTCGCGTTTCTGGGTGTAGCCTCGGTCGGCGAAGGAATTGCGAATTCAGCGATTTTGAATCATGTTCGTCACGTAGGGCTAACAAACGTTCCCGATTTTGGCAATCACGTATCGGGAGAGCGAACGATTGAATCGCCAGATGACACGCGTCTCGAGCGGTTGACGGAAGCGGACCTCTGAACTCAATCACCTTGGCTGCCGTGAGCGCGCCCGAGCCAATTCGCCTCAACTGATTTGGCAAAAACCGCTGCTCAGCTGCGGGCACTCCCGCCGCTTCTCCACGTGCAGTTGCCGACTTCCTTCATCTCAGCCATCTGCGGAGACCATCCGACTGCTCCGAGGCTCTCCCACTATCTTTGACAGCGCCTCCTACCCTCTCACACCCACCACGCTCACTTCAGGATCTATCATCTGATCACCGCTGGCAGAATATCGAAAACGAGAGCGGACGTTCGTTAGTGTGAATGGCGACCAGATCCGTCGCCATCCCTGTCCTTTCGATTACGCACGTCGGGCAGAGTCTGCAATCCTCATCCGCCTCGATACCGAGCTTGATCGACCCACGATCCAGAGCCACATCACTTGGTCATCGATAGGGGTCCCGCGCATCGATCTCGACAGAGCAACGTCCGTAGCTTGGTCGGTTCAAAATGGCCACCACATCGCGGCGCCGTTCTTCGCATGGCCTCACCTCTTCGGGCTCCTCCACTCAGCTTGCCCGCAAGGGCTCGTCCTCTCGGCTCGGTGGCGCGCGAGGCCGATTCGATCCGAGTCTCATGATGTCGTCCAACGCCGTCGGTGGCGACGCCAGCCGCGACAAGTCGCCTCACGCCGATCCCAACGGCCCTCATGACGCCGAGCACCACGACAAGGCCTCGCGACGCAACAAATCTACCGACCGCCTGCAACGCTCTCGCGACAGCAGCACCCATTTGAGCGGCAAGCGCTCCAAGTCCTTCACACACCTAGCCATGACCGCGGACGAATCAAATAGGCGGCGCAAGTCGACCAAGGGCAAGGGAAAGAGCCAACGTCCCGAGGCTGCTGAGGACGGCTGGACCAGCGCTAGCGCAGACAACACCTCGAGCGATCACAGCGCCCCGCTGTCTCCCTCCAGCAGTCCACCGGATGAAGGCCTCGTGCTGGGCATCAAGAAGCGCGTCCCTCCGCCGCTCAAACCTGCAGCCTCCACCACCACTCTGCCCGAGCCCAAGAAAGAGGCGTTCCTGCAAGCGCCTGACACGCCAAGAGCAAGTGCAAAGACGCTCGAACCCGAAGCCGAAAGCTCAGTCGACGTGATCGACCGTCGCCACCTCGACTCTCCTAACGGCGGCAACGCGCCTGCTCTCGCGAGCTCGTCGGGACACATCTCTTCTCCCGCAACGCTGAATCGGGAGGACACGTCCAAGACGCTTGTCCATCACTCCAGCCGTGATGACATGGCGAGCACGTCTTCTGCGTCGGCTCTGGAACGGGACCAATCTGCGATCGCGTCCGACACCTCTTCTGCGCCTGTCCGTGCACCCTCGCGCACCGACTCGGCGCTCACCATCGATACCGCCAGCCATCCACGCCATCATCGCGTCTCTTCCAGCGTGTCGAGTCGCACGCTTCGCACGTCGCTGCCAGCGCCCGCATCGCCGTCTTCGGTTCGATCACGATCCTCGGTGCTCTCGAGTCGATTCCTCGTGTTTCCGCGCGAAGCGCAAGCTGCGGCTCCGCCCATGCTCGACACACACAATGCGCTCGCTGGAAGGCTAGGCGCGCGTCACGAGGATCGCGGCGACCTGCTCTCGCCCATGGCCGGTCCCAGCCGATCAGGTCGCAGCGCGAGTGCCATGACCTCGAGTACGAGCGCACCCGTCGCGCTCGACAAGCAGCAGCACGCCGCTGCGGAAACGCGCAAGGTCAGCCTCGGCCACAGCCCGCTTTCGGCACGATCGCCTGGTGTCGTGGGCCCGCAGATTGGTAGCAGCACGTTGGGTTTTAGCGCGCAGCAGCGATCCACGAGGGACGACGTAGCTGAGCGTCGCAGGACCGCAAGCACCCAGAGCCTCACGGCCGCCGACGCCGCCAAGCTCGCCGCCAAGCTTCGACTCGCTCGCGACTCGATGGACGACCATGCGCTCGGCGCGGCAGGCTCGAGCCAGCGCGGCGTACAGGCGTACAATCCGAGGCTGGAGAAGTACAAGAAGCCGGTGGTGTCGACGTTTGTCAAGGGCTCGGCGGACGAGACGCCGCAGGCGATCGAGGTGCAGGCCCACTCGGTGTACTCGAAGCTGTTTGCGCAGGCGCACGACAGCCAGGATGGCGAGGAGGCTGGACGACGCATGATCCGCTACGTCATGGGCTACGGCATCAGCGGTCCGCCAATCGAGCAGAGCCGGCTGTCGGATGCGCTGCTGGGGCCGAGCCTGGACATGGCCGAGTTTGAGTCGAGCTGGGCGCCTGCGCTTGCCCATGCTGCTGGGCTGGGTGGGGCGATGCCAGGCTCGATGCAGACCGAGTATGGTCTTGTGGCGGCCGAGGCGCCTGCAGCGACGGGTGGGCCGAATGCGACGCCGCTGCACCTGATCCACGGACTGACGACGACGTCGCCGGATCCTTTCCCGCTGGATCCGACGGATGTGCCTGCGCTGCAGGAGGAGGGCGACGTGTTCGAGGGCCATGCCATGTCGCAGCTGGCGCAGAATCCGATCCAGCTTGTGGATCCGGGGCTGATCCGGGCGATTGCGATCACGACGCATGCGATTGGTACGCACCGCTCGCACGTGGTCACGCGCCGCTATGCGGACCCGATGCGCGAAAGCCTGGAGCGGGTGGTGCGATCTTCGGGACGGTATGTGCCCACGGCGAAAAGCGCCGGTGCTGGCGGCCATGGCGCGCCTGATTCGCCGCAGATCAGCTCGAGATGGGGTCGCAAGACGGCGCCCAACAGCCCGATGAGCTCGCGCGTCGAGGCGCGCGACTCTGCACATCGACCGGGATTCCAACGTCGCAACACGTCCGACAACCAACACGGCCATGCACACAGCAGCGCATCGACCAACCTGGCTGGCCAGCTGTACAATCTGGTGGATGCAGCCGAACATCCCGTGCGCAGCCTCAAGCGCGTATGGTCCGGCGGCGTAGCCAGAGGCGGTCTGGCCGCTCTCACGCGCACCGAGGAAGAATCTTAGACCGCCGCCCAAGGCTCATAGTCCTTTTTTTCGCTCATGTCTGGTTTGAACAATGTCATCTGCTTCCTCCCATGCACACCAACTGCGAGATTGTGACGAGATCATAGAGCATATAGGCCTTTCGGGCTGTTTACAATCATAGCAAAGAGTACAAGAGGCAGACATTTACAGAAGGGCGAGGCCGGCAGCGACGGCAGCGAGGGCGGAGCCGAAAGCGGCGAAGGAGCCGAGGTTGATACCGGCGGCGGCGTTCTTGCCCGAGCCCGAGCCCGAGGAGGAAGAAGCGGAGGTGGAGTTTCCGTTGGCGGTGCTCTTGATGGTGGAGGGGACCTTGCCGTCGAGGAAGGTGGAGTTGCAGGTCTGGTTGACGGCACCGGCGAGCTGAGCGTTGGAGTTGGTGGGGAAGAGGGTGGAGTAGAGCGCATGGGTGCAGTCGGAGCAGAAGGCGGTCTTGTTGGCCGAGAGGGCCATGAGGCTCTGCTGCTGGGTGGACTGGTTGGAGAGGATGTTCTGGATGCCGCTGAACGAGATGGGCATCTGGGTGACGTTCTGGAGCGTGTACATCTCCTTGACGAGGCAGTACTCGCCCTGGGAGTCCTGGAGGCAGCCTGCGTTGCGGAGGCGGTCGTAGGAGTTGATAAAGTAGGCGACGAGCGCGGGGATGCCGCCGTTGGAGCCCTGGATGTCGGAGCCACACGCCTGGAGGAGGGTGGAGTTGGCGGCGGAGAGCTGGTCCTTTGTGCAGGCGGTCTTGCCCGAGCCGCAGATGCTACCGCTGAGGTACTGGTTGAGGCCGGGGACGACCGAGTTGTTGCCTGCGCTGGTGAGCGCACCGACGGCGTTGGGAAGGGAGAGGCAGGACGAGATGTTGGAGTTGGTCACGATGCCAATGAGGCCCGAGGCACAGCCGGACGAGAGACCGGTGACGAGCGAAGGGTCGAGCTGAGCCTGGGCGCTGCCGGCGAGACCGGCGACGGCGGCAACAGCGGCAACGAGCGAGGTGGTACCAAAGGAACGCATTTCGTGAGAATGACTAGGAGGTGGGACGGAAAGGGGTGTCGTGTCTAGGGTGAAGGTAAGAGTCTACACGGAAAGTTAGGAGGAGACGAGGATGCAGGGAAATGGTGGTAGGAGAGGGGGAGCGGTGGCTATATATGTGTGGGGGCGAGGGCTGGCACAGGAGAGAGTTGAGCGCGAAATCAAGCCGAGAAGTGGCGCACCCCACCTCCGCGAAAACGAGATGAGGCGGCATGGTGGGCATGGCTCGATGGTGGGGGCCCATGCGCGCGGGACGCCGTCTGATGAAGTCAATGCCGAAAGCGGAGATTGGCGCGCCAGATTGCCTGTGCTGGCCAGCCGCTACTGTACTGCACCCTCCTACTGTATCGTAGCCAGGCTTGAGTTGGCTCTGGAGTGGGTGCGCTCGACCTCGGCCAACCCACGCAAAGAGATGAACCGACGTTCTCGAAGCCGTTCTGTGCCTCGTTGCGACCCAAGCGCAACACAGCCTGGTCACCAAGGGAAAGGCGTCGCGGCAGCAGCTGCCAGGGTCCGCAGCCAGAGACAGGCGTCGTTGCGGGGGTCGGCAACGGGCCCGTTCGCTTTATACTCCGCGCGCATCTGCAGCTCGCACTTGCTCCCGGCACACTGCTGCTGTTCATGCACACTCACGCTTCTCCCCTTTTGTTCTCGTTGGGCTGCTCCGCTCCAATTGGTACGGCTCTCATTACGAGCACAGCAGAGGTCCTTGCTGGTTCGGAGTCTCCGGTCGGCTTGGCATTGGGATTGCGCTGTGTCTTTGCAAAGTGGGCGGGGCAACGCGCGTCTCGCCGTCTCGCCGGGGTCCAAGAGCGGAAATGCCAAAATCAAAGAACACGCAGATGGAATCTCAACTCGCGCTAAGCGAGGAACCCGGTCAGCCGCTCGAGACCCTGAGAAAGAGACGCGGGACCTTTGCTTCTACGTCGCCTTACACGATCCTCATCTTGCCCAACGCGTTTCCGGCGCCTCTGCCTGCGGAAGCGCATCGCCGACTCTCATTCGCCGTGGCTCGAAAGCAGAAGAGAACATAGCGGATCAACGCCAATAATTGCGTCAAGTGGGCGGCAAGACTTTTTCGACGGCCAAGCCGACACGCCAAGTCGAGCCAAGCGTCGCTGCCCAAGTCTAAAGTGGCGCGTGATCTTGGAGTGGGCTCGAGCGCGGGCCTTGACCAGCATAGCCTTGGCGGAGCTGCATCGGTGTTGTCTTGCCATTTGGATTCAACGAGAAGGCTGCCTGCTCGCATTCGCCACCTGGCTGCGCTGCGGCTGCGCGCCGGATATACCGACTGCCAATCGACCTTTCCCGCGTCGAATGCAAATCCATCTCAGCAGCAAAGTGAGCTCGAGAAAATTCATGCGCCTTTCTACGTGCGTCCATGTTGGCCCGCCGGATTCGCCGACGCCGCTCACGAAGCATCATACAGTAGAAGCTGCTCTTCTTTTCGACGAGCGGATCCGACTTGACGATGCCCGATGAAGGTGGGGACATCTTGCCGATGTGAGATGAGGCAACCGATCGACCCACCCCCCTCATCAGTATGGTAGCGCGGCTGATCTTGCGGGCGCTGCCGGCAGACGGCTCAAATGAATCATCGGAGGCGAGTCATGGCATGTGGGCGAGGTGGGAAGGTGGGTCGCTTACAGCTTCATATCGAGCCATCCGCTCTGGTCATGGCAGTTGTGGGACCATCGAAGGATGATGCAGGTCACAGCACTGATAAAAGTGGCCATTCTCACACGCTTGTATGATAGTACGTTCCCAGAAAAGCCGCCGCTAAGTCACCTCGCAGAACCCCAACGTCGAGTTTCGCATCGAGTGCCTAGCCAAACATGCAGATCTTCAAGCTGCTGCCTGCCTTTGTTACTGCGGGCGCTGCCTCCGCCGTAAGTGCTCGTTGCGACGTCGCAAAGCTTCAGAGCCGCGTCTGACCCCTCATTCCTCCCTGTGCAAATCGCAAGGCCTCTCTGGAACCTCGTTCGAGCCGATCCGACTGCCTCCGGGACACTACCGAGAATGCTGCGCTTGGCGCGCCTCGGAAAGCCGATGTGGCCATCTGCTACCACGGAGACAACGCTTCCACCTCCGACGATGCTCAAATGAACAAAGATGACGACCATTTCGGCTACTTTTACAAGACCAGCTGCAACCACAGGAGGGTCGGGTAAGTGCAGATGGTGCGCGCTCCTTGAGCTTCTCCATTCGAGTTGCTGGCTTGCGTCGTGGTTTCCAACATCGTACACCACAGTCTCGACTGCTTCTGGATGAAGGGCCCCAACGTCTGGAGAGGCTACAAGGACGGCGGTTTTGACAACGTCTACGTCAAGTACTTCAACAACAAGTGCAGCTACGACGGCTCGACCGTCGCCGTGACCTGCTCGGGCTAGACCTCCTCGAGCTGCTCGCGCGACGTCCCTTGCTCTGTCCAAGGCCGCCGCACCTTGATCCGCTCTGTGCGCCGCTGCTCGTCGGCAGTGTCACTGCTCGAAGCCAATTGCACTTTGTCTTCCCCATCAGCATATCTGCATTCCAGCAAGGTGAGCGTTGCTGCTGGATGAGGCGGTGTGATTATTGTTTTTGTTTGGCGTGTTTCTGTGTTGCTCTCTCGCTCTCTCGCTCTCGGCCTTTGCGAAAAAGGGGGCAGCACCCTCATGGCACACGCGCCCACGCGCACATCACATGTCACACGGCACTCAGCATCCCTTGTCCTCCCCTACTTCGACCGTACCCGCACCTCCACACTATCGATCACGCTCACGCTCTTTACCCTTCTCTGTTCCGGCACTCCTCGATCCATCTCTCCTTTGATTCTCACGACCTGCATCCAGTCGAAGCGACGCCCTTGTCACGCGCCAGGCATGTCCGCATACAGCTTCACAGCCGCCCGATCATGAGCTTCCATCGAGACGACGCAGCGGGGCGCGCTCAATCCGGCGCATTCGCTCCCTCGCCTGCGTCCAGCCACGACTACTCGTCCAACAGCACCAAGCAATCCGGACACCCTGTAGCATCAGCGTTCAACGTACCCGGCCACGCCATCTACATCGCCGATCCCCATCGATTCGGCGTCCTGTTGATCAACATCGACGCCACTACCACCATAGTCACCTCGTCTTCCTCCGTGCTACCTAGGACTGCGCCTGTCTCTCCGAACCCACAAGCCTCTCGGCCTCCGCTCTCGCCCAGCGCCTACCGCAATGCATCCACCTCCAAGCTGGGATCGCCCCAGCCGCCGCCTTCGTCCTTTCAACATCCTTTCACAAAGTCGGGCAGGTCGAGACCTCTCAGCCAAGAGTTCGGCCAAAAGGCTCGGGATGTGCTCAACGAGTTTGGCCGTCTCGCAAGTCGCAGAGCGAGTGCGCTGGAGCGCGCAGGCGGCGCAGAGACGCTCGCCCGTGTAGCCGACGGCCTCAGCGTTTCCTCGCATAATCACAGCCAGAATCGTCGCGCGACTTTGCAACCTGCTTCTGCTAGTCAAAACTACCTGTCGTCCTCCGTCAACGACCTTTCGAGACCGCCGCCGCTGCGACTCGCGTCCGACGAACCAGCGCTCATCCGCTCCGCCCTCACGCAAAACTTGGTTCTCGTACCGCAGAACGATCCTCGTCGGCTCTCGTCCACCGTGCCTCTCGACATCCACAGCCGCATCACAGGCTCCGGCATCTCGTCGTCCCAACATGCACCAATCGCTTTCGTCGCAGACTCTCAAGACCAGGCAGAAGCACGCTCCGATGCAGGACCTGCCCCCCGCGAGGCTCGGGCTACCTTCGACCCCTCTTGCTTGCTCCTCAAGGTCTCCCCACCCGCCGAGTTAGCAAGGGAAACATGGGCTCGAGAGGCAAGCTCCTTTGCGTCACACGACTCCTCTCAGCACGAGACGTCGGAAAGTCATGATGTCAACCTTCGCTTCCGACTTCGACTCGAAGGCCATGCCGCCAACACACGCATCGACAAGAGCGGCGGCTCAGGCAAAATCCTCTTTCTATCTGCCTCTCATACACGCAGGCTCATCGACGCGATCGAATCTCCCCAGTCGAGCATCGCCACAGCCGAGCTCGCCAGCCTAGAGGGCATCTCTCGCGTCGAACTCCCGCCTCCAACCAGCCCACTCTCGGCCAACGTGTCTCGTGGTGCACGAGAGTGCGACTTTGACTGGAGCTGGAAGACGCTGGCTCGCTCAGCCTCGCAAGCAGCCTCACGATGCTGCTGCGCCTTTGTAGAGCTCCATCCAGATGGTGCATCCGCATCCGTACTCGCTGCCTTTTCTTTCGTCGTCGACATGCCTTCGTCAACATCTCCACATGCGAGCTCTCTGCGCGCCTCCGCCCTTGCCCCGCCGGTGAAAGCGGAAATGTCGCGATCGGACTCGCTTGCGCTCATCGCTGCACTCAACCTCGGCCAGGATCTTTCTGTGGACAGCGATGTGGCCTCGCCATCCCCCGCCTTGCAAGCAGGTCTCGAATCAGCCGCGGCGAGTCCGGCCCTCGAACGCTCGCAGCTGAACCCGCAAGGCGGCTCCCTTCCAGTGCCCATCGATCGGACCGAGCTCGCGCTCGAAGACGTCGTCAGCGACTCGCCCATTTTCCGCGCCGCTCTTGGCAACCTCGAGCGCAGAACTGCAAGCATCAAGAAGCTCTCCAAAGCTCTGCTCAAAGCCGTCCAGGAATCGCAGGCCCGCTTGGCCAAGCTCTTGGAAGCTGAAGGTGTCATGGATGCGGCATTCGACGATCTCGTCGGCATAGCTCCCGAAACTCTTGGACGCATGCAGGATCACTTCTTGCGCCAAGCGCGAGCCAAGTCCAGCCAGCACCGCAGAGAGCATGTGGATACAATCGAGGCTTGCCTCGAACGTCCGCTTCTGCAGCTGATCGAGCTCTGTCGCGCGGTGCAAGACGGCTTGAAGCGCTTCGACAACGAGTCCAAGACGTACTATTCCCAGACGCAAAAGTGGCTCGCCAATCGTTCCGACGCGTCGGCCTCGACTCAACCACACAGCGATCCCCCGTACCAACCGGCACTCGAGAAGGCTCACAAGCAAGAGCGTACCGACGAGAAGCAGAAGCTACGCGAAATGCGCTTCGAGCAGGCTCGCCTGGACCTCTTCCTCGTGCTTCAGCGCCTGCATGGCGGTAGAGCCGAAGTCAACCTCGCTCAGCGTGTTCTCCAGCTCTCGCGTTGGTATGCGGATTCACCCACCACCATCCCCGGCGCAGCAGGGTCGGACGACGACCAGAAGCGCTTCCTCTCAGGGCTCGAGGCAGCCCTGCAAAACGCGCTTGACGGGCACGCAAGCAAGCTGGACCAGGCCGAGGCTCGCTCGCGCCAGATCGGCGACAAGATCCGAGCGTTGGAAGTGGTGCTGGGCAAAGCCGCTGATGCCGACATCGATGTCGCCGGAACACACAAATTCGAGGCGGAGCAAGAGACGCCTCAGGCGCAACATCCGGGCGCCGCGGTCGTGTCGAAAGCGCGCAAGCTCAAGTCGTTCCTCGGCGCCTTTGCGTCGAATATGAATCCCTCGCCGCTCACCAACAGCAGGTCGCCTCTGGTGGGATCCGCCATGTCCCAGCAGGAGTCCGACCAAGTCGTCAGCAGCGCCAATGAGTCGATTCGGAGGCCATCTGCTCAACGTCGTCTGTCGCTCAAGCTCAGGGGCGACCGTGATCAACCCAGAGATGCCAGTCCGGCCTCACCTCTGCGCTCACAAGCACCGTCAAGCTGGAAATATGACGCTCTGTCAGCCCATTCTCGCAGGGGCTCGGAACCGCGCGACTTTACCGGTGTCACAGACCCCGACAGCTCTAGCCGTTCATCCAGTGCGCTTCCCTTACCAGACATCAGTGCAGCCAATCCGGATCGCGGTCTCGGTATCTACGCAGCGAGTCCACAACCATCGCCTCGAACCGCCGGGACAAATCAGATGCCGGGGCCAGTTCCTCCGAGCCCCGCCAACACGAATTCGGCTGTCGGTGGAGACCGAAAGAAAGAGGGAGTACTTTGGGTCATGTCCAAGCCCATCAGTGGTCCGGCAGGTGCCGATGCCCCACGAGGCGTCAGTCGGTCGACGCACTGGCGCGAATGCTGGGTGGTCCTGTCCGGCTCCGGGCAGATCAGCGAGTTTGCCGACTGGAAGAACGCCAAGGCGCTCGAGCCCACCAATCCGCTCATCGATCTGCGCTTCGCCACTGTGCGCGAGGCGCGCGGAGTCGACCGCCGCTTCACATTCGAGATCGTCACGCGAGACAGCCGGCGCTTCTTCCAGGCGCCCGACGAAGAGACGATGCGAGACTGGATGCGCGCCATCGCCAGGGCGATCGAGAGCTTGCTCAACGGTACTTCGAGCGTACGCAAGCTCGACCGCGCCGTACGGGCATCTCCCTTCGCCAACCTTGACGTGGCTCAGCGTGCGGGCGCCTTTGACGAAAAGGAAGAAGACGCGCGAGTTTTGGAAGGAGACGACTTTGCTGTTCGCAGGCTGCTCGACCGGACGACAAAGCCCTTCAGTCAGAGCATGACCGATCTCTCCTCCCCTGGGAAAGCATCGAACGGAGACCGAAAAGGCGAACGAACCAAGATCGGAGCCCACCTGGTCACACTGTCAGAGAGCCAAGCTGAACCCGGTGTCCAGCTGTCGAAGCGCGCATCGCGCCACCAGCGGGGCATCTCGAACAAGACTCCCATTTCTGGATACCTGGGAAGTGGCGGCCTAGGACTGTCGGCTGCCGACGCAGCAGCGTGGCATAGGCGCAGTGTCACTGGCGCAAGCGATGACGCCTCGAGCTCATCGCACTCGGCCAAAGATGAGCATGAGACCGAGTTTGACCGACAGATCGAGGCTGTCATTCAACGAAGCTACGGATCGCACGGCGAGACGGGCGCCAGCCATTCGGGCTTTTCGCACGCCTCTGCACAGGTCGACGAGATGGGCATGCTCAAAGGCGATCCTTCGCGGCGCACGACTGCTCCGAACAGCAGCTTCAAAGGCCACAACGGCAGCGTGGCGAGCGCTTCGTTCGGCACCAAAGAGTCGCGCGCTGCCGAGCTGGCAGCCATCTCGCGTCGGCCGGAGAATCAACGATGTGCAGACTGCCAGAGCGAGGATCCGCGCTGGGCGTCGTGGATGCTCGCCAACGAGGCGTGCTGCATCTTTATCTGCATCGGGTGCTCGGGTGTGCATCGATCGCTGGGCGTGCACATCAGCAAGGTCAAGTCGGTCGATCTGGATGACTGGACGCAGGAGCAGCTGCAGGCGGCTCGAGACTGGGGCAACGCCCGCGCCAATGCGGTTTGGGAGCACAGCAAGCCTGCTGGCCGGCTTCCGGCGCCAGGAGACCGTACCGACTTCTGGCGCACCAAGTACGTCGAACAGCAATGGAAAGCGCCGGCTCCAGCGCAGGGCGAAACGAAGCCGCAGCTCGATCGCGCCGAGGATGTGGATGCCACGCCGACGCGCCAATCAGTCGGCACGGCAGACAGGACCGCGCGTGCACCGAACTCTCCGCCTCCGGACGTGTTCGTCATCTCATCGCAGTTGCAGAGTCGTCCGGCTGGAGCTGGGGCTGCTGCGGAACCGCTGGGATCGCCGCGACCTAACGGCCCGCGTCCACTACCAAGCCGGCGCTCGGTATCGATGCAGTCGATCCCGACGACTTCGCCTCCGCAGTCGCCGGTCGGACCAGGACGCGCTTTTGCTGCACGAGATCTCACGAGCCCTGCCTCTCCCACCCGACGAGCAGGCCTGGACTGGAACGGGCGTCCCGACGTGCAGACTCGCGAGGCAGTATCGAACGACCAGTCTGCGCCGATACTGCCTGTCTTGATCCACAGTCCCACCAAGGAGGCGCTGCAGCACCGGCGTGTGGTGAGCGGGACGGCGGATGCGCACGTGAGCGAGGCCATGCTGGCTGCGCGTGCGGATCCGCGTCTATTTCCCTACGACGTCCAGCGAGCGCGCGCGGGCGAGCACGAACGGGTCTCGGTGCCTCCCTCGTCTTTCTTTGTGTCAAACCTCGACGGCGATTCGCCCTCGCCGATCCTGTTTGAGGACGCACCGCGAGGTGGATCGGGTTCCGACACGGATGCGGATGCATCGGGCGAGCACCGATTCGGCCCAGCATCGCCTCATCAACCTCCGGCGCGATTCGAGGCGTACACAACCGCCAACTAGCCCACCCACACGGATCACACCCCGATCACACTGGTTCCGGATCAGTGCGTGCCAAAAGCGCACTTGCATATACCTCTGTATACCCCGCTATGAAATTATACCTTTCTTCCAATGGGAGGACGACGCGGGTGTCTACTGTGATGACGGTGCGCGCAATTGGTGTGCCTCGAGGGCGGCAATTGCGTTCTGGAGGCGGTTTAGCGACTTGTCAGCGCCGAGGAAGAGGAACAAGTCGGCCAGCGGTGGGCCTCTCTCCCTCGCGCTGATGGCGAAGCGAAGAGGCGCCAAGATGGCCGCCTTCTTGACTTTGGTTTTGGCGGCCTTGGCGTCGGTGCTGGGTGGGGCTGCGTCCGAAAGCAGCTTGGGCAGGCGAGCAATCACGTCGTGGATCCCCTCTCTCGTCCAGCCTTGCGAGTTGTTCAGGGCTTGGAATTGGCGCTGCGCTTCGCGCACGGCCGCGTCAAAGTGGCGGTTGACCATGGCGTTGCGTGCGAACAATTGCTGCACTTCCGCGAGCGCAAAGTCAGGCTTGCGGAACAGCGGCGTCGCCGACTCGGGCACATCGTACAGCGTCGCCGACGTGCCCTTTGCCAACACCACCACCTGCTCTACGAGCTCGTCCTCGCTCTGCAGCCGCTCCGCCACCTCCGGGAACGCCTCGACGAGCTTCGGTCGCGCCTTGGCCACAATCTCATCGCGACCCCCACCTGGTTGCTTGTCGTCGAGCTTGAGCGCCAAGTGGCGCGCATTGAGATAGTAGAGCTTGGCGAGGTCGACGGTGGCCCGACTGCGGTTGACGTGTGCAATGTCAAAGCCACGCACCATCTCGGCCATGGTCAGTACGTCGTACGCCGTCGCGTCCTGCTCGCCCTCCGCCTTGGCCTTGGTGTGGGTGGCGCCTGCGCCGAGGTTGGCCGAATGGTACGCGAGGTTGTTGTACCCCATGAGGCCAAGGAAATTGTTGAGCGCCTCGGGCTCGAAGCCCTTGTCGCGGTAGCTCTCTACGCGGACGTCGCCGGTGCGCTTGCTGAGCTTGGTGCCATCGGCATTGACGAGCAGCGGAAGATGGGCAAATTGCGGCGGTGTGAGACCCAGTGCTTCGTACAGCCACAGATGCTTGGGCAGCGACGGCAGCCATTCCTCGCCGCGAAGCACGTGCGTGATGCGCATCTCGTGATCGTCCACCACGTTGGCCAGGTGGTACGTGGGCCAGCCGTTCGACTTGAGCAGGACGGGGTCCTCAGTGCCCTGGCGTTGCGGGTCGGCGGGGAAGTGCAGCTCGCCGTACACCAGGTCGTGATGATCCAGCGAGCCGGTCGGAGCGCGCAGACGCACGACGTACGGTTTGCCCAGCGAGATGAGATGCTTCGCCTCGGCCTCGGTGGGTGCGATGTAGTCGTCGCGCAGCGGAATGTGCTTGGTGCGAGTAGCATCGGTATTGGGCGACGCTGCAACCTCGGCACGAAAGTCGCGATACGCCTTGCCGTCTGCGATGAGCTTCTCGGCGTAGTGCCGATACAGATCGAGACGTTCGCTCTGCACGTAGGGCCCATGGCTGCCTCCCGCCGACGGGCCCTCGTCGTAGTCGAGCTTGGCCCACTCGAGCGTCTCCTGCAGCGCTGCAACCGAGCCCGGAACGAGCCGCGTCTGGTCGGTGTCTTCGATGCGCAGGATCCACTTGCCTCCGAGAGCGCGCGCGTAGAGGTGGTTGAAGAGCGCAGTGCGCAGTCCACCGAGGTGAAGATAGCCCGTGGGAGATGGTGCGAATCGGAGCCGTGCCGGTTGCGTCTCTTTGGACGGCGTGGGAGAAGCCGCAGACTGCGAGGTCGAGTAGAAGCACTGACTCCGCACGCCTGACACAGAGCTTCGGCTCGCCCGAGACGCGCGCAGCGAGTAGACGGACGTGCTCATACCGTGCCAGATGCGGATGTTCCGATGCTCGTTCGTCGCTCAGAAGATGATGAGGTCGGTGACAGAAGCACGGATGTGGAGGAGGTCGCTCGAGCTCGAAGCTTACGTGCAAGCAAAAAAGCGCTGGGCGTCCGACTTCCGAGCTTCCGCACGCGTTCTTCCCGCTCCGACCCTCCACTTGAGAACTTGACGGTGTTGCTCTCGGCGTGATTCTCTCTCACACGGCATCCACCAGCGACGGAATCTAGCAGCAGGAGGTCTGCTTGGTATAAGCTCCACTTCGATCATGGTCGACGGCGGGCCGGACGCGGCCAAGGACAAAAGCGCTCAGCCAGCAGCCGCTTCAGCCTCGACGCTCATCCTGCTTCAGATATCGGCAAGGGCGCTCACATTTGTCCTCAACCAGCTGCTCGTCCGTCTCGTCGCTCCTGGCATCTTTGGTCTCGCCAACATTCAGCTCGAGCTGCTCCTCTCCACCATCCTCTTCCTCTCGCGCGATGCGATCCGCACCATCCTCATCCGCAACGATCGCACCGTCAATGCTTCCTCCGTTGGCGCAAGAGAAGCAGGCCCCAGAAGCGGCACTACCAACGCTACGCACAATGTAGCCCTTCTCACCATTCCGATCGGCTTTGCTCTCACTGGTATCGCATGCGGCGTTTACACAGCCTTCATCTCGCCAAAGTCCATCCAAGCCGTGCCCACATTCCACGCAAGCATAACCCTCTATGCGCTAGGCGCACTCAGCGAGCTCGTGTACGAGCCACTCCTGATTCGCGCCGTGCGCCTCGGTCAGCCGTCGCTCAGAGTCAAGGCAGAGGGCGCTGCCGTATTTGTCAAGGTGCTCACCACCATCGCCACGATCGTGTATCTGCCTCGATGGTCGGCGGCGCCGTCGTCTGTAGAGCATGTCTTGGCGGACGAGAAGGCGGTAGCCCTTCTTGCATTCGGAATCGGCCAGGCATCGTTCGGCATGACCATGTTCGCTGTGCACCTTGCTTACTTTGTCACACACTACTCTGTCCGTCAGACCTTGGATCTCTACATCCCGCGGCCGGATCGTGTCACGCGTTCCGATCCTCGTACGGGAGTTGCAAGCACCGAAACAGCTTGGCTGGATCGTGCAACAGTCTCGCTCTGCATGGCCATGGCCCAGCAGGGCGTCCTAAAACATCTTCTCACCGAAGCCGACAAATTTGCAGTCGCTCGCTACGCCACCCTCGAGGATCAAGGTGGGTATGCACTCGCATCCAACTACGGCTCTCTGGTCGCTCGCATCCTCTTTCAGCCCGTCGAAGAAACGGCGCGCATCGTCTTCAGCTCCGAGCTCGTCGCGCTCGACGGTGAGGCGGACGCACCACGACCGGTTCCGCCAGGAATCGCAAAGCAGGCGGTGGAAAAGGCAGCATCCATGTTGGCAGCCCTATTCCGACTCCATCTGCTGCTAGCGTGCATCATGATCACCTTTGGCGGCCCGCTCAGCACCGCTTTCCTCTACATCATGGCGGGGCCTCAGTGGGCTCTTGGAACGAGCGCGCCAGCGATCTTGGCCGCGTACACCTGGTACCTCCCGATCATGGGCATCAACGGCATCGCCGAGGGCTTCGTACAATCGGTAGCAAGCCGCAAGCAGGTCAAGCGCTACAACCGCATCCTCCTCATCGCCAGCGTCGGCTTCGTGACAGTACTTGCGGCCATCAACTATGCCGTTGCAAGCGGTTCGACCGGTAATCTCGGCCAAGCTCCCGGAGCCTCTTCATTTCTCGCCAAGACGGGCCTCGTTTGGGCAAACGCCATTAGCCTTTCGGTTCGCGCCGGCTGGTGCTGGGCATTCTTGATCAAGTACTTCGGCCGTGCCGAGTCCGTGACCCTTCACGAACTTAAGCGCAGCAGCGTGGGCTCCCAGGCAGGGATACAGCATCGCGTCCGGCCTTCTGCGGCGCTCCCGAGCCGCCCGGCCTTGGTCGTCTTCGCAGGCGTCGCGGGCGTGCTCCGTGTGCTGGTGCCCAAGCTCATGCCCACAGCCGCGAAGCTCCTGCAAAGTTCGAATGCGAATGAAGAAGCGTCGAGGACGGGACGGCTGCGAGCAATTCGCCTCTTGCTGCCGACCGTGGGGCTTGCAGGCGCCTGCCTCGGTGCGGTCCTGACCGGCATATTCGTATTTGAACGTGCCGCACTCTTAGAGTCGCTCCGTTCACTGGGGCGCAGACATGCATCCCAATCACACGCCGATACGCGCAAGTCTCAGTGAACACAAGCAACATGCCCATGCCCTTTTTCTTACCACAGTGACTGGAGTGCCACAACCGACCACCGGCAATGTCTCATCTGGTCGATGCATGTGCAGTCATGCCAGTCTTCATGTGCCTGCTTACGGTATTATATGGGCCTCAACCGACGCCCCGAAAGTGCGGGCATATGAAAACACGCATGTATCGTGGTTAAAACGCCAAACACAATGACACTGCATGAAATGACGATGGGAACCAACGACCACTTCATCTCGATGCCTTCGTCGCAACGCGACAGGATTGCTCTGGCAAAGGAGAGAGCACTGTACTTTGTGCGACACCGCCTCGCAGTGAATCCGGATCCTCTCCCTGCCGAGGCGGCTCATTCAAGGGCATAAAAGCCGGCCTTTTGCCAACGTCACGATTCGGACGCCAAACTCGCATCTAGCCGGACTCTGGTTTCCTACTCCTCCACTGGCAATCATGCCGACCACGTCGCTTTGTCGACTGCTCCAATGCATGCTGCTGGCAGCCATCGGCGCTCAGCTGGTCTGGTGCGCTGGCGACTCCAATGGCCATCAAGATGCCGGCCTATCCTTCGCCGAAAAGTTTCATCTCAGTAATCCGTTCACGGGCGAGACCTGGTCCGAGTCCGACTACAACCGCCTCCTAGATCAAGCTTCCTCGCAGATCGACGGTCCAGAATTGTATGAGAAGAAGTGGCAAAAGTTCCGAAGAATTGGATCCGACATGTTGCGAGCTGCCGGAAGCGTCGCAACGCCTGCAGACCTCGTTCGACATCGTCAGTATCTCGACTACGTCTCGCCGGAAGATGGCAAGCACACACGCACCATCTTCCTCAAGATGGGAGACGTGCTGCCTTCGAATCCGATGGGTGTCTACAATCCGGACGTGCTCGTCTTCATGCATTCCGTCCAAGTTCTCCGCGATACCGATGCTATGTATCATCTCGAGCCCAGATACGTGCTGCGCGGCTCGCCTCAAGGCACGAGGCATTCGATCGATGGCATGCCTGGACATCAGATCGTCTGGCAGAAACGGACAACGTTCAAAAAGAGCTACACCTGGCTCGACGAGCTTCCTGATCTGTTCCAGTGGCCAGCGCTCGAGTCGGTCGAACGACTTGGCTATGATCCCAGAACAGTCGAGAGGCAGCTGGCTCGCTTACCACAAGAAGCCGACAACAGCCTCTATGCGCCTGCGCGGGCCGCGCGGATGGCCAACATCTTGGAACAAAGTCGACGATACTTGACGCAGTTCGCATCTTCGAGAAGCGGAGACAATCTCGTATGGTACAGTCTCATGTTGAACCCGGTCGACGGTGAAACCCGACTGCCATGGTTTGAGACTCCCATGTTCGAGCACTTTGATCTCAACAGTGGGCACGTCGAGCTCAAGCTGTACACGTTTGAGGGCCGGAAAGCCGCGGTGCTGGATCGCTTCATGTACGTGATGGCCGAAAGCCGTCAGGGTCGAGCTCGCCTCGTACCGCGGGCCGTCGTACGACCAACGCAGCTGTACCCGGCACCGCGCTTCGAGACGGTGTACACCGTTCCGCTCAGTCTCCAGGAAGCCGCGAGCGTGCAGCTGTCATACGTTCCGCACCTCACGCGCCCTGTGCCGAGGGGAGAACCGCACCACCCCCTGCAGGCGATGATGAGTAGGAAAAGGCCCATAGGTCACCCTCTCGACTTGCTTCATAGCGGTACTGTGCCCACAGATCTTGAAGAGGACGACGTTTTTGCGGCAAAGAAAGCAGTAAGGCTAGACGCATCGACCTACGGCGAATCTTCTTCACGATTGGCTTTTGTAAACGTGGACGCGCACGATCGAGGCTCGACTCGAGCTCCCAAGATGGTTTCCTTGAACAGTCTTCCATTAGCTCCCGTCAGTAATACGCAGAGGGCTCCGGCTGACGTCAGGAAGATTCCGAAAGCGACGGAGGACTCAGAGCTCATCTTCCCCGAGAGCCCGAGATTGGTGCCAGGGCTCGAGACGCCATCACCCCCGCCCACGAACACCTTTCGACGACCTCAGGCTCTCAGCATGCACCATCCAGCAATTTCGGATGCGCAGCCGGCAGCGGAGCCGCCGAGATTCGAGCATCGTCCGTCATGGAAGGCTCCACCGCCCCAACAGCAACCCCAGTACTTTCACTACCGTCCCGGCGAAGCGAACCCCTACGAAATTCCGCGCGACAACCCGATGGATGTCTTGACGGCGCACCTGAATCCTCGGCTCGAGGATGGCTTCCACTTCCATCGTCCTTGATACCTTACCTCGTCCGTGGTGGGGGTGTGATCGCTCACACGACGTTTGCCGTCGGGGTCTCATCTTATACATGCCTCTTGCTGCGATGCAACTGCAATCAGATCTTCAGAATCCTGTCAGAGTGCGGCGCGTGGGACACAGAGCCTCACAGACTTTGAGACAAAAGGATAACATACGGGACACATAAGGTGTTGGGAGAAAGCACAAACAGCGGTTGCACGTAAGAGCATTTCTTTCAATGCCAAGCGGAAAGGACGCGCATCGTGATACAGCACTGCACATCTCCTTGTCAAGACCTCGTCGTACGTGCACATGTACAGTCACCATTCAGTCTGTGATGATCGTGCCTGCTTGAAGACTATCGTTGACTGTGTGGCCGTGAGATATGATCTAACGAGCCAGAACGCGTCGTTACACCATATGATAGGGCCGTAAGGTCTGAGTATCGCGATGGGCTACGGCCGAAAGGGGGCGCGGGCGGGACGGATAGGTCGTTGGTCAACGGTCGTTCCGTGGGGGTTAGCGCACAATGTTGTCCGAGGAGGCAGTGACAAGAAGGCGGCGCTAAAGGTCGATGTCGTGGCCAGGGTGAACCTGCGACTCGGTGTCGACAGCGGCGAGCGTGGTCTCCGGAGCGCGGTTCCAACGCTCCCATCGGGGTGTCCGACTCTTCCCCGCTTCTCGTCCCCGTTTCCCCTCTCCCCGACCTAGCGCAGTCGCTCTTGGTAAGCGCAAGCCTTGGGATCCCTGGCAGTTAGCTGTTCATCGTGTATGTAATTTGATCGCACTTTGTCCTCAATCCAATCTCAATGCCTCAAGTCTTGCCTTTGAGCTGGGCCGTGTTGCGCTCCTTGGGTGCGCTACTCCTTGGGGTCTTAGTCACGGCCCAGTGGCCTGTAATATATAATTGCGGTCTCAGGTGGACTATCATAGGGCCATCTCTGCCCAGACAACCGTAACTCTAAGCCAACGCACTTCAAGCTTGGCTTGCCGCAATTGCGACATCACAGCTCGCTCATCTCGCTCATCTCGCGCCGCTCCCAACACATCCGTGCGTCTCGTGTGGCAGCTCACTACACTGTAAGGCTGCGTCGTACCCGAAGATTGAGCGTGTGAATCGAAAATTGATCAACATGGCGTCTATGCTAGGGAACGATGGCGCGTGTGTGTGTGCTGGGACTAATTGGCGTTCTACTGCTCGGCGGAGATAGCAAATTCAAAGCGCCTGTCGCCATCGAGCTTGGGCCGCAAGCAGACACAGGCTCGAGTGCAGGATTACCTCAAGGAATCCAGTCAACAAGGACTTCTGCATTCATGGGACTTTATTGTACAGCAAACTGCAGCTCTGGAGGGCACGCTAGTAGAGCAAGGGGAAAACAAGACAGGTACAAGCGTACGACCGGTCTTGAAGGGCTCCGTGGTCCGGGCCGCCATTCCATACCACAATGACTTCGAGCACCTTCGACCGTGCTTTCAGCATTGGCTGCCTCGGCTGACGGAAAAGACACACTACGAGCTTCCGCGCGAAAACCCAATGACGCATCGACGGCGCCTCTCGAAAATGCCTGGCAACTCCTTCGTCCTTGATCGTTGCTTCGTCTGTCGACGCGGTCTCATCTTTCACATGCCTCATACTGCGATGTGACTGCAATCAGGAAAAGTCTGAACATGGACATTGAGCCGTACAGGTTCAAGGCGAATGAAGCGACGTTCTGAGGGAAGGCAAACGAGCGGCTACACGAAAGACTGCAGAATGACTAGATGCTCTGCAGCAGGTTTTGCAAAAGCATGACCTTCATGGAGTCAAGCAAGTGTTCTTCCACGTCATCATACATGTCGTCCATTTCTCGGAACAACCTCGGTATCAAAGCGAGTTGCCTCTGCCTTGCCTGCTTACACTGCAGCTCGAGTGCTCTTATGCGACGGTCCGAAGCCTCCATCAGAGCTTCAAAAGATGTGTCTGAATGATCATCCTGCAGAGATGAGCTCGACGAGATCGAGTCCGAGCTTGACGAGATTGAGTCAGAAGACTTTCGCTTTTTGGCCAACGGCGCAGTTAGTCCCAGCTCTGCAGCGTCCTGGCTTTGCTCTCGTCGAGGGTCAGAGCATGATGGAGTTGAGTTGGAAGCAACCTCTCCTTGCTCGCGACCTTGCGGGCTCTGTGGATTTTGTTTGTTGTTGAGGAGCTTTTCGAACTGCTCGAACCAGGGCTCGTCTTCTGCATGGATGTCAGGACTTGCCAAGGGAGCGCCATCCTTTGATCCTGCTTGACTTTTCCGGTGGCGCCAATCCGAGAACCTGCGCTCCATCGAATTGATCTTGTACAGCACTGCCGTCGCTGTTGGTGGATCGTTCGGCCTAACCTGAGCAGCAATTTGCTTAGCAAGGCGTGACTTGAAATAATGGCGTGGTTCACCGTTCCTCCGATTAGGAAAGAGATCGTCTGTCCACTCAGGGTGAGCAGACAAGATGTTCGCCAACCGCTGTTCTTCCTCACGGGTCCATCTTTGGCGCTTGCGTTTTGGTGCCTCCGCAGGTGGCGCAGATGGTTCGGAAGGATGGATCCCTTGCCTTGGCATGCTGATGCGCCACGAATCAGTCGAAGTAAGATCTAAGATCCGGAGTATAGCAATTAACGCGGAAGTGTACCAGAACCAACCTGTGAAGTGGAACGGATCGTCCCTTCAGTGCTTTTGGGCGATACAGTAAAGCTGCTCTGTCGTTGCTGTGGATGATGAGAGGCTTGATAGAACAACACGCTAAGCTAAAGCGGCACTCTGAACGCCTTCATTCCCTTCTTTCCCTGAGGGAGTCACCTTCTCAAAATCACATTCTCCCATCACACTTTCATAAATCACACAGCTCGCGTGCGGAGACAATGACAAAGGCCTTTATTGAACGGACGGGCCGCAGATAGTACAGACAATTACAGGACAGCCCTCGGAAGCACCGTTGTTCGCGGATGAGGGTCTTTGAGGTTGAAGGGGAAATGAACTACCAGGCGTTGGTCACGTGGAGGCTCGTGGGCTGAGCACGCAGCATGGACATGGTGCGGCCGTTGCCCGTAGGCTCGACGATCTTGGCCGGAGCCGGAGCGGTGATAGCCGGGGTGTCCCAGAGGAAGACGGGGGTCTTGATGTCCTGAGGAGCGACCGAGACACCGTCGACAGCGACGTTGGTGTCGAGGTCGTCGTCATGGGCGTGGTCCAGGTCGAAGTTGAGGAAGAGGCTTTCAGGGCTGGCGTGAGGGTTGCGCGGGAGGTGGTAGGGGCTGACGACATCACCGGGCGACATGTGCATCTTGTCGTAGCAGCTCTCTGGGGTGCCAAGGATGACGCGCACACGCTGGACACCTCCAGTCGTGTGCTCGCTGTTGTACGAGCGCGGCGAAGATCCGCGGTGCATACCCGAGAGGTACGGGTACGAGAAGTGCGAGGCAGCGGCATTCGACTCGATCGTGCCGACGGTGGCAAGGGATGCGTGCGACGTGTTGGTGTGAAGAAGCTTGAGCTCGCCACGACCATCGTCGGTTGGCATGAGCAGCTCGCCGCGGCCCAACGGCTCGTTGTCGCCAAACACGAACGGCGACTCATCGTCAGCAAGCTGCGTGATAAAGTGATCAGGCAGATCGCGCTTCGCTACCGGTTCGCGCTGCTGCTCGGCGGCTCCTGCATTACGGCGAGGCGCGATGTTGCCAAGCGTCATGAGCGGCTTTGGAGTCGAGGTGTACTTGTCGTCAGCAGCGCCAGCCTCGGGCTTGGAGCGAGTCAGCGTGCTGGCAGCTCGCTTCAGACGCGCACTCCAGCCAGCTCCCCCGGCTGCAGCAGCCTCGGCACCATCGCCGCGAAGGTACAGGTTCGAGACGGGCGGTGCGCGGTCTCGCTTTTCCTCATCTCCGTGGAAGCGGGCAAGATCCGCTTCGGCATCACGGTTGCCGGCGTCACGGCCGAGGTTGTAGGCAGCGGCCTCCTTGCGCTTGCGGTACGCGTAGATTCCACCGATTGCAGCGGCCACGGCAGCAGCACCAAGGAGTGAGCCTGCAATGGCGCCAGTGTGGTTCGAGTTGGCACCGGCATCCGAGGCGCCGTCCTTCTGACGAGCGCTGTCACCATCATCAGAGGGGGCCGCAGGCGGAGTTGGGGCAGCAGCTTCGGGCTTGGCTTCCTCTGACGGTGCAGTGACAGCCGCAGGCTGGACTGGCTCGGTTGCGACCACGGGAGCAGCAGGAGCCTGCTGGGCGGGAACCGCCTCAGATTGAGCGGGAGCGGACACCTGGCCGGCCGCAACGGTGTTCGCGACTGCCTGACGTGCCTCTGCAACACCCGCTGCCGAGGTGGACCACGTCAGACCGCCAGCGTTGGACAAGGTTGCAGTGTCGAGAAAGTGGACTGGCGATGCAGCACTCTGACCCGATGCAATAAAGCTCTGAGAAGAGTAGTCGGACAAAGGTCCATCGCTGAGCTTGCCGAACGAGGTCACCATCACGTCGGATGCCATGACCGCGGAGTGGAAAGCGAGGGCGGGAGGGGCAGACGACTCGGACGTCCACACAGCAGCATCCCAGCGAGCAGGCGACTGGTGTGGGTCCAGAATAAACACCTCGTTGATGGGGTCGTTTTCCGTGGTGAACTCGGAGGGGTCTTCGAGGTATCCGCCGTGAATGATGACTTTTCCGTCGGGGGTCACGACGGCAGTGTGACCCATGCGTCCGGCTGGAATGAGGCCAGTGGCATTCCAGTGCTCCCAGTCGCCAGTGGCCATGTCGAGTGCCCAGAAGCGGTCGAGAGGGGCCATCTGGCCAGCCTGACTCTTGCCTCCGAGGAAGAGGACCTTTTCACCGCACGTGCCGTTGGCGGGAAGCACAACGGTGGTGTAGTCAGTGAGCGAAAAGTCGCGCATGCGCGAGTCGAGGGCAAGCGACTGCACCGAGGCGTAAGCCGATCCGGTAATGTCGATGCCGACGTGGGCAGTCTCTGCAGACGCCGAGACCAAGGTGGACGCTGAAGCCATGGCGGATGACTCGGTCCACATGTCAACGCCAGCGTAGGTGCCGGAAGTCGTCGCGCAGGTCGATGCGTCGAAGGTACCACCGGAAACCATGACTGAGGTCGCGTTCGCAGAGGTGATCGTGACCGCCTTTGCGCCGCGACGACGGCTGGGTGTGACGCCGTCGTCGGTGTAGACTGCGGTCCACTTGCCGGCAGTGATGTTGCCGACGGGCGCGGACCAAACGTAGGCGGGAGCGTCCTGAGCGCAGTTCTGCGTGACGCCACCGACGATCCAGAGCTTCTCGGAACCATCAGTGATATCAACAGCCGAGGTGGCTGCGGCAAAAGCATGTGCTGGCAGGCCCTCCGAAGAGAGTCTCTGCCAAGATTGAGAGCTGGCAGTGGTGTTCTGACCGGAAGGGGTCAGCTGCGACGCATCGAGAGCATAGACGTCGTTGGTGATGTCGCCAGAGATGCTCGTCTGACCACCCACGACCAGCACAACGTTGTGTGCGGGCAGGAACGTGGCTGTCTGTCCCCAGCGTCGGCTGGGTGGGGTCAGGGTGACGTTGGACTCGGTCCCATCGGCTTTCTCGAACACGATGGTGAGGGTACGTCCCGAACCGTCTTGAAAGCTCTCATCTGAGACAGCATCGACAGCTACAACAGAGGGGAATATCTCGTCTCTTCGCAGACGAGCTGGTCGGAGGACGTCTTGTGGGTCAAGCTCGCGCCTCTTTCCATCTGCGGCTGAGGATCGATCTCGATCCAGATGTCCTGGTTGAGCTGGAGTGGAAGCGAGGTCGCGACCCACTTTGAGCTGGGAGCGCGCGACTGGCTGGTAGTTCTTGGGTTGAGGAAGGTGGCGAGCTGATCCTGGTTCCATGCGTGTTGATCGTCGAGGTTCCGATACGTAGCTCGAGGGCAGGGCGGCGACGTACGGAAGAAGGAGAGCCACGAGGATCGAGCGCAGCAGCCACAAGCTTTTCGCGGAGGTGTCACGGCGACCTTGGCTGCCGCAGCTGACAGCTTGGGCTTTCGTGTGCCTGCGCGAAGGAGAAAGGATTGGCTGGTGGTCCGGGAAGCGGGAAGGGCCAGCTTGGCACGCAGAGTCGACTGCGCGCTGTGCTGTTGTTGGACGCGAAGCGAGAGGTGCACGCGAGATAGACGCCAGCGTCGGCTCGACGTGACTTTCTTGCTCGCTCCAAGGGTGGAGTCGGCTTTGTCGCCTGTTTGTACACGTTTGTAGGGCCATTGCATCGTCTCGGGCGGTGAGTGGGGTGGGAATGGTGGGAGTGGTAATCGTCTCGATCAGAGACGAGGTAGGAAGCCGGAAAGAAGAGAAGAGGGAGAGACAAGGAGGGTATTTGAAAAAGCACGCTGATGATCCGAAGACTTTAATGGTTCGTCCAGACGACCAAGCGATCGAAACAGTGTGTAGTGATGAACAAATGGGCTGGGAGGGACCCGAAGAGCACAGCTCTTGGAATGAAACAAAAGGCGATCAGGGGCGGAAAGGGGGATGATGGAGGTAGGAAGCCAAGGCTCCGAGATGATGGAGCTTCAAGGTACTCTGACGGGCTCTGTGCATCCGAAGTATCGCCACAGGTGGCTTGCCTCGGTCCGCATTGCTTCGATGCCCGCTCTGACGGGGGCCGAGAGATCCAGGAACACGACCGTGACTTCCATGCACAGCGGCACACCTGCTTGGATGTTTTCGTCGGCACACTTTTGCATGGGAGGCTGTTCTGGCCAAGTGGATGTTCAATCGTGAGGGGGAGCCGCTCCTAGCCCCGAAAGGACAGTGGCGAAGTGGTGCAAGCAGCAAATAAGCGGCGCATGGCGGAATCTGTCAGCTAGCGCAATTTCGACGTAGCCCACAGGTTGGTCCGCGGAGCGTGAATAGACCTGCGGGCAACTTGGTGCGCCTGGCCGCCGCAATCGATGCTGCAGGCACGAATGGATTCGGCACCAGGAGCCGTGCACCGAATCCCAGATGCTGGGCCGCCGTAGCCTGGCTTCGGTGTGGGTACGGCCTTGGTGATACCGTCGCTGCCGAGGGGATGGTGGTGAGGAAGGAAGGCAATCGGATCGTAATATTTTGACATCGGGAAGGCGCGACCTCCCGATACCCGCTACCTGTCGGCAAATTTTGAATCCGAGTTCCGCTTTGCGGGTGATGACGGCAAAGCTCAGCCGAGAAGTTCCTCCGAAGCTTCGCTGGTTGGACCGATATCCGACTCAGCAGCTGTGCAGGTGTCCTACTTCCATCACATCTGTCCTAGACGGGCAGACGTAGCCAAAGGCAACACAAACCAAGCGCCATGGCATCGTCATCGTCGAGACTAGCCAAGAGGGCCACCGCATCAATCACACGGTCCTCGGGGCAGTCGGTCAGCCGGACAGCCTTGCCACTGGCACGCTCTTCTTCCCGACACTCCACCTTATCTCCCGAAAGCGGCCCAAGCACGTCGCTTCTCAGTCGCCGCAGCAGACGATTCAGCATCTCGGCCACCGCGCAGAGACTCCGACCAGCAGCACCCCTCAACACCGCCGACTTCGGCGTCGCAAAGTCGGACCATGAGAAGGACAATGAGGAGCTGCGCGCTCTCTTCGACGCACCGCCTTCTTCCTCATCAGCCAACAGCTTGCGGGGCTCCGGCCCTCCGACTGGTTTGTTCGAGATCCCAACCCTCACCTCGCCGCAGAACTTCCTCATCCTCGCTCAGCAGACATTGGCTCGTGCCCAGCTTTTGGTCGACCGCATCGACAGGGCCGGCCACGCAGATGCCACCACAGCAGAAGGGGTCAAGGAGCTCAAAGAGGTCGTGCGCAATCTGGATCGCCTCAGCGACCTGCTCTGCGGTGTCATTGATATGGCCGAGCTCGTGCGCAACGCGCACCCAGACCCGGAATGGGCGGAGGCTGCCAACGCCGCGTACGAGTATTTGTGCGGCTACATGAACGTGCTCAACACCCACGTCGGGCTGTACAGCGTGCTCAAGAACATCCTCTCCACTCCCGACATCGCTTCGACACTGTCGTCCGAGGCGACCGCCGTGGCCCAGGTCTTTTTGCGCGACTTTGAAAAGTCCGGCATCCACCTTCCCCCAGCAGAACGAGAGCAGTTCGTCAAGCTCAGCGACGAGATTCTCGTGCTCGGCCGCGGCTTCCTTCAGGACATCGCAGGCAACGATGCATCCGACGACTTTTCGCGCAGCGCCGGCGCAAAGGCTGATGTCGACCCGAACGACACCGTCGAGCTGCCTACCGACTGGCTGCAAGACGTCAATCCGACGGTGCTCAAGGCGGTCCGCGCAAGTGCGATCACCGACCGCGACGGCCTGCTCACCTTCTCGGCCGCCGACCAGCCGTGGGTGTTCCAGACGCTGCTCAAGTATGCGCCAGACGAGCGCGCGCGCAAGGCGGCGTTCCGTGCGGCCAACTACGGCAGCCAGGCGCAGGTGCAGCGTCTGGAGCGTCTGCTCAAGGCGCGGGCCGAGCTCGCCACGCTCACGGGCGCTGGCTCGTACGCCGAGATGGCGCTCGGCGACAAGATGGCCAAGCAGCCGCAGAACGTCGAGCAGTTCCTGCGCGCGCTCACCAACCACCACCGCCCACGCGCCGCCAAGGACCTGGACAAGCTGCGCACGCTCAAGCACACCGCCTCGGTCGCGGCAAAGTCCGGCAGCAAGGCGACAGGCGGCATGTTCAACCCAGCGCCCACATTGCCCGAGTTCGCACCATGGGACCGCGACATCTACACCGAGCAGCACTTCCGCTCGCCGTCGCTGCGCAGCGTGCAGCCGCTCTCACCGTACCTCAGCCTGGGCTCGGTGTTTGCAGGTCTGTCGCGCCTGTTCAGCTCGTTGTACGGCATCCGCTTCCGTGCGTCCATGGTGGCGCCGGGCGAGGTGTGGAGCGAGGGGCCCGGCGATGTCATGAAGGTCGAGGTGCTCGACGAGCGCGAGGGTGCGCGTGGCAGCGCCGGTTCTGCGGAAGGTCTGATCGGCACGATCTATGCGGATCTGTGGAGCCGAGAGGGCAAGCCTGGTGGAGCGGCACATTACACGGTGCGCTGCTCGCGCCGCGTGGACAAGGACGACGAGGCGGGTGACTTTGCGCACGGTCGTGCGGAAGACGGTCGCGTCTTGCGACCCGAAGATCTAGGCGGGCAGGGGTATGGGAACCCGCTGCAGGCACCTACGTTCGAGCAGCGCGAGCGCGCCGGGCGGTACCAGCTGCCTGTTGTGGTTCTCATGTGCGACTTTGCGCGTCCCGGCGGAGGTGGGGGGCAGGGACCGTGTCTGTTGGGCTGGCACGAGGTCGAGACGCTGTTCCACGAGATGGGGCATGCCATTCACTCGATGATTGGCCGCACGTCGTACCACAATGTCTCGGGCACACGCTGTGCGACCGACTTTGTCGAGCTGCCCTCGATCCTCATGGAGCACTTTGTGCAGTCGCCGCAGGTCGTGTCGATCCTTGCAAGGCATCACAAGACCGGCGCCTCGCTGCCATTCGAGCATCTGCAGGCGCATCTACAGGCATCCAAGTCGCTCGAGAGCCTCGACACCTACCACCAGATTCTCCTTGCGCGGCTCGATCAGATGTACCACTCCACGCTTGCAGCCGACAAGGGCTTCGACTCTACCCAGGCCTACGCTGCGCTCGACCGCGAAATGGCGCTCTCCGGCAGCGAGTACCTCTCGTACACCCAAGGTGCCAATCCTCAGGTCAGGTTCGGCCACCTCTTCGGCTACGGCTCGACGTACTACTCGTACCTGCTGGACCGTGTGATTGCAAGCAAGATCTGGAACCACCTGTTTGCCAAGGATCCACTCGACCGAGCTGCGGGCGAAACCTTTAAATCGCAATGCCTCAAGTTCGGCGGCGGCAAAGATCCATGGCACATCCTTGCGGACGTGCTCAAGCAGGACAATATCCGCGACGGAGACTCGCACGCCATGCAACAGGTCGGCCGTTGGGGCATCGAGTAGCTCTCCATCACCTTCCATCATAGAGCGTCACAATACATCATCATCACAGAGCAGAGGAGGGAAATGCGAGTGTGTTGTAACATGGAGCGATGTTGCGGATCCACAATTCAGGCCATGGCGAGCTTGCTGTAGCTCGGCGGCGCGAGACGATTGCGCACCTCGCGCCAGACGTAGAGAGGTAAGCTGCTGACGGCGACGATCACGGCGGTCTTCCAAAGGAAGCGGTACGACAGCACAAAGCCGAGGTCGAAGAACTCGGGCAGGAAGACGATGCTGACGCAGTAGAAGAAGAGCGTGACGATCTCGGAGAGGATCATGTAGACGTGCCAGGTGGTGATCTCCAAGGCGACCATGATGAGCTCGTTGACGACCAGCGCGGTAAACGAGATCGAGACAATGTTGAGGAACTCGTTCTCAAACAGCAGCAGCGAGAGGATCATGATCGCGCCTCCCTGGTACGTCGAGATCATGAGCCACGTGGTAAACGTCTTGGCCGAAAGCGAGCGGCCCTTGGTCAGGTCCTTGTACAGCTCGGGATACAGCAGAGCCAGATCCTCGCTGACGTCGCGATCGAGCACGAGCGAAAACACCGGCGCCATGGTGTACACGGTGGCGTAGCCCACCATGAGCCAGCCCTGGTAGAGCGCGATGGGAGCAAAGTAGAAGATGCTCGAAAACACCGCCTGGATGATCGAGATGATGAGGCCGCGGTGGATGACAAACTGCGCAAGCTTGGCAGAGCGCTTGTACGAGTTGCGTCCATGCCACACGAGCAGCTTGGTGAGGAAGCTGAACTGAGTGATGGAGAAGTCGGCTGCCAGTGAAGCCTGCTTGCCCTCCTTTCCGACGATGCCCAGTCCTACGTCGGCAGCCTGGATCATTGACACGTCGTTGCCACCGTCGCCGATGCAGCACACGCGCTTCTTGGTGTGCGAGCGGATAAGGCGCGCCACGTCCGCCTTTTGCGTCGGAGAGCATCGGCACGCCACCACCGCCGAGAGCTGCGTGGCCAGCTCGATGAACTCATCGCGGAATGAGTCGAGGCACATCTGCAGCGACTCGCCGTCGATGACGAGACAGCAGTCGAGCTTGGAGCGTAGAAAGTCGAGCATGTCTCGCACCGCATCGTGCGTGCGGAGCTTGGCCACTTGGTGCACGTACTGGTTGCGCGCAACGAGCTTGGACGAGATGGCGATGCACGTGGCCGTCTCGATCTTGTCGCCGGTGAGCATCCACACCTTGATGCCCGCATTGCGCAGGAGCTCGAGCGTCATCTTGACGTCTTCCTGCAGCTTGTCCTCGACTCCCGTGAGGCCGAGCAGCTCCAAGTTGTTCTCGAGATGCTCCTCGATGGCGCGCGCCATGGCTTCGTTGCGATCCTCGACCTGCACTCGCGCCGCCTTGTAGGCGCGTTCGAATGCCAGCCAGTTGTCGTGTGTCAGCCTCCTTCGCCCGACCACGAGCGTTCGCAGACCCTCGCGCGCCATATTCCCACACTCTTCGTCGAGCCAGTCGTTCTGCGCCACGATCTTGGCCATGACTACATCGGCGCCCTTCTGGTAGAAGGTGATTTCGCCGCTTGCGCGTTCTCGAATGACAATGCCCATGCGTTTGGACTCGGAGGTGAAAGGGAACACCTCGAGGATGTCAAAGTGGAGCGTCGATCCGTCTGTGGCGCGCAGCGACATGGACTTGCGGTCGCGCGCCACGAGGCTGAGGCCCACCGACTCGGTCCAGCGCACGATGGCCACCTCGTCTGGAGACGAAGCTTGGTAGGTGATGGTGCCCTCGGCCTCTACGACTGGCGTGACGTTGTGGCAGAGTGCGAGCGCGAGGACGACGTCCTTGACTCGCGAGCTCATGTCGCGACGGCCACGGCCGGCGAGCATAGCACCTGCCGTGGTGAGGGAGATGGGTTGCTGCGCGGCGCTGCCGCTTCCCGGTGTTGGCTTTGTCGGGCTGCCAGGCTGGGCCGCATTGCCGTAGTGCTGCTGGAGAGCGGTGGCGAGTTGCGAGGTGACTTCGTCCATGCTGTCCCAGCTGTAGCTCATGGTGCCCATGTGCAGCTTGCGGAGCTCCATCTCATTCTGCGTGAGCGTGCCGGTCTTGTCGGAGAGCAGATACTCGATCCGGCCGAGCTCCTCTGGCAGCGTCGACGTTCTTACGATGGTGCCTGGGATCTCGTCGTCGTGCATGATCTGTCGTGCATACACGGTCTTTCCCATGTCGAGGTTGACCCTCAGACTGATGGGGATGATGGAGGAGAAGAGGATGAGGAAGCGGAAGATGTAGATCCACCACTCGCCCTTGAAGCCATTAAGCGCCACTAGGCAGACGGAGAGCGCAAAGGTGACACCGCACAGGATCTTGGAAAGCCGATTGATCTCGAGATCCAAGAGGCCAACTTTGGTGCCGGGATAGGATGTGTTCATGACCGCCCTGGTCTCTCGTCCAGTGTAGACGACCATGCCGACGGCGGTGCCCGCTGCTAAGACGGTGTTGGCCCACAGAACGTTCTCGGCGGTGAGAGGGGCCACCTGAGGCTGCTGGCTCATGGGGATGACGGTGTCGGCAGGATGCGAATCTATCGAGCCGCGGGCCGGGCCTGCGCCATCAGCCGCGCCGCCGAGAAGGTCGCCGACAGCAGGACCGGAGCGATGTAGGGTGGGTGGCGGTGTTGAACATCCGTCATCAGGTGGTGTATGCAGCGTGAGATTGCCGAGGAAAGAGTGGATGTCTTTGATGGGTGGGCCAGCAAAGACCACGGCGCGGTCGCCGAGCACAGCCAAGTCGTCGGTTGGCATGCGCTGTGTGAGCTCGACGGCGATGCGAAGCTTCCAATCGGTCTCTCCGTCGAGCTGGTCGGTGCGGATGAAGCAGCTGCCATTGGAGCCCTGTGCGCTCGAGTCGCCTTGGTCTTGCGACGCGGGGCCAGACTTGCCCGAGCTAGTCTCGGCTGCTTTGTCGAGGCTTGTCTCGCCATCGTCATCATCGCCGAGGACGAACTGCGCATCATCGTCCATGGGCGTGGGCGCGACCGAGCCGCCGCCCGTACCAATGGCAGCGTCCGTCGAAAAGGTTTGCAGGAGGACCATGTCTGCGGGAACACGCTGGTTCTTGTCGAGTACGACGAGGTCGCCGACCTTGATCTTGCTGCTAGGCACCTGGACGACTCGGGACTGTCCGAGATCGCTACCGAGGGAGAGAGGCTTGTTGGGACTAGCCTTGCGTGCGAGACGCGATTGCGCCTTTGCAAGGGCAGAGACATTGGGAACGAGCAGCTTGTAGGGAGCGCTGTTGCTCTCGACATCCCGTTTGTACCTCGCCCAGTCGTCGATTGCCTCCTTGCCGATGGTGATGCAGAGGACGAAGGCAAGGGGAGCGACGTAGGTAGCGATGAAACCGATCTTGAGTGCTGGAATGAACTGACTAAGGGCTACGAGGAGGAAGTAGAGGTTGAAGAAGAACTTGAACTGCTCGTAAAGCACTTTGGGCACGAAGGTGAGGATGTTGTACTTCTGGTTGCGCACGACGTTGGCGGCGTATCTGGAGCGGACTCGATCGGAGTCGGCGAAGCTGATGGATCTGCTCAGGTCGCGAGGTTTGCGATCCTTGGACGAGAAGAGCGATGCTATCAAGCCGGCTCTGCGCGAGCCGAGCTGGACGACGTGGTGGGAGGATGTAGCAGGGATGCCATCCGAGTCGACGTGCGAGCCATACTGGCGACGATGATCCTCGGAATGGCGCGGAGTGGTGTCTGTACGCTTCAAGCCATCGGGACGGCGAGATATGTCGTCCTCGCTATTTTGGAGTAGCCCCTGTTGCTCCTCCGAGTCGCGGGCATTGTTCTGACCGAAGCGGCTAAATCTGGCGCGTGAATTGCGCGAGCGGAAGGCAGCGAACCCATTCTCGGTCTGCGAATGATAGGAGGGAGCAGGCGAGCTGCGTCCGGCGGACATGTTGGCTGAGCTTCTGAATGTCTGGAGGGGGTAGGCGCCGTCAGGCTCTGGGCTCCAGGTGGACGAGGCGACAGGGTTAGACGACATGCACGAGGATCGATCGGGGGCGAACGAGGCGATGGAGCTGCATCTGCATGTCTTATGAGGCTGATATTGCCATGCCGAGACGATGTGAATGTCGGATCAGCTGGTGTTGGCGAGGTGGATGAGTTGAGAGGACGAGGTGTTGGTTGGCACGTTGGAATGATGGAGCTGCTGCACCCTGTGGCTTTGTGGCATGTGCACAACCTCCACGCAGCCGCAGTTGTGAGTGTTGGCTGGCTGGGCGTGGGCGGGCGGCGGCAATTTCGATCCGTGCGAGAAAAGCCAATCGCGTCTCGGAGGGCGATGAATTCGAGGCTCATGCACTCGTCTCCACTGCATGGTCCTGTCACCTTGACCGTGATCTTCGCACTCGCCATCGTCCACTACAACACCGACAACGTACGTACGGCCGCACTCCGAACGATCATCACTGTCTGCCTGGGGACTCGCTGGCACCACCGAGACTGACACGCCTGACTGCTGTGATTGCGGACGCTCGGACAGAATGACGACCATTCCTAGCCGTCTGGCCCAGACGACATACATCTCGAGGAGCATCGAGGAGGCGCGCCGACGCTCCACTGCGCTCTATCGCAACTTCTACCGATCTGTAAGTGTGCGCGCGCGCAGAAGAATGATGATGTGGCACGGAGCGACAACGATGCTGACCTACAAACGCAAATGCAGGCTCCCGAGATCTGCGCGCTGTACGCGCTGGATGTGCCGCCTTCGACGCTGCGAGCCAAGTTCCGCACACAGTTTGAGAAGAACAAGGCGATCAAGGACGTTGCGGTGCTGGACGTGATGCTGCTCAAGGCGCAGCAGGAGTACCAGGAGACAATGAACGGCTGGAAGCAGGTGCCTCACATTATGAAGTGGTTCGCCGACGAGGAGGTAAGTGCACGCTCAGCTCCACTGTCCATCGGGGCCGTCTGCCAATCGGTACTGCCGAGGCTGACATGATCTTGTACATTGTTGTTCTACGCGCACAGGCACCCGCACGACCCGAAGGCTTCTTGGAAAAGTTCTACGCCTCGCGAGACGAGGGTCGTGGACCTGTCGGCACGGGCATCTAAGCCGTTCGAATGGCCGGCGTCGCTCCATCTCCCGGTGTCTTCGAAACCACAGCAATGCAAATGTACCTTCGAACGAGTGTGACCCATTGGCTGCAGCGTTCAAGTATCGAAACCAAGCGCATCACGCAGATATGGAGGATCACGGGGCAAGCATGTTGGGATATTTCTCGGTCTAGTCGAGGCCATGAAGAGGAGGCGTGAGCGCGTATGGCGTGGGAGACTGAGCAGCTCGAGCTAGCATATCGGAATGTATTCCTATCCCAGTTTGGGTGGCGCAGCGTCGACGCAGGGCTCGCCTCGGTAAGATCTCGTGTGTGTTTGTCGATGCGGCACAGACACTGGTGATTCCCGCTGCAAGTAAGCTCATGCCGCCGCCGAACGCAAAAACAGCCGCATACAGCGCTGCGTGAACGCAGCCTGAATGCCATTCGACTGCTCGGACCCACTGCGCTTCGCAACTTCGGCCCGAGCTTGGATCGCGAGGCTCGGACGGAATCCGATGCCGGGCTCGTGTGGGAATCGTGGCTGGTTGGGGGTGCGCTCGGATCGGAATGCATCGGTGCCACCGGCGAAGAGGTGCGTGCTTGCACACCTGTCACACCCTCATCACCTCTCCACAGTGTGTGATGCCAGAGTTTCATCATGAAAGGCGCGCCACCGTGAGCCTGTTTTTTTTTGTCGTCGGTCGAGCCGGCAAAATACCCTTTGTTGTCCCGACGCAAGCGCGCCACATTTGACCGTGTCCATTCAGCGCTGGTCTTGCTCAGAAATGCAGTCGCTCCTCTGCAAGGTCACTCTGCTCGAGCCAAGTGGGTGAGCGGCAAGGACGCATGCATCCAGCTGTGCTTCGGCGATGCCAAACGGCTCGTCTTGTCGAGATGTATGCGCCAACTTAGCGTACAGAGGTGTGTTGGGCCCTGACGCCACTTGAGAGTGGCGGTGGGCGGAAACGCACTTCGCACCGTTCGGAATGAGGAGCTGTCAAATCCATGATCATGCCAACCACGCCGCAGCTGGGACCCGCCCGAGTTTCCTTTCGCGCGCCGTTTCGATTCGATACTTTTCTTGCGCAAGGTTCACAAGGCACGAGCGTACCCTCGGCGCGTCTTGGCATCCGGCCTTCCTGATAATGCGCCTGACGCGAGGCGACTGAGAGCATCGACAGGCCGCTCAACCGTGGCTCTATTACAGAGCCTAGCATTGGCCGGCTCTGAGCTTTTGCTCTGAACGTCCCGCCACAGAGAAAAGTGGGGGACATTTCGACGCGGCCCGAGAGAGATTGATGGCAAGGTGAATAGGGCAATGGCACAAGGTTGTCAAGCTGCGCCGCTCACACACGGACGCAGCGCAGATCTATGCAGTGCAGTCCCACCGGTCGCCTGGGTGAAGCTAAGCCAAGAGCGATGAGCCAGGCGACACATGCGATTCCGCTCAAACCCACCAGAATCGCCTCGCTGCTTTCCGCCGCCCAGTTGGATCAGCGTTGCAGCATGCAGCCAACAGGATTTCGCCCTCGACGGCCTCCCTTGACACCGACACCTGTCACACCCCTCATCACCAACTCAGACGCGCCCCCGCTCAAGCTCGCCCCACTGGAGTCGAGCGTCGCTATGTATGAGCTTGCTTGGATGCGGACGCGCATATAATCTGGAGGTCATCGTGACCCTCGTCGTTCTCGCAAAAGGTGTTTGAACTTGACATTCCGTCGCACTTGCATGCCCTCTCTTCGCCACCTTTGTTATCTCAGTAGCCTCCACCATGATCATGTCTTCATCTAGCAAGCCCAACCCTCTCTCGGCCTTCCTGTCAGAATCGCCCGCAGGTCGTCGTTCGGCTAACGGTGCAGTTCCAGTCCGCCTTCCTTCCAAGCCTGCGCTCCTCGCTTCGGCGAGTATGCTCCAGTCGCCTCCATCCGCAGCCAAAGATGCAATCAAGCAGCTCAGCTATCTCGCATCGGATTCTTCGACCACATTGCCCGTGCAACGTGCGCTCCAGCCGGTGGATGTCAACCTTTCCAAATCCGCCAGGCATCGTGCCTTGCCCACAAAGCGCCCGTCGTCGCCGAAAAAGGTGCGTTCAACGTCGAACACCGGTGTCGGCGCCCGCTCCAAATCGCCCAAGCTCGCCACCCAGACTCCGTCCTCGGCACCGCTCATCTTCAAGGGCGACAGGATCAGCGTCAAGATTCCGCAAAAGCTACCGGCTCCACGTCTGACGCCCCACTCGTCGCCGTACGAGGACCTGGTGGCGCATCTCGCGCGTCACAACCTCTTCATCGAGTCGCAACAGGTGGAGCAGTACTCGATCGCGCCCGACTTTCTGCTGCAGCAGTACCTCGAACTCGCGCACCTCGGCAAGTGCAGCCTCTACCACCAGACGCGCAACTTTCTCTTCGCCAACCGCGAAACGATCACCGCGCACGTCGTGCCTGGCCAGACGCTGCCTTCGAGCGTGCCGCTCGATGTGACGCCGCTGGTGACCGAGCTGCAGGTGCCGCCGACGCATCTGTTGGCGGTGCATTCGGACCGCGAGGCTGCCACGCTATATGCGGTGCACGGCGTCGTGCTTGCGCTCCAGTGCGTCTCGATCCCCTTCCTCCCCGCCTCCAAGGACTCGCAGGACGGCGCCAAAGTCGTCAAGCACATGCCCGTGCTTGCACTCAGGATGCCCGCGCCTCAGCACTTTGAGACGACGCTGCGCTGGCTCTACTCGCAGTCGGCCACGTCGCTGCTGCAGGAGCTGCTTCCGCTCAAGCACATCCTCGCCGTGCTGGCCAAGCGACGTCCGTGCGGCTCTGCTGCTGAGGGCAAGGACGTTGAGGCGTCGGCGGCGGCGCTGTCGACGGCGGACCTTGTGCAGGCCATGTCGTCGCTACCCATGCGCACGTTTCTCGAGCACCTCCAGACCATCCAGGCGGTGTGGAAGAACGGCGTCGCGCTCGGCATCGTCGCGTGGAACTTTTGGGCGCAGCTCGACAATGCCTGGAACCTGCTCGTCGTCGCCATGGTCGCATCCAAGCGCAAAAACGCGCGCAAGTCCTTGGCTGCCGCCTCGGAACTCACCGCCCAACTCGAATCCACCCGTCTCGATTAATCATTCCCTTCCCCCTCCCCTTTCGATTTCTTTCTAGATCGTGTATACCCCCGCCCAAAAGAAAAGCGACTCCAAGTTCGCCGTCCAATGCTCACTGTGGACTTGAATACACGCCTGCGTTGCGCCTGATCATGCTGTCACTGTATGTGCAGGAGCAAAGTGTGGAAGAATTGCAAGGATAGATACTAAACTACTGCAGGAGGGGATCGCGGAAGTGCTTCTGGTTGTTGTTCCTGAATCCGATCCTGGTCTTGTACTGTTCTCTCCTTGACCTGTCTCTGAATTCAGTGATGTGCTTCTTGGCCTCTCTTGCCTCGCCCCTGTTTCTCGCCTTGATCACCTGACCGCCACGTCCAGTGACGAGGGTTCCGTCGCCGTCGTGATGACCCATGCCGCTCTCTGCGATCAGACGACGCGCAAGGGCACCACCGCCACCGTAGCGACGCGAAAGATCGGTCTGGTCGCGGGCAGAGCCCATGGGCACCTCGCGTAGCGACTGCTGGTAGTAGCGACGCAGCGAACGATGTCCCAACCTGGCGCCTGACGGCAGAACCAGCTCGAGCTCCGAATCACCGTAGCGAATCTGGTCATCGTGCTCCTCCGCATCCGCAGTCGCGCTCTTCTTGCCAGCCTTGGTTGTAAGGTCAAGCACCTTGCCTTCGCCATCCACGTCCATATCGTCATCCTCTGCATCCTCCTCGGCGTCGTCGTCCTCCCACTCCTCGTCCTCGTCCGCAGGGTACGAGCTGGTAAAGTCGTAAAAGTCGCCCAGCTCCAGCTGGTCCTCGGGATCCGAATAGGCGATCTTGCAGTGGAACTTGTCGAGCATGTGGTTGCGCACCGACTCGACGTTGTGGAAGCCCTTGCCGCGGCCGTTGCAGTAGAGGCAGATGTTGCCGATGCTCACCTTGTCCGCCAGGTACGACACCAGGCCCGGCAGATCCACAATGTACTCCGAGTCCGGGATGAAGAAGCCGTGCGCCTTGGACATGTGTGCGAGCGTGTCCTTGAGCTCGCCAAACCCAGACTTGGCACAGAACATGCACTCGTGGTTGGCGTCGATGCGACGCGACGAGGCGACCTTGGCGTCGATGGCCGCCTGGATCTGCTCCTCGGTGGCGTCCTCCGAGACCATGAGCGTCTCGCGCGCGTTCTGCTTCTTGTCTGCGGCAGCGGCGGAGGAGGCGGCGGAGGAGGCGGCGGCATCGGCGACCGGGGCTGAAGCCGGTGCTGCGTCGGACGCGGTGGGCTTCGGAACTCGGAATACAAGAGGCACCTGCTCGGTGTCGGCATCGGCGGCAACGGCGGTGGAAGGGCCGGCTTGGGAAGCTGCGTTCGCCCTCTTCTTGTCGAGCTTGGCCGCGTTCTCCTTGTGCTTCTTCGAGTTGAGATGGGCGAGGTAGGCGTTCTGGGATGCGAACTTCTTGTCGCAAGCCTCGCACTTGTCGGGAGTGGCGGTGGTCTCGGCTTCCTGAGCAAGGGCTGCACGCCTCTCGAGGATCTTTGCGTTGAAGACGTCGGCCTTGACCGGTGGCAGGTTGGCGACGCGACGCTTCATGTTGTAGCGGTGCAGATCGGAACGGTAATGAGTGCGCTGGTCGTCCGGGTTGGGGAAAGCGATGCTGCACGAGAGGCAGGTGAAGAGCGGCGTGTCTTCGTCATAGCCCTGCTCGTACTGCGGCGCAGACGAGGGTTCGCCGTTGGAGGCGCCTATGATGGTAGCCATGGTGGGTAGCAGCAGCTGCGATTCAGGAGGTGGGGTGGGTGTCGTGTGCGTCGGCAGCGGTGACTCCGCTGGGGTACGTCCGGGATAGCGTGGGCTTCCAAGACTGATTCAGACAATCCTATTGGTGTCTGCTCAAGGTGTTGAGTGTGGCGTGAAGGTAAGAGTGGATGGGGAGAGCCAGCCTGGACTTCGGGTCGCTTTGGCTGAGTGTGGGGATCAGCGAAAAGGCTCAGTTGAACGGGTCCTTCCTGCGTGTCGAATGCAGAGCGCAGCCGAAAATTTCAGCCCAACTTTCTCAGAAGCCGCCACCCATCGGCGCCAGCGCCCAAGCAGGTGGAGGCCAGATTTCCTTAGCTCCGAATGTTAGCCGATGCATTCAGCCCGATCGTGCCCTATCGAAGCGATGAAATCACGGAGAAAATCGAGTCGAAAAGAATAGAGGGGTCTAACACGTCGAATATCGCCATTTCGGGCTGCGTGGGTCTCAAACCTCGGCCGAGGTTTTACAGTTTTGAAGTGTCGGCTCCCTCGCCCGCCATTGCACCGCACCTTCACCCTGCTTGGTCTTCAATACGTCTATAGGGACTATGAGAGTCGCAATGGGTATCATCGGTGCAGATAAGCCGGACAAGCGGCCGTTGATGCTGTGTACAAGAGCGAGAGCGGTCATGCCATTGCGATAGGGGAGCAAGGCGGCAGGGGCGGCGCATGTCACGTGCAGTGAACGCTGAGACTGAGCTGCAACTGGAAATGGCGAATTTGCGCGAGAAGACAACCTTGGCCTGCTTTGGTCCCTCTGTGCAAGTCCGGACAGAGTGGCTCAGCAGCGCGAGTGGGCTTCGGTGGCCGAGCGAGAGACTGGTGAGCAGGCCCGTTGCGCATTCGGAGGCACGAGAGCGCAGTGCTCGTAGTCGCTCAGCCCGCTCAGCCAAGTGGCTGGCGAGCGGCCGCGGAGGGCGGTGGACCTAGTCGTGCTTGCTGGCTTCGCTCATCTTGACAACGACCTTCGTCATCGTCCAACACATTAGATCCATCAAGCAAGGTAAGCATCTCCTACAGCAGCTTCGCAACCGAAACATCTCGACCACACGCACCAGCACACTCGCAGTCGCATCGTTGCAGACGCTCTCGACTTGGACCGCACCTTGGCACAAAACTTTCGACACCGTCTATCGACAATTCGACCCACATCGCCTCACGTCGAAAGCTGGCTGCATACACACTTTGCATCCTGCGACCATCTTGCTGATTCGACTCGCCATCATCTACACCTCTTGCGCAACTTACGCAACCCGACGAATCAACTCGCTTCATCTCCACAGATGCAGATTTTCGTCAAGACTCTGACGGGTTAGTATCCAACATCGACAATATGCCGCCATCGACCTCATCGCATCGCTTCGCTTCGCTCGCTGGACATCGAAGGAGATAGGAACGAAGTCACTGCAGAGACAACAGGAAGGAGGACCCGTGACGGACAAGCACCAGCATCTCGTTTCGTGGATTGGGCAGAATGCAGCACAGAGCAGTACTTGGAGGTTGTGATATCATCGCTGGTTCGGAAAGGTCGTCTAATTCTATGGCCCACATGTCGCACGACAGCGGAGTAGTGGCGACTTTTGTTGGAGGTAGGAGATATGTTTGGGTGGATCAATATGGATAGCAGGCGACATCTCATTGCAATGTCGACCTCTCGTTGCGCGGCACGAAGGATGCTGGGATCGATTGGAGCGATCGGAGACAAGGATTGGGATGGGTTGGGTGACTCGCAGGAATTCAGCGAATCGCGAGCGATGGATGGGATCGACGGCAGCATCAACAACCCCGGACAACCTCGGAATCAATGTACTGACCTTCGTGCTCCTCTCCGTGATTGTTCACAACCACGCCTGATGCATTGCTTGCACTACAGGTAAGACCATCACCCTTGAGGTGGAGTCCTCGGACACCATCGACAACGTCAAGGCCAAGATCCAGGACAAGGAGGGCATCCCCCCCGACCAGCAGCGCCTCATCTTCGCCGGCAAGCAGCTCGAGGACGGCCGCACGCTCTCGGACTACAACATCCAGAAGGAGTCGACCCTCCACCTCGTGCTCCGTCTGCGTGGTGGTATCATTGAGCCCTCGCTCAAGGTGCTCGCCGGCAAGTACAACTGCGACAAGCAGATCTGCCGCAAGTGCTACGCGCGTCTCCCTCCCCGTGCCACCAACTGCCGTAAGCGCAAGTGCGGTCACTCGTCGCAGCTCCGACCCAAAAAGAAGTTGAAGTAAATGTGCACGCTCAGCGCCATTTGTCTTCGTCTGCAACGTCACGCCGCCACCACACCACACCACACCACATCACCACACGCACACGCACACGCACATACATCCGTCTCGCGGCTTCTCATGGTGTTTCGATAGGCATCGTGCGGGCTGGGCGATAGTTGTGCACCATCCATGCTTTGCTGTTAGCGCAGGGCGACCTGCGTTTGCGGTTCAGTTTCGCTTTTACTGCGCGTCCGATAAAGACGTACAGTTGTTCCACCACACACACACACTCTCTTCACATGCGTGTTCAGCGCTCGTCTTGGCCGCCATTGCGGTTCTGGGGCGGGTTGTTGGGGACGAGTGTTTCCCAAAAAATGCATCTCGCTTTCTCCTGATTCGGCATTGTGTGATTGTGATTCAAGTCAGAGGGGGATGGAGTGGAGGGTGCGCCAGTCTTGTGGTTTGCCCGTGCAATCGACGATGTCGAGTGAGGCGAAATGGACGCTGTTGTGGCCTTGGAATGCGATGCCGTGGTCGGTGTGGGTAAAGACGCCCCGCCTGTGCATGTCGTCGATTTGGGACTGCGCCTGCTCGGTGGTGAGTGGCGCATAGATGAGCGAGATGTGTGGAAAGTAGTCGGGCCTGTCTTGCGCATGCGGCGGTGCGGGAAAGTTGCTATCCACAGCGTCCTTGGCTGCGGTATACAGCTCGAGTAGCGCCGAATTGCGGATGAGCGACACCACGATGCACTATCCCAACATCGGTGTATCAGTCTTTGCTGTCAATCTTGGAGGGATGGTTTGGGGGGCTTACCTGAAAGTACGATGCTCTGGTTTCAACGTCCTTGAGCCCCACCTCTAGCTGGGTGTGGTTGGTCTTCCATTGTGCAACCAGTTTGTGTGCAACGTCAAGGAGGGCAGAAGGGTCGATGGATCGATCGCCTAGTCCAGCAAGCAGTGTAGCATGCAGACCAAACTCGCCCGAACAGTCGGCATTCGCCGCGCGCAACTGTGCAATCTCCGTCTGCAGAGCCGCGCTCAACGCTCCAGGGTGTGGAACAAGCCACAGCGCAAGCCCTGAAAACACATCCACCATATCCGCAACCAAGCAAGGTAAGACAGCTGCGCAGCGAGGAGGAAAGCGTGCAGTACGTACCCATCGTACAAGGTCGACGTGGACAGTGCAACACCAACCCCCAGCTGGGAGATCACACACACGCGCGTACGCCTCCACAAACCGTCAATCTCCCGATACGTGCCCCCACTGCAAATCTCACATCTTGCCACCGGCGCCACCGAACCTTCTCAGCTCCTCCAATCAGCAACACCTTCTCTTCTCTATTTTCGCCCTTTGCTCACGCACCCTCGCACGCACGCCACAACGAATCAAGGTAGAAAGCATGAAATTTCGATCAAATGCACAAGCAAGGCCAGCAAAACACCAGGCGCTCACTTCATGATCTTGCCGTCGGCGAAAGCCTTGCCGTCGACAACAGCCTCCCAGGCCATCATGTCCTCGAAGAACTTCTTGTCCTCGGGCTTGGAGATGTCGAGGGGCGTCACGGCGTACGAGTCGGCGTCGGGAGCCACCTCGAGCACCGACTTGGGGTCCTTGCCGCGGCAAATCAGCACACCGGTGATGAGGTTGTTGTTGTTCTCGCCAAACACGCCGAGGGTGCCCATGGTGTACTTGCGCGACGCCTCGAGACGCGCAAAGAAGCCGCCGATGAGGTTGTTGGACTGGAAGACCGCCTGGAGCTCGTCGTTGTACTTGTAGTCGAGCTTGACGATCGAGTATCCCTCGGCGTCAAAGTGCTCAAAGAACCAGGGCAGCGCCTTCTCGCGCGTGTCCTCGTTCGAGTAGGTGCGCTTCCACTCGTCCAGGTTGAACGACGACTTGGGCAGGTCGTCCAGAGGGTTCTTGGGCTTGGGCGCCGGCTTGGGCTCGTCGTCCTCGTCGTCCTTGGGCGCGGGGGCGGCCTTGGGCTTCTCGGCCTTGGGGGCAGGCGCAGCCTTGGGCTTCTCCTCCTTCTTGGGCGCAACAAACTTGATGTTGTCCTCGGTGAACTGGAAGTCCTTGTAGATGGGGAGCACCTGGGGCTGGTTGGTGATGGTGTTGAAGTAGCGCACCGAGTTGGGGTACTTGGAGCGGAAGTTGACGCCGCCGAGGCGGGCGAAGACCATGCCGATCGAGGCGGCGAGGTGGAGGTCGGCGAGGGTGACGCGGTGGCCGACGATGAAGGTCTTCTTCTTGAGCTCGGCCTCGACGTAGGCGAAGGCACGGTCGAGGTTGGCCCAGATACGCTGCTCAGCCGCCTTGTTGTAGGGGATGATGTTGAGGCAGAGGAGCATGAGCTGGACGCCGTTGTTGAGGATCTCGTCCTCGGCGAACGAGACCCACTGGTTGACGAGGGCGGCCGACTTGGCGTCGGTGCCGAGCAGCTTGGAGTTGTCCGAGAGGCTGGCGACTGCGAGCGATTGGGAAAAGGCAAAGGGTCAGTCTCTGTGCACACGGTATGCCAGAAGGACTGGGCGCGCGTGGCTCTGCGCTGTCTGCTCTGTCTTTGTCGTCGTCGATGTGTGCGGTGCACTGAGGTGCGACGCGGTGCGAGTCAGGGCATTATGCTGAAGAAGTATCCTCGACATGGAAGATTCGGACAGGGATAACTGTAAAAGATAATCTCATCACATGAAAGCGTGTAGCGGTGGCGGGCCAGCCGGCGGCAGAGAGCGGCTGGAGGTGCACGGCGAGCGACAAAGCCAGGTAGGATGCGTAGAGCCAACGCGGTCATGAATAATACGTACTGTAGTGGGAGATGGCCTTGGACTCGGTGAGGGAGAAGCCGTCGGTGCCCTTGAAGGCGGGGATCTTGCCGTAGGGGAAGAGCGCAAGGTACTCGGGCTTCTTGGTGTCGCCCCTCATGGCCTGGGTGTCGACAACCTCGAGCTCGAGGCCGTTGTAAGCGGCGGCGGCAAGAGCCTGTACAAGTAGATTCGACGTGTCAGTTCGACGATCCAACCGAGAGGCAACGATGACGAGAGCATGGCGAGAGAACATACCGCGTTGGTCTTGGGGTGGCCGACGTAGCCGTAGATCTGACCGATGGGAGCCATTTTGGTATATGAATGTGAATGACGGATACGGAAGGGTATGGTGAAGAGAGAAGAGGAGCGTGTGCTGGGCGCAGTGGCAATTGACCGTTTTGGACGCACGTTGGTTCCCAGCTGGAATTTCATTTCCAGGTGGCCGAGGCGGAAAAAAGTCGCTTCTTCTTCCAGCTTCCACTCTTCTGCCAGCCTTTCCCAAAAAAAAAAATTGCACCCGCGTGTCACTTTCGCCCGCTCATTTGCCCAATTTCTTCGGCTGGGACTGTGCGCTATTGTGCTGTGGCCAACAACACACACACTTGTGCCACGGCACACAAAGCGTAGGTTGAGCTGGCTTCTTCCCGCTCCCGTTCCCCGGTCGGTCCCCGCCGATGTCGCAGTGTTCGACGGACCGTCCTAACACGTTACAACATTTTGCGCGCTTCGTGCCTCTTACAGGGAATCGCCGCTCACATTTGGCACGCATTGACGCTCATATGGCATGGCACATCACAGCACAAGAATGAAAGGGAACGTGGCATACGCCAATGTATTCGTGTTGCACGACTCGCAGCGCTGCCCAGCTACTCGACAGCCAGCCACGGGTCGATGCGGTTGTCAGTACACTTTTCGAGCTCGACACTCAGAGCTCCTCGTGGTGAGGGGCCTCCTTGGCGGGGGCGGCGTCCTCGGTGCCGGTGGCGTTGATGGGGTCGAGGTCGATCGAGACCTTGTGCTTGCCGTTGAGCGCGATAAAGTCGGCAAAGCCCTCGAGCGAGCGGTCGCCGGTGAACTCGATCCAGTCCTTGCTGCCGGCGGCCTGGAACTTGATGGTGGGGAACGACTGCACCTGGAAGCCGGCCGAGGGCGGGATGTCGTTGGCGGTGGCGTCCATCTTGGCGATGAGAACCTTGTCCTTGTGCGCCTTGTACTTTTCGCCGAGCTGGTCGTAGGTGGGCGCAAGCTTCTTGCAGTGGCCGCACCAGGGAGCGTAGAACTCGACGAGCTTGTCCTTGGAGTCGTCGCCGATGATGGCGTCAAACTCGTCGGCGACGAGGACGTGCACGGGGCCGTCCTGGTCCTTGGGCACGGGCTCCGACTTGACCGAGGGCTTGAGGCTGCCCGACGAGTACTGGGCGACAAAGTCGGACACCTTGGCCACGAGGTCGCCCGAGAGGTCCTCGAGCGGGTACTTGAGGTTCTGCTCAATGTCCTGCACCGCAAACGCCGGCCAGGTCTCGCCCTGGATGTTGAGCGACTTGGCGTGCGCAGAGTACTTGACGGCGTCGATCCAGACAAAGTTGAGCTTGCCCTTGTTGGCCTTGGCGAGCGGCTTGAGCGACTCGACCTGCGCCTGGAGGTCCTTGGCCTCGGGGTCGGCAAAGAGGTAGGCGAGCGGCAGACCGGCCTCGGCGTAGTTCATAAAGTTCTCGGCGCTAAGCTCGTCGATGAGTGGGATCGACTGCGCCTTGAGGAAGTTGTGGATCGCCTCCTCCGAGAGCGTCTTGGCGTCGAGCTTCACCTCGGGCTCGTCAAACTGGCGGTAGACGACAAAGGCGGGCGCCGAGACACCGGCGTCCTTGGCGACGACGGCGTCGTTGACCACACCAAACAGGTAGTTGTCGCGCAGGTTGTTGGCGACGGCAGTGACGGCGGCGAGGTTCTTGTCGTCCGAGGCGTCGAGGAAGGCGACGGCGACGACGCGGTCCTTGGCCTTGAACTCCGCAAAGCTGTCGGCAGAGACGGTGGAGAGTGCGGGGAGCGCCTGCTTCTTCATGTACGAGACGATGCCGTCGGCCTTGCGGTTGCCGTTGTAGTCCGAGGCGCTGCCGGAGCGGAAGACCTTGAGGGTGGGGAAGCCCTCGACGCCGTGCTGGGCGCACAGCTCGTTCTCCTCGGTGCAGTCGACCTTGGCGAGCTTGATGCCGTCGGCGACGAGCTCGGTGGACGCCTTTTCGTACTCGGGAGCGAGCGCCTTGCAGTGACCGCACCAGGGGGCGAAGAACTCGACGAGCATGAGGGGCTGGAGGCGCAAGTGCAAAGAAGCATCGTCAGCATAAGTTTCACGCCTGAATTTGTGTGCGCATCACTCGAGACCTACCTCTGGCGAGACGATGGAAGTGAAGTTGTCCTTTCCGAGATCGAGGACGTCGGACGACGACGAGGCGTCGGCGGCCATGAAGGTGGCGGCGGTGGCCAGACCGGCCGCGATGGCGGAGCGAGAGAAACGCATCTTGAACTAGACCGTGTATGCGACGAACAACCCAAGACGAAAGCAAGGGTTCAACGACGGAGAAGGGGGGAAGATGATGGTGAAAGGGAGAAGGAGGATGCTGCCCACTCCCTAGATATCCGTCAGCATGCGGAGCCCACCTACACACACTTCTCGGGAGAGGCGACCCCGTGCGCCTTGCCTGCTCACTAGCGTTGGCCGCTGCTGCTTGGCGCGGGTGTCCGGCTGTCGCTGATGCCCTGGCACGAGAGCGAGTCGGCGCCTACGTGGCACCCTTTTTTGGGCAGCCAGGAAGAATGGCCCTGGCGCCGCGCCTCGCCGCGCCACTTCAGTCGCGCGCCTCCTGGTTGCGGCGAAATTGGGTCGGATCCAAATTAAAGCCGCGAGTGGGCTCGTGCTCGCGCTTCAGCTCAGGCTCGCGCTCAGCCTCGTGCTCAGCCTCGAGTGGCGCCGCGCACATGCCTTCCAGCTCATCGGGTCGCGTCTGCCTTGCCGCCCGAGACACGCAGCCCACAGCAGCTGTCATTTCTCAGAGACCAACACTTTTGTCACATATCTCCGCCTCCTGCTACACCAGCATCCGCCTGCTGTTTTTTGGAATGCACTATGCACCGCACGAGCCGCACCCCGCCATTCGCCATCATCTGGCAGGCCCGTTCTCTGACATGAAACCAGCCTTCACTTTGCCGTCGTCGAATCTAAAATACAGGTAGAGACCATGTTGCTGTGCGGACTCTAAGAGGCCACGCTGCGGGCAATATGGACGATCAGCTCATCGAGCATGTACGTTGTCCACGGCGCTTGATCTGCTCCCCCGAACGCTCGGTCTGCCACCAGGCGAGCGCCCGCCTCTGCTCGTGCCGTCGACCGAGCTTCGTCGCCTGAATCTGCCGCGTTCCGCAGGCTCGTCATGAATTCGCGCATGCTGCCGCACAGCGCTTGCACCTCCTCCGCCTCGGGCACCTCGCTCGCCAATAGCGTGAGCCAAAAGCCGTCAGCGTCCTGGCTCGGCCCACCTTGATGCTGTGGTGATGACACGTGCTCCACGATGGCCTGTCTGAGCGATGCCTCCTGTTCAAACAGCGTCTGTGCATGCTGCTGCGCCCGACGCCGCAAGCTGGTCACCAGGCCCGGCTGCACCAGCGTCATCGACTCGTCGCCAAAGATTCGACGCTGATGGTGACGGTAGAACTCGTCGGCCAGTCGCAGGTCCCGGTAGTGTTTGCGCCAGGCCGGCGTGTCTGCCTGCTCGACTCGTTGCAGCTGCATCAGCGTCGTGTACAGCGGTAGCACAAACATCTTGTCCTGGCTCAGGCAATCCATCACCACCGATCGCATCAACGATGTCGTTGACGCGTCCTGTCTGCTCCCTTCCCTATTGTCTTGCGAGGCCAGCTGCGACACGCTGCGCACAAGCTCCTCGTATCTTCCAACCGGAGCAAAGCCTCGCAGAGCCTCGCGCAGCTCCGACGCCGTCGTCCCGGTCAGCTCGAGCGCATCCGCAGACACGTCCATCGCACCCGTCTCTCCCGGTGCCGACGCCAAGCTCCGGCTTCCGTGCGGATCCGCCAGGTAGTCCAGGTGCGCCATCTTGCGCTTCACGTACAGGATCTGCGAAGTCGACAGCGACGGTGCGCCAGCCACAGCCGCCGATCCCGGCGCTGCGTTGGTTGCCGTCGCCTTGCTCTCGATGCTCGTGGGCCAGTACCGAGTCGTGGCAGTCTGGATCGACCCGGTCAGACGTGCATTCGGCAGAAGCAGCGGTGTGAACGCGCCTTCCTGCGTCGATATGCCCTCGACGCCCGACATCTTGACCGGCAGGCTCACCAGCTGATTCGTGTCGATGTCCGTAGCGATGAGCAGCCTCGGCTCGATGGCGAGGTACCAGAGATGCCGGAAAGCTTGCAGGTGCGCACGATTGTCGCTGCTCGTGCGCGGGAACGGCGGCAGGAACGATGTCAGCAGCGCCGCCACGCCAAGGTCGGACGTTCCCAGCGTGTATCGACCACCGCCCAGGAAGAGCAAGCCAAGAGCCATGTGCGTCGCCATGTGGCTTCCGTAGCAAGTATCGCCCTCCACCTCGCCGTGAGCACGCCGCAAGTGGCGCAGCACCGTCACATCGCCGCTGCCCGCAAGCACCATCCCCAGCGAGATCCTCACCTGGTCCAGCGCAGCACGCACCGCCGACTTGCGGATCCGGCTGAAAAACGACACCGTCGACGCACGAATCTGCCGCTCCAGCTTGTCCGCCTCTTCCCACAGACAGTCGCGCGCCTTGGAGTCTTTGGATCCCGCAAACTTGAGCCCGATCGCGAAGCATGCGCCCGCTTGCATGTTGATCTGAGCCAGCTGCGCCGCTTCCGAGAGCGATTTGCCCGTCGCGATCCGCTCCTGCATCCATGCAGGCAGGACACCCTGAATCCATGCCTTTGTGGGCTCGATGCCATCCCACAAGATGAGCGAGCGTGACAACACGTGGCTGAACAGCACGTCCGGCCGAAGCTGATCCAGCTCAGCTGTCGACTGCGGGGGTGCCATGACGTCTGCTACTGCGCGATTGCCGGATCGGAGGTAGACGAGGCCGAGAGCCAGCGCGGCTGGACCCGACGTGAGGTTAAGCTCTGGCACCGCGCCAGTGCCAGCTTCTTGTTGAGAGGGTTCAGCAAGCGAAAGACCAGCCGCCGAGTTCTTCCCACCTCGCACGAGCTGGACGAGGCGCGAAACGATGCGTTTATCCGGCAAGCTCTTCACCCCGTCGCCTCGACCTTTGCCGAGGTAGACCAGACCGAGACTCAGCCCGGCAGACATCGAGTACGCCTCGCGGTGCTGCGGCTGGATGTTGGCGATGGGCGATTCCTGCGCGCCGATCTGGTCCAGCATGCGCTTGGCTGTCCATCGATGGTTGCTGCCGAGGAAGACCAGACCCATGGCAAGCAGACCGGCCGTCTGTGTGATGATGGACAAGTTCAGAGGCGCAGAGCCTGCCGGTAGAAACGCCGTGAGCTGCATGCCGATCAGATGCCGCGCGGTAGGATCGGCTGTGCCAAGCGTCGAGACGGCCATGCCAAGCAGGAACCCGATGGTCAAGAGGTTGTTGCGCATCTTGAGGTATCGGAAGACATGCACCGGAGTCAGCGATGGCAGCTGCTTCATCAGGCCTAAGCCATACAAGAAACCGGCGTGGCGCGCCGTCACCTGCTCGCCGAGGTGAGCAAAGATCCACTTGGAGTCGACTTTGACGTCGGCAGTCACGTTGAGCTCCAGCACCGACGCCACCCCGTTGTGGAACTCGGGCCAATCGAGCCCGGACACGTCCGTCTTGGCATCCGGCTCGATCGTCATGCCACGCGGCCGCACCTTGACAGCAAGACAGATGGAAGGGATGCGCCACCGATGCGTGGGCAAGAACGGCCGCGAAGTCATTAAGAGCATGGCTCTGCCGGGCGACAAGGCTTTGGTGCGCTCGCCGACCGCGGCCACGGCCGCAGAGTGCTGCTCGTTGATCGATGCCTCGGTCTGATTCTCGTTCTCGGTTACGTAGACCGAGTTGACTGATTCGGTGGACAGCAACGCAACCACGTCGCGCAATCGGAAATCCCTGCTGAAGAGCTGGGCGCAGATGGCGTCGAGCGGAGCGCCCTCCGGCAGCGTTCGGATGAGCTGTGCGGGGATGCGTCGCACGCTAGTGTCTCCCAGCGCGCTTTGCTGTGGGACAGCATTCAGTACAATGTCGGCCCGCTGGATCGTTTCGTAGAATTCGGCGCTCTTGCCGCTCGGGGGATGAAGCCGGCAGCAGCGGATCGCCTGGTAGAGAGGCAAGGCGAGCCCGAATGGCAGCCTCCTCAGCCTCTCGAGATCGAGCTGGTGCGCAAGTATGGCCTCGACTACACCGGCCGAGACATCTGCAGCCGTCCTGCGCCCTTGATTGAATACTGCATACGTTGCGAAAAGAGCGTGGAGCAGCGGAAACGTCTCTGCTGTCTCGCGATCAGTCGCGTTGATCCTCCAGGCAGTGGAGATCCACTCCAAGAGCGAGGAGGTACGAGTGGACTTGCCGGACAGCATGTCGAGAACCACTACATACGGATCTGTGGGCGGAACCGATTTTGTGGCCTCACCGGCGGAAATTCTCGAGCCCGAGACCGTGCCGACGTCTTGAAGCGCGAATCGCCGGCAGAGCGCCTCAATCCAGGCGGCAGCGCCAAGTTCGGCTGCCAAAGTGGCGGCCAGACCAGCGATCCGTATCGACTCGTCCGAACGCCGGGAGGTATCAAGCCGGGTCTCTTCTGCGAGAAGGTAGAGCACCAGCATGGCTTGCTGTGTCTCCGGTGGTTCGAGACCGAGCGAAACAGCACTGTTCGACGGAGCAGTTCGTGCTTGATCGGCTTTCGGACGCATCGGAACGAGAAACGACAGAAGCGGATCATCGGCGTAGAGGCGGTGGGCTGTCGAATCGATGCCGTCTGTCCGCGGAGATGCTCGAAAGCAGCTGAGCATTGCTGACCAATCCTCTTCTGCAGCCGCGAGGCTGGGCCTCTGTGTCGACTCTGGGACGGAGAGGAAGCGTGAATGGATCCACTTGCCAGCGAGTTTGGCCGCAAGGTGCTCCGGAAGCGTCCGGAAGAACGTGGCAAGGATTCGAGCCGTGATGACACATCGTGGGCGTAGATCAGGGCCGGCGCACATACGTTGCTGGTTCCTACTGGACGTCAGAAGCAAAGTACGAAGCTGGGGCGTAGTGGAGCTCGCGGTCGCAGAAGACAGCGAGGTGACCGGTTCAGGTATTTGCTCCAGAGCCTTGGCGAGAGGTCCAAGGGATGTGACGTCCAGCGGCGTCCGCGCCGGGGATGGCGGCCCGAAATGCAGTTCGACAGTACCGGTGCGGCTGATCGTGAGCACCTGGATTGACTCGGATGAGACCGATTGAATGGGCAGCAAGGCAGAGCAAGGGATCACGGAAGAGGCCTGCAGCTTGGTCGTTGCTTTGCAAAATGGCAGATTGCGGGCACGGTCCGGTGGTCCGATTTGTTGAAAGCCAAGTCTGCGGCAGAATGTCTGGTTGGTAGTAGGCACGGATACGAACACGTAGGCAGCGTTGGGGTCCAGGCGATCGAACAGGGCGGTGTGCACGTGGATCTCGGAAGGATCCTGATTGGAAGCCAGACCGGACACCTTGATCTCGTCGAGCAGGCAGACGCTCGCGAATCCGCGAGCAAAGCTGTCGATGTCAGCGATCCTTGCGAGATCGACGTCGTCGTCATCAATAAGCGCAGCATCGGCATCGGCTGCATCTGCGCGCACGGCATGCTCTGTAACGCCTGTTGCGAACGTGGAGGTCATTCGACCGGTGTCCAAGCTCGAGTCCAAGCGAGACAGGTTCATAGAAGGTCTCGCTTTGATGGCGGCCGACGAAGTGCGATTTGAGGTGCGGGGTCCATTGTAAGGAGTGCGAGCGGCTGTTTGAGAGCTTCGGCGGATGCGGGCCGCCGACGCCTGGGTGCCGGTGATACGCATGCTGGTACCGGCATTGCCAAGTTCCTCGAGCATGGCTTCGTGCTGATAGGTCTGCGATTGAAGACGGAGGCCATCTGCGGTATGCGAGATGTTGCCGAGGGTGCGATCGCGCGTCTGGGTGGTGACATCGTCTTTGCGGCCATTGGAGCGGCGATCTGCAACGCCAGGCTGCATGGCGCTGATGCGGCGACTGCGGCCACTTGGATCTCTTCCCATACCTGCTGCTGAAGTGAGGCCGCTTGTGCGTCTCTCGAGGTCGATGCGTGCGCTGCGTCTGAGGGTGGAAGGAAAGCCTCTGCCGAGTGATTTGGCCGCCGGTGTATCCGACACTGTGCGCGAAGGTTTTGAAGGGTGCTGTTGCATGCCATCTTGGCCCGATGGGGCGTGCATCTGCGCGCTCGCCGCGTTGGGCCTGCCGTTGGACAGGGTGGGTGCCGGAGCGAGGGACGAAGGGATGCGTGGAGCCGAAAGCAGGGTGGCGGTGGCGTCAAAAGCAGTGTGGCGAGCCGCAAAGGCGTAGATGCGGATGACCGAGTTGTGTTGGGCCGTTGTCACGATGAACGGCGGAAAGCGCGCATCGTCGAGGGATGAGACGAATGCGATGTTCTCGTCGAGTTCGCCAAAGGGTGATGCAGGCCCGTGTGACACGGGATGCGGGTCATCCGGAGGCGCAAGGTTGAAGGACAGCTGAGGGAAGCGATCGACAGGAACGAGATCGTCGTGGCATCTCGAAAGGTAAAAGACCATGGGAAGGAGGCGGGCCGCATCCGTACGCAGCTGGGAGGCCGAGGCTTGGTCTGAGTCGTCGAGCATCTGAGAGAAGCTGTAGCTTGACTCGGATGATGAGCTGAGGTCGGGGAAAGGATATCCGACGTTGGAGGTAATTTCAGGCTGTGAGGAAAGGCTCGGGCGATGGAGGAGAGAGGCGATGCGTTCATCCTCGGATTCGATCTGGCGCTGGATAAGGAAGCCCAAAGGAGCCGGGAACGCTCTGGCAAAGCGAAACGGCAGTTCCATGTCGAGCTGCCCCCCAAGACCTGGGAAGTGAATGTGTAGCGCCTGCTCGAAGAAGACGCAAAGCGCCTTTGCCGGTGGACTGGCGTGTCGGTCTGCGTTAAGTTTTCCTGGAGCTGCCTCGATGCTGTCCGGCGAGCTCACGTGGAAGAGGGTCCAGAATGCCTGGAGGATGGGGCTGGAGAATGTGAGCGTGCGCACGAGCGTGCTACCTCTCGTCCAAGTGAGGAGATTGACCTTCCAGTGGAGCTCATCGTGGTCACCGCCGCGGCCCTCCTCCCCAGCATCTCGTTTACTGGACGAATGTGGTGGAAGATGGTGCGTAGATGGAACAAAGGAGCCCTCGGTGGTAGGAGACGAGCGCGATCGTATCTTTTGCAGGCGAGCGAGGAGATGTGATGTCTCGCCGACCAGCTCCGGGTCCCAATCGTCCGAGGCTGGTCGAGAGCACGCCTGGACATGCTGGCTGATGCGTTGGGCGGTCGACATTGTCGTCATGGGCATGGGCTTGGAGTGGCGACGACTTGCGTCCGTATAGCCTTGCGGCTCAGCATTCCATTTTTGAGGCTGAGCGTCGGCTCTGTGGTGAGGAGGTGGTCGAAGTGTGAAGCGGAACAGTGGCTTTCGGCATGCTCGGAAGGTTGGTTTGCGCTCACCTTTTGAATGTGTCACTTCTGCTGCACGCCGAGGCCAAGCCGCCAGCAGCGACGCGACCCTGACTTTTGTCACGTCTCGCCTCCACCTGCCTCCCACTCGCTCTAACACGGCCCGATTAAATGCACCTTGCCGCACCAAAGCCATCGTCGACCTGTATGACCGGCGCCAGGTCTCCGCAGCTGCGGAGAGAGGGTCTGCAGCCTCGAAATTTCCGACCGCTGCGGAAAGTCACACACACGCAGCGTCGGCAGCTGCCCGACACCACGGCTGGTCGCGCCACTCGGCTTCCTCCACCTTCCCTTTGCGCCCACACCTTCGACGCTCTACTGGCTCCGGCTGCTCGTCAACTTTCGCATCAGCGCTACCTCACCAGTCACATCCAGCACGAGGCAGCACCTTCGGAACCAAGCCTACAACGCTCAAGCTCGTCGTCAAGTCTGCCCGGCTAGGTTAACACCCGTTCCTATCGGCTGCCCCTCGACCGTTGCCACCTCCGCGAGCACCGCCTGCTCTCTGCCCGAAGTGACCCTCTCGCAAGCAGATCGACGTGCGTCCCACCATCCATACGTCGCTGTGCAATTTGCGCCTCTGATCCGGATCCGTTTGGCCTCTGCCGGTCAGCCCTTCCGCGCTTCACCAAGATGACTTCGTCGCCATCTGGCAACACGCTGCTGCTCAAGCGTCAGCTCACCGAGCTGCGCAAGCGTCCCGTCGACGGCTTCAGCGCCGGCCTCAAGGACGAGAGCAACCTCTTCGAATGGGAGATCATGATCATCGGCCCCAACGATACGCTCTACGAAGGCGGCTTCCTCCGCGCCGAGTTGATATTCCCACCAGAGTACCCGCTTCTGCCGCCCAAGATGAAGTTCATCACACCCATGTGGCATCCCAACATTTACGCCGACGGCACCGTCTGCATCTCCATCCTCCACGCCCCGGGCAAGGACGAGTACGGCTACGAAGACGCCAGCGAGCGTTGGCTTCCCGTGCACACCGTCGAGTCGATCGTAAGTTTGCCTATCCTGGCTTGGCTTTCCCCAGAATCAGCGTTCAATGTACTGACATGCTTGCTACCGTGTCCTCGTCTGCAACGCACAGCTCATTTCGGTCATCAGCCTGCTGTCGGCCGACGTGCCCAACACCGACTCGCCAGCAAACATCGATGCCGCCAAGCAGGTCAGAGAAGACCTCACAGGCTACAAGAAGAAGGTACGTTCCATCACGCCCCTCTCGGCACTGCATTTACCCACGTCCTCCGGGAGAATGTTTGCTGACATTTTGCTCTCGATCATGATTCTACCTCTCCGACGACAGGTTCGAAGGCTGGTAAGGCAGTCGGCAGAGGAAGCATTCGACTAGAGCCCCGGTCGGTCGCGCTGGTCTCTCGCTGCCTCGATTCATGTCGCATAGATCAGGTTCAACCAACCCTCGACCGCCCAGTGCATTCATCTCCGTTCCATGTACCATCAGCATCTTCACACCTTGAACCTTGGTTCAACCTGATCTTCCCATGTTCCCCATCGTCTCGGCAACATTGAGCCCTCATCTCAGCGCCACAAAGTGAGACCAGTCGGAGCAAAAATGAACGTGCGTATTGGTACAGGATAGTGATACAAGGGACGTTTGCTGAGGCGTAGAGAGCGGAGTGGAATGCGGGGATCGGTGCGAACGGCGAATCCGTCAGCGCTCGGTCGAAGTGCTCAGACTCGACTTGAACGGGCTGCCAAAGTTGGAGCCGTATCCGCCGGCCGCCGCGTATCCGCCCGACACCGAGCGCGGGATCGAGGAACCATCGTGGAAGCTTTGCACCGAGACGGGCCGCCCCTGCGTGTAGTGCACCATGCCGTTGGCATGCGACGAGCTCGACGAGAAGCCGTACAGGCATCCAAGATACTTGGAGTCGTCGATCGATCCATCAAAGTACTTTTGGCGCATCTTGAAGAACGTCGTTGCCGTGAGCAGGCTGTCGCTACCCGCCTGGTGCTGCTGCCCGATACGACTCACTTGCAGATCGTCGGCCACGTCCTGCAGGCCGCCCTTGAGCGTCTTGCAGCTTCGCATGAGAAACTTGATGTCGTAGATGAACGGGAACCACACGCGCAGCAGCGCAAAGAAGTCGGCCTCCTGCGCCGGCAGAGGACTGCACGTCACCACCTTGAGCAGGTAGCCAAAGTCGTAGCCACTGTGAAACGACACCCACTTGACATCGTCAAACAGCGCAAGCCCTGATGTGATGAGCAGCTCGCCAAAATGCTCCACATCGATGCCCATCCTCTCGTGTCGGTCAAAGTCAAGTCCGGCTTTGGTCAAGAGGTCCAGCGAGTCGGGTGCGCACATGTCGTCGCTGTTGTGAGAGCCAAAGTTGGTTTGGTCAGTATCAATGCAAGATCAAGCTTGGAAGCAGAGGACAAGATGCGACATACTTGATGCTGAATCGGAAGTTGAACTGCCATGTGCAGACGTCAGGTGGCAGATTGCCATTCTCGTCGCAGAGGGTGATGCCGAGTTGGATGAGCTTGAGCAGATCCACGTTGCAGCGCAGCGTCTGGTAGTGGTAATCTGACGAGCCCTTGAATGTTCCTATTGGCCGCGCCACGATGCCGGGGAACTCGGTGTCCTATTGTCGTTGGAAAGTAGGGACAGATGAGCGCAACACGTCAGAAATCATGTCCAGCGCCATCTCCCAAGGCAGATCAGGATGGAGCTTACCATGGCAACATATGGGTATTTGTCGATCGTCTCGCGCAGCAGAGCCATCTCGATCTCCAGGTTTTCCGCCCATACTTCTCGTATTCTTCCCGCCATCGTCGGCAGTATGTCAGGTGCGCAGCACAGGCACGCGGGAGCTAAGGTGTAAAAGAGTGTCTCCTGCTAGGGCGATGGGCGTCTCGCCAGCGATATGGTCGGAAAGGCTTCGATGCAGCTGTGCAGGTATGCAGCGGAAAGACGTCGACGCAGCAGGGCAATTGAGCGAGCGTGGATTGAGTGCGGTGAAGGAGCCTCTCAGGCGGGTCGATGTGGTCGGTGCTGCCGATGTGATGCTGCGAGATTAATGTGCACGCGTGGTCAGGATGATGGCTGCAGGTGGGGGAGCAAGTGCCTGCGGGGCGGCGAGGCAACCAACCAGCGTGCTAACAGGCGCGGTGATCGGGTGCGCCGCGCCCAGCTCTAGCTGCGCCTCTGTGCCAAGTCCGTCTCCCGAAAATTGCAGCGTCGAGGCGTGTGCTGTGGTGGCGGTTGAGTGCGCTCGGGCGCTGCACTCGATTCGGCGCGTCGCAGCTCCACTTTCAATTCTGGCAGAGGAACACGCAAGCGCCCCGACACCAACCTCGAGATTCCACTGGGCCGCATCAAAGCTCTTGCATTGACACTCTCCCAACCAACACCTGCACACCATCGGCCCACCCTTCGTACCAGCAGACACCTCGCTATCGTCTCGCTACTGCGTCACTGCGAACATACAGCAGATCTGCGCTCCGAGTCGTCACGCATTCTCCCACGACTTTCATCGGCAACACGCCGCACTCTCTGTCATCAACCTCGACCCCGCCGAATTTGAATCCAGCCGGCCAGTCCTTCAGCCAGCCGTGCTCCGTCAATATGGTTCTCGAAGCGACTATGCTAGTGCTCGACAACTCCGAGTGGATGCGAAACGGAGACTACACGCCGACACGCTGGGAAGCCCAGGCGGATGCCGTCAGCATGATCTTTGATGCCAAGACCAGCTCGAATCCCGAGAGCGAGGTCGGCATCATGACCATGGCCGGCAAGAGCCCCGAGGTGCTCGTCACGCTCACACAGGACATTGGCAAAATCCTTGGTGCTCTGCATCGCTCCAAGATCGTCGGCAACGCCGATCTGGCTACCGGCATCAATGTCGCTTCGCTTGCGCTCAAGCACCGCCAGAACAAGAACCAGAGGCAGAGGGTGATCGTTTTTGTCGGATCGCCCGTCGCGCAGTCGGAAGGCGACCTGGTCCAGCTCGGAAAGAAGCTCAAGAAGAACAACATCGCCGTCGACATTGTCAACTTTGGCGAAGACGCAGAGAACGAGGACAAGCTTGCCAAGTTCATCGAGGCGGTCAACAGTGGCGAAAACAGGTAGGTAATCCCATTCACTGTCGAGTAGACCCTCAAAGATTCGACACTGATTCTGTACATTCATTTCCGGCCCCTTTACAGTCATCTGCTGAACATCCCCGCTGGTCCCCAACTTCTTTCGGACATCATTCTCACCTCGCCTGTCCTGCAAGAGGAGGGTGGTGACTCAGGCGCCGGCCCATCCGGCAGTGGCGGCGGATCGAACCAATTCGAATTTGGCGTCGACCCGAGCATGGACCCCGAACTGGCCATGGCGCTGCGACTTTCGCTCGAGGAAGAGCAGGCGAGGCAGCGAGCAGCTGAGGGCACCTCCGGCTCGCAAGCGCCGTCGCTTCCCACAGTCTCGGAAGGAACCGAAACCAGCGCGCCGGTTGCAGCAGCCGCCGCGGGCTTGGCCGGGAGCGGCTCCATGGTGCCAAGAGGCGCCGAGTCCATCACCGGCGAGGGTCACAAAGCAGACGACGAGTCGGAAGAAGCCATGCTGCAGAAGGCAATTGCTCTGTCGCAGGGTGGCAGCTCCGCTAACAACGACGAGGACGTCGACATGGCCTCCGCCGAGTCTTCCGCAAGTCGCCGCGCCATCGTCGCAGGTCAAGGCGAAGGCGAGGAGGACGAAGAGATGGACGAAGACGAGGCGATTGCAAGAGCGATCCAGATGAGCTTGCAGGAAGGCGATGGTCAGCAAGACAGCAAGTAGGGTGGAACGACGTTTTCTTCGGATCATGGCAGGTCTAGCTTATCGTCCAGATCGAATCGCCTCCTGACGCCATGTCCTCACATCCAGTAGTTTCGCCTTGCTTGCGCAGAATGTGACGTTAACGTTTTCAGCTATTTCTCTCGAGATCGGCGCTCAGACGCGTGTTGACGGGGCCGCGTGTTCTTCATTTGAAAACAAACCTCGTTGCGAGGCGGACCTCCCAGCCAGCCAACAATGCTGGTGAAGCGCTAGCCGCCCTGCGGCGTTTTGATCGCCTCTGGATGGACAGATCGAGCCGAGTCAATAGTGCGTGCACGCACCTTGATCACGGCGCAATGTCGCATTGAATCGTCTGCAAAGGCGCTTCGGCCTTCGACTGAGGGGACCCCGGCGAATTAGACAAAGGAAGATGCAGGGCACAGACGGCAGAAGTGTGTGCCAATTTGCTGCCGTTTGTCGCAAGCTGCGGGCAAGCTCATGAAACCTGTTCTCCCTGGTTCCTCGACCTTGGCGCCGCCGCTGCTCGATTGTTTTCCTCACAAGCGTCCGACTCGAACGAAACGTTGGCGTGAGAAAGCAGGGCTGCGCGCGGGAGCGGCGAGTTTGCTCCGTCGGTTCACATCCGATGCTGGCCGGAGCTTTTGGGCGACTGACCAAGGCCCCCTCTTTTTGTTTTTGGAAAGATAGAGTTCGTGAGAGCCTGAGCCTCTTTTCTTCTTGGCCATTCCATGTTGAATCCTATGTTGTTCGGGATAGCCGCAACGTCGACGGTGCGGCACGGCACGGCAGCTGGCTAGATCGGAAGAAGCTCGGGGCAATGCACCGTGCGCCCCGCGTGCTTCTGGCCTTGGAGACCCTCGACAATGTCACAACCGCCGCGCCTCGTTCAGATCACCTGTCGGCCAGCTGCAGCCAGGCAAACCTTGTTGGGTTGGCCAACCCGCTGTCTGTGTCGGAGGGCTTTGTTCGGCCCCTTTCAAGGGGACATGCAGTGTGATGCGCAGCGAGAGGCTTGAGCAGATGCATTTGGGCGGAGACCCACCTGACAGAGTCCGTTTCATTTAAATGAGGCGGCTCCTCGAGTCTCCTCGTCCCAAGAGCCCCGCTTCACCTGGCCTGGATGGAGCTTCTTCGTTTCGACTTGGCCACTTCATAAGCTCGCTACATCTCTCCGTCACTCTGTTGCATCAGTCCCTCCCTCACCGCTGCCCCAACTCAGCACCAAAGTGCATTGCCCCGTGCGGCCCTGGTCGATTCTGGTCCCGGGACGTCCCCACACTTTCTTTGTTCTGCTCCGAACCCATTGCTCCTTCTCATTCTTCTCTCTCAAGTCCTTGTCCCGTCATGACCACCAAGACCCAAGGACCAAGGCACTCCCTCCCCCCAAAAGTGAGTAGAGACCCGTCACCGAATTTTGACAAGCTGCGACGCGCAGATGTGCAGATCAGCAGGCGCGCAGAGGTGAAGCCAAGGAGAGGAGCTGACATTGTTGTCTCCCACTATCGGGTCCGTTGTACGCTATTCAGCCCATGGTATCGGCCTCGCCGCCCATCTGTGACACCATCAGCGGGCTCTGTGCGGACCAGATGGCAGCTGCTACTCGAGATCGCTGCTATATCGACTCGACTCCGGCCGCGCTGCAGGCCGTTCCAATGAGAAAGAGGAGCGCAAATGAGTGGGCTTCAACACCACCCTTTCCAACTCCGGCGCTCACCACAAGCTCTCTGTCGTCGTCTTCCTTGTTTGGAGAGCATTCGCCAGTGCTTGACGTCGCATTCGGAGGGCAACTGATGCAGAGATGCCACGATCTTGCGAGCCCGCCTGGCATGCAGGCCTCAAGAAGCTTCGACGAGGTACCCTCATACGCTCCGCCTATGAAGCAGCCGAGCGGAAGCTTCGACCCGAACGCGCCAAGTGCTCACCACGGAGACGTCATTCATCTCGCCAGGTCATTCGCTGGGCTCAACATGTCTGATCGGCAGAGATACCCGGACTACTCGCAGACGCCTTCGTTCGTCGAGCCTCAGCCTCCTGCCCCTCTGCTCATTCCGATGCAGCCAACTGGCGCTGGAGTGCCCCTCACTTCCGTGGTGGAGACGCTTGCTTCAAAGGGATCAAAGGCTGCAGCCGAAGATCCAGAAACAGTGGCGGCAGCCTACAAACTCAGCCAGTGGGGAATTGGGTAAGTCGACACGCGTCAATGGCGGCGATAAAATCCCAGAACGATCTCGACCAGCTGACATGCTCTTGTCTTCCCCATCTTGCCTTCACATCGACTTTGCAACTCAGAATCGGTCCGGGAATCAACCCGAACGTGGCTTCAAGTCGCGGTGGAAATAGCGGTAGGGGTCGCATGCCTGCAAGCGAGCCACCGATCGTCAATACGGGAAACTCGGGCCCCATGTGTGTCCAGCCTGGAGACTGGATCTGCACCAGCTGCGGTTTTGTGGTAAGTACGATGCCTTACTCATTTCGCCTGCGGTGCGACGTGACCCTTGCCAAGATTGGCACTGGCTGTCCTTGCAAAGATCTAGACTTCTGATCCACTCGTTTGATTGACTTTCACGTCTTTCATGCACACTCGCAGAACTGGCGCCGTCGCGAGGTATGCATGCGCTGTTTCCCTCATGCGGACGGCAACGAAATTGGTCGTGGCATTCAAGGTGGCGAGATGCTGGCCAAAAGGCTCGCCGCTGGCCTGGATCCGGACACGGAGGAATATAGGCAGTCTGTGCAAGCCCTGTGCCCCGACAAGGTCAAGCGGGGCATGGACTCCCAGCCTCAGAGGCAAATGCCATACCGGACCACACTCGCCACTGGACTGGGTGGAGATCTTTCATCCCACGGATCTTCGACTCAGTCTTCCGCGCAAGACGCGAGCGCCGACGCTTCCAACTATCTCGGCATCCATCTAGGCCCTCAATCCCAACACGACTGGCGACACCAAGCAAATTTTCCCAGTCGCCACGTCGAGCTTCGAACTGCGGACTACTACAGCCAGCTACGCGGTATGCCTACGTCATACGACGTCCAAGCTGCGTCTCAGTCAGGCTACATGATGCCTGATGTCAACAGAGCCGGAGACGGTCCCTACAAACCGTACTGGCCGGACGTCGGCATCAGCCATGGCTCGCGCACGATGTCCTCAACCTCTAGCTTTGCAGCGCCTCCCGAGAAGACTTTTGGACCGACTCCGCCGCGTTCGTCGCATTCGCAAGAGCGCTCGTCTACGCGAGCAACACTCGTTCGGTCCTCGACCATGCCTGATTGGCAAGAGGCGCTGGACAAGGAGCGCTATACGACCCCTGCTCAGCAAAGGCGCAGTCCCCACGGCATGACCGGCATGACCTGGACCCAGGCCTCTCCCGAATCGACACCGGCACTTCCCAAGGATATCTGGGCGCCTGCCCCGAAGCGACCGACTCTGGTGCTCATGGAGCCCGATGACATGGCTCGCGAAAAGCGCGCCAAGCCGCAGCCGATCGGAACGCGCTCGGCAGGGCGCGCCACCAGCACGCCGAGGGAGGATGGCTCCAGCGCGCCTGGAAGCCATGCATCTTTGGAAACCGCTTGAAGGAAGGATCTCTGCAAGAAAACAAAAGACAACACTCGCTCTGCTTACTTTTTGACCGCTGTTGACCGGACCTCTCGCTTTTCGGACGTATCGTTTCGAGCTTCAGCCTCGCACTCGAGGTGATGCCTCTGCCGGGCTGCACCCTACTGCTCCCGTGCGCTCTGCTTCTACTCCCCTCGCTCTTGCACCTGCTCGCTCCTGCACCTGCTCACTCCTGCACCTGCTCACTCCTGCACCTGCTCACTCCTGCACCTGCTCGCTCCATGCAAGGCATGGTGCTGCACCGCCATCTCGTTGCTCGGTTTCGCATGTTTCTCAGCGTCACTTTCTCTGCTCGCTCGTCGTGCCGCCACACTCTCTAATGGACACAGTCGCTTGTCTGCCTGCCTCTCGGTGTGACGGACAATACGCTTGCTGCTGCGATACACGGCACCCACCACGCTCGCACCGGTCTGGAAAGGACAGTTTTACTGACACGCCGTGCGTGGGAATGCGATGTAGAAATACAAGGAGAGACTGGGTACCACGGTCGATGAAGGGATGGGGTGGGAAATCTGGCTCAGGCGGTGGGATTGGCGGTGACGAGGAGCTCGACGTGTCCCGTTCGGCGCGCGCCCTCAAAGGCCATCTGAACATCGTCGTCGTCGGACATGAGCACGCTGTCGCCGTCCTCGTCGATGTAGCGCATGCGCAGCGGCAGCTCGATCGGCCTGCCCGAGCATACGCGCACCTTCTTGGCCACTTTGTCGGCCAGCGCGCCAAAGCCGATGGTGGTGAGCACGACCACGACAAACTTGTCGTCGCCAAAGTTGACGATGAGCTTGACCGCGTTCGAGTTGGACGTGGTCATGGGCGGTGCTGATGCGGGTGGGGCGGATGGTGCCGCCGCCGCCGCACGCGCGCCGTTGGCCGACAGATTGCTCGTGCGCAGCATGGCCGACGACGTGCTGGAGCCGGTCGAGTTGGTCACGTTGACGGGCGACGATGCGGCCGTCGACGACTGCGGCCTCGAACCCGACTGGCCGGACTCGGACGTTGCGATCGACGAGCTCGAGAATCGCTTGTCCACACCGCTCGCGGTCGCCGGCACTGCGGTGGGCGTAGCACTCGCACCGGCGACAGGCGCACCGCTGCCGCCGAGCGATGCCGAGCTGGCGTTGGCGCTCTTGAGGTGATCGGCCAGGCCGGCGCCGTACGGCACCTTGGGCATGGGCGGTGGCGGGCCCTGCATGTGCGGCGGCAGCGCGTACATCTGCGGATTCGATGCGGATCTCGAGCGGCTGTGCGCCGCGCCCGAGTCGGAGGTGGTGCGCGACATGTTGGACGCCACCGAGTCGCCGCGCGGCCTGCCGTACTTGAAGTCGCTCGACGCCGAGTCCGACGAGCCGTCGAGGTACTCTACCGCGCCGCCGTCGACGCCGGCCGCGCGCGGCGTGCGCGCATAGCCGGCCTGGACGCCGTTGGCCTGGCGCAGCTGCCGCGACGAGCTCGCCTTGCGCAGCGCGTGCTGGTGCTGATCGGCGCCCGACGAGTAGCTCAGGCCGCGCGGCATGGGCGGCGGCACGGCGGGCGAGTGCGACCTCCACTGTGCCATGACGCTCGAGTCCTGGTCCTCGGTGCGTGCGCGCGGCCGGAGGTCGGTCGAAGAGGCGAGCGAGTTCTGGCGCTCTCTCGCCTCGGAGCCGGTCTGCGAGTAGCGCCCTTGCGCGGGCGTTGCGCGGCCCGAGTTCGACTCGTAGTAGCTCTGCTGACCCTCGGAATCCTCGTCGTCGTATCTATACGAGCTCGCCTGGCTCTGCGTGCGCGAGAGCCCCGAGGGCGGCAAGGCGGAAAAGGGATTGACGGGCGCCATCTCGGAGAGCGGCGTCTGTGGGAAGTGGGAGGTGGTCTGGATGATGCGTCTGCCGAGCGCGCCGGCGCCGGCCATGTTGATGCTCTGCTGCTGCTGCTGCGAGTAGTGCTGTGCGGCGGCCTGCTGGCGGCGCATGTTGACCTCGTCGATGAGCTTGTTGATGGCGGTCTGCCACAGCTTGAGCTGCTCCTCGTTCTTGCACTTGAGCGCAAACGACTCGTGGTCGACGTCGCCGCGCCACCACACCTGCAGCGCATGCTGGCCACTCGGCGCGCCGAGGATGCTGCTCATCTTGGAGTTGGCAAAGGCACCGGTGACGTTGTTGATGAAGATGCGACCTTTGAGCTGGAGCGTCGTCTTGGCCTTCTTGCCACCTGCTGCGGCTCCAGCGCCGGCGGTGCCACCCTTCTGTTTGAGGAGCGAGTTGTTCTTTGCACCCTTCTTCTGTGCGGCGGGTGCGATCTCCTTGCAGCAGAGCAGGATCTTTTCAAAGAGATAGACGTGGTACTCGCGCTCGGTGTCGCTCTTTGCGACCAAGAACACGTCCGAGAGCAGGAGGAGGCCAAAGGTCTTGATATTGTGGCCCTTCCAGTCTTCGACTCGCCATTCGAGCTCCTTGACGAGCTGTGCATTCTCCTGGAGGCGGCTGGTCTCGTTGACCTTGTCGGTGATCCTGCGCATGACCTCGAGGCCGTCCTGGAGCTCCTGGTAGCGCGGAGCGTCCTCCTGTGTCTTTTTGAGGAGCTGCTCGAGGAGGAGCGGGTACTTGCAGATGCGCTGCACGGGCTTGATCATGAAGGTGGGCAGCTCGTAGGCAGGATCGAGGTAGCAGCCGTGTGCGGCGGGCATGCCCTTGAGGCGGACGAGGTTGTGCGCTTCTTGGTTGATGAGGTCGAGGGCGAGGTTGTAATTCGCGCAAAAGGGTTCGTAGACGGCAAAGTCGTCCTCCATGGTCATGAAGACGTGGCCAAAATGCTGCTCGTCGGGCGGGCGACGCACGTTCTCCTCGACGCAGATGAGGAAGCGGCGCTGTACGTCGACGAGCTTGTTGAGGTTGCCAAAGAGGTTGTGGAGCGTGTCCGGGGGCAGGATGTCGTACTGAGCGAGGGCGCGTGCGTAGTTCTGGAGCACCTCGAGGTCCTGGACGTACTTGCGCTCTGTGGTGAGGAGCTCGCGGATGACCTTGGCGCGGTCGTCGGAGGGATGGTCGATGTCGTCGTTGTCCGACTTGCGGTTGGTCTCGATGAGGAGGCCGCGCTCCTGGAGGACGTCGAGGAGCCTGTTGATGGTGCGGACGACCTTGACAAAGCCGTTGGTGTCGTTGAGGTAGAGCTGGGAGACGGTGAAGATGTCGTCCGGGTCCCAACCGAGCTTCTCTTTGAGTGCGATGATGAACTTCATGACCTGTGCCTTGCAGGCGTTGGCGTTGGAGCGATTTGCGTCTGGGTTGACGGGGAGCTCTACGTCTGGATTCAAGGTGTTGAAGAGGGCGCAGAGGGGCGAACCGAGGCGGAAGCACTGCCAGAGCTGAGTGACGGGGTCGCTGCTGGACTTGCGTGTGGGAGCGGCATCGGGCGAGGTGGGGCTGCTGGCCGAGACGGTGGGCGAGAGTGGATCGGAGGGGGTGGAGGGGGAAGTGACGGAGGAGGCGCTCATTTCGTCGAGGTAGGCCTCGCCGAAGCCGGGGACGCAGTAGAGGCGGTCGCGGAGGTTGAGGCAGGCCTGGTAGAGGGAGGAGCCTGCGACGGCCTGCTTGTTGGCGATGGTGTTGGCGGCTGCGGGGGCGCCTGCCATGAGGGCAGCGCCGCCGGGCCCGATGAGGGAGGACCCGATGCCTCCATCTGCCGAAGAGCTCGCGACGGACGATGCGGCCGAGGCGTTTGTTCCCGGCAGGGGCGAGGGCGAGAGCGGCATGGAAGCGGCGGATATTGAGGAGGGGTCGAATGCGGGCGAGGAGGCGGAGGAGATGGACTGTTTGCGTACGGATCGGAACGCGAGTGATGCGGATGCGGCCATGGTGGCGGCGGCGCGACCGAGAGTCTATGCCGAATAGCGCGCGAGCGAGTGATGCGGGATGGCGTTCAGCCGCGACCGACTAAGGACACTCGGCTCGGATGAACGTGATGGATGCAGACTACGAGACGGGACCGAGGGACGAAGCGAGGACGGATGGACGAAGAAGGCACGTCCGAGAGTGCATAGGTCGATGCGAAGAGCGGGCGCGACGAGAGAGTTGGCAAGGCAGGCGTAGGACCAAGAAGCGGGAACCGGGGACGAGGGGAGCGTTGGTGGACGAAGAGCTTGCTAGTGCGACGGCATGGGGCGAAGCAGAACGGGCGTGCGTGTGTAGATGGGGGATTGGTGGTGGTGGTGGTGGTGGTGATGACGATGCGTCGAGGTCGCGTGCAGACCACGTCTGTAGTCGTCGAGAAGGTCAGGTCAAGACGGTGTCACGGCGATGCGAGTGATTTCGAGGAGAGAGAGGGGGGGGCTGATGGAAAATGGCAGCGTGATGCAAATCCGGCTTGGCTTGGGTTTGATGGAGCGGGCGGGCGGGCAGGGCGGGCGAGTGAGTGAGGGAGTGGTGTGCTGTTGGCGCGTGCCAAAAAGGGCGAGCCAAAGTGGGAGTGTGTGTGCGTGATGTGTGGGTTGGATTGGAGTGAGGCGACTGGGGACTGGTGCCGTGCCTGTGGCAGCGGATGGGGTGCGGTGCGGTGTGCAAATCGTGATTTAGACTGGCCTCAGCAGGCTCGCTGAACTGCGTGCGGCCAAGCGCCGATTGTCCGATTGGGGCCCGCATCCAGGCACTCCTAAATTGCTGTCGCCAGCCAGCCAGCGCCTCTCGGCCAGGGGTTGCAGAAGAGAAATGGCAAGGCGGGGTTGAGCGAGGCGCTGCTTCAGTCGCTGCTGCTCGTTGGTGCCCAAATGAGACACCCAACGCAGCCTCCAAACACCCGCCTTGGCTCGCCCTTGCATCTCGCTCCATCTCCCTCTTTCGACGCTTGCTCCTCTCCTGGATTGGGCATCGTTGGGCATTCTTCATACAACGCTGCAGCATGCAGGTGCTACCGTAACGGGGTCCAATTTTCATGGTTTCGCACATGAGCCCCCTCAAAAAAGGGCCGAGGGTACAAGGGGAGGTCCAAGCTGTTGCATGTGAGCGAGGTGCGGGCGCGGGCTGAGACCTTTGCAAGGGCGATCTCTCTCTTGACACACAGGTCGATTGGGGCGTCGCTTGACAGCCGGTGGGGGGGCTTGGCGGTGCAGACGCGCTTAGCGAGGCCAGGGGTGCACACCGGCTCTCTCTCTCACTCAGCAACCACGCGCGGAGCCTTGTTATTGGCTCGCGCTGCTCAGGGTTCACACCCTTTCCTCTCGCTCTCTGGCAACACGCGCGTGGATGAAGAAAGAAAACAAAACAACCTCTGGATCCCCTGAATTTCACGCGTCAAAAAGCCAAATGAGCACCGGAAATTGGGGTCAGAAAAAGTCTTTCCCGATCGACGCCGCGACGCCGGTTGGATCAGATGGATGCAAGATTGCCGCCTCTTTCCACCTCGAACCGCCTTCCCTGCAGTACTCAGTGAGCGCGCGGGTGCCGTCGGAAGACACTTCGGCTTTGAGCGAGCTTGAGCGAGCTCGGTCGATCTCGATGTCGTAAGCCAAACCGCCCTTCCAACGACGTGTGCGTGTGTGGGTGGCAGTGCGAAAACCAAACACCCCGATACTTCCACGCCAGCTGCCGTATAAGGCGACTGACGGCCTCCCGTCGGTACGACACCGCTGACAGTGCGTGCTAGCGTCCGTGTCACGCAGCGCATCAAACTTCGGCGTCCTTTTGGTGGCATACTGCACCGGGCGTACCGCAGCTCCGGTCGATCTCATGCAAGCCACACCACACTGTCGATCTTGCGTGCGCCGCGCTAAAATCTGCACTTAGCCCTCTCGCTTCAATTCGACTGCCTCACTCGCTTGGCAGCCATGCATCTTCGCTCGAACGATGGGCTCGCCAGACAGATCGCCGTTCCGATTCGAAATCAAGCTGCGAATGCCAAAATCTAAGAAGTGTGCGAGTACATCAGATAGCGCGACCTTTGCCTTTGGCCCGGCGTCGCGCTTGTGCCGAGTCCGATTCGGCGTCAACGCCGTCCACGCTGTCCCCCGCGTCGACCTTCGCTGCGCCCGAGCCCGCAGAGCTCTTGCCGGCACTACGGGCGCCATTCACGCCAGCACCGGACTGCGCAGCACGCGCTGCTTGAATCGCTGCCATGAGCCGTTGGTCATCCATCTGCGCCGCATCAACCTCCACTGCGCCATTGCTCGCGTTGGGCGGCGCCGCGGCGGCGGCAGCGTCGGGCTTGGGTGCCGAAAACTTGGCCTGCACCTCGCGGTAGTGCTGCATCTCCTGCTCGCTCACCGACGGCGTCAGCTCGCGCAGCGCCAGCTCAAAGTCGCGCCGGTTCACCCGCACCTCGATCTCCTCGGCACTCGCCATCTCCGCCAGATAGTACTGCGCCGTGAGCGGGTGCGGATGCGTCTTCTTGCCCGGCGTTGAGTTGATCGCCGCGATCCGCTCGTCCACCTCGCCCGCCTTGCGCGTCATGGCCTTGAGCATGGCGTCCGAACACAGCGCGTAGAAATCGGCGCCCGTCAGGTTGAACGGACACTGCTCGGCGATGCACCCCAGATCGCCCACATCGCCATCCAGCTTAAACTTGCGCGTCAGCGCCTGCAGGATGTTGAGCTGCGCCGCATGCGTCTCCGAAACAGACAGGTACAGCATCCGGTCAAACCGTCCGGGTCGTAGCAGCGCAGGGTCCAGCAGATCCGGTCGGTTCGTTGCGCCGATCACAAACACGTCCGTCCCCTCCGAAGAGCCCGCCATGCCGTCGAGCTCCGCCAGCAGCTGCGACACGATCCGGTCCATCACGCCACCGCTGTCGCCCTGGTTGCCTCGCTTCGGCGCCACCGAGTCCAGCTCGTCAAAGAAGATCACGCACGGCTTGGCGTCGCGCGCGCGCTGGAATACGCGCCGCACATTCGCCTCCGACTCGCCAATGTACATGTTGAGCAACTCCGGTCCCTTGACCGAGAAAAAGTTGAGCGAGCACGACGTAGCCACCGCCTTGGCCAGCAGCGTCTTGCCCGTCCCCGGCGGGCCGTACAGCAGGATACCCGAGCGCTTCTTGAGCCCGTCGCTGAACAGCTCCGGATGCTCGAGCGGCAGCTGGATCGTGTCGAGAATATCCGACTTGACCGACGCTAAGCCACCCACATCGTCCCACGTCACATTCGGGATTTTGGGCGCACCGATCGACTCCGAGTAGCTCGACCGCGCTTTGTTCAGCGCCGAGTCCACGTCGGCGCCCGTGATCGCCAGCCCGGCCAGCACAAGATCACGCTCCGACACGCCAGCCACGCTGGAAGGCAGCGCTTTGCGTACACGGTGCACCGACATGAGCCGCGATCGCGACGCCAAGTTCACAAGATCCGCCGCCACCAGCGCAGCCGTCTGCGTCGCCAGGTTCTTGAGATCCACGTCGGGGCCCAGCACCGTATCGGCGAGCGTGAGCTCGAGCATTGCGCGTCGCTCCGCCTCGTTGGGCGCATTGAAGCTCACCTCGTGCTTGAAGCAGCCCAGCACGCCCGACGGGCACTTGTCCGCATCGCTCGTCGTGCCGAACACCGCCACGGGCATGCCGTCTCCCGAGTCGACGTCCCACAGCTCCTCGAAGCACTTTTGCAACGCAGTTGCCAGCGGAGGCTCCTGCCCCGTCTCGAGGGCCTGGCTCTTGCGTGCGAGCGCCTCGATGTTGCGCAGCAGAAAGATGCATGGCGCGCACTCGGCCGCCTTCTGGAAGCGCGCTCGCAGGATGCCCTCGGTGCGCACGTCCGTGTCCGACACCACGTCAAAGCAGTCGAGCTCCACCAGCTGCACGCCGGCGGCCTTGGCAACCCAGCGTGCCACCGTGCGCTTGCCGCATCCACGCGCGCCCTTGAGCAGCACGCTCAGATGCAGCCCGAACCGCCCCGCTCCCGGCTGCAGCGTCGCGGATAGCAGCGATGACAGCCCTGCGTATGCACTCGACGCGCCCACCAACGGCGCCACCACCGCCGACACCTCCGTGGGCAGACTCGGCGTGTCGCACACGATGCCCAGCCAGCGATCGCAGTCGACGACGCGGCAGTGCTCGACGCCCGTCTGCACCATCTTGGTCACGTTGGGGTCGACGATGCAGCCGAGCTCGCCCGCCTGCGCCTGCAGTGCGAGCCCACGCACCGCCTCGTGCATCTGCTTGGCCGCAGCTGCGTCGGGCGCCACCAGCTCGGCGCGTACGTCGGTCACGCGAAAGTACACCGTCGCCGTCCTGGCCGCACTCGCCGCCGAGGGGAGACGCAGGTCGTGGATGTCGTCCGGAGCCGAGTCAGTGGTCGCGTCGGGATCCGCCTCGCGCACCACGAAGCGTGCCTTGCTCGCCTCGATCGCGACGGCAATGATGTCGCCGCTGCGGCAGATGCGGCGGCGATCCTCGAAGAACGTGCGCAGCGCCTCGAGGAAGAGACCCTGGTAGGCGCGGTCCACGCTGAGCGGGCCTGCCACGCGCGCAATCCGCAGCGACTCGGCGAAGGGTACTGCCACAGGGCACGTCCGCACCAGCGCAGATACATCGGGCTGCTGGTCCGACGGCCGCGATCCGAGCACGCGCAGCACCACGCTCGGCGCTGCGGTGCCAAACACATCGTCGCCAAGGATGTTTTGCGCCAGCACGGGCGACATCCACACGGCAGGCGATGCGTCGGTGGAGGGCAGGTCCTTGGACGCCAGCAGGCGCACGAGCCTTGTGCGCCCGCTGCTGCCTGGTGCACTCGCGGCGAGCCAGTCTCCGTTGAATGCGCCGAGCGCGGCCATGTCGCGCTCGGTCGCAAGCACGACGTTTTCCTCGTCGATGCTGTTGGCTGCGGCCGCAGATGCAGCGGCATCGGCCGACGAAGCGCTCGCGTGCCAGTGCGCAATGGCGGCCGCCAGTGCAGCTGGATCCTGGAGCTGGCGCAGCGCGCACCGCTTCACGCGGCTCGCCTGGGTGGTGCTTGTACGGCTTCGTGCGTTCGACGCATCGGGCGCGGGATCGATCGCGATGTCGAGGTTGGAGAAGTCCTGCAGCACCGTCTGTGCGAGGAAGCGCTCGTCGATCTCGAGGTCCTCATCGTCGCCGTCATCGTCCTGGAGCTCGCCGTCGCTGTGGCTCGCATCGTAGAGGCCGTTGGCGTCGCTGGCTGCTATCGAGTACGAGTCTTCGGAGACGCTTGAGAGCATGGAGGCTTCGAGAGGGTCGGCGTCGGCGGCTTCCGGGTGCATGGTGAGGAGCACCTCGGTTGCGTCGGCAGCAAAGACGCCCTGGAGCAGCGGCTCGAGCACGAGCACGCGGAGGGGCGTATCGTTGCCAGCGAGCTGAGCACGGATGAGCTGGCCCTGACGCAGGATGCGCCGGTCGAGTTGACGCACCAGCTCGTCCTGGTTGGCGATGGCTACATCGTAAGCCGCCGACGTCGTGGCCTGCAGATAGACTAGCGAGGCATCCAGTAGCGTGTGTAGCTCGATGCTTACTTGGCGCGGCTGCTGGGTGCGCGAGGGACGCGAAGATATGCCGAGCGCAGTGATCATGGCTCTGGAGGCGTGCAGCCACAGTCCGGGCGTGTCTTGGGAGCTCTTTACGGCATGGGCGGTGAGGGCAGCAACGCCAGAGAGCCGTGGACGGCGTCCCGAGGGCGGCCGCAAGCTCACCGTGAGGGTGCTTCCAGAGGCAGCCTTGGAGGACGATGCAGCTGAGGTCGAGGCAGTGGCATTGAGGACGTTCCACAGCGCCGGCGAGAGGGCGACGGCCTGGTCTGTCAGAGCAGCATCTTGCTCGTCGACCACGAGGTCGACGTCGAGCTGGCGCGTTGGCGAAGTTGGCACCGTCATTAGTGCAGGGTTGTCGCACGGTTGCTCGATCGCAATGATGGTAGGAAGGGAAGCAGGATAGTTGCGGGGTCCATGCGCTTCCGCTTTGGGGGATGGGGCGTGGTGGTGTCCAATCACGAAGCTCGAGTGGACAATCAGGGTCGGACGTGTGGAGAATGACAGGCTTAAAGCTCGCTCGCTTCCACCAATGGCGCGTGAACGGCGCCCATTCCAGACAGCGGCCGCTTTGACCAGCCGGGCCGGATTCGCGCTTCCCAACCGGCAATTTCGGTCGGCCTTTTTCTCGCTTGGCTTCTCCTTTCGGCCGGTTTATTGCTGCCATTACCTCTGGCACGTGACGGAGGAGCTCAGACCAGCAGAAATTGACAACTGCTGGGCGGCTGCATTGTTGCCTCTTTCAAGGGTCTCGAGCTGCAGCAGCGACTTCGCCTTTCTCTTCGACATCCGCAACCTCCGTGTGCTTTGTCTGTCTCATACTACGCGAGGCAGCAGCAGCAGCAGCAGCAAAGTTCAGCTTTAAGCGTTCGCCATGGCCAGCCTCGAGGACACAGACGATCTCTACGCCGACCTCTACGGCGCGGCCGAGGGAGGCGTCGGCGACGTCGTTGACCTCGGAAGCGAAGACAAGGACACCGCCAAAGTCGAGCAGGATCTCATCGGCTACGAGGACGACGACCAGAAGGATGTTGGTGGCGATAGCCGCGATGCCGGCAAGTCGGGCGACGAGGCTGCTGCCGCTCCTAGCACGTCGTCGTTCATTCCTCCGCCGTCGTCTGCACAGCAGCAGCAGCAACACGGCGGTGGAATGCAGATCAAGGGCAGCTTCATCCCGCCCCCCGAGTCGTCGTCGCAGGCGCACGGCGATGTCAGAGATCTGACACCTTCGAGCCGCAACGATGCATCCGCTTCGGCATATGACGCTGGCGCTGGCGGGTATGGAGGCCAGCAGGGCGCAGCCGACGCAAACCGCAACGGCAACCGCGAGTTGCCGCCTCACGAGATGCCAGAAGAGGGGTGAGTATCATGCCTCTGCCCCCTGCCGAACGCTCATTGCTTTTCTATTGCTCGTCAAATCTAGTCGTGCGATCGGCTTCGGCATCCCTGCCCGCTCTTGGACTATGGTTCTACAAAGCGGCTCGATCCACTTGACATCGACAGTCATTGACCTCTTGCACTCCTCTCCGTGTCGCCTTTCCCGCTCTCTTGTGCTGTTCACTAATCGTCACCGCTTTACATCGCATCGTGTTGTATCGCAACGCATCCTTCATCGCCATGATCCTTGTTGTCACCGTCACCGTCACCGTCACCGTCACTACCGTCATATGCACATCACCACCGTCGCTGATACCTTCACTGTCACCGTATTCGCATTCATCATCATCGCCGCTACTACCGTCATCTTCGTCGTCTTCGTCATCATCTGCATCATTACCGTCACCGTCGTCATTCGCTTCACGCACTTGATGTGGCTCCAACTTTGCACCTTGCACTGCACCAACACACACACACACGTTGCATTTGTGGAATGCTATTCTCGTTGGCACATGTGCATCGTCTCGCATCGCGCGCATGGGTGCTTGACTCTGAACAGCAAAATGTTTGTCGGCGGTCTCAACTGGGACACCACCGAAGGTAGCTATTGTGCATCGGGGGTCGTGTAATGTGCTGGCGAGGCGCGCGTGCGTTTGCTGACCCCGTATGCTCTTGTAGATTCGTTGCGACGCCACTTTTCGCAGTTTGGCGAGGTGGGCCACTGCACCGTGATGCGCGATGCCAACACCGGCCGCTCGCGCGGCTTTGCCTTTCTCAACTTTGTCGATCCCAAGGCGGTCAACACGGTCATGGTGCGCGAGCACTATCTCGACGGTAAAGTGGTAAGTGTCCAATCTGCACATTTCGCACACACATCTTCGCCTGACACCTTTTCTCTTCTGGTTGGTGGGGTAGATTGATCCGAAGCGGGCAATTCCGCGTCCTCAGCAGAGCCATCACGGGCTCGGTGGAGGGTTCGGTGCTGGACAGCCGGCTGCGAACCAGAAGCTGTTCGTTGGAGGGCTGCCGGCGAGTGTGACGCCGGAATCGTTCCGAACCTTCTTCGAACAGTTTGGTACACTGTCCGAATGCACCTGCATGATGGATCGCGAGACGGGCCGACCGCGCGGATTTGGCTTCCTCACGTATGCAGACGATGCATCGCTGGAGCGCATCCTATCCACAAACCCGATCCTGTTTGACGGCAAGGAGGTCGACGTCAAGCGCGCGCAGTCCAAGAACGATCCGCAGTCGCTCCAGCTGCGACGCCAACAGCGCTTCGACAACCCGGACGGCTCTATGGGAACCGGCATGGGCCCTGGTATGGGCGGCCGCATGCAGCAAGGCAACCGCTTCGCCACGGGCAGCAACAGCTACGGCGGTGGCAACATGGGCGGCAACGGATGGGGGATGAATCCGATGATGATGGGCATGATGGGTCAAAACGCAGCCGGGGGCTTCGATCCCAACGCCATGGCGCAGATGTACCAGAGCATGGGATGGAATCCGCAGATGGCATGGCAGCAGATGATGGCCAGCATGTCGCAGGGCGGTGCAGGTGGTGCGGGTGGGATGGACGTGAACGCCATGATGGGCGGTATGGGCGCAATGGGCGGCATGGGCAACATGAGTCCGCCACCCGCCAACTCGATGAGCCCCACGCTCGCCGCCGGTAGCGCGAATGGCGGCAATGGACGCGCGTCATCCAACGGACCCAGTGGACCGAACGGTGATGATCGTCACGATCGCAGCGACCGCGGCGGACAGCGTGGAGATAGCCACACGAGCGGCAACGGCGGCGGAGGCTCGCGCGCAGGCTTGCCGTCCAAGCCGGGCTACGACTCGCGCGACTCGCGCGAACGCTCTCCCGCACGCGGCGGTTCGCGCGACGACCGAAGCTACCGCCGCGAACGCAGCCCCTACCGCCGAGACGAGCGTCGCCAAGACAACGGCTACCGCAACCGCTACTGAAACTACCCCCCTTGCCTTCATGTACATCTTGACCGTCACTCTCAAAACATGCTTAATGCCCGCAATCCAAATTCATTGCTGTATTGCAAGAGGCAGCTTGGCTTACGTTGCGCAACGAGACTACTTGGCGTCGCCATTGGCGAGCTTGACGGCCTTGTCGAGCTGCTTCTCGATATCGAGGCCGATGAGCACATCGAGCGTACGCACGAACCACCAGCGTCCACACTCTGCCTCTTCCCCTTCGTCATGCGCCTCTTCGATGGGGAACCCCACGTGGTCGGCCACGCTCTTGGCGAGCACCTGTGCCGCATGTGCTGTGCCCTTCTTCAGGTCCCTGTCGTCCAAAAGGCCGAAGCGCGCAGCGGCGTCGAGTGCGCGCTGGTCTGCAAAGGGAAAGACCTGGTGCCACTGCACCTGCATCCGGCGCAAAAAGATGTCAACACCGCCTGGGCCTAGGCCGTTCACCTGTGCCGTGAGCACCTTCTTCACTTGCTCTGCTACAGCCTCTGCATCCTTGGCATCGCAATTCTCCAGCGCCTGGTCCAACACCGGCTTGAGCGTGTCTGCAGCATCCTTGCCCTTTCCTTCGCAGAGGGCGGTGATTCCTTCGGCGAGGCTTCCGAGCTGGGTGGCAGTTTTCTCCTTGTGCTGCGTGCGTGCCTCCCACAGCGCGGCTCGGCGACCTTCGTTGCCCGCTTCCAGCAGGTCCTTGGCGGAGCGGAAGAAGTAGGGCTCGTTGAGCAGCGTTTGGATCGCACGCAGGCCGAGCGTGTGCGAGATGGGCTTGCTCAGCAGCATGCCGCACAGCAGCGTCTGGAAGCCACTGAGATCCGAGTTCGGGTAGCCCAGTTCTCCACCGGCGCCCGCATCTTTGCGTGGGTTCGTGTAGGCCGCGGGCGGGTCACGTGCGGTGTCGCCGCCTTGGTCGGCGGTATCCTGCTCGCCTTTACCAGCAGGAATGTCGGGGTGGGCGAGCGACCAGGCGGTGTTGGAGTGCAGCCACGAGAGCGCATCGCCGTGCGCCTCGAGCTCCTCCTGCTGCTCATCCAGCACCGAGGTCTTGCTGCGCTTCGATGCCGGCTCGGAAGCAGATGCGCTGGGCTCAGACTTGGTTTCGGGACTGTTGCGCTTGGTACCCTGATCGGCGTCATTGCCATCGTCGTGCTGCTTTGCGCTGCGTGTAGAGACCATGTTGAAGTGATGGGCAGAGTGCAGAGGAGATATGTGTCGGAGTGATGGTGTGACACAAAGCCCTGCTTGAGAAGACGCCCCGTAGATGAATGTGCACTGACGGCGAGGATGGATCGAGCATGACGCCGGTGCCTTACTCATCGTGAGCTCGGCTGCGGGGGCGAAGCAGGCGCAGGTGACAGGCGGTCCGCTTGCATGCAGCTGTCAGCTTCGGCCACGCCGCAACGAGCATCGCGTGTGGAGGCGCGATGAAGCGACTGTTACATCATCTGTTGAAACACAGTGCGATGAGCCGTACAGCCTAACAGCGGAGAACCGGCGCGGCATGCACGGCAACGCAGCGTCGATCCTCGACCTGCAGATGAGACATGGACAGGGGCTTGCTGCCCAAACCGCGTCGAGAAATGCTCCGGTGCGGCAAAGCCAGCGTCGGCCCCTATCGGATGATGCCGACCACACGGATGCGCTCGAGCCCGAGGGTGGCTCGCTTGACAGCATGCAGCGGGTGGAGTCTCGACTGGACGCACGGGTAAGAAGACGGGCCAACGCAGCTGCACGACTGCCACCGCCATTGGCACGCAGCCATGCGGGGGAAGGCAACAGTCCAATAACGCTCGACGGAGCAAATAGAGCGAGGCGAGTCGAAAGCGTGGCGCAGGGTCGGCGAGGTCAGTCGGATGGTTTGGTAGAGTGCATGGTGAACCTGCAAGCTGCAGAACGCGCACCGCAGCCTCGCCTATCCACCACGCCTATCCGCACGCCAGATGTCACCAGTAACTTTAGCCTCTCGCTCCCGTCCCGACTCTGGGCTTCTTTTTCTTCCGACGCTTGGACCACCTCGCTTGACGCACACCTTCATATGCAGTACTCACATGGATGCAGAGTGGGCCTATCCACCTTTGTCCGTCGCAAGAATTGAGATCTCGGGACACGTCACATTTGGCTGGTTTCACACTGGCCAGCATCGACCCTTCCGGCTGGCGCGGGACCATGCTGCAGTCAGTCGGGAGAATAACTCAGCCCTGAGCGCGGCATGATGGGATCGACGAGTGCAGATGGGTTTGGGCAATGGTCGACGATGGTTGGTTGCGTTGGCCTCGTTGGCTGCGTTGGCTTGCTGAGCGAGACAAAATTCGGACGCTCAGGGGCTGGTGTGAGTCGGGAGCGCCTAGCCGCCAAAAAAAAAGAGGTTCGAGAGCCACGAGATCCAGCGGTGGGTGGCCCCTTTTTGGGCTCCTTTTTCTCCACAGCCACCACCGCGCTGGGCAGGCTGGGGAGTTGTGTGTTGATTTCTGCCGGAAAAAAAAAAGGACAGAGGGGCAGAGTCACGTAGCGTTGCATACACGCGCATCCACCCAGCTCAGCCTACACACGCGCGGCTAGGCAGTTAGCGAGTGTGGTAAATGCGGTCTTTTCCCGACAAAAAAGAGGCTTGAAGCTTGAGCCACGCAGGGTCACTCAAAGGGTCGTCGGGGCGGCGGCGCGGCGTGGCTCAACTCGACTCGGCTCGGCCGGTCAGCTCAGGCAAGGCAAGCCAGGCCAGGCCAGGCCAGGGCAGGGCAGGGCAGGGCAGGGCAGGGCAGGGCAGGGCAGCGCGCGGTAGACCAACACTTGGCAAAATCCACACACCCGGACAGTCCAGCCCGACCCAGTGTTCAGCCCACACACAGACTCAACTCGAGAGAGCCAAAGCAAGGCCGCCTTTGCTTTTTGTATGCTCGGCCCTGCTTAGCCTCGTTGTCATCGTCCCTCGATTGCCCCTCCCATCTCCCATTCTCCTCTGTTCGCCATATTCACCATTCGCATCGCATCTCTCTTCTCGTCGCACGCGCATCTTGCCATCCTCGCATCGATACCCAGCCGTAAGGCCCTCGCAACGCAACGCAACGCAACACAACGCAACACGACACAACACAACGCATCCTAGCAAAGCCACCACGCTTCAGCTACTGCCCTCCATTCCTTGGCGCATTGTGACCGGCCAATCTATTCGCATTCGCCTCTGAGAACAGTAACATCCATCTCGCGCGCAGTCTCGCAAAGGGTCACAGCCCAGACTCGCCATGAGCATAACGCCTTCCACCTTGACCCTCCACTCTACGCCCTAATCACATACAAGGCGCACCGCTCCAGCCTGGGTTCCCTCCGACAAGCCGGTACAGCCTCCTTCAGGCTGGCCGCAAGCTTCGTCCGCCACCATGGACTCCATTCCTAGAAGCAACTCCTCCATCATCTCCTTTCCCACTCTCCCCGCTTCTCCCACAACGCCCTCGGCTCACCCACATCTGCCAACCTCCTCCACAGCGCAATGCCTCGACACATTCTCAGATCCGCGAGCCATGCCTCCGCCGGGCGTCACCGTCAGCACGCATCCCTCAAACAGCTTCGAAGACGCCCCGCACTCTGCCCAGCTGCAAAGGCATTCCATCGCATCCGACGACTCCTCGGCCGCGTCGTCCGCAGACTACTTTGGCGCCAGCGTTCCCATCAGCAGACCCATCTCAGCCACCTCCCTCGCCTCGTCCCGTCCTTCCTCCGTCGTATCCAACGCTTCCTCCGGTAGCCATGTGCACGGACAGCTCACCTCCTGTGCCGACCTCCTCAGCCCCGGACTCGCATCCGCACTCGGCCTCATCCCCAGCCCCACCATGGCAGCTCAGCTCAGCTTCCCAGCATCTTCTCGCTCCTCCACAGACGCTGCCACCGCCCAACCCCCTCGCAGGAGGGTGAGAGCTCAGAGTGCACACACTGGCGCCTTGGCCAACAGGCGCCCTTCCCTGCCCACCGTCCCCACCCTCAACCCTCGCTTCAGCGTAGCTAGCGTCTCCAGCTTCGAGAGCCTCCCCGAGGACGAGATGGTGCATGGCTTCCTGTCGCCTAACCCTTCGCACTCGAAACCGCGCTCCAGCAACTACGATCGCATCCCGCGCATCCCTGCCAACGCCGTTCTACCCGTGGCGGCTCACTCGGCCTCCACCTCCTCGCTAGCCAGCTCCTCAGCCGCGTCCATCAGCGACAGTCCCAACTTGGCCGACGAGCCACCTTCCGATGCCCCTTCCTCGGCTCATGGCACAGCACCGAGCTCCGAAAGTCAATCCTCCACCATCTCGGCCGGATCCACCCGTCCCAGCGCTTTCCTCCGCCGAGCCGCCACCGCTCCACACCAGCCCACCGACTCATCCATAATGATGGCCCATCGTCATCGAAGCGCACGCGAGCTCCTCGAAACAGAGAGGTCCTTCGTAGCCAGCCTCACTCTTATCGACCAAGAGTACTACCAGCCGCTCATGGCAAGTCTCACAAAGAGCAAAGCCTCCGCTTCTTCCACCGCCCCGAACGCCAGCTCTTCATCCGCCACCGCCGCTTCGGCCGCCGCACCCATCCTCTCGCGCAAGTCGATCAGCGATATCTTCTCCAATTTCTACGACATCCTCCAACTCAGCAGAGAACTCTTGAGTCAGCTCGAAGAGCGATTCCAGGCAGCCAGCGGCCCTTCCGACTCCGCTGCTACCATCACTGGCGGCGCTCAGCCTGCCACATCCATGACCTGGAACGCCGCAACCGACTGCGTCGGCGACATCCTCGTCACGCTCGCTCCCTTCCTCAAGATGTACTCGCTCTTTGTCAAGAACTTCAGCAGCGCGCTCCAGCGCATCGAACACGAACAGAGGTCCAACGACGCCTTTGCTCGCTTCCTCAAAGACACCGACAACAGACGCGCCTCCAAGGAAAAGGTCACAACCACCTCCGGCAGCGTGCGCCACGCCTTCGGCTATGGCCTAGGCTTCCAGGCGCATCTGCTCACCATCGTACAGAGGATCCCGCGCTATAAGTTGCTCGTCGACGACCTCGTCAAGTCGACGCCCGAGTCGCATCCGGACTGCGCCGACATCCGGCGTGCCAGCCGCATGATTGAGCAGGTCGCCTCGTACATCAACGAAAACGTGCGCCAGCACGAGATGGTGCTCACCATGCTCGGTCTCCAAAAGAGCCTGCAGGGCCTCACCGAGCCCCTCGTCGCTCCCGGCAGGTCGCTCATCAAGCGCGGCACTTTGATGAAAACCTGCCGCCGCAACATCCAACCGCGCGAGTTCTTCCTCTTCACCGACTGCCTCATCTATGCCAGCCCCATCTCCGGCAGCATCGAGTCGGCTTCGGCCGCATGGACCATGCTTGCCCAACGCGGCGGACTGTACGCCTCTGCCGCCGAGCATCAGCAGTCGCCGACGATGGGCTCGGTCTCGAGCTCGACCGCGTCCCCCATCGAATCCGTCCTCTCATCGCCCAGTCTCGCCGGTGCGCCCGGTGCGCGCGCGCGCCTGGGCTCGATGCCCGAGCCCTATACCCCCTTGGCGGGCGCCATCTTTTCGTTGGCAGGCCACCAGCTGCAGTTCCGAGCCAAATTTGGGCTACGCGACTGCACCATCGTGAGCGTCGAAGACAGCGCCAACGAAGGCCTGCGCCATCGCTTCGAGATTCGCACGCCGGACAAGTCGTTTGCCGTCTACGCAGAGAGCCAGGCCAGCAAAGAGGCCTGGGTCAACTGCATCCGAGAAGCACGTGCCGACCACATGTCGGCGCGCCGTACGCTCAAAGCCGAGGAAGACAGCATCGAGGCCAAGCGCGAGAGGAGGCGGTCGCTGTACAAGAGCGAAGCAGCAAAGGGCGCCAACCGCCGCCTGAGCACGCAGAGCCTCGGCGCGTATCTGGCCAGCACGAATCTCATCGGACAGGACAAGATCACATCCGTGTCGCCGGAGGAGCCGACCGAGACCGCTGCGCCGCGGTCGCTTTCGCGGGAGCGCGAGTCAGCGCCGAGGCGGATGCGCGTCGACTCGCTGCCCAACCTACTTATGCGACCGCCGTCGTTTCCGTCGTTCCCGACATCGGGCGCCAACCTGTCGCTGGCCAACTTGCTGGCGTCCAACACCTCGGCGGCGGCAGCAGCGCCGCTGCGCGTGCTCGAAGACTACAATGCACCTGTATGGGTGCCGGACAATCGCGCGGACAAGTGCTGCAACTGCCAGGAGGCGTTTGGCATGTGGCGTCGCAAGCACCACTGCCGGCTGTGCGGGCAGGTTGTGTGCTGGACATGTTCGCAGCGATCGTTTTTGATCCCGAGCTACCACGACGGCGAGCCAGACCGGCCGGCGCGGGCGTGCGACCGATGCTACGACAGCGTGTTTCCGCACGAGGCGGCCGAAGAGGGGGATGCAGCCGCAGACGCGTACACCGCGCCGGAAAGCGCCGAGATGTCGTCGGTGCCGAGCACAAGCACGGATGACAGCGTCGCAAATGCTCTGGGCGCGTACCGACTCACCTCGGACGTCGATACGGACGCAGAGGGGAGCTATTCGGACTCGCCCGTCACGCCGCCCGTGGGGCGCGACTCTCCGGCTGCGCATACGGACGTCGAGCTGCCTTCGGCTGCTATGGATGCGCCTGGCAAGTCGGCTTTGGCCAAGAAGGGCGGTGCTACGGTGCGGCCCAAGTCGCTGCGGTTCGAAGCGCTGCCTCCGGCTGAGATTTCGTTGGATGTGCGTGACGCGCCTGGAGGTGTGTCGCCCAGCACGCCATCGAGTCCGACCGAGACGATCCCGTCCGTCTCGAACGCCGCGACGCCGGTGGAGGCGCCTGTCAGACGAGGCAGTGCCAGCGCACACACGTCGCCGATGCGGAGTGGCCAGATGCCAGCGCTGCCGGCGCGTTCCAAGTCGCTGGCGGGTGCGCTGTCGTCGGCGTCTCCGCGCATGCTGTCGTCCGAGGCGCGACTCAACCGGGCGTCGGCGCTGGAAGCCCATCATCTGTTTACGAGCCACCGCACACCGCAGATCCAAGCGGCCACTTCGGGCTCGGGGACATTCCGACTGGTGACGCCGCGGCTGACGACACCCGAAGCGGAAGTGCCGCCGGGCATGGGCAAGAGGAACGGCTATGGCCCCAGCAGCATCATGGATGCAGGATACTTTGGCAGTGCGGCAGGTGCGATTCAGGAGGATGCCGAGGACCAAACTGCGGAGGAGGGAGCGGAGAGCACCGGCGCGAGTCCGGTCAAGTCGGAACCCTTCCGGCCGTGGATGATGCATGCAATGTCGCCTGCGGGCGGCGCGCATCTGCGGCCCGCCAAGAAGAGACCACTCAGTGCAGCCGCCAGGCTGAGCAGAGTGTACGGCCCGCTCCTAGCATCCAACGCCGGCGCAGCTGCGGCAGGAACGCAGAGTGCAGCCTCGGCCTCGACTGATTCGCTCAGTCTGGCCGGCGGCGAGCCGAACAAGATCTAACTTAGCTTTTTTATCGCAATCATACCCTTTTCTCACGTGCGCAGATGATCATTTTCAGTGCGATGTTCTATAGGATGCAACAGACTCGGGACACTTGATTCGCAGTTGGGGAACAGTAATAGAGAGAGATGAGCGAGTCTGGTCGATGTCGGAGCTGAGCTGCTCAGGAAGAAGCGAGCATCGACTCGTTCAGTTGGATGTCGGTAACTCCGAAGTCGTGTTTGAAAGACAGGGGAAAGATTGACAGGTGCGCAATCGATAACGTTTCGGCTCGAGGTGGGGGCATGACTCGGTCACAATGTGACCATTGTTCTCCCGACGTCCTAGTGACGATGCGACCCGGATATGCGACCGTCAGCCCACACAGCACGCACTCGAAAACTTCACTACGAGTTTTGTTGCGCCGTCTGCCGTATCTGCTGCCCCCACCTTACCCCTAGCGCCCTGACCCACTTTCACTTGGCTTCTCGCTCTGCCGGCCCCTGTGCTCCTGAGCGCCATGCTCCCACCTCTGCTCCGGCACGTTTCACCCACTTGTCATAACCCTTGTCCACCACCGCATCGCTTAGTCTCCCACGCGCTCTTGTCGGCGCCTTTATGACCGAGAAACAAACCCACATGCCTACCGATGAGGCCCACCGCACAGCCTGATGCTCATCTCAGGCCATCCCTCCCACCGCCAGCGAATCTCCCTTCTCCCCTAAATATGCCACGTTTCCCGCTCTCACTTCTTCTCTTCCTCCTCTGTCTCGACACCAGCCCTTCCCCCCCTTCTCCCCAACCTACTACCTCCTGCAACATCCTTGCGCTGCAGCTTTGCATCCCCGACCTGCCATGTGACCCTCAGCGACAGACATAGGCGCAAGGCACAGCGACAAGCTTAAGCTCAGATTCTCTACGACAATTAGGAAACATCAATGGTTAACAGCAGACGATAAGTAGAAATGAAGCGATCTTGTATTAGATAGGCTGGTGGTATCGACGTAAGATATGAATGGTATCTGGTGATGCAGCTGCACGTCAGGTTGCAACAATGCTACTTTAGTGGGCGCCGACGGCGGGGGCGGTGTAGGCGCCAGTGGTCGCGGGAGCGGCGTAGGCGTTGTTGGCGGGGGCAGCGTATCCAGAATTGGCAGCAGGGGTGGAGCCATGGGCCGAAGCAGGGGCGATGGGCTGCGCGGTGTTGGTGGCAGGCACCGTGTTGGCCGCAGGGTGAGCCGTCGCTGGGGTAGCGGCGGTCTGGGCAGCAGGGGTTCCGGTCACAGGAGCGCTACCATTGGCGGCGAGCGCCTCCTTGTGGCGGTGGCGCTCGCTCTCGCCGGCAGCCTTGTTGTGCTGGGCGGAAGCAAGGTGCTGCTCGGTGTTCTGCAGCTTGCCGCGGTGCTCGTTGAGCGCCTTGTTGGCGTTCTCAACCTTCATCTTCTTCTCCTCGAGAGTACGGACAGACTCGTTGTACTTCGCCTGCTGCTTCTCCAGCTTGGCCTGCAGCTTGTGTTCCTTCTTGATCGCCTTCTGGTGCTCTTTCTCGGCCTTGGCATGCGCCTTGAGAAGCTTGGCATCCTTCTTCTTGTCCTTCTCGAAGGACTTCTGGGCAGATTTGAGCTGCTTGTCATCGGCCTTAGCCTCCTTGGCCAGGACCTTCTCCTCCTTCTTAATCTGCTTGGCGTCCATGATGTTTGTGTTGGGTTGCTGTGTCTGGGTGAGAGTGATGCGAATTGGTGGGTGACAAAGCGTGTTCGAGCTGTCAGAGGTGGACAATTTATATAGGTTTTGTGGAGGTGCTGGGTGGAGAGGTCTTGGCAATGACGAATGGGACCGCATACGGGAGCATAGCTAGGCGAGACCAAGGGTGCTGGGCCGCCGACGGCTGTTGGTATGGATGCGGGAGCAATGACGTCATGACGTCATTGTTAGGCTGGAGCAAGGCCACGTCTTCTTTTTTTAGAGCTTTGTGCGCTGCGTCTCCAATTTAGAGCGCGACGGCAAGAAAAAGAGACAACCCAGCGTCACAGCGATGCGGCGCGCTCGTCACACTGAGCTGATTTGCAACGCCCTCTGCTCCCCGGTCGCCGTCCATGACGCGCACGCCTCGAGCTCTTCACACTAGCTGCGGCGTAAACATGCTGACACGGCACGGCATGACGCGAAGACACGGAAGCCACTGTGGTTTGACGTCTTTGGCTGTGTCGTGGCACGGTCGCGTGGTACCAAAAACAGCATCGAGGACATGGCGCTTCCATGATACTCTGTCTCCTTCGCCTCGCCCCAACGCTGTGACATAGGTCGAGGTTGTTGCCGGTACATCTTCGGCCGATGTCCAAAGTCCGTCCAGGTGCGGATACGAGTGACGTTGTTAGGCTGTGAGACTGCCAAAAACGGCAGCTTCCATGCTGGTCACAGCCACCGCCACTCGGGGTTCGAGCGAAAGAAGCGTCGAACGACGCCACATCGGCCAAGGAGCATGGCAAGGTCGACCCGATGACCGCCAGTAGACGCCGTCGCGGTGTCTCGCCAGCATCTCGTGGTCGAGAGTGGCAGATTCTACCGGGGTGGCGGCGACGCATCGCACAGAGTACCCTGGGCGACCCGACGTCTTGATGGTGACGGAAAAATCGAGAAGAGATTGTTAGGGCATCCTAGATAGACATCTAAGAAGACAGCGCCGGGTGTTGGTTGCAGCGCGGACGGCGCGTCGCGCGCGATTTGGCGCAATGCCTTGGGCCGACGTGCACTTTACACGACTCGCAGCGCGGCCGAGTTGGACTTCCAAAAAGCAAGGCGTCCATCATCCTCCTTCTCTCTTCACGCACGTACAACTTGACCATCACCTATCTCCTCCTCCGCCGCACACACCTACATCAACAGCCTACCCTCATCTCTGCACACACCATACGGCTCGCACTCGGACCCAGATCCATCGACTTCTCCTTCCCGCGCGCATACAAGCCACCAAATCCACACTAGATCTCGAGCCAGAACAAAGGGAGGACGAGACGAAGCCATGTCGATCGTGCATCTGCAGAGCGTCGAGATCCTCAACGCCGAGGCGCGCTTCGAGGATGCATACATCTTCAAGATCACCTTCGAGTGCATCTCGCCACTGCAAGACGACATCGAGTGGCGCCTCGTCTATGTCGGCTCGGCAGGCGACGAAAAGTACGACCAGGAACTCGACAATTGCATGGTCGGCCCAGTCCCAGTCGGTAAGTCCAACTTTGAACTCTACAATCCATCGAGATGACTGTGGAACTAACGTCGCTTCTCTAATCGCTGGCATGTAGGGGTGAATTCGTTCGAGTTTGAAGCAGCTGCACCTTCACCGTCCAAGATCCCGCCCGAGGACCTCTTGGGCGTCACGGTGATTCTGCTCACAGCGTCGTATCGCGACCAGGAGTTCATCCGCGTCGGATACTACGTCAACAATGCCTACGAGTCCGAGGAGCTGCGCGAAAATCCACCGGAAGTCGTCGACCTCACCAAAGTCCGACGCTCGGTGCTCGTCGCCAAACCGCGCGTAACGCGCTTCAACATCAAGTGGGACGATGCACCCACAGCACCATCCCAACCCGAACCAATGCCTGTACAGTAAAAGATCTTCCGCATGTCACCACTTTGCAACTCAGAAACGATATCCAACAACATGCACCAACACACGAATCCGTCAGAATGGCGTACAAATACAGCGCTCACGCCCGCGAGTGGGATTGCAGATGCGAAAGATAGAGGAGGGTATCGAAGTGGCTATCTGGACAGGCCTGTGCCGGCAAGCACGTCAGCCAAGGGCCACATCCGTTGCGGGCCCACGCGCGCGGCTTCGAGCGGGGTAGAAGCGAGTGCGAATCCAAAGCGCGCCGCTAGCGGGTCGGCATGCGTGCTGCGCGTCGAGAGGAAGCCCTGATCGGCCAGATAGTCGGTCAGTGCCGCTGCGCCGCTGAGCGAGTTAAAGTAGACTGCTTCCGCACGGCTCTGGAACGACGCCTCGAGCATGTATGCAAGGTGGCGGTGGATCAGCGCCGTATGCAGGCCCCACGACGTAGCCAACGAGTGGAAGAGCTCGACGGCCTCGTCGGGCGTCTGGTCGTATCCCGAAAACAGCGCTGGGTTGGCGAGCAATCCACGCGCGCTCATCGCGCCGCGGCATCCCGTATGGCTGCGGTACTTGATCGCATCGTCGAGCGTCCACACATCGCCGTTCGCCACACAGGGCACCAAGCCTCCACTGCCGCCATCAGCGAACTGGGCGGCTGCTCCGCCGCGCGAGCCCCGCGCGGTGCGGAATCCACACGCATTGGCCGACTCGACGGCAAACTTGATCGCGTCCAGATCCACCGGATGCCCCGCAGACGACTGCCAGCGCGTGCGCCCGTGGATCTGCAGCACCGACGCTCCCGCATGCAGCGCATTACGAACCAGCGCGTCGGTGAGACTCAGGTCCGGGTCAACGCGGATCTTGACACTCACGCAAAAGTCTTCGCCCATGCGGGCCTTGACGGCGCGCACCATGTCGCGCACCGTCTCCGGCTGGCGCAGCAGGTACGATCCCAGCTCCTCCTCGTATGCCCAGGGTTGCGGACATCCGCAGTTCAGATCGACACCGTCAACGAAGCGCCCGATGAGCTCCGAGGCGTCCGCGAATGCGCCCGGCTCGCTCGAGGCAAATTGCGCCACGAGCGCGCCGCGTACCCGCATACTCTGCTTGCCTTGTCTCGCCCGCCGCGCCGCTTGCTCCCTCTCGGCCTCCCCGCTCGTCTCGTCTTGTGCGTCCGGCGTGGTGTCGCTGGCCTTGGCGCTGGCAGCAGCAAGTCGGCGCTGTGCTGACTCCGAACCTTCGGCAATGCCGGGGAGGAGCGAAAAGGTGCCGCGCTCGTACTCGTTGGTGGAGAACTCCGAGTTGCGCGCGGCCTCGGTGCGGCTGAACTCGCGCGCGAGGATCATGGGTGTGGTGGTAATGTGCGTTTCGTAACGCGACACGAGTGCACGAAAGGCGAGCTTCGAGTAGCGCACCATGGGCGCACACACGTTGAGGCCGTGGAAGGCATCGAGCAGCAGGTGCGGCGGAAGCTGCAGCGCCTCCGCATCGTAGCTCGGGTAGTCCTCGTCCGAAACGGCCGTGTGGATGCTCCCGTTGATTCCGGGCATGCTCGTGTTGGCTGTGGGCGCCTTGTTCACCCCAGCCGCAGTACCTTTGATGGGTTGCCAATTGTGAAGAGCGGAAGCTTCGTATCGAATGAGAAGAAGTGGCGGCGTGCAAAAAATCTGGAGTCGACCACCTCCGAGTGCCGAAGCCCCAAGTTTCGCGCTCTAACATTCCAAAAAGCTGGTGAGACATGCGGCGTAACATTGTCGAACGCGGCCCACGGACATCATTGAGCGTCGAAGCAAGATATCTCCGAGGTTGTGGGGCGTGCGCTTGTTGCGGCAAGGTCCCGCCCAAGATGCTTTCTTGCCGCCACTGCCGTCTTGCTCGTTCCCGGGTCCCGCTCAGCTCCGATGGCTGCCGTCAAGGCTGCGAGGATCGGTTCCCACCACACCCATTTCCACCGTGCGCGCGCCGACGAGCATAAAGTGCAGTCTAGACTGCAACGTTGCTCGGTCGATCTCTCGGTACCAGTGGGAAGCGTATCCAAGTCAATCCATTGCAGTGAGAACGGGGACATCGGGACGGCGACGCCATCGTTGTTCGCTCTCGGGCAGGATCGCTGCCACGCTAACGTGTGCGGGACAGCTCGCTTAGACGCCACGTGGGGAGGAGGTGTTGAGCAACCTCGACCCAACGGAATGTCAACGTCGCTAGGGGGATTTATGCGCTGGATGCAACATGCCAGAAGAGTCGGACCGACTCAGACTAGTTCGGGGCGAGGGTGGTGTGACCCTCCCCACAGCGGGGTTTCAATGGTAGATGGGCGAGATGCCATGCGCCCGGGACTCGGTACCGCGGATAAGTCTGCGGAATGGCAGAAGGCATTGAAAGATAGAGTGCATACCCTGGCAAGCGCGTCCCGTCGCTTTCGACCAACAATGGATGCGTTGCCAGATTTGATGCGAGGTGCGGAGAGCGAGGGATTGACACTCAGCTCGATTCTAGACTTGCAGCCTCGCTTGGCCTCGGAGCAACGTCGACCATGACGATATCGCAGGGCTGTGCCCAGCGACGCTGTCAATGCGTTGGATGCGCTGGAGCACGTTCCGTAATCTGAGACGAGCTGCACAACCAAAAGCCACGCGAGACCCTGTCTGGGCAGATTCTGGATCAGTACCAGCTCACGAGACGTCGCTCGCGAACGGCTAGCCATCGTTCGTTGGAAGGCTCTGAGGCGCGACTGCGCCACACGAGATTTGTGACTAGAGTAGCCACCTTTAAGCTCGCATGCATGTCGCTCTTGGCACTACTTGAGCGCAACAGGTGCCCACCGAGCGTTGCTGGGTGCGTGCGTTCCCACGAGCAGGTCGACAGCTGCTACTGTATTGTTGCGAAGCTGCGGGCGGCCGAGGGAGAGTCTCGAGTCATTGCTGCTACAGTATCGGTCAAATTCGAGCTCAGCCCTGAACCCCGCTGGCAGCCTTACTATTGACAGTCGCATGATCCCTGTCTTGGGGGTACGCTCAGCCACGTCTGTTGAGGCAAAGTCGGAAGCAGTCCGATAAATGCCTTTCGCGCCTCGGAAAGGGGCAGGGGAAAAAGGGAAAAAAGGGAAAAAAGGGAAAAAAGGGAAAAAAGAGGGTGGCTGGCGAAAAGGGGAAACGCGCCTGTGTTACGGCGGAGCAATCTGAAAGAGGAGCGATGCGGTCTAGACCCGAGTCGATCATCATTCCTGCGCATCTCGAGGTCGTCAATGTAGCCCTCTTTGTGGTCGTGCGCGATGCATGCGATGGCGCTGCTCTCCAGCATGCAAAGATCGTTCGGCGCATGACCACGTTCTTCGAGATGGCTCATGCATCATGCCGCGAGGGCCAAATTGAGCCAAACATGCGCGCTTTCGGAGAGCTGGGAAGCCCTCGGTGTGCAAGATGCATGCATGCTGGTCCTGCTTCGGTGCGCAGAGGCTCGGAAAACGGACTGAGGTAGCGTTCGGAGTCTCGATGCTACCACGTATGGACTTCGATTTCGAAGCTCCGCCCCTTGCCTCGCTGGGAGTCCCGGACTCCCTCGCGGAATCCGGCCGCTTCCACGAGGAGATGTTCGAGGTTTTGGTGTCCATTCGTAAGCTGTCGATTTCCACTCGCTCTCGTCAGCGATGAACCAGCATGTCTGCGGAGCTGAACGCGCGTCCTGCGGTGGGACTGGGCGGGGTCCAGAAGCGCATAGTCGGAGCTGCAGCGCTGCCAAATCATGCGTGCCTGAGCCAGGGTGCGCTCTTGGATCGGAAGGCAATGCGAGCCTTAGGAAACGCACCTGGCCTTTGCGTGACGGACTGGACAAGCCAGGCGCAACGCTCGCTTCAGATAAATAATCGACATCTGGCAGACCGTCTCAATCGCTGCCCGGGTCGGCCATGGAGGCCAAAAAGGCAACGTGCCAAATGCTGTTGCATCTTCCAGCATTCGCGAGGCCGCGGCTGAGCAAAGCTAGGATACCGTGGATGCTGACAATGATGCAAGGGCGCCACGCAGTCCATAGCGGAGGACCTTCTTTTCATGCGGGGTGCGATCGTGTCTAATTGACTAGCATCTGAATCGGGTTGCCAACCTGGCGACGCTGAAATGAGGAGACGAGTGGAGAAGTCATGCCCAGGTTTCAAGATCTTTCGATGTTGAAGGATGTCGTGCTCCGAGCAATGACCGAGAGGCGAAGAGACAAGCTCCGCTTTTTCGCACCAGCAAAGGAACGTGAGAGGCCGCGGAATGCGATGCTGCACGTCCAAAGGTCGATGAAGGGTGAGATGGCGCTTTCAGAATCGCTGTGGATGCCAATCTGGGGGGCGAGCCATCTGCCCCTCTGCCTCACGCGTGCCATCATCAGCTGTCGTGCGCACGCGGTTCGGCTACGCTGCAAAGCTTTGACAAGTCGGCTCGGCTCGCGTGCAAGCGACTGCCCAAATTTGGTCCTTTTTTTGGGCGAGAAAAGATTCTGATCAGTGCGTATCGATGCCGAATCTGGCAGCGTAGAGCGACTGCATTGTTTGCTGTCGGATCCCATCCGATTTGACGACCGTTCAAGGAATCACTCTCTGGGAGATTCTACGCGAGGATCTCGTGTGGGAACCAAAGGCTCAGAGTGTCGCCTGGTCTCGTGCCACACGCTGCATCAAGCCTGCTCTGACAAAGCGGGGATGCCAAGAACCGGGATCGGAACGCTTCGGGGGGCCTCATTTGGTGCAGCTGGCCCGACTCGGATCTTCTTTTGTCGGCAGGCAGCGACGGTCCAGCGCGATTCGCCGAAACGTTGGCCGACATCTCGACCAGCGCCATGGCGATCGACGATAAGTCCGTCTCCGCTGCAAGCGCCTCCTCCCTTGACTGCACTCAGCCAGCAGGGTCGACGTAGGGCTCATGGCAGAAATAGACTCTGGCAGGTTTCGGATAGCGCCCTGTGCAGTGGAGAGAGCAAGCCTCATTTCTGCTGCACGACAGGCTCGGCTAGCCATGCAGCGACGGATTGGGATTGGGATCGGATCAGATCAGGGCCCCTTTCATCACGCAAGCATGTCCATGTTACGCGCTTGCTGGCGACGCCAGCTGAGAGATCGCAGCGGGTATGCGACCCCGCTGCAGCCGCCAACGTACCCCGAGACTGCAGCGCTGCAGGGCTGCCATGCTTCGAGGCTGCAATGGGTCTTGGTCGGGTATGCCAAGAGGGGCTGCACCTGCAGGCCGCCGTGGCCGCACTGGCCGCCCTGTCACATTCTTAATTTTTCATGCTGTACCCTCGGATTGGTGCTCCAGGCACGGGGGCAGTCACGCAAAATTGAAATTCGCGTCAATCTGCTCGCTTGACCCCCTGCTCTTTGCTTTGGGCTCAGCTGGCTGCCAAGCTCGCCCAGTCCCAACTCCGCTCATGCTCAAGCGAGAGCGCGGGTCTGGACTCGTCTCGCGTCGGCGGCCTCCACGTCCACATGTGCATTTTCAGTGCAGGGCTTTCCGACCGACCATTGCGCAACGGATGCTGGTCATGGCAACCGCGCCTCGCTCCTCTCCAGCTCCAACAAGGCGAGCATCCACAGCGAGCTCCTGATCCTTACGACTGGTCTTTTGAGGCGAATCCTAGCCTGCTCCTGAATGTCGTGTGCCAGATCAGCCCACCTGCGCGAGCCTGGCGGGGTTCCATGCCACAGCCATTCCGCACACGGCTCGCAATTGCGCAAGTGAAGCCAGCCTTGCAGCGTACACTCCTTTCCTCCAACGACATTGGCATCGGCTCGCTTTCCCACGTTGTCTTGCAGAGCGCATCGCAGCGCACAAACGTGCTTTGCCATTTTCGCACACGGGGCATCGACGCCATCCACTGTTGCCGGGTCCCCGAATCCGTCGACGTTGCTTTTCCCATCAATGGCTGCCCGGCGGCCTTGTCAGACGACTAGTTCGGAGGGCACAGTGCAAACGGGCGGCGCTTGCCGGCGCTCAGCACGCCCAGGCGCTTGGGAGGAGGAAAAAAAAAAAAACAACCTCTGCAAAAAGGCTCGGCTCGCGAGCCAAAACGGATCGGAGCGGAAATGCACGCTTTCATGCCGCAGGCGAGGCGGTCGTGCCTTGAGACACACAAATCCACACTGCCGCTCACCACCTGGGGGGCGCGGCTGCGCTCGAGACATGCTTGACACTCCGCCATGCTGCACATGTCGAGCGCCCTGGCGAGATTCTTTCGCACTCAGCCATGCCCAGGATCCCACCCTGGGTCGTGCTCCTCGCTCAGCCCCCTCACGTCTTTGGCTCCGTCGCTGTGCGCCTGCGACAAGCGCCCTTGCCGAGCCTCCCCGCTTCGCCCCCTCAATCTTGGGTCTCCTGAACGATCCTCGTGGGCTATCTCTCTCTGCCATGTCTGCCTGCTCTCCGTGTTGTCTGCTTGTGATCCTCGCGTCAGCATAGAGATGTGTTTGGCTGTACGGCTGTCCGCCTGCTGTTGCTGAACCGGCGCACCCTGATTCGGCTCCACCTTTATTCTCCGTCGCTGTGCCTCTTGCCTTGCAATCAGCTCATCCCTAGCACGCTGGTTCGCAACTACTTAAGGGGCAGCTTCCCGAATCCTCCGGCATCCGTTTCGAACACGTCTCCCTCCCTTCGATCCACCATCCCCGTTTCCCTCCACTTGAACCTTGCTGGTCACCAGCCTACTCTGCTCTTCTCGCGCGTCTATCGATCCGGGTAGTCACCTGTATCACGCTCGCCGTCAACTCTGCTCTCATCGCCAATCGACTCATCGTACGCTGCTTCAGCACATCGCCGCGCTTTCCGAGCAACCATCTCGACACATCATGTCGTCGCTTCCAACTCACAATGGATGGCTGGGCGACACGTTCAGCTACGCCTACGACCACGCCCAGTTCGCCCCACGCGATGTGTATGGCGCTTCCACCTCCCATTCGCACCCGCACTCGCACTCGCAGCCGCCTCCACAATCGCGCAGCGTTTCGCGCCCGCGCGTCAACATGGCCTGCAAACACTGCCGCCAGAGGTGCGTATTTTTACCGGCGCGTCGCCACGGATGTATGCATTTTATACTGACGCAGATTGATATTTTTGGCGCGAACAGAAAGGTGCGATGCGACGGTCAAAAGCCCAAGTGCAGCCTGTGCACGCGTCTGAAGCGACCGTGCGACTACGTCAAGGTGACCGAGGAAGAAAACGCGGTGCTGCGCGACAAGAAGCGCAGGTCCAAGCAGCGCAAGACGGCCGAGCAGGAGGCGGCGCGCGCCAACCTCAACAGCCACGACGCGTTCCCCGCCTACCATCCGTACCGTGGCGTTCCGGCGGCCTCCCACGCCGGCAGCAGCTTTGACGCCGAGGTGCCGCGTTCCAACGAGCAGCGCATCGGCCTGCACGCTCCTCCTCTGCCTGCCGTCAGCACGGCAGGCTTTGCGACCACGCAGCCGTTTGCCTACGACACACGATACCCTTCGACGAGCACCGCTGCCAACGCGCTGTTTGACGTCGGTGCGGGCCTGACGGGCTCGAGACGCCAGTCGACGACGACGCTTATGGGTGCGCGCGCATACAGCCGCAAGCCGGACTATGCACGCGCTGGCGAGCCGAGGCCTCGGGCGTACGAGCCCGTGGTGGGCGCGCTGGCTGAGACCTCGTCGTTCGCCGGCGGACTCGGGCTGAGCATGATGCACGGCCAGACGGGCGGACCTGCATTCGACACCCACGACTACATGGCCGTCGCCTCGGCCCCTGCCGGATACGGCTCATTTCGCGCCTTTGCGAACGAAGCCAATGCAGCCGAGCGACTGGCGCCTCGCTACTCCGCCCCGTTTGGCGCCCAGCCTGACGCGGTCGCCAGCCCTTACACACCTCAGCCGGGCGAGCTTCGAGCCACCCCCGCCCCGATTGAATCCGCCGTGAGCGTCTCGCCCATGGCGGGCAGTCCGACGTTTGGCGTCGCCGTGCCGCCGCTCGAACGCGCTTCGTCCAGTGCGGGCTCGGGCGCGTCCGCTTCGCCTGCCAGTCACGGACCTGAAGCCACACCCCACCAGGAACTCGCCTCGCTCTGGGCCGATGCGCGTCCGCCCACCTACGGCCAGGACCACTTTCGCGGCGCCTACGACGCCAATCCCGTCTACGCCGACCACAACACGCACGCCGACTGGGCCGCTCACAAGAAGTGGGACCCTACCCTCACACTCTACGTCCACCCGGCCCTTTGAGCCCCAGCGCCATCTCGTCGCCTAGCCCTCACTTTTCAGAGCCTTGGTCCCCTCCTGCATATCGTCGTTTATCCACCTTGTATCGCATAGCATTGACTCTCTAGCAAAATACCCCCCGTTTCTGTTGCATTTTTGGATCAGTCGGTGAGCTGGATGAAGATCAAGATGCGTTGTGTTGAATGCGGTTGACGGATGCGATGTATGCGGTTGACTGATGAAAGTTTGAACTTTACAGGCGCCGTGCAGGAGGGTCATTTTCACGCTGCACGCGGCAGAGAGGACGGCCGAAGTGAGCGTGCAAATCTTGCTTCCCCAAAGGCTTCAAGCCGGCTCAAAGTGTCGCTGCAGCGGACGCAACTTTGGAAGGCACCCACGCTCTAGAACTTTAAGGGCTTCCTTTGCGGAGCACACAAGTGGTTCACTATTGAGCGCCTCTCTTCGACACATCAATCGAAGGATTGCAAAGGGAGGACGGGCCATTCGATCAACTGTGGAAAGTGCCAGCGATCATCGCTGCGGATGTGACGAGCACAAGCTCGAGCGCAACTTTGCCAAGAACGAGCGTGACTTTGTCAAGCACGAGCATAGCTTTGGAGCGCAGCAGGGGGAGCGTTGCAAGGAAGGTGGAGATAGAGTATCCGCACTTGAGACCTCATGAGTCTTTGCGGTTTTGGGAAGCGAGCTCTCGTTCCCCTTCACCACATGCTAGCACTGCTATTTGCACTGTGTACAGCTTCTCCGGATTGAACCGAACTGTGAAAGGAGCTCTTTCAGGCCTGATTGAGTTTGCTGCATTGGGCTTGTCCGTTTTGATCCGGTGTCAGGTGGATGTTGTCTTCTGCAAGGACGAGCGGGGTGGCTGGTAGTCCAGGTTTCTAGTGATCGCATGCCATGTGGGTTTCGGTGTATGCAGTCGTCCCGAACTCTCCACGCCACTTGCGCTCGACTCCGTTCGTAGGTCTCATCCATGCAAAAAGCCCCGCGACCCCCCACCGCCTCGTCTCAGCACGGGGTTCGTGTTTCAGGAACCTTCTTCTGCGGGGGATCGTCACAGTCGCCGTTGGGATGTCTTTCCCCCCCCTGAACGCCGTGAAGAAGGCTGAAGCGAACGCCGATCATGTGATGACGCTCGTCGTTTTGCGGAGGAGAAGGTCGAGGCGAATCGAAAAGCAGTCCCTTTTCTCACAGCGCCATCTTTTGCACCTACCTCGAGCCCCGCTGCAGATGCCGAGAGAACATCGCGTCCCCTCGAGGGCTCTACCGCGCGACTCTGAAGATCCCATCCCCCACACACGCGCTGAGTCGACACCGGTGCCATCCCAAGGCACACGGCCACAAGCTGTACATCCATGAAGACAACAGACCTCGCTCTAGAAAGTAGTCGGTTTGAAGCGGCAATGAGGTACTTCCGACACCCCTTAAGCGCCACTTCATCTGCGCCAAGCGCCTACTCTTGCAACTGTATCATCACCATCCCCTCAACAAGATTACTCCGCATCGCACAGTCCCAGAGTCCTCCCTGTTCGCATCTTCACACCAGACGTGGAGACAGATGACCACCTTCGCAAGGTGAGCATGCATGACGACTCGCCACCACGCGCTGTTCCGCAAGATTCTGTCACGCTATCCCCTCACGTTGGGTCGACCTCACACTTCAAACAAGCTCGCTACGTCCAGGCCACAAGTGTGTGTAGGATTGCGCATGCACGCTAAAAGGTCAAGCGTAGACAAACAAGACGATGCAAGATTCGTCGAACACGCTCACACGTGTGTGCGCGCGGACGAGTGCATCGCCCGCAAAGGCAGCGCGATGACAATTTTGGGGGACAAGATTTACTTGCCCTGGGGAGCATCCTTGAACGAGAGGCAGTGCTCCTCGCCCATGGCGGAGACGATGGTGACCATGAGGTCCTTGCCGTCGTCGAAGGCGGCCTGGATCTGCTCACCGAGCTCGCCGTCGGGGACACGGACGTCGTCCTTGGTGTCGCCGTCGTTGGTCATGAGGTTGAGGTAACCGTCGTCAATGTTGACGAGCTGGAACTCGTTACGGCTGACGTTGGGGACGTCCATGTTGTGGGTCGAGGGCGAGATGTCCTCGTACTTCTTCGAGGTGAAGATGTCGGTGGCGACAAGGTGGACCTTGGCGTGACCGTGCTTGCCGGTCTTCGAGGTGGACATGTCGATGATCTGTGTGGCGGTAGAGGATCAAGGTGGGGGGTGTCAGATGTCTTGTTCGAAGGAGTTCCTGAGCTTGGTGTCGATGCGGCGCTTGGCCAGCGCGAGCTCCGCTGCGAGCGGCAACGTCGATACGAAGCTGCGCCACAGGAAGAGCGTGAGGCAAGCGATGCATTCGACTATGGCTGAGCGCTGCTCGGCAACTGCTCAGACAAAGAATGACGAGCGCCATAGCCAAGCGGGGTCGAAGGGCGCGAGGAGACTTACCTTGCAAGGGCGGCCCTTGATGACGACGTGACCGTTCTTACGCAGAGCAGAGCACTGCATGGGGAAGGTCAGCGAGGAGCCGGCATCGGCGGACTCGAAGGTGGCGTTGTGCTGCTCGTCGTCGGAGGCGGACTGTGGGTGGGCGAAGATGGATGGAGATGACGAAAGACAGGTCAGTAACGGTTGCATGTGTGGCGGTGTTGATACTTCAGCACATCGCAGACAGCTTGCAGCACCTTTGAGCGTCTTATTCGCATGAAAGAGCGCAGATGTCGTGGCCAAAGCTAGGCTGATGGCGGGCAGAAGCGGGTTGCCTGTCGTGCCACGGCCGGGCAAGGCCACACGACATCTGTGCTCCAATGCCAAGGGCGTTCGGATACGCTGGTTGCAGGACGAGACGCCGAGGCGGCATTTGGATGCTGATGCTGATGGCGATGGCGATGGCGATGGCGATGGCGATGGCGCCCGTGTGCGCAACGTACCATTTTGACTGATTAATCTACGGGTGGTAGGTGGTGGTGCAGAAGGAGAAGTTGGTGATCGTGACCACAATGAGGCTGTCGAGCGCTCCCTCGTCTCTGCCCTGCCTCTGCCGCCTTTTGCTGTGCCAGCTGTGCCTTCTGGGGACAGCAGCAGCAGCGGCAGCACCAGCCAGGTGAAAAAAAAAGGACGCAGCTGGATTTCGCTCTTTTTTTTTGGCAGCGGGGCGAGTGTGCCTGTCCGTTGTCGGTTCCTTCGAGAAGATCTGCTCCGCCCGCGTTCGCTCGCTCATTTCGCACTTTGCTTCGCTAGCTGCCCTGTTTGCCCGTGGCCACACTGGCCATTCCATTCCAATCAATTTCAATTCAACTCTTTCCGCCTGCCTGCAGCCGCGAAAAGAAAAGAAAAGTTTTTCAAGTGCAGCCAGGCGCCCATTTGTATTCGGCTTTAGGCTGCGTGGAATTCGCCACTTTGGGTCAGCTCAAGTGGCAGTTCAACTCGACGCAAGTTGTGCAGCTGCAGCTGTGACCAATCGATCCGCTCTCGTCGTGGGAGAGGCGGGCCACGCCCTCCTCACCAGCCGAGTTCATTTAGCCAAAGCCACAGCACACTCGCTCTCACTTTCGGAGCTGTCCGACCCAGCCTCTGTCACAATCACACTGCTTCGACTATTGGGGAGTCAGCCATCGGCTCAATGATACCGTAGAGCGAGGCATTGCAACGCTATCGATCGTGTCACAGCGTGCTGAGCACAGTAACTGGTGGTGCCTGTGACTGACTGATTGGAGGTGCTCGGGCCAGCAGCGAGGGCGAGGCGATTTTAGAAACGAGGGGCTTGGCTTACGCGTCTATCGCACGAGACGGTGTCCCCCCTCGAAACTCGACTCGGCAGCCTGGGGGGCCAAAGGAAAAAACGTGACCTGCTCGCCATCGAACCATCATCCCGTGACCTGGTTGCGAATATTCACGACTCGGACGCCAACCCAACGCTCTACGCGACGCCGCACGCGAGATCGACACCAGCTCCACACCAAAGTCCAACACTTTGTCTCCGCACTTGCCTCGCCGCGTCCGCCTCCTCCTACATACTCCCGCTTCCGCTCGCTTGCGGCTTGCGTGCTTCGCCATCAGCGCTTCGGGGCTGGACCCACGGCACGCGTCTTTCGTGTCATCGCCGAGGTGCAGTCGTGTTCGTGTTGGCTCTGTTGATTGCAAGCACTTAGAGATCGAGTCGGATGCCAGTCATCCAGTACAACCAGGGCATGTCGGACGCGACAACATCATCAGCGCCTGCTCAGGAGCACCAGGCCGACGTGGCCACGGCGCACAATGGATCGGGCGAGCACGTCGACGAGACCGCGCAGCGCAGCGAGCCCAGCTCGGCGGCGGTAGCGGCAGCAGCGGCGGCTGCGCTTGATCCAAACGCTGACCCGGCGGAGCGCGACCACATCGAGCGCGACGTGTCCAACATCCTGGCAGGCCTGAATCAGGAGCAGCTGGCGTCGATCGTGGCGGCGGCACGCGCGTCCGAGGCCCGCAATGGCGACGCGGCGGACGGTGCTGCCTTTGGCGACGGTATCGCGCCCGGACTCGGTCAGGCAGCCAGCGCGCTCACCAGCATCGCGTCCGGTCTCAAACGCAGCGCGGCCAACGACAAGGCAGACGCCAAAGACCTCGGCGACGCACCGCCGCCGCCCGGCGTCGAGTATCCCGACCAGCTCGACGGCAAGGAGCTCGATGCCGACACGTCGGCGGCGATCGCAGCGGTCAAGTCCGCCACCGACTCGGCCACGGCTGCAGCCATTGCGAGCTTAGGCTCGCTCGCCGCAGCCTCGCACCTTCAGCAGCCGCAAGCTGGCCAAGCGCCGCCGCATCCAGGTGCCGGCGAAGCGGACGAGTCGATGGACTACGACTCTGCCGGAGGCTCAGCCTCACCCGCCCGCGGCCTCAAGCGACCGCGTGGACCCGAGCTGGATCGCCAGCGCAAAGACAACCACAAGGAGGTCGAGCGTCGTCGCCGCAGCGCGATCAACGACGGCATCACGCAGCTCTCGATGATCGTGCCTGGGTGCGAGGAGAAAAACACCAACAAGGGCGCCATCATCCACGCCGCCGCGCGCTACATCCAGGACCTCAAACACAACGAGGCCAGCAACATCGAAAAGTGGACGCTCGAAAAGCTGCTCATGGATCAAGCCATGGGCGACCTCACTGCGCAGCTCGACGACGCACGCGCCCAGATCGACCGCCTCAGAGCCGAGCTCGACAACCGATACTCGCATCAAATCCCACCAGACCACCACAAGTCATGAACCCCCAGATCTCATCACCATCGTGCCGCCCTCGTTTCCCTTCCCCCCCGGTCTCTTTCCGTCGCGGTTTCCCGAATGTATTGTATTCTAGCAAAGTGCGCGACCTTCAGCCGAGGCGCTCTTCGAAACGCATGTATACCTGTTCTTTTGTTTCAAATCGCGGTGGCTTTACCATCGGAGGGCGAGGTTCTTGTTGCGCACCATGGGGCGGGTGAGTGCGATACCGACCGAGAGGATGGCGATGGTGAGCAGCAGCTGGGGCTTGTTGAACGAGCTCTGGAGGATGTCGAATTGGCCCGAGGGGCTGACGCGCGTGGCGAACGAGTCGAGCCCATACGCGTACACGGTGGCGGTGCTTTCGAGCAGTGCCGGCCCCGTAGCAATCGCCTGGATGCCTGCAGCGGGAAAGATGTGGTTAATGATCCACTTTGGATCTTCCGGGATCATGGGCGCGTACGGGATGTTGTACTCCTCGGCCTCGGTCTTGCTCGGCTTTCCGATCGGTCGGCGCGGATCCAACAGCCGACGCGGAATCGACACAATCGACTCCTGATTCGTCGCGACCAGCAGATTCTTGAGCGCAATTCCGAACTTGGTCGTCGTAGTCGCAAGCGCCTGGACGCTGCCGCCACTGTATAGGAACGACTGCACATACGCCAGCGGGAGCACACCCTTACCCTGCGCACTAGTGTCGCCGGTAAAGCTGCTAAAGTTGCCCGTGAGTCCGCTCCACGATGCCGCGATCGAACGCTTCTGCTCCGCCGTAGGCGCATCGGGCTGCTCGTACAGCTCGACCGTAACGATGCGCGTCGCCATACCCTCGTCCGCATTGCGCACGGCGTAGGTGGCCGTCACCCAGTTCTCCACCATATGCGCGCGCACAGGCTGCGCCGTATCCACCTCATCCAGCTGCAGCTCGTACAGCATGCTGCCCGTGACGGTGTCGAGGAGGTAGAGATGCGCCTGGTTGCTCGCGCGTGCCGCCGTGACGACGAGCTGCGCGTGCGGGTTGAGGTACTTGTACAGCGTTGAGCGGTCGCCGAGCACGCGTCCGAACGACGCAATCGCATCCTTGCTCGGCGCCTGCACCACCTGCACCACCTCCTCGCCCGCAGGCACACTCCACGTCCACACCTGCTTGGACTTGTGCACGCTGCTCACGCCCTGCTCGACCGCATACCCGACAAAGTTGACCGACGAACCCGCCGCAGCAGCCGGCTCTTGCACCGCAAAGTAGTAGCGGCCCGACAGCGGCTCGAAGCGCTCTGCAACGGCGAGCGTGTCCGGGTAGAGATAGAGGTGGTTGTTTTGGTCGACCAGCCCGAGCGACTGCTGCCTCTCGACCGGGTCCTCGACCGCCTGAGGAAGCAGGAACGCGTCGCGGCACTTGCCCACAAACACGTTCTGGCCCGACGACGCATCGTTGAGGAACTCGCCTGTGAGCGGGTTGAGCTCGAACACGCGCGTGCTGTGCAGCCCGGGCTGGAGCTCGACCTCTGCGACGATCGCGAGCAGCGGGCTCTTTCCGTCGGTCGACAGCTCGCGCACGGTCTGCATGAGCTTGATGCTGATGTGCGGCTCGTGCTCGCCTTCGCCGTCGCCGTATCCGACGAGCGACTTTTCCCACACGACCGTGTCCTTGGCGAGGGTATCGAGCGCATACACCTTGCCCTTGGCGGTGGCGACGACGACGAGCTTGCGGAAGCCGAACGGATCGCGGAAGAGGCTGGACGTGGTGTTGGCCGAGGCGACGCGCGGTGCCAGCGACGTGGGCTTCTGCTCCTGGTCGGCCCTCTTGCGTGCGGGCTTGTTGCCCTCCTTGACCATGGTCGTCGTCGCCGCTGCCGCCGAGCTCGCCGAGGCCGATTTGCTCAGACCGAGCTGCTCGAGGCTGCCGTACGATCCGGTGGCGAAGCGCGTGGCAAATGCCACGGTGTACTGCGGCAGGTCCTTGAGCGAGATGACGTGTCGGACGACGCGGCGGACAAAGCCCTCGTTGTCGAGACTGGCGGCGCCGCCGGGGATGTCGGTGAGCTTCTTCTCCGGGAGGTCGACAAAGGTGGCGTGGGTGGTCTGGGTGAGACCCTCCTCGACGATCCACTGGTGCTGGTCCTCGAGCAACATGCGTACGGAGCCGCTCGAGGTGACAAGCACGGTGCGCGTGGCGAGCTGGTACTGGCCGACCTGGCTCGCCTCGAAGGTGGCGGCGTGTACGTTGCCGTGTAGGTCGTGGTCCCATTGGAAGGAGAATCCGCTGACCTGGCCCTCGCCGCCGTTGTTGGCATCGGCCCAGAGGAAGTGGAAGTTGAGCAGATGTTGGGCGCGGGAGAAGAAGATGCGCTGGAGGTAGGCGCGTCCCTGTCGGTCATAAGTGCCGGCGTAGACGGCATCGTGCGCGTCCTCCTCGAACTCCCAGAAGCTGGCGAATTTGGCGTCGGCAGACACCTTGAGCACCTCGGCGAGGCCGTCGGAGCGGCGTGCGACGAAGAGGCCCTTGTTGGAAAGGCCTGGGTCAACGAGACCGGTGAAGGTGGACTCTGGGCGTTTGGGGTAGACGACCTGGGGCTGAGCGAAGCGCTTGCTCGGGGGGTCGAGCGGGGCGGCGCGGACGGTGCCGTCCTTGTTGAGCCAAGCGACCCACGAGCCTGGGTTGGCGGTAGGAGGCAGGTTGGGTAGCGTGTTCCAGGCGACGACGACGACATCAGCGGCGGAGCTGAGGCCCGAAGGGATGTCGTGGCTTGCGAGGAGCTGTCCGTTGTGTGCGGACAGCGTGGAGACGGAGAGGGAGCTGTATGTAGAGCCGGCGTTGCGTACGAGCGAGACGACGTGGATCTTGTCCTTGTTGGCAATCACGCGAATGAGAGAGCGGCGCGAAATGTCGTCTTCGGGCTGCCATTTCCACACCTCCTGCCCATAAGCACCGTCGAGTCTGCGGACGGTCTGGGCGTTGGAGATGACGACGACATCGGGCGGCCTCTCGGCTGTGGCGCCTTCGGTGAGGAAGGCAGCATCGGCGGCTGGGAAGCCGGGCACAGGCAGCAGGCCGTCGGCGATGCTGTGCAGCTTGGACTCCCAGATGAGATAGCCGGTGAATGCGTGGTAGATGCGCACGTTGGCGCCGCCGTTGCCCGAGACGGTGAGTGCGACCTCGCCGAACTGCTTGTGGAGCAGCACCTGGTCGTGCTTTTCAAGGATCTGGCGCCAGACGATGGCACCATTGCGCGGGTTGAGGGCGCCGACGGTGTTGGACTCGGTGGCGACAAAGATGGCGGTCTGAGCCTTGTCCTTGATGTCTGCGTCGGGCTTGATGATGCGGTGGAAGTGCGGGGCGAGGTACGGGGTGGCCGAGTCGTTGGATGCGAGCGGCACGCCGATGCGTGGGATGTGCCAGTCGATGATGCCCGCCTCGGTCTTGGAAAGGGCGGCGACGCTGTTGGCGCTGAGCAGGAGCGCGAGCAGCGTGGCAAGCAGGGCGGCCGTTGCCCAGCGGCCTAAGCTACGCCGCGCGGATGAGGACGTCGGAGTGTGCATCTTGAGGTCGGCGGCGACGTCGAGCAGCCGCGTTTTGCGATGGTGTCCGGTGACGAGCCTTTGATGAGGATGGGCTTGGGCTGGTGTTGAACTGCGCCGCTGGAAGCTTCTCGCCCGGCCGTGCGCACTGTAATCCTGCCAAACTAACACCGTCGCTCCACGCGCCTGCGTGCCTTTCTGATCAGTGCGTTGGAAGCAGCAGCCTGTCCAGGAGCGAGGCCGACGCGGAAATCCAACCAACGCACAGGCTCTGACTCTAGCGCCTATCGGCGTCGCTGAGCCAGAGCGAAAATCGGGCGATGCGCGCGGAGCCGAGCACGGACGCGAGAGGCTTTCCCCAGGACCCTGCACAAATCGGCGCGGCGCGTAGCTTAGCCCACTCGCGAGCCGAATCCATACAGACGGCAGGCACACACAGAGAGCGACTGCCAAGGCCGGCATCGCACTTTCGACGGGCCAACCGCCCAGAGTCTAGGAGCGCGCTCGGCTGAGTCGGCCATCTGCCTCATGACAGCGCAGATCGCGCGTTCACACGAGAGAGAGAGAGAGAGGACTAGCATCGGGATTCCCGCACTTCTGCTGCTGCTGCTGTCCGCACGGAGCGCTGGAAGCTGTGCGCAACCGGCCTCGGTCGAGCCTCGCTGTTGCTTCGCCCCGCCCCGCACTGCATCCCGCTTCGCATTATTGTCTCGTCGCTGTACAGTAGCTGGCCATCCGTCTGTCCTTCATCTCGTTCCCGCTGCGCCTACCACTTGCGGCTGCACCTTGACACACCACCAGCTGCATACGACAGCAGAACCCGAGCAGCGTCAAGGTTGTTGTCGTCTCGTCGCATTCAACGCGTGCATATCCTACGCGCTGTCAGCAGCTGCAATCCCACCATCGCTGTCGAAGCTGCATCGGCTGCATCCACTTCCACTTGCTCTGAATCGGCCCGGCAGCGACGCCGCTCTCCAGCCAGCCCCTCGATCGTCGGTGATTCCGCCGCACCTACGCTTGGCCTTCCCACTTCACAGCGGCGCAAGCATCCCGCTTCGGCCTGATCCGCATCCACCTGCACCGGTCCGCAACGAGTTCATTTTGGCCGGCGCAATCGATCACATCCGCGCTCGCTCGGTCGCGGCACATCCGCAGCTCAAGTCGATACACACGCGCTGCTGCTGCTGTAGTTGCTAGTGACATACGCATTCGCCTCCTCTGCCGACCCGCTGCCTCACCGCCAGTGCTTGCCAAACGGATCGGATCTCGTCCGAAGCGGTTCCCACGCTCATGCCCAAGGACGACTCCAAGGCGTTTCGCCACGAGGCGGGCGCCTCTGCTGGCAGCAACAACAACGACGACGACTCGAAAGATAAGCCCAAGAAGGTGCTCCGTGCCTGCGACGCCTGCCATCACCGCCGCGTCCGCTGCAATCACGAAAACCCCTGCGACAACTGCCTCCGTCTCAACATCAGCTGCACCTGGATCAAGGCTTCCAAGGGCAAGCAGGCATCCGGCAGACGCATCGATCTGCTGCGCAAGGGTCACAACCCTGCCGCCGCTACCGACCTCGTCCCGTCGCCACCGGGCGCGAGGCTCCCTGGCGAGCATGCCGCCATCACCAATCCCAGTCCATCCGCACCGCGCGCCATCCTGCCTCCGTCAGGGCACTCGCATCCGCATCCACATCCACATGCGCATTCGCCCCGCCACTATCCTCCGCCTCCCGCAGGTAGCGCCGCAATGAGCCCTCCCGGCGTCCCTCCCAGCGCCAACTCTCCGTCCCAAATGATGGGTGGCTCCAGCCTCTACTCTCGCGACGGTCCCTCTGGCTCTCGCAACTCGTATGGCGGATACGGCAGATTCGATGGCAGCTCAGCCGCTGGCCCCTCCGGTCCCGCCCAGCAGCCATCACCATCCTCCCACTGGTCGAGCCCCTCGGCACGCTCGCCAGCCCATCGCTATCCCTCGCACGGCTCCTATGGCCAGCCAGATTATCCGCCCTCGCATCTCGCAGCCTCGAATGCCTCTTCGAGCCATCATGCTCCCCACCAGCCCTATCATTCGCCGTCGCATTCCTATCCATCCCACCAGAGCTTCCAGAACCAACCTCCACCCCCACATCACCAACGCCAGTCATCGTCCGCCGCCGCCGGCGCTTCCGCATCAAATTCCAACTTTGGCTTTGCTCCCTCCGAGACCTTCTCAGAGGGTCTCGGCGGCTCTTTCTCCGAGCTTGCCCCGGATGTGGCTGCCAGCCTTCGCCTGCCGGACTTTGGCACCTCGCTCGCCGATTCCTATCTCAATCCGCAGGATGGCGGCGGCGAGCGCAGGCGCAACGTCTTGCTCGACATGAACTCGGGCGGCCTCCCTCACGACGGCAGCTCAGGCAGCGCCGGAAACGGCATGGGCGGAAATGCGAATGGATTCCATCAGCCCTACAATGCACACGGCAACGGCTCGTTCCAAGGACGCCAGACCTTCCTCGACGTGCTCGGCCAGAACAGCCAGATGCTCGGCGGACCCTCCTCGACGCCCGGCTCGGTCACCTACTCCGAAAGCGACGCCAACGAGGCTCATCCGCTCTCCGACTCGGTGCTCATCCCCAACATCGCCATCTTCTTTGAACGCCTCCAGTCCATCATGCCTGTCTTCACACGCGCCTGGGTGTTTGACAAGATCGACCGCGGCGAGCATCGCACCGACCCGCAGCTCGGCGCCATGCTCATCGCGCTCTCGGCGTTTGCGCTGTGCCAGCCCGTCGACTCGACCGATCCCGTGGACAGCTCGTCGCGCAAACGCAAGGTGCGCCGCCTGCTCGAGGAGTCGGTCAAGATGCGCAACAGCGCGCTGCTCGGCAGCCATCCGTCGCTCGAGGCCATCATGTGCTCCTTCTTCATCTTTGGCACGCTCTTTGGGCTGGGCGAGGAGAATGCGGCGTGGTTCCGGCTGCGCGAGGCGGTGACGCTCGGATACCTGCTGCGCATCCACGAGACGTCGTCGTACGAGAATCTGTGGACAAGGACGAACAGGAGCGCCGCCTGCGTGCGTACCTGCTGCTCGCCATCACGGAGCGCGCGTACGCGATCCAGTCCGGCTCGTCCATCACGTTCAGAGGCAATCCCAGGAAGGCGACCGACTCGATCCGCAGAAAGTTCGACGTGGCCCAGCTGCAAGACTTTCCCAACCTGCAGAGTCGGCTGTTTGACGTGGTCGACGAAAAGTTTGTCGACTGCTGGAACCGCAAGTGCCCTGGGCCCGGGTGCGACTATCTCGATGCGGAACGAGCGGTGCAGCTGCACAGGGCGATCAAGGAGAGCGACGAGGATGAGCAGAAGGAGAAGGAATCGTTCCACCGCGACCGCGCCAACACGGGGCCGATGCGCAGGGACACCACGCACGGCGAGCGTAGGCACCATCCATACGCCAGCCACATGGCGTCGGGCGCCAAAGCGGAGGATGCGCAGGGCGGTGGCGGTGGTGGTGGCTTGCACTCCAAGTCGGATTGGGACAAGAGCAAGGTGCAGAAGGCGGATGTCGAGGTGACGCGACAGTGGCTGCTGAATCGGTTGTGGATGACGTGTCGCTCGCACGGTCTGTTGACGGCGGATGCGGAGGAGGAGCCGTTGCGCATCGACTATGCCATCGACATTGCACGCGAGACGCTGCGCGTGTGCAACTCGCTCTCGTTGCGGTCTATGGAGGCGCACGGTATCGGCCTCACGCGCAAGCTCAACGACATTGCACAGACGCTCGTGATTGTGTGTCGCGACTATCCCGCGATTGCCATGTCGGTGCCGTTCGAGGGCGATCCGATCAAGACGGACCCTACGCTGTTTGGACCGTACTTTGGCCCGTCGCCACCCGACGCAAGCAGTGTTGGACAATACCAAAGCCCTGCGTCCAATTCGGCCATGGACGTGGCGACCGATCATCCATCCACGTCTTCAACTGCACCAACCCTCGGCGGTGTACCGCTCGACAAGGCCTTTTCGCCCAGCTACGCCATCGAGGCCATCTTGCACAAGTATCTCGACATCTTTAAGCGGTTCCGCGGAGGCGACCATCCGTACCTCCCACAGCTCGTCGAGGCCGTCAAGGAGCTCCCCAAGATGGCAGAACTCAGCTTCGACCGTTTCCTGCGCGAGATGGGGCTGTTCTAGGTCTATGCGCGCGAGAAAGAACGCGAGTGGTAGCAGTCAATCATATACACACTCAGCCAGCACGGAAGGCGGTTTGCGTTCGATGTGGTGTGTGAACAGACGGGACAACGTGTGCTTGATGTGAATGAGTAGAATACATGGATGTGCGGGTAAACGCGGATCAGATGGCGCATCTGTCGATGTGCGGATGCAATGCGGATCAGATCGCTAAGTTGGGGAACGTGGATCAGAGGTCGTTCCCCCGAGCACGAGGTACGGAATTGTGCGGGTACAATGCCGATCAGTGGACGCACGTGGGGGATACGGATCGAATGGTGCTTGTGGGGTATGCGAGCCAGATGGCGCGTGTATGCGTACGTTGCGGATCGATGACGCATGTGCGGATGCGATGCGGATGTGAGGGACCATGTGCGGGTGAATGCGGATGAGACGGCGCACATGCGGGATGCGGATCAAATGGCGCGCGGGGATGCAGATCAGATGGCGTCCTCGAGCACAAGACGCGGAACGACTTGCATGGCCATGAGCTCCTGCAGCATCAGCTTGGTGCCGTACGGAATGGTGAGCTGGACGACGTGCTTGCTGCTCGAGCAGTACGGGCAGAAGCCGTTGTAACCCATCAAACCACACCTCTGGCACGCATGTACCGTGAAGGCGTCGGAACTGATCATCAATCGCTCGAGCAACAGCTGCGTCGCGCCATAGCCGATGAGACAGTCTCGCTCCATCTCGCCGAGACGCAGACCACCGTCGCGCGAACGACCCTCGGTAGGCTGGCGCGTCAGGACCGCACGCGGACCGCGCGCTCGGGCGTGCATCTTGTCCTGCACCATGTGCTTCAGCCTCTGGTAGTAGATCGGACCAAAGTAGACGTAGGCCTCCAGAGGTTGACCCGTAATGCCAGAAGTAAGCGTTTCCTTCGCTGCATAGTTGTACCCGTTCTCGACCAACAACCTCGACATGTCTTCAACCTGAGAACCGCCAAACGCCGTGCCGTACTGGAGCGTACCCGTGACGACGCCCGCTTTGCCCGAAAGCAGCTCGATCATCTTGCCGACCGTCATGCGCGACGGGAATCCGTGCGGGTTCATGATGATGTCCGGGTTGATGCCTCGGTCGCTGAACGGCATGTCCTCCTGCTGGACGATCAAACCGCAGACACCCTTCTGACCGTGTCGCGAGGAGAACTTGTCGCCGAGTTCGGGACGGCGGGTCTGGCGGACAAGCGCTTTGATGAGCGTCTGGTCAGAATCAGTATCTGTGATGAGCACCTGGTCGATGTAGCCCGACACAGGCGGCTTGTACGACAGCGGTGCCGACTTGTAAGCCACGGAGGCGGCGGCGTTGGAGGCACCGATCATGATGGCCGTGGACGAGTTGTCGTTGGCATTGACAGGTGTCTGCTTGTTGACGTAGACGTCGCCTTGATCGACGCGCTCGCCAACACCCGCAATGCCGTCCGCTTCCAGGATGTCGTAGCGCTTCTGCCGTTTGCCAGTGGTCTCATCGACGGGCGCATCCGCCAAACGATCGTGAGTACCGTTCGGGTATTTGCGAATTACCGTCGACGACTTCTTCATGGTCTGACACCGGCCGAAGCCGCGGTCCAACGATGCCTTGTTGAGCAGCAGCGCATCCTCGATATCGTAGCCAGAGAATGACATCACCGCTACCATCGCGTTTTGTCCCGCCGGCAGCTTGTCGTACCCGACGAGCTCGATGGTTCGCGTCTTGACCATGGGTTCTTGCGGGTATACCATGAGGTACAGCAGCGTGTCGATGCGTTCGAGCTGGTTGTAGCCGATCGAACCTTGAGCCTGCTTCGCCATGGCGCACTGTTGACGAAAAAGGCGGGGGGAGCAAAACAAAGCTGAGTGTCAGTATAAGTGCCCAAAACGAAGCGGCTCTGCGCAGAAAACGAGGAAAATGATACGCAAATGATACGCTAGGCGGGGCGATTGGTTGTGTTGAGGGTAGGGAATGAGGCCAGCGACGGCGCCGAGGATGGTGAATGGTTCGATCTCGAGATGAGTTGTATATGATGGTTTGATGTCGCGCTCGTAAATAGCAATGTTAGAGTCATTTTCCTCGTTGACGTCCAAATACTCTAACAGGCCATTTTGGAGAAAATCGTCGAAGCGACGCGCGCCGGACTTGAGCTGTCGGATGTGGTCCTCGGTGACCCGCGGTTGGCCAGTGACTGCATCGACGACGATGAGCGGACGGCAGATGCGACCACCGTCGGAAGCGATGTAGACGGTCTGGTGGTGATTGTTGGTGTAGACCGAGACGAACTCCGAGATTCGACCGGCACGGCGGAGACGTCGGAACTGCATCACGAAGCGCTGTGGGAATCGCGTGACACCGAGCACGTTACCGTTGAGGTAGACGACGAACGAGTCGGGACGGTAAAGCTCTGCGCCGGTGAGGAGGTGGATGTCCTCGACGCCGAGCGTGAATGCGACGCGCGCGATGGGCTCCTCCTCCACGTCCGTGGTGATGTGCGTGGTGAGCGCGAGGTTCTTGACGAGACCGCACGCTTCACCTTCGGGCGTGTCCGATGGACAGAGCATACCCCACTGGGAGGGCTGGAGCGCACGCGGACCGGACACTTTGCGGGTCTTTTCGAACTGCGAGCTGATGCGCGTCATCATGCCGAGTGCGGCGATGTACGAGAGCCGGCTGAGCACGTGGGTGACACCGGCGCGCTCCATCTTGAAACGCTTGAGACTCCAATTGCCGGTGGAGATGGCGCGGACGAAGCCCGAGGTGATGTAGTCGCCATTGAAGTGAAACTGGTTGAAGGCATCGAACTCGACGGTACGGTTGGGCTTCTTGAGGATCTTGTCGATGTTGAGCTTGAGGTCCGAGTTGAACTTCTTGAAGAGGTCCTCGAAGAGCAGGGCGAGGAGCTGACCGGCGAGTTCGAGCCTCTTGTTTCCGACGTAGTCGCGGTCGTCGACCTTTTTCTCGTCCTGCATGGCCATGAGCACCCTGCGCACCATGCAGGCAATGTAGATGGCCTTGGGGCGGAAGTTGAGACGCTCGACGGGCACGTGGGCCATGATGACGGTGGCGAGCACGTCGAGCGCCTCTTCAGCGAGCGGACGTCGCATGGAGAGGGGCTTGCGCGATGCCTTGGCGCGCGCGCCGATAAAGTCGAGCGCCTGCTTGCGCGTGTAGACGCCGAGCCGCGCGGCCTCCTCGAGATTGATGGCAAAGAGCTCCTTGTAGACGTCGTCGTGGCCGGCGACGAGCTGGAGGATCTCGCGGTCTGCCTGGATGCCCATGGCCTTGAAAGCGATGGCGATGGGGATGTCCTCGTGGAGCGAGTTGTGCTTGAGGAAGATCCTGCCGTGCTTGGTGAGGACGTAGGACTTGGACTTGCGCTCGTGAGTGGACGAGGTGACGGAGGCGGAGACGGTGCCCTTCTTGGAGTCTGCTTCGACAATGATTCTGTTCTTGGAGAGCTGCTCTTGAACGAGGATGACCTTTTCAGTTCCCTTTACGACAAAGTATCCTCCTGGATCCAGCGGACACTCGCTCATCTTGGCAAGCTCCTTCTCGGACTTGTTGGTGAGCACGCACTTGTTGCTGCGGAGCATGACTGGGATTCGCCCGATGGCGACATTCTTGCGGCGAATGATCTTGGAGCCGCGCGTGTACTCGATGTTGACAAAGATGTGCGCCGAGTAGGTAATGTCGCGCAGACGGCACTCGTGCGGGGTGATGGGGCGCTGCAACGCATCACCGTCGTATCGGCGGGGCTCACCGACGGTGATGTCGGTGTACTTGAGGTAGAACTTGGGGTCGATGTCCGAGGTGATCTTCTCGTTTGCTTTGATGATGTTCTTGAGGTCGTGGTCGACAAAGTAGTTGTACGAGTCGATGTGCTGTTTGACGAGACCCTTGACCTGGAGGAAGGCGGGGACGAGCTGCCACTTGTCCTCGACGGTCTTGATGGGGTCCATGAGACCCTTGCCCATATAGTTAGCGGCCTTGAGGGCGGCAATGGGGTCGTCCGAGGCGTGAGGAGGGAGATGACCCATGGCCTGGGCCATCTCTGCGAGGCTAGAGGGAAGCGCCATGGCGTCGAATCCTCGTCAAGACACCTGGCACGCCCGCGGGTGTGTGGGAGGCCTGCCCCTGATGTGTCGATTATTGGTCGAGCTGGATTGCGTTCGGTGAGGATTGAGGTGAGACAGGCCGAGTTCTACCGGAGTTGCGCAGTATGGACTGGCTAGCACCCTGGTGCTATGCTGGTGGTAGAGTTAGCAACGGCGTAGACGCTTCCTTGCGCAGATCGGGGTGCGGATTGAGAGGGTTGGCGCTGTGAGTCGATGTGATGGCGAGTGTCCCGAGAGGCGTGGCGAATGAAGAGAGAGGATCTCGCCGTGCCGTGTGAATGTGACAGTGCGGTAGGATGAGGTTGTGATCGTGATCGAGTCGAAGAGGATATGCGCAGGTGGGAGGAGAGTGCGAAGATCAGGCAGCTGGCACCGAACAAATTCTCCACCCACCGCGGCGATTTTTGGTTTTTGTGTTCGCCTCGGCTCGCCTCGCGCCCTCTCGTCTTCGCAGCCGCTTCTTGACGAAAGCTTCTCAGGGCCCGCGATTTTTGCTGCCGCTGCGCCAACCTCTTAGATTGCCGACTTCCGCGGCGGCGAAAATTGGATCGCCCGATTCGCGCAAGCCGATTCGGATCTGCGCCGGTTGCTACGCTGCGCTGTGTTGGGCTGCGGAGCGTTGCGAAATCGCAAGGTGCAGCGGTGGCCGGCAAAAAAGGGTCTCAGCGTCGTCAGTCGAGCAAAGCAGGCCGCGAATGCGTGCGGAGCGGTGACATGCTGGCTCTCGACTCCGGCTGACAATCAAATCACCCTTCGTCGGATGCTTCAACCTCTGCTCATCACCGCCTTTCATTTGCATTCGGATCGGCCGACGTTCGTTCCTGCGCACATCTCTCGCCAATCGTATCCAACGCGCTCGATCAACCAGCCACAACCATCTCAAAAGCTCCGACGGACCGCTTCTCGGCTGATCCGATCGTCACGACTTACGACCCACGCTTGAGACGACAATCCCTTCGCTCGACTCAGCCCTGCGCCTGCTTGCTACCGACACCATATCTATACCAAGCAGCTGAATCGTCACCTTGCAGCTAGTCACAGCTCTCGGCTGATCCTCTATCAACATGGCTATCGGCAATCCAGACAGCTGGATCGAGCAGCTTCGACAATGCAAATACCTCCCAGAGCCCGACATCAAGGCATTGTGCGAGATGGTCAGAGGCATCCTCATGGAGGAGAGCAACATTCAGCCCGTGTCCAGCCCCGTGACAGTATGCGGTGATATCCACGGCCAGTTTTGGGACCTCCTCGAGCTCTTCCGCGTCGGAGGCGAGCCACCGGACACCTCCTATGTCTTTATGGTAAGTGCGCGCTCCCAGCCCACTTTCACAATCATGGCGGCATACTGACCTGCCCTTCATCGATCGTACATGTACAGGGCGACTTTGTGGACCGAGGCTACTTTAGCTTGGAGACGTTCTCGCTGCTCATGGCGCTCAAGGCAAGACATCCGTCGCGCATCACGCTGCTTCGCGGCAACCACGAGAGCCGACAGATCACCCAGGTCTACGGCTTCTACGACGAGTGCCAGCGCAAGTACGGCAACGCCAATGTTTGGAAGAGCTGCTGCCAGGTGTTCGACTACCTCAATCTCGCCGCCATCATCGACGGCCGCGTGCTGTGTGTTCACGGCGGTCTCAGTCCCGACGTGAGGACGTTGGATCAGATCCGCATCATCGCACGTGCACAGGAAGTCCCTCACGAGGGTGCCTTTTGTGGTAAGTCCGCTCTTCTTCCCTTACCGCTCGCTGTTCGGCCACTGACCTTCCTCTTCGGCTCTGGGTGATGACAGATTTGATGTGGAGTGATCCAGACGACATCGAGACCTGGCGGGTGTCGCCGCGTGGAGCTGGCTGGCTGTTCGGTGGCGCAGTGACGAAAGAGTTCAACCACGTCAACGGACTCTCACTCATAGCGCGCGCGCACCAGCTGGTGCAAGAAGGCTACAAGCTCATGCACGACAACAACATCGTCACGGTGTGGTCTGCGCCCAACTACTGCTATCGGTGCGGTAATGTGGCGTCGATCTTTGCGGTGGACGACCTGATTGCGTACGAGAGCAAGAACGGCGCCTCTGCCCTCGTGGGTGCTGCAGCGAGCGGGCAAGACGAAGAGCAGGGCGATACCACCAAGACAGCGGCGGCTGCAGGGGACGCACCACAAGCAGGCAAGCCTTGGGAGGCAACACAGGCCAACTTCAAGATCTTTGACGCCGTGCCAGATCAGACGAGGACCGTCACCATGCACAGCCAGTATTTCCTCTGATCCCTTCATCCCCTAGGCCAAACGCATGCGCACTACCACGCATCGTTTCAGGAACTTCCATCCCCTCATCTTGCCACCTCGATTCTGGCACTCTAAAGCAGTTGTATTTGTAGCTCCTCACATCTTTGCCTCTCCCCGTTCCCTCCTCCAACCCCTCAAAAAACTTATGGCCGGCATTGATCAAACGGCCTGTTTCTTCTCACTGTGCCACTGTCTGATTGGATGTGTTGAGGATGAAGACGATACGAAGATGCTTTGCAATAATAGACGTACAAGTACAAAAGAGCGACAAGGGGGTATCTATGCGATCGGCGACTAAGTGGGGTTGAGGAGTGGACTACGAAAAGTGGATGCCCTTCTCGTGGAATGCGGCGAGCAACTTGAGCAAGTCGTCGATGTCCATCTTTGCGGCACGGTTCTCTGCAGTGTCGGTGTCGATGAGCACCTGCTTGACGAGGTCGGCAAAGTTGTCCTGCGGCATGATCTCCTTGACTGCACAGTAGGTCTTGTAGTTGGCCTCAAGCATGTCGATCACTCCGCGCGCATCAAAGAAGCTCGCGCGCACCGTCTTGTTGCGCCTCGAAAACACGATGCGCGTCAGACCATCAAACTCTTCGAAGGGAATCGCAGGTGGCGGATTCAACGGCGTGATCCTCACCACGCTCGATTCGACTTGCGGAGGAGGTCGGAACGAGTTGCGCGACACCTTCATGATGTGATCCACCTTCGAGTAGAGTTGGACGTTGGCCGAAAGTCGGCACCAAAGGTTGTCGCCGGGGCGAGCGATGAGTCGCAGCGCAAACTCGCGCTGGAACATGAGAATGGCGCAGCGGAAGAGCGGTCGGTGCGAGAGCAGCCTGAAGACGAGCGGCGACGAGATCTGGTACGGCGTATTGGAGATGCATACGTCAAAGTACGGCAGTTCGGTCTTGCAAAAGTCGCCGATCATGATGTCGAGCTTGCGCTGTTCGGGCCTGCAAGAATTGCGCGAATAGACAGACAGAGACGATGTGAGTTAGCACGTCGTTCGTCCGGTGTTATCGTGGGAGTCAGAGAAGCAACGGCAGCATCAAGGCAAGCGGAGGCAGCGGGAAGTGCCAGCCAGGGAGCGCCGGCGGGTACTCTGAGTCGGGGGTTCAGCTATCTTGGAAAGTTGCCGCATTGTCCGGTTGCAACGCCGGGCTCGTACGAAAGATGGTAAATGAATTCGATCATCATATCAAAAGGTCGACGGGATGTTGGCCTGCCGGGGCTCCTCGGGCTGCGCCTGCCAGTCTGCGCTGCTGCTGCTGTCGCTGCTGATGTCGTCGATGCTGCTGTTTGTGATTTGTACTCACTTTCCCTGGACACGCTTGCTCAGCTCGGCGGCCATGCGTGGGTCCATCTCGACGACGGTGGTCTTCTTGGCCTTTTCCAGGATGCGGACCGTAAGGTTACCGGTACCAGGACCGACCTCGAGCACCATGTCTGTTGGTTTGAGGTTGGCCTTGTCGACGATGCCCTGCGCGACGAGCGGGTTCTTGAGAATGTGCTGGCCGAACTTGTCCGTGTTGAAGATGGGGTTCTTGGTGGTGGCGCTCGAGTTCTGGTTCGAGGCGTGCGCGGCGTTGGGGTTGGAGGCAGCGGTACGGGCCGAGCCGGGGCGCAGACCCGCAGCCGGCTCGTGCTGGCGCGATAGCTTGGCAGAGACCGCTCGCGGCATGGTTGCAATCGATGTTGGTGGTGGGTTGGCAAAGGGCTGAAGGAGCCGAGGTAGGTCTTGAGCATGGGTGGAGCCAAAAATTTCCTGCCAGAGCCGCACCCTCGTGAGGGAGAAAAAAAAGGCAAGGGCGTGGCAGCGAGAGGTGGCCAAAAAATCCGAACCCTGGAAAAATTCAACTCAAAATGGCAGGCACTCGGCTCCGACTGAGCGCTCGATGTTTCAGAATGTTAGGGCGGGGGCCAGGCGGACGTGCGTCGGTGCGGTTGGGCCAGCGCGCGACCGGCGGAGAAGGAGAGCCAGCTCGCACTGAGCCACGCAGCGCGCCGTCGGTGTTGAGGTGAATCTGTGGAGCGAGAGCGCATCGTGTTGGGCAAGTCACAGTTCGGCGATTCCGAAGCTTCTCGACACCAGATCCCACGCTCATCACTCATCCTCCTCTACCGTCACCGTCACCCATCGCCACCTCAGCTGTCGCCGCTTTGATCGATAACGAAAGCATCTGCGGCCATCATCCTGTCGCCCTCTCGTCGCATCTGAGCTGTGCCGATTCCGAACAGGCATTCCGCCCGCACATCGTCGCCGACGCTCGCTGGGTGCCATCTGGCCGAGCAGCAGCCTCAGACTCGGCTCAGCCAAGCTCGGCATCTCCGTCACTAGCTCTTGCGGCGATTCGTCACGCCACTCCATCCGATCGCAGCCGACATATAGCCCGTCATGAGCCGCCCGCGCTTCTTCAACGCTCCCCGCAAGGGCGAGAACTTTGAGCTGCGCGCCGACCTCAACTCGGAATACAGGGATCGCAGAAAGGACGCCATCAAGCGCGTCATCGCCAACATGACCGTCGGCAAGGACGTCAGCGGCCTCTTTCCAGACGTGCTCAAAAACATGCAGACCGAAGACCTCGAACAGAAGAAGCTCGTCTACCTCTACCTCATGAACTACGCCAAGACGCAGCCCGAGCTCGTCATCCTCGCCGTCAACACGTTCGTCAAGGACTCCGAAGACCCCAACCCGCTCATCCGTGCGCTCGCCATCCGCACCATGGGCTGCCTCCGTGCCGAAAAGATCATCGACTACCTCTCCGACCCGCTCGAAAAGTCGCTGCGCGACGACAACCCGTACGTGCGCAAGACCGCCGCCATCTGCGTCGCCAAGCTGTACGACCTCAAGCCCGATCTCGCCGTCGACCGCGGCTTTGTCGGCATGCTCAAGGACATGGTCGGCGACAGCAACCCTATGGTCGTCGCCAACGCCGTCACCGCACTCACCGACATTCACCAGACGGCTCTTGAACGCGACCCCACCGGCCAGTCGGCCGTGTTTGTGATCGACCCGGACGTGCTCACCAAGCTGCTCATCGCGCTCAACGAGTGCACCGAGTGGGGCCGCATCGCCATCCTCAACTCGCTCGCCCGCTACCGCGCCCGCGACGAGAAGCAGGCGGAACACATCTGCGAGCGTGTCATGCCCCAGTTCCAACACGCCAACGGAAGCGTCGTGCTCGGCGCCGTCAAAGTCGTCCTCATCCACATGGCCAAGGTGCGCTCCAACGATGAGCTCATCAAGCAGCTCGTCCGTAAGATGGCGCCACCCCTCGTCACGCTCATCTCGTCCGCACCCGAAGTGCAGTGGGTCGCACTGCGCAACATCAACCTCGTGCTGCAGAAGCGTCCCGACATCCTCCAGAACGAACTGCGCGTCTTCTTTTGCAAGTACAACGACCCTTCGTACGTCAAGCTCGAAAAGGTCGAGATCATGATCAAGCTCGCCAACGAGCGCAACGTCGACATGCTCCTCTCGGAGCTCAAGGAGTACGCCTCCGAGGTGGACGTCGACTTTGTGCGTCGAGCCATCCGTGCCATCGGCCAGTGTGCCATCAAGATCGACGCAGCCGCCGAACGATGCGTGCACGTGCTGCTCGACCTCATCGCCACCAAGGTGAGCTACGTCGTGCAGGAGGCGGTGGTGGTCATCAAGGACATCTTCCGCAAGTACCCGCACAACTACGAGGGCATCATCCCCACGCTCTGCGCCAACCTCGAGGAGCTCGACGAGCCCGAGGCCAAGGCATCGCTCATCTGGATCCTGGGCGAGTATGCGGACAAGATCTCGAATGCCGAGGAGCTGCTCGCTCACTTCCTCGACTCGTTCACCGATGAGCCATACCAGGTGCAGTTCCAGACGCTCACCGCCATCGTCAAGGCCTTCCTCAAGAAGCCCGACAGCGGCGTGGCGCAGCAGATCGTGCAGCAGGTGCTCGAGAAGGCGACCAAGGAGTGCGACTCGCCCGACCTGCGCGACCGCGCCTTCATCTACTGGCGGCTGCTCTCGTCGTCCGACTCGGCCGCCGGACGCAACGTCGTGCTGGCCGAGCGTCCGCCCATCTCGATCCCGCTCACGACGGTGCCGCCAGGCGTGCTGGACGAGCTCGTGGCCGAGCTGTCGAGTCTGGCAAGCGCATACCACAAACCCGCAGCGACGTTCATCGGCAAGGTGCGCTTCGGCGCCGACGGCGTGCGCAGTCTGGGCGCCGAGGCGGGCGAGGACGAGATCACGCGCGAAAAGGCGCTCGCCACCGTCGTGCAGGGCCAGAAGTCCGAGAACCTGCTCGACTTTGGCGACGACGATGTGGAGGCGGCGCCCGCTGCGGGGTCGGCGAGCAATGGCGGCGGCGCGCTGGGCGCGCTGGCAGGGCTGGATGGTCTGATGATGGGTGCATCCATCTCGTCGCCCACGGCGCAGGCGGCAGGCGGTGCAAAGCCAGCACCGGCGGCGGGAGGTGGGCTGAATGATCTGCTCGGGCTGTTTGATGCCGCGCCGGGAGCCGACGAGCCAGGCGCACAGAGCGGCATGCAGGCGCTCAATGCGCTCTCCCAACCCATGGCGTCTACGAGCCCAGTGCCCAACACCACCGCAAGCCCCAAGCCCGCACAGCCAGCACAGTCGTCCCAACAGGATGACCTGCTTGGCCTGTTTTGATCCTGCATGCACCTGCTCAATCACACGTCACACAACGCATTGCTGGTGCACACAAGGAGAACATGAGATGACGTGAGAGACTTTTGAAGCGAGGCTGCGAATTTGCTTTTGTGGCAGAATATAGTACATTTCGGGACGACGAAGGGAGAGGGCTTTAGACAGAGAGCTCGGCCTTACCAGCGCCCTGGATGGCAGCTTGGTAGGGCTCGATGGCGGGGCGCACCCACTTTGCAAGGAAGCTGTCGACCTGCTGTTCGGCGCGGCCAGTGAAGCTCTTGGGGTCGAGCAGCTGGTCCATCTGCGGGATGATGGGCGCAAAGTAGGCGTCGGCCTTGATCCTTGCGATCAGGTCGTTCTCGCGACCGTGCTCCTTGACCTCGGCAGCGGCCTGGTGCGAGAGCACACGGATGCGCTCGTGGCACTCCTGTCGGTCACCACCGGCACGCACCATGGCCATGATGACGTTCTCGGTCGCCATAAAGGGCAGCTCGCTCTGGATACGACGAGCAATGATGGCCGGGTAGACCACCAGACCCTCGGAAACGTTCTGAAGGATGGTGAGGATCACATCGGCAGTGAGGAACGCCTCGGGGATCGAAAGACGACGGTTGGCAGAGTCATCGAGCGTACGCTCCATCCACTGGGCACCGGCCGTCTCGCGCGCCGAGTTGACCGCGTTGCCCAGCCAGCGCGCCAGACCGCACACGCGCTCGGAACGCATGGGGTTGCGCTTGTACGCCATGGCCGAGGAACCGATCTGGTCCTTCTCGAATGGCTCCTCCACCTCCTTGAGGTGGCAGAGCAGTCGGATGTCCGTGGCCATCTTGAGCGCCGACGCCGAGAAGCTCGAGAGGCTGTTGAGCACGTCGATGTCGACCTTGCGCGAGTACGTCTGGCCGGTGACGGGCATGGCGTGCGGGAAGCCAAACAGCTCGGTGACACGCTCGTCGAGCGCCTCGACCTTGGCGTGGTCGCCGTCAAAGAGCGCGAGGAACGAAGCCTGGGTGCCCGTGGTGCCCTTGACGCCGCGGAAGCCGAGGTCGTCGCGTGCGCGCTGGATGTTGCGCAGATCCCACAGCAGCTCCTGGATCCAGAGCGTGGCGCGCTTGCCCACGGTGGTGAGCTGGGCGGGCTGCATGTGGGTGAAGCCGAGCGTGGGCAGCGCCTTGTGCTTCTCGGCAAACGCAGCGAGACGCTCAATGACGAGGGCGAGCTTGGGCAGAAGCAGGTCGAGGCCCTTGCGCAGGAAGATGAGGTCGGCGTTGTCAGTGACGTAGCACGAGGTGGCGCCAAGGTGGATCACTCCGGCGGCCTCGGGAGCGACGAGGCCAAAGACGTGGACGTGGGCCATGACGTCGTGGCGGCGACGCTTCTCCTCCTCGGCGGCGAGGGCCATCTGGCGCTCGTCGAGCGTGAGGTTGGCCTTCATCTGTTCGATGGCCTCCTGGGAGATGTCCAGACCAAGCTCACGCTCGGCAATGGCGAGGTTGAGCCAGAGTTCACGCCAGGTGGAGAAGCGAGTGGCGTTGGAGAAGAGACCCGACATCTCCTTGGACGCATAGCGCGCCGAGAGCGGCGACTGCCACGATTCGAAAGAAGCCATTTTGATGTTGGAAAGGTGACCGGGGAGTGAGGAAGGATGGATGGGGATGGTGGTGACAAGGAATAAGGCTAGACGTTGGGTCGGACACGAGAAGCGCTCGGATGTGCTGTCAAGGGACTTATCCGCAGCGGAAGCGTCTTGGAACGAATCACAATCGCAATCGATAGGGTGCTTCTTCTCTCTCCGCACGAACCTGCTGCCTGCAGAGCGCAAAGAGAACGCTTTGCGATGAGTCGAAGTGTGCTGAACGTGTCTGTGCGGAGGCCGTGCCAAAGCCAAATTTTTGAGGTGGACGCTTTCTTTTTTTTTTCTTCGCCCTGTCGGCGTAGCTCGGGTCTTTCCGAAGATTGTCGAGGTCTGAATCGGGCTGAGCACGACGACATCGGGATGCATGGACCCTGACGAGAGGCAACCTTCTCGCAACACCCGCCCTCCGTCCCTTTGATCCATCACGGCATCCACCCAACATCATGGCTATAGCAATGCCAGACACAGATGCTGCCTGTCCGCTCAATACGGTGGCTGTGGTCCCGTACGACCTCCCGCCGTCCGCTTCCTCTGCCTCGCGCTCGCGTGCAGCGTTGGACGCCTCAGCGCGGTCCGCAGGCTCGCTGGTCTCGGCTGCGTCGAATCTGATTGGCGCCATTGCGCAGGGCACCGCATCTGCCCAGGACGGGCAGTCTGAAACTCTTGTCGACGACTCCGAAAGCGACGATGGCTCGAGCTCGTTCACGTACACCGCGCCGGCAGGCTCTTCCAGCGGCACCCAGGACGGCGGCTGGTACGCCTCGACGCCGTACCACATCTCCAACCGATACTACGAAGTAGACATCACGCTCAAGGCCACGCGATCTGCGTTATCTTCCGCCGCTGCGGAGGGTAATGTGCTGTCACAGCCCTTCCCTGCGTACCTCGTAGTTGTCGACCGCAGCCGCAGCCTGGATCATCATCGACAGCTCGCCGCCAGTCTCGAGTCCAAGGTCGCTTCGGGCTTTGACGCGGACATCAGCATAGTTGTGGGCGTGTCTCTGCTCTCGTCATCGCATCCGCAACTGGTGCGAAATTTCGATGACGAGCCACGTTCCGCGCCAACGGAGGCTCGGAACGATGTTGTCAAAACGAGCGATCTTGTGGCGGTGTACGCCGATGCAGGATGGGAGTTCATCGCGATTGATGAGGCGGACGCAGACGGCTCGGATGTAGTGTCGAGTCAGGGCCATGGATCCGATGGTGAAGACAGCGAAGAGGGCGGCGATGGCATCGGGAGGATCCGCGAGGCACTCATGAACCACATGTGGAATGGACTAGTGCGCAAGCAAGATGCGACGAGTGGATTGCGCGGATCGTTGCCAAGGGAGAATCACTCGTCTATCACCAGCAACACCTTGTCAAGCATCGGATTCTCCGACGATACGACCGCATGGCGCCAAGACCGACATGACCCGATCGAGCATGGGCCGCGTCTTGCTGGTGCAGGGGAGGAAGCGAGGCGCGAGGCGATTTCAGAAGGGGCACGACTTCCGTCACTGGGCGTGGGAACGCATGCAGAGACGAGCGAGCTGGACGAGCAACTGGCCAACCTGTTTCTCTCATCATCCCGTCCTTCTGACCTGGCTGAACTCGAAGCGTTTCTGGCGTCGGAAGATCCGTCGTGGCCCACTGCGTCATCATCCTCTGCACCTGCTCCGGCTGCTCCGGCTGCTCCTGCATTCGACGATGATTTCGACGACTTTCTTCCGTTCCAATCAGCCGGCTCTTCCGAAGCATGGCCTACGCCCGAGGGTGCGGATCTTCCGTCGGACCGCGAGGTTGCCGACATGCAGAACGTGCTCTTTGGCTCGCAAACGGGATCAAAGGAGGACGAGGGCGATCTGGTATCGCAGCTCAACCAGCTCCAGTACCACGCGCAGCGCGTGCGCGGCATCGACGACCCGGACCAGCGCAGGAAACAAGCTGCACTCATCGCGCTTGCTTTCAGCATGCAGTGGTCTGAATCTGAACCCCAACAATCACGACCCGACGGATCCGACGAACTGGCATTCTAGATCACACAAAGCGAGGGTCAATGTCATTCGATTTCTGATTCGCGGGCGTCGAGGGACAGCAGCATCTACTGGGCCTTCTGGAGACGCTCCTCGGCAGCCTTGAAGTTGATCACTTCCCAGATGGCCTTGAAGTAGTCGGCCTTGACGTTCTGGTACTGCAGGTAGAATGCGTGCTCCCATGCGTCCACGCCGATCAGAGGCACGTGGGCTGCGAACCATGGTGGAAGATAAGTTTTTCCTGTCAGCAAGGCGAGTCTCCGTGAATAGAAGGTGATGGTTGGGGTGGCGACTTACACAGCAGAGGGTCCTGGTTAGCGGTCGTGACGATGTCGAGCTTCTTGGTCTGGGGGTTGTAACCGAGCCAGCCCCAGCCGGATCCCTGAATCGCGGCGATCTGGGCGTTGAACTTCTGCTTGAGTCCATCGAGGCTGCCGAAGTCGCGGTCGATAGCGTCCTTGAGCGCGCCGTTGGACAGCTCACCACCACCGTTCTTCTTGGGTGCGAGGTTCTCCCAGAAGAGCGTGTGGTTGATATGTCCGCCGCCGTTGAAGTTGATGGCCTTCTGCAGCGCGATGGCGCTCTTGACGTCCTTGTTGTGCAGCGCCTCGGCAAGCTGGTCCTCGGCAGTGTTGAGGCCGTTGACATACGTCTGGTGGTGCTTGGTGTGGTGCAGCTCCATGATCTGGCCCGAGATCGAAGGCTCCAGCGCTCCGTAGTCGTACGCAAGGTCGGGGAGCGTGTGCTTGGCGCGTACGGACGCAGCCAGACCGCGCGTCGAGGCCGGCAGAGCGCGAGTGTATCGAGTAAGAGCAGTTCGCAGCATTGTGGATTCAGTAGTGCAGTGATGGAAGCTTTCAGGTTGGTTACGGCTGAGAAGGTGGATCGAGCTCAGCTATTTAACGTCGGCTTCCCCGAGCTGGCCGGGAGCTTCGGCCCTAAGACGAGCACGGACGCTCTTTTTCGTCAGCTCAACCTCCACCGCCAGGCGCAAATTGACGCAATCCCAGATTCCTCATTCAGCCTGGCCGCGGCGTTTCCGCGCCCTGCCCGAGGATTTTGGCGCTCGCTGACTGGATCGGGATGCGCTAGAGCAGCCTTTCACGCCGAGGCTGCGCATCGATCACACGCCAAAGTCGATCTGAAAAAGGGAGCACCAAATGATCCCGATGGGAAAGTGAATCGGGAAGAGCTTAGCAATTCGCGTCGCGTAAAGGACCAACAGCTGCGCACCGAAGGTGTCACTTTTGAGCTCGAGGCGTAGCCAACGCTTTAGCGCTCCACTGCGCCTCGCTACGAGATCAACACCACCACAACAGCAGCAGCTTCCGGCTCCTTCCTTTCCACCTGAAGGCCACCAGACCTCCAATACGGCCATGTCGTTCATCCGCCAACCGTATCTACTATAGACTGCTTCGCCTCAAGCCCAACTTTCGGGCAGCATACAAGGGAAATGCACCCATGCTCCATATACCCAACATGCAGCTCGACGGCCGACAAGGCGTTGCTCGGCCCAAAGAGGTGGTCCCGACCTCGGACGACGATGACATTTTCTTCATCTCGCAATCATCCACAAGCATGGCTTCTAACATAGCTAGCTCGTCCCGTGTCACGCTCGATACCCACCTTGCACCGCCGCCACAAATCGACTTGGTTAACGATGGTGATGAAGATGACGATGGCGACGAAACAGTACTCCCAGTGCGTCCAAAGGCTCGCACATACATGGACACATTACCGCGGTCTTTGCTAGAGAATGCGCTCGACAGAAGCATTCTTCCGACCACAGACGCTGTAGAGGCGGTAGCACCTCTGTCACAAACATCGGCCTTATCCTCCCCACCGGCAACTCCACCATTAAGACCCGAGAGCCCAATAGACGCGACAGATGTGCGGCCGCGAGGATCACCCAGCCCAGTGCGAATACTAGACAACGGAGGCATCGAAGAATCGTTGCCACCAAGTCAAAGAAGCGACGCCACCGTACCTCTCCCCTCATCTAGTCAGCACATCGATTCAAGCCAGCATTTCCCGCTTGATCCGCCATTATCACCTTCAACTGCAAGCCAACAGCCCACACGACCTCCGATGGACGAATCGCCTCCATTGACTCCGCTACGCATCCCGCAGGTCCAGACTCGGACTGATGATGGCCTCGACGGCGAGGCCCACCGTAAACCATCGCCAATGCCGGCCCGCCAGGTTGCGAGCGAGCCAGACTTGCTGCCAGTGGCAACCCCTCCACTCTCGCCACTTCGCATACCCAGCCGACCTGCTGCGCACCGGTCACCTCCAATGCAGGCGCAGACTAGCCCTGAGATGCCGAGGCAATCACCGCAGCGGAATACGACCATCGATGATGAACGGCTCGCCCGCGCCGCCGCCGCACAGCCACCCACGCCGCCTCGGCGCCAGCTTCGGGCACGAAAAGCGGCGCAGCTCAACCCGTACACGCTCGAAGCCGTGCGCTACCAGCGTGCGCTCATCCGCAACGACTGGGAGGACGCTGTCGTCAGCCAGCGAGAGTGGCATCGCCAGGAGCGCAGGCGGCTCGCAGAAGAGGCGGCTCGCGCACAACGCGACGACCCGGCTGCACAAGGCTCTGGCGAGTCTCAGAGTCAGTGGCTTGTACCTGGATCCGATCCCAGCTCCCAGGCCGAATACGAAGCAGACCTGACCTCATCGTCTCAATCTGTCCCTACAGCGCCTCAGGTGATCGTGGAGATTCCTGTACTTGGTCGCTCAGATTTCGAACAGCGGCAAGCAGGTGGATCGCGTTCCAGAGGGGTAACTCCGTCGTCATCGCAGGCTGAATCTTTACCAGATCTTGCAGAGATTCTAGCCAAGGCTGCCAGGACTACGACGAGACCTAGCGCAAGTGCGGACAGGGCGGGCGAGCCGGGAGTACAAACTACGTACAAGGGTGCGCGCAGTGCTGTGCTTCCAGCTGACAGGCCAGAGACACAGGCATCGGATAATTCTGTACAAGAGCAAGAGAGTGGCGGGGCGCCGATTCTCGTGCCCAGCCGACGAAAGCATCCCTTGCGTGCTCTGTCACCTTCCGACACTGAAGACAATGTCGCAGATCAAGCAACAAGCCCACGCGTCCAGGCGACGGTGACGATCGAGTCTTCGGAGGACGAACGGCCTGCGCCCAAGCCGACGACCCAACGCTCCCGGCGAAGGAGTCGCTGGTCTGGCAACGGGTCAAGCAGCGACAGCACCGACTACGAAAGGCGCTTCCGCCAGCTCAAGAGGATGATGCCTGCAGGAATGGCGCGCAAGCACATTCGTGACTTGCGTGCGATGAGGCACGGCAAGGCGTACCATTCGGACGGCCATGTCTCCTCCTCTTCGACGGACAATGTGCCGGGTCACACTGCCAATCAGAACAAGCCGCCAGTCATGCCAGAAGAAAGCGATGACAAACTGCAGCCCGGCCAGACGCGCAAACGATTGCGGCGGCACGACAGTGCCGACAACGCTCTGCTCATCGACCCAGACTCGGAATCGGACTCGTCCTCCGCGTCGACTGCACCCAGTCGGCTTCGCAGTCTCTCGCCCGAGCCAATTGCTCCCCGTCTCCGCAGCCCGAGCCCGGATAGTGACGAGGCTGAAGAGATGGAAGAGGCGCCCGTTGGCTGGTGGTCCGTCCATCGGCTCGAGTCGAGAACACCATTCCGCGAACGCGATGCCATCGATCGTATGCTCAGCCGCACTGCTGGGCGCAAACCCAGCACGAAGAAGGCCCGATCGCAAGCAGTACATTCGGTCCACCGACAAGCGCGACTGGACGGCTTTCTTTCACACGAACGCTCTGAGCGGCAATCGGGATCGAAGAGGTCGCAACTGCGCGAGATCGATCAGAACCGAGCGAAAAGTGGCGACACCAGGGATAAAGACGAACAGCGAGCGAGAAAGAAGAGGCGAAAGACAAAGAAGCTCGACCCACGGGTCGGACGCACCTCGAGCGCAAGACAGCCCGGTGGAGCGCCTATCGAGCTGCGCAATCCTCCCGTGGTGCGGCCCCGCGTGAAACCCCGCCTGGACTTGGAGCGTCATGACCTGCTGTTTGCGCGCGACCCGGTCAAGACCCTCGAATCTGCGAGACGGGGGGGAAACGACAAAGCGCTCGATGGCTTCAGCTCGGATGACGACGAACCCTGGCAGGTGCTGAGTAGTCTCGCACAGGACGGTGCAGCGGCACTGCCTGATGCAAGGCTCGCAAAGCCGCGAAACCGACCGATGGCGCTTCCCACGATCCGCGAGGGCGAGGGAACTCCTTTGCGCAATTCTTTGTCGTCGCCATCCGTCAGCGTTGCGTCAGTCGGCGTGACGAGGATCAACGCAGATGCAGTGCGCAGTCCAAGCACGCCAACACGTGCACTCCCGCCCGGGACCGCACACATTCCACACCAGAACCTCAGCATCGGGCCCATGCCGCCGATCGAGGCCAAGCACATCGACACATGGGACGACTTCGAGGGCATCAGTCTCGATTTCGGTATTGCCGCCTTGGCCTCCGGACAGAAACTCAGCCATGGCGCATCGGATCTCTTTGCTCGCATCCAAAACCTGGTCGCGCTGCCGGAAAGGCTGCTGCGCCGCGAGCCGACACCGCGCACGTGGCGTGGCGAGGTGCTGCGTCTGGACGACACAACGCTGAGCATGGACATGGACGCCGACGCCCTGTCTTCCAACCTTCCCTTCTACGTCGACAGCCTGCGCCTCCAGATCAGCCGCATGTTCGACGACGCAGAGGACAAGGCGGATGCGGCGAGATTGTCTGCAAAGCTCGTTAGCGACACGGGCGCGTTCCTGGGTTGCTGGCTTGTAAGGTGTGCACAGGCGGCGTTCGAGGCGCGAAGAGATGCCGCTGCGCTCTTCGCGTGCTACAGGACGATGCTGGAGCGCATCGAGCAGTTGCAGACGTCGATACTGGCGATTCAGCAGCGGACGGACGCCGCCAAGAAGCATCGCAATGCAGTATGCCTGCAGCTCGCCTGGATGCGTTTCGAGCTCTGCTGGCGAGCTGTGGCCGTGTGCGATGCCGAGGCCGCGTTTGCTCTGGAGCCCGAGGCGCCAACCGTGGAGAGTCTGCTCGCCTTTGCGCGTGCACTGATGGCTGTCCTGCTGCATCACGGGCTCCATCGCTCGGTGCGCGCCTTGCGCAATGCCGTCTCCGCCTCTGACGATGGCGCTGAAGGTGGATTGGGTACACAGGACGCGGCTCCGCTGGACGACGCGGCCTCGATGTGGGTCGGGGTGATCCACCTGCTCGACTCGTTTGAGAAGAGCCGTGGCATTGCCGACGGACGGCTGTTCTGGACACAGTTCGAACAGGCGCATGCGCGGTGGGACAGCACCATGCAGCGCGCGCCCCTGCTGCGTGCGGAAAGCCTGTGGTACTGCACGTTCGCAATGCCCTTGTTCTCGCAGATCTCGCCCTCGGGCAGCGTGCAGCTGCCGCTGCTGCGCGAGTGTTGGTCTGCAGTCGCACGGGCGCTGGGTATGCTCCGCTTCCGCACCGACGAGGCGTCCGAGATCAGCATGGGCTGGCACGTGCTTGCGCGCCGCGACGCCTACGTCCGCATTGTCCTACAGCGCTGCTGTCTCTTGGTGTCCGAGTGGCGCTGGGGCATGGATGGCGCCGACCTCACGCTCGCGCGGCTGTTCGACATCTTCAACTCGCACAAGCTGGCAGACTTGCCCACAGAGACGGAACACGACTTTCCGGCTTTCCTTCGCGATTTCGACGTGCGCAAGCTCGAGGTGGCGGTGGACAGGGAGGCAAGAGAGGACCCGAGCTTTCATCTGTTCGTTCGGCTGCTCGCGCGGGCCGGGCACGCGCTGCGGCTGTCCGTTTCCGAGGCCAAGGAAGGAGACCGCAAGATCGCCAGGCTGTTTTCCAGGATGACACCCGTGCGCGTAATGCCGTTCACGAGGACGGACGTGCCGACAAGCGCACAGAGGTCGGTACTTTTCAACCACTACGCGGTGGTGATGCTGCTGCTCCATCTGGTACCTGCCTCATCGCCGCAGAGGCTTAGACAGATTCAGAGCTTCCTGCCTGCGTTTGGCGAGGCCGACTTTACCAGCCAGGTCACGAACGTGCGTGCGATGATGTACGTCGCTGTCGAGTTCAGACACCACCGACTCGACCTCGCGCCCGTGGTCAAGTGGTTTGGCGACACGATCACCAGTCTCCGGAAAGAGTACGGCGAGATCGACCGAATTGTACGCCAGCACGACACTCCGCACGGAGGGCAGAGGGTGGCGGCGGTATTCGAGAACGCGCCCAAGAGACAGGCGGTGCTAAGGCGCAAGGAGGAGGTCGCCCGGCTGCTCGTGGTGGCGCTGCGTTCGATCCAGCACGTCATCAGGCACGCGGATCTGGAAGGAGCCGCGGCCAAGTTGCCGGACCAGCAGCTTCTGCACCCGGCATGGACGCACGAGCTGCTCGCGGCGCAGATTGCGCTCGAGCCACGCATTGGTCAGGAGGGCTTGAAGTGCATCCAGACCTTCCTGCTTGCACGCATTCGCGCGTTCTCGACCTCTGCCACACACCACAGCGTTGCAAACAATCCGACTTCAAACGGCGGCGGGGGAGGGGAGGACAGTCAGGACAGCTTTGCGGAGCTGTTCGACGCCGCCGACGACGATTTTGACTTTGAAGACCCACTGCTTGCTCGCTTGCTGGATGGCACTACCGACACGGAGCAAGTCGTGTCCACCGCTGTGGCGGAAGCCGAAGAGCGGAAACAATGGGACCGCGAATTCGGTGATCTGGTCAAAGTCAACATCTCGCCGGCACTGTTCCAGCTGCTGTCGAATGTGTATCACCCAGATGCGCGCGTGGTCATGGGGCTCGGCGTGACAGAGCGGCTTGGGACGGACACGGCACGTGCCGGAGCGAGCACGCGCATGGCGCAGCTGATCCAGGCAGCCGAGGCGCGCCAGTTCCTCGAGCTTGTGGTCGACTGCTGGGCGGGCTGTGCGCAGGTGCTTGTCGCCAACGGTCTGCGCGCGTGGAGCTCGTACCTGGGCTTTGGCAACGAATCGTGGAAACGCATCGACCATGCGGTTGGGCGCCGCGATGTCGCGCTCCGCTTCATGCAAAACCTGCTCACGCTCGACCCGGGCGCACTCGACAGGAAGGAGTACGAGGTGGAGTGTGTGGCTGTTTGGATCCAGACGGCTGTGGCGCGCGTGCTGTCGGTACAGAATGTCTTTACTGTCGAACTCGTCAAGACCGCCTCGTCACGATACCTCGCTCTTCTGCCTTCGCTCACGGCTCGATGGAGCGAGGTCATGCCGGACGGGGACATCGACTTGGATACTTTCGCGGACATCAGGCCACGGATGCTGGATGCTACGTTGACGTGGATCGCTACGGAGCTGCGAGATGCTCAGGGCACGGCACACACTGTGCTTTCCGCGCTGCTCTCGGCATTGCGCGCGTACGTCGAGGACGCACCGAACAGCAGCGCGGGAGCCGAATACGTCGCCTTCGCCAACGATACGCTGAGTGCACTGCAGCAGCGCATGCAAGGTGCGCAGCTGAGCGCCGCGCTGCTGAGCGACGTGGCCCAGGCGAAACAGGTCATCGACTCGCGCCTGCACCCGCGGCAGTAGCCGTCTCATCGCGCGCGAGAGTTCCGCAGTCTTGCCCTCGTCATCTCCACTCCACGCTCACCGCCAAGCCACACGGTTCGTCGACTCCAACCTTAGTCCTCTGTCACACCGTTGGGAATCACAAACCTGGCGCGCTTGAAAGTTCATTCGTTTGACATGCTTGAATTGTGGATCGTTCGCACAGCCGCCCTCTGCTCCGAGCGTCCTCCTTCGAAAGGCGGATCGCGAGGCTCGGCGGTTCGTCGACTGCAAACCTAACCTTCCGTCACACCGATTGAATCACACATCTTGCTCGCTGAAGAGTTCGCTTGGCATGCTTTGAATTGCAGGTTGTTCGCACAGCCGTCCTCCTCTGCAACGTGGACCTCCGGGCCACACGCTTTGTCGACTTTCACTCTCTGTCACGACAGCAGGAAGCATAAAGTCGGCGCGCTAACTTGTAGAGTTCTTTTGTTTGACGTGCTTGAGTTACGGGTTGTTCGGACATCCGCTTTCTGCTCCGGCTCCTTCCTCCGCAAGGCGGACCGCCAGGCTCATGGTTTGACACCAAGCTTGTGTCACATGGACGGGATCCACAACCTGGGTGCAGCCGCTTCTTTCCTCCGACGTCCTCCTCCGCAAGGCAGATCGCCAGGCTCCGCGGTTCGTCGACTCCAGCCTTCTGTCGCGCCGATGCAAATCACAACCTGACGCGCCGATAGCATCCACCAACTCGGCGCAGTCGCTTTCTGCTCCCGGCGTCCTCCTCCGCCCGGCGGACCTCCAGGCCACACAGTTCGTCAACCCCAACCTTGGCCTTCTGTCACACCGCACCGTTAGGAATCACAAGCTGGACGCGCGTGAAAGTTGGTGGGTTTGACAAGCTTGAGTTGCGGGTTGTTCGGACAACTGTGGTCCGGCGTCTTTCTCCGCAAGGCAGACCGCCGCGCCACGCGTTTCGCCGACTCCAGGCTCAGCCTTCTGTCACAACGATGGGAATCACAGACTTCGCATCGCGACAAGTTGAAATGCGTGTGACCACCGCAGAGGGCCGCACAGAGGAGATGTGTGAGCCACTGGTCGACACCAAGTCGTGGTCAGTCACCCCGTGGCATTCTAAATCCGCCTCTTTCGCAACCACACCACTCTTCCTCTGTGGTCTGGCGTGCTGAAATGTTCGATTGAAATGCACGAATTGCGGCTTGCTAGACGGATGTGCGCAGCAGTCCTAAAATGTTCTTGAGTTCGTCTAGCGCGGACTCTTCTCCCACGAGCGCGGCTGTTGGATGGTGCACGGCGGCACATATAGCGATCAACCCCGCGACGAGCGGTGCAAACGTCGGCGCAGGCGGGGTATTAAGATGAACCATCAACACCTTGCCCCCCTTCTCCGCTCTTTTGCGCACCACATCTATCACCCCTCTCAACTCTTCCAACTCTTCCTCCGCCTCTCGTAGCCTTTGTTTCGTCTGCGAGGTTCTTAGGACGGTTTCGATGCTTTGTGATGTTGGTTTGGCTTCGCGCGGCAACACTGGCCAACCCTGATTGGAACCCGGTTCTCCCGCTCCACACAACTCTGCATAAAGCAACGCTATCCTTGCAGTAAGGGCTGGAGCGGTGTCAAGGGAGCGTAGGGATCGTCGTAGCGAGTTGGCGTGACGCCACCAAAGGGCGGATTTGAACTGCGACGCGTTCTTGTACCACACCCGATCGAGCACCACCCGCTCAGCCTCAACGGCTTGGAGCCCAACAATGAGTGCGCGTAAAGAGCGTTTCAGCTGCTTCAACGTTGCCACCCCAATCGATGCATCCAAGGTGGTGCTGTCGACTTTGGACTTGCTGTCAGATCCACGCTCAGCGCAGGCGGCGTCCAGTCTCGCCTTCTTGCCGGTCGAACGCGAGGTTGGGATGGACGTCGTAGCTGTGCGCTTCAGCGATTGGCTTGAGCCGCCAGGACCGCTGGTGGAGCCTTTCATGCCGGTTACAACCCGCTCGTGCGCCGCCGCGTACGTGATGAAAAGCAAGAATGGTGATGGCGAGAAAGACAGCACCACTTTTTTTTCGGCTCAGGGTTCACCGCCCAAAGTGGAGGCGGCCCGCTCAAGCTCCGACTTCCGAACTCCTCATCTCATCACACGACCCACCATCACTTCGCGCTATCCACCGAGATTCGCATTACAGCTGCCGCGAGATGCGGTTGTACACCGAATCGTGGGCGCCAGGCGACCTGCTATTTTTCAGATCCGTGTACGGGCTGCGCCCCCCGATCTGTCTCGAGCTGCGCCGTGTGGGCGTGTCGGGCACCTGCGTCCCATAGAACGACGCCGAGTTCCTCTGGTCGCCTCCAGGCGAACGCGGGCCGGCGGGCACCGCTGCGCTTCCAGCCGGTGCATCGTCCCTGAGCTGATAGCCCTGCTTGGGCGCGCCGCCGTTGGACGTGATTGGCGCCGCACTCGCCAGCCCCGCTTGTGGCATGGGCGGCAACCTGCTCTCCCTCCTCGGCCCCATCCCCTGACGCATGCCGCCGCTTCCGGGCGTTCCGGGCGCACTGCCCGCGACCGAGCTGCGCGCCGGACTGCCGCCAACCGCAAGCTGGAGCGTGTGCATCGTCGCCATCTGCTGCTGCAAAAAGTCGCCCGTGCCCGGGCGCATGCGCAGCAGCTTCATCGCCATGTCGAGCGAGCCGTTGGCGGCCGCCTCCGAGTCGTCCTCCTTCTTCTCCTGCTTGCGCTTCTTGATGGTGCCGAGCGAGCGCTGGTTGAGCACCGACTTGTTCTTGGCACGCCGTTGCGTGCCCGCACGGCGCATCTTGGCCTGCATGCCGCGCACGCACTCCATCATCAGCTCGTCCGTCGACTGGTCGTGCAGCAGCAGATACGACAGGATCTCGCGGTACTTGACGCCCTGCAGCACGTCCAGCGGCACGCCGTGCGTCACGCCCGTCTCGGCGTCGTAAGCGTTAAAGTAGTTCTTGAGGAAGCCGAGCCACTTGAACACAATGTCCACCTCCTTGTCCGAAAGCTGCGACATGCTCGATGGCGCATCGGACAGCGGCGGCACGAGGATCGACTCGATGATGTTGAGCACCTCCTTCCACACCTTGGTCAGCACCAGCAGCGCCTCATCCTCGGACAGACTGCCCTTGAGCGTCGCCAGACACTCGTCCAGATAGTCGAGCAGCGGCGTGATGGCCGCCTCGATCTCGTGGTCCGTCAGCTGCGCAGGCCGGTTCTTGGGCTTCGCCTCGGCCTCCACCGGCGGAATCATTGACGCGTTGGCGTTGGTGCTGGCCAGCGCAGACGCGTACAGCGCCTTGACATTGCCGATCGCCTTGTCGAGATTGATGCCGCTCGTCTTGACGAGCGTCTTGAGCAGCGAGCGCGACAGGCACTGTCGGATGAACACCGACATCTTGTCGACGATGATGCGCACCATGTCGCTCTCGGCGCGCTTGAGCGAGCGGAAGGCACGCCCAAAGTGGTACAGGATGTCGTCGCGCTCGCCTTCCATGCTCACGCGCATCAGCAGACGGCCCTGCGTGTCGAGGTCCATCCACAGCTCGTGCGAAAGGAAATCGCCAAAGTAGCGCGGATCGAGCCGCAGATACGCGCGTCCGCACAGATTGTGATCGCCGACAAGCTTGCGGTCCCACACGGTGGCAGCCAGCCACATGGGCTGCTCGACGTGCACGTCAAACACCTCGTCCCACCGCGGCTCGGACGTCTCGTAGATCGTGCGTGTCTTGGCGATCTTCTGTCCGCGCTCGTCGCTCAGCGTGACGAACGAGTCGATGCGAGGATTGCTGCTCGAGTCGCGGATCGGCTGCAAGTTCTCGCCCAGCACGATCTTGATCGAAAAGATGAAGCGGTCGCGGCTGCGCTTGTCGGCCACCTCGGGCGCATGACGCTTGACAATCTCGGCCTGCTTGTCGGCATCGATCTTTTGGTAGAGCTTGTCGAGCAGCACACGCGCGGCCTCGATGTTGTTCAGACGCACGCAGGATGTCGCCTGAAAGTGGAACGGCTCCACCTTCTTCTCTCCCGCCAGCGTCTGCTTGGCCTTGACCATCCACGCCGACTGTTTCTGCGCCATATCCTGGTCCTCGGCCGTACGCGGGAACATCTCCTCCATGAACATCTCCTCCACGCGACTGCAGTACTGCTCCACGGCGCGGCTGACGATCTTGGCGAGCGTCGTGAGGAAGCGTGCGTTCTGATAAGCATGCGGCCACTTGAGCCCCAGGATAAAGTCGACCGGCTGCTGCAAAGCTCCAAAGAGATCGTCGATACTGCTGCTGTGCACTGCACCTTCGCTCTCGATGGGCGTGAAGCTGTCATTGGCGATGGCATTGTGCACCCATTCGGCGGTCTTCTTCTCCGAGTTGATGAGCCAGTGTCGGATGTGCGGCTCGAACCAGTCTGTGATGCTGAAGCTGAGCTCGGAGTCGGAGCAGAAAGCCTGGTACATGCGGAGGAGCGCCTTGACCCGATTATAGAGCGTGAAGATGTCCTCGAACGCCAAAGGTTCGTGCTCGCGCGTGGCGTGGTCGACCACCTGCTGCTTCATCGACTCGAGATCGTCGAGGAAGAGCGGAACCTGCTTTTCGAGGAGGAGCGAGACCGGATCGACCGAACCCAGCACGGGCTCGGGGTATCTCTTGTCGAGGCGCTTTGCGCCCTTTTCGAGCCAATCGAGCAGCTGGACGAGCGGCACCACCTCGTTGGTGACGACTTGCGAGAAGAGCTCGGTGGTCTTGGCAGTGTACTCGTGGATGGCCATGATACGGATGGCGTCTTTGAGCTCTTCGACGTGCGACTCGATGGCGACGGGCTCGGCGTCAAGACGCTTGTCCCTGCGAACGAAGCCGGAAGAATGCAGGTCCTGCAGCATGGTGAGGTAGGGCTGGATCTCTTCGGTCTCGACGTTGTGGATGTCCTGGAAGGTCTCGTAGAGGAAGCGGATGAAGGACTCAAAGAGCGCGGTGTAGAGCCTGACGAGCGACGTCTGATCCAAACGCATCCAGTGGGCAAATTCGTGCTCGGACAGCAAGCGCATCACGGTGGTGAGCGACTCGGACACGCAGTCCAGTGGCACCTCGCCGTTATCGTACTTGTCCTTGATGACGTGCAGGTTGGAGACGCCGAGGAAGGATGCGGACAGACGCCAGCGGAGCGCACACTCTGTGAGCAGGTCGGCGTGGCTCTTGGACAAGATGCTGAGCGAGACCTCTTCCTCCTCGGGCTGGTGCTTGATCATCTCGAGGTCGTAGTCGATGCAGATCTCGAGTGCTCGGTGGTAGTAGGCACGGGGATCGGGCGGAATGTAGACGAACGAGTCGTCTTCGTTGCCGTCGACTGAGAGGGCGGCAAACTCGGCATCGGGCGTGGCGGTTGGGCCTTCGGTGGCCGGTGAGCTGCTGCCCTGCGCGCTGCTGTACGATTCTGGCCGCGCCGGGTTGGGTCTGACGGGCGATAGACCTGGCACATCGTTTGAGGTGCTCTTGAGAAGTTCGGGGTTGTTCTGGCACATCTCCATCATGGTCTGCGAGAGCGACGCGAGCTCCTGCGCCCTCCAGCGCTGGTAGGCCTCTTCCGAGTCAAAGTCGTCTGGACGCCCTGGCCAGGGTTGTTGGAGGTTTACATTTTTGACGCATCGCTTTAGATCAGTCATGGCTGCCTGCTCGGTGCAGCTCTTCTTGATGAATTCGACGTCCTGGCTGAGCTGGTTGAGATCGACGGAAAAGAGAGTGCCGACGGTGCGGACCATGCTGGACTCGGCGAGTGGATTGGACGCTGTCGGGAAAGCGCTCGCGGAGCTGGCTCGGCGGCTGTTGCTGGCTGAGCCTGCGCTCATGTACTCTTTGGCGGCCGAGTATCCGTTGGAGCCTGCGGTGACGCTGGTGGACGTACTGGCGGAAGCAGCTGATGTGGGAGCGAGCTTGGACGAGTAGCCCTCGAGGCGGTCTGTGAGCTCGCGAGGCACGCCGCTAACGGTCTTGAGACACTCGCGGATGATGGTGACAAAGTGGCCGACCTGGTTGTTGAGCTCCTGCTTCCACTCGTCGCCGGCCGTACGCTTCTTGAGGCTGGCCTGTGCTGTGGTGACAAAGATGAGGATGAGCTCTTCGATCTTTCGGTTCTCCTTCATCTGCTTTTGGAACGAGGCTTCCTTGAAGGTGCCGTAAAAGATGCCGATGGTCTGCCTGAGGCTCTGATCTTTGAAGTTGGCATCGCGGCCCATGGCGATGAGTTCGAGGCGGTCGTTGAGCCTTTTGATGAGCTTTTCCGGGAAGCGCGCTGATTTGGAGGAGCCACCGACGTCGCGGATCATGTCTGCGAGGCCGGCAAAGCCCATCCAGCTGTCGCCTTTGGAGCTAGGCTCGGCGGCTTTCTTTGTCGTGGCTGGCGATGCGGAGGCGGCTGCATTTGCGGCGAGGCTGTCGCGAGCCTTTGCCTTGGCTTCCCTGCGAGCTTGTGTGAGATGCGCATGGTAGGCGACCTGGAGAAGGAATACGTAGACGTCTCCGTCGGTCATGGAAGCGGGAGGAGCATAGCCGCTGCGGTTGCTCTTGGTGCTGCGTGTTGTCATGGTGGTGGTGGTGGCTGTGTTGGTGTATGCCGGTGATGAATGGGTTGTGTGGAGGCGAGTTGGTGACTATCAAGGTGCTCCGCCAGGATCAAGGTATCGATGTCAGTCGCATGGACGAGTAGGCGTGAGCATGGCGAGGGCGGTTGTGATTTGCGGGCAAGATTGCGCAGCTGAGCGCGTGCTGAGTTCGGCGAGGGTATATGGAGGTGGATCGGAACCGCGCCGAGATGCCAACTCCAGCGCCGAGCGTTGAGCGTTGAGCGTCGGGTGCTGGGCAGAAGGAGGGGCCCTATCGATGTGATGCGATGGATTGGGATGTGGAGATGCGAGACGATACGCCGGTCCGCCGGTGGAAGGAGTCTGGCGGAAGTGCCGACCGACTGATGCTGGCTGACGCACCGTCGAGGCGGGCGGAGCGGAGCGAGCGTGGTTTGCGTGTCGCAACTCGGCTCCACGGCTCAAGCAAGGCGCGACATCGACCAACACAGGCTCCCCACCGTCGTCCGTGCGTGCGTCATTTTTGGCCCCCTCCCGCTGCCCCGGCTCTACCGACGGACGCTTTTGCGCGTGCGTCACATTTCGTGATGTTAGGCTTGGGGTTTGCGCTTACATAATCTGGCGGCTGCCGATTTTTGTCGAGGCTATGCGTTTCGGTTCTTCTTGCTCTTGACATGGCGGTCAGGGCAGTGATCTTCTTCCGGATCTTCCGACACCTTTCCCACCCGGCCTCGCATCGCATCGCATCGAATCGAATCTGTCAGCGTCGGCAACTCCCCGAAGCATAGACATCATGGCTTCCCGCGCCGCATCGATCGCCCAGCGGGCTCAGCTGCGCAGCTCGCCGCTGCTGGCACTGCGTCCGCGCCCCGCCTCGTCGATCGTCCCGGGCTCGTCTCGCTACGCCTCCGCGCCGAGGAGCTTCTCGGTTGCAGCATCGCCATCGCGCTCCTCGCTCTACTCGTCCGCAGCCTCGTCGCGCTCGAGCATCGCGTTGGCAGCCGGCACCCGCCTCTCCGCCGTCGGCGCAACACCGTTCGCGGCTACGGTTGCGCATCGAAACCTCTCGCTGTGGCCGTTCTCCAAGCCGTCTCCCCAACAGGCCGGGGCGTCACCGTTCGTTTCGGAAGTCGAGCAGAAGAAGGATCAGGCCGTGGAAGCCGCTAGCGAAGCCAAGCAGGCTACCGAACAAACCTGGCACGATGCCAGCGCCTCCGTCGCGGACGGCGTGCAGTCTGCGCAGGATGGCGCCTCGGACGCGGCTGCCTCGCTCAAGGAAAAGGCGTCGGAGCTGGCGCACGACGTGCAGGAGCAGCTGAGCCACATCGACACCACTGCGCTGTCGACGGCCACCGAGTCGCTCGGCGGTGCGATGGGCGTCAAGGCGGGCGAGCTGAGCGAGCTCGGACTGACCAACTGGTTCTCTCCGCCCGGCTTCCTCACCAACGTGCTTGACATTGTCGGCTCCACCACCGGCCTGCCCTGGTGGGGCACGATCATGGTGACCACGGTGGCACTGCGTGTGCTCATTGCGCCCGTCAATGTCGGCGGCCAGAAGAACGCCATCCGCCTGGGTAACATCCAGCCGCAGATGAAGCGCAACATGGACGACATCAAGCACTTCAAGGCGGCGGGCGACCAGATGCAGATGCAAAAGGCGGTCATGGACACGCAGAAGCTCTTGCGCGACAACAACGCCAACCCGATCGGCTCGCTCATCCCGCTTGCAGTGCAGCTGCCGCTCATGTTTTCGTTCTACCTTGCGCTGTCGCGACTCGCCACATCGGGGTCGGAGACCTTTGCGCACGGCGGACCTTTCTGGGCAGTCGATCTGACTTCGCCCGATCCGACGTGGATTCTTCCCGCCGTATCGACCGCCGCCACTTTTGCAGTGGCCGAGCTTGGGTTTAGGTTCGGCACGACGGGGCAGGCGGATCCGAGCCAGACGCAGATGATGAAGTACATCTTTAGGGGTCTGATGCCGGTGCTGGGTTACTTTTCCACCACCTTCCCCGCGGGCGTGCTGGTGTACTGGGCGACGACGAATGTGTTTTCGGTGGTGCAGCTGTTGGTGCTGCAGGTGCCCGTGGTTCGTCAGTGGGCCAAGTTCCCCAAGCGCATCGTACACCCCAAGAACCCCTATGCGGAAGAGAAGGAGGGTTTTATGGGTAAGCTGCGTGCGGCGCGCGACAAGCTCTCGGACTCCAACCCTACGGTCAAGCCGGTGGAAAAGTTCGGGACTGCTGCAAATGCTAGGAAGGAGGCGCTCAGGGAGATTCTGGATGACAAGGCCGCGTACGATGCAGAGCCAAAGAGCGCTGCTGCGGATGCAGAGGCTAGGGAGGCAAAGAGGAACAGAGATCGTGTTCTCAAGGCCCGCCAGCGCCGCGCACGTCAGTGAATCCACCAACACTTCCGCACACCTACTACCAACCCACCACTCTCGCTCCCTCCCCCCATCCTGTATAACATCACCTCCCAAAATGCACACTGTCACACCTATGCACGCCGCCTCACACGATCGCTCTGGAGTGACACACGCTTTTCCTGTCAGGCGAACCCCTCTCGACCGCAGCACAAACATGGGGGCACATTGCGTTCGCGCGCGACTGAATTGCGATGTGGGTGAGGCCGGGGAACTAGTCAACATTGGTGAGCGGATTGCGCTGATCACCACCTCCCTCCTGGGGCACATCCTGCGCGTCCACAACCGGCACGTCCTCGGTCTCGTCCCTCACCCTATGCACGGGAGGCTTCCAAATATTCGGATGCAGCAGCCTCTTCCAGTACGGAATCGTAAGCCCTTCCCTGCGCATGCGCATCAGCTCGTTGCGACTCTTGTCCTTGAGCTGCACATTGTTCCAGCGCGCCAGCGTAGTGCTCTCGCTCCCATGCTCGCCGTGCCGCCGCAGGATCTCGGCATACACCTTGAACTTGGGCGCCACCTTCTTGTACCGCGCCAGCTCGTGCAGGCTCTCGAGCAGACACCGCACCTCCGTGTCGGTCCAGTACGATCGGCCCGTCATGTTGTGTCCCGTCACGTACAGGTTGCTGCGCTTGTATGGCTGCACTCGCACCGCCTGCCCAGCCGGCTCGGTTCGCTGCGTGCCCGAACGCGCACGTCGTCCCCGCCCCGCTGGCCGCGTGCGTCGCTGCGCCTCGTCGTCGTCCAGTTCATCCACCTCCTCGTCATCCGACCCGCGGATCGGGTCGTCCTCTTCCGCTGTAGGCTCGCCGCGCGTGCTGCCAGGTCGATACGGCCCGATGCGGCGTCGCACAACCGCATCGCTCGAGTGCAGGATCTGCGCAACCGATTCGGCATTGCGCATCGCAATCGCGTCCACGTTTTCGCCATCCGCCGGCACATCGTCCACAGGCAGCGGCATCGCATCGTCGTCCGCCTCCGGGTGGTAGAACTGCAGCGTACCCGGGCGCGGCCGTCTCGCCGCCAGCGCAGCGTCCAAAGCCGCACGCCGGTCGAGGACCGCTCCGTCGTCGTCGCCCACAAAGTTCGCATCGGGCGTGCTTCGAACCGCGCCAAGCTCGCCGTCCACGCCCTCGGCGCGCTCCTGCGCCCGGTCCCGCGACGCATCGCCCTGCTCGCTGCCCGAGCCTTCCTCCACCAGCCGCCCGGATGCAGTGGACAGGATGCGCGCATCCGATCTCGCAGCGTCGTCAGGAAGACCCCGGCCAAGCCCTGTGGCGCCACCGTCAGCTGCGGCTGCCCGTGCAGCTGCTCGCGTGGCTCGCGTGCTTGTAGTTGCGGCTACAGCAGGCGCGGCGATGTTGTCCGCTTGCTGCGCGGATGCAGCGGCTTGAGCACGCGTCTTGATCGGGCTGGCAGATTCGCGCTTCAGCTCCAGCTGGCGCGGCGCACTGCGCGATCCGGTGCGTCGGGCCGTCTGCGGCTCGCTATCGTCGCTGTCCTCGCTATCTTCGCTGTCCTCGTCCTCCTCGGCCCCTTCTTGCTCCGCATTCTGGTCCTCTTGCTCCGCATTCTGGTCCTCTTGCTGCTGCTCTGCCGATGCTTCGCCCTCCTCTTCCTCTGTCGTAGCCTCAGGAACGTAACTCTTGCGCATGTTCGGCCGTGTGCTTCGCCGAGTTGCACTCTTCGCGGGAACTTCCGCCACGCTGGCTGCGCCGCGAGTTGATTTGGCAGGGCCCTCGGTGACCTCCTTGGCCTTCCTCTTGCCGCTCCTTTTCTTGCGCGTGGCGTTTTCGAGGAACACATCCTCCTCCTCTTCGCCCTGCGAGTCGAAGCGCGACTCGCGCACGGCCGCGGCCGAGCCGTCGAGCATGCGTGCGCTTCTGCGCGCGGCCGGCTCCACCTGGCGGACAAGACGATTCTGCTTGTCAAAGCCGATGCGGCTGGCGCGCTCCTTGGCCGGCGAATCAAAGGGCCCGTCGCGCGTGCGTCGCAGATCGCCGGCACCGGTCGCATCGCTCGTCTCCGATATCTCGACAGCCTCCACCAGCACGCCTCGCTCGTGTGTGCGGCCCGAGCTGTGCAGCGCTGCAGACATCCGCGCCCCAAGCTGGTTCGTCCGCGGTGGGCTCGATGCAATGTCGAGATCCACACTGCTGGCTTCCGCCGCAGCAGCCACCTCGGAGCCCGACTCTTGCAGCATCGCGTCGAGCTCGTTCATCTTTTGCGTCGCGGTCAGATCGGCCTCGCCCTGGTCCTGGCCGCGTCGATTCCTCGTGGTGGCTTGAGACTCGTCATCCTGCAGCATGTCGTCGAGCCAGTTGGCGTACTGCGATGCGAAAGCTTGCGAGGCTTGCGGTCCCTGCGCGGTCGCCTTGGGCGTGGACTGGGTTGGGCCTGCGATCGCGCTGGAGGCATCGTTGAATCGAGAGCTGGAGCTGGGCGCGATCTCGGGCACGTCCGACTCGCTAAACACGCTCGATTCGCGCGCGAGTCGGTCGATGATCAAGGGCAGCGTCGTGGAATGCATGCCCGCATCCACTTCGCGCACGACGTCGCGGACGTATCCAGTGAGGTCAGCCGACATGCTGGCGAACGAAAAGCTATCGCGCATGGCTTCAAAGTCGTAGCCCATGGCCTGGAGGTCGATCTGGCGCACGTTTGCAAACGTCTCGTAGCGCTGCACCATGCGCTCGATTTCGGCGCGGTTCGTGTTGCGCTGGCGCTTGACCCGCTGCAACGAGTGCCGGACAACGTCGCCGCTCATGAGATCGATGAGAAGGTCCGACGCGGCGGTGCGTGCCTCTTCTTCGGTCATCTCGCCCGCCCTCGCGGCGCGGACAATGCGCTCGAGCCGGTGGATGAAGATCTGGATGCTCATGTCGAGCAGCATGTTGAGCACCTCGTCGGTGAGCTCCCAATCGAACGGCAGGATCCAGCGCAGAAAGATGCGGCGGGCGTCGCTGAGCTCGCTGACGTTGCGCAGCGGCGCACGCAGCACGTCGGCGCTCGTGACGAGCTGTCCGGAGCGTCGGCCGTACTCGGCGGCTTGCGTGGGCAGCTGGTGGATGTAGTGCACAAACGTGGCGCAGTTGGCCATCTTCATGGCCTCCTCGAATCCGTCCGGCAGCGGCTGGCCTGCCGCATTGAGCGAGCGCTTGACCTCGTCAATGTCGACAAAGTGGTGCATGTACTGCGCCTCTGCGAGCAGCTGGTTGGTCTTGTAAGACTCGAACGGCGCCCAGTTGCGCATCATGTCGTCGAACGACTCGGGCCGCCATCCGAGCGTGTAGAGGTCCATGTAGAAGTGGAGGACGCCTTTTGCGTTGATGACCAGCGCCGCACAGCGCTCTTCGATGGTCGGCACGTCGAGACGGCCATCTGGAAGCGCCAGCGAGGGTCGAAGGCGCTGCCCGGGTCTGGCCATGGTCGTGTTGCCCGCAGATTCGTCTGCCGAAGTGTCGTTTAGGTCGAGCTTTGCGGAACGCCGGGAAGCGCGGTTGGTGGCGCCGGACTGTTCGGATCGTCGGCTGCGCGCTGTGTACATGCTGCGAGAGTCGGACCGCTCCGAGATCGTAGTGCGGGCAAGCGGTGCGCTCTGCCTCGAGGGCCTAGAAGCCTGGGAGCGCATGGACGAGCTGACGGCTGAGGGTGGTGCGGCGATCGACTTCCTCTCGGGCCGGATGCCGCGCTTTTGTGTGGCGCGAAAGCGGTCGAGCGCGGACTGGGTGGTGTCGAGCTGAGCATTGTCGATCATGACGCGTCGGTTGGGTCGCGGGGTGACCTGTTCGAGGACGAGCGCCTCGTCCATGGCGTCGTCCTCGTCATCTTCATCGAGGCGCTCCGGGATGTACACCACTGGCTGGGGGTCTTTGCGACTGCTGCTGTTGCTGCTGCTGCCGCCACCATCATCTTCGAATTCGGAAGCAGATTCGAGCTGCATGCGATAGGCATTTGCGGGTTGAAGCGAGGTGGTAGTGCGCCTTCTGGCCATGCGGTCATACTGATTGCGCTCGGCCGCTGCCGCCGCGGAAGCTGATGTGGATGCGGCGACGGACGCGCGCGTCCTTCTGGAGCTTGAGGCCACACTGGCCATGGTTGCGTTCTGTTGATATCCGACTATGCCGATCTATCACGAGATCATGGCCGGGATCGCCGCGTCGTGGTATGCTGTTGGACGCGTTCCGGTATACGTCGATATGGGGGCTCAGCTTTTGCTCAATATGGATGGATGTAGGGAATGAAGTGCGGATGGATGCAGGAAAGCAACGTGATGGTCCCGCTCGAACCAAGCGCCCAGCTGTGGAAATTCCGTGGAGCTGCGCAGCCGACCCAAAAGTGACACCGCCCGACGCGTGCGGCGTGGAGGCGTCCCCTGACCCCGGCGCCAGACCGACGCGTCTCGCTCGGCCCTTTGTCACGGCTCAGGTTTTCTTCAAACTCGACCTCATCTTACCATCGCTTCATCACGGCCTCCCCGCCATTTCCATACAATCATGCTCGCTTGGCCACATGGAATCCACTGTAGGCATGCATCTACTCGAGACTGACATTGACTGACATGATGATTTCGAGAGAGGAAAGGAGACTCTAATGTTACAAGCAATCGACGGCGACCGCACCCGCGTCCCGTCGGATGTCCTCCATTCAATGATGATGACCGGAGCAATGCCAGCGCAGGTGCGAGTCCTTGTGCTACTGCTGCTGCTGGTTTAGACAGACTGCGGCCTAGGAGACCGAGTTGCATGAGAATGGGCTTCCAACCGAGCCGGTGTTGTACGAGTCGCGGATCGAGATCGCACTCGCCCAGACACCCGCCACGCAGATGACGGCCGAGATGGCAATCACGAGCACGGCGACGACGAGGCCGACGATCTTGCGCCACGACTCCACCCAGCGGCCCTGGTTGAGGTAGAGCCACATGACGGCGCTGAGGCCCGTGAAGAGCGACCAGAAGAGCGCCGCCTCGAGGCCGAGGAACGACGAGAAGAACGGGATGAGCTCGGCGAGGATGAAGGCGAGCACCCAGGTGAGCGCGTTGATGAGCGTCCACACGATCCAGCCGAGCTTGGTCGAGTTGTGGATGTGCTGCGGGCGCGAGCGGAAGACGATGATGTACAGATGCTTGTTGGCCACCTGTCCGCTCTCGCAGCCGGCGATGAGGATGGTGGGCAGCGCCAGGCCGTACGCGATGCGGCTCATGGTGTACGAGAGGCTGTTGAGACTGGGCGACGTGGTGTACTGGCCGAGGTTGTTGTAGATCACACCGCCCACGATGAGGTAGAGCACCAGCTGGACGCCCACGAGCACAAACAGACTCTTGCGGAAGTCGGTGGGCTTGCGCATCTCCGAGATGATGGGCAGGTAGCTCGGGATCGCACCGAAGCTGACAAAGAGGTTGAGCACGTAGAGGAATCCGGTGAGGAAGTCGACCTTGATGCCCGGTGCCGGACCGAAGGCGACCACCTTGATGGGCGGTGCACCCTCGGGAGCGTTCTGCGGGCCCGTCACGCCGCTGGCGATCATGGCAAAGATGACGACGACGACGATGGAGCTGAACGAGACAAACGCCGAGATGGAGAAGAGCTTGTACGAGCGCGGCAGCGTGAAGAGGAACGAGATGACGGCAAAGACGGCGGCGAGCGCGATGGCGCACGAGTGCCAGCCGAGCACGTGGAACGCCTGTGCGCCGAGCAGCACATGGTTGCCCTGCAGGAAGACGGAGAAGATGAGCTGCGCGGCGCCGAGGAAGCGCGCACCCCAGGGCCCGAACATGAGGAAGCCGGCGTCCTGCAGGTTCTGGACGCCGGGGAAGCGCATCTTGAGCTTCCAGTACTGGTCGCCGGTGTACCAGCAGATGTAGGCGAAGAGGAAGGTGAGCAGCACGAACGGCACCACGCCGAGCGAGACGGCGACGAGCGGGATGCTGAGGATGCCGAGCGCGATGGCGTAGGCGACCTGGTTGAAGAAGGCGCCCTTCCAGCCGAGCGTCTTGGGGATGGCGCCGTGGTCGTGTGCGTTCTGCTGCGCCTGCTGCACCTTGGTCACCTCCTCAATGTCGCTGACCTGCACATTCTGGCCCTTTTCCGACGTCTCGTACATCTGTGCGCCACGCTCGCCGAGCAGCTCGAAGAGGTAGCTGTCCTGCCACGACTTTGCGCGCTCGCCCGAGGGGAAGAGGAACGACGAGCCGACGGGCCGCGACGAGGTCTCGGACTTGCGTTCGGGAGAGGGCGAGGTGCTTCGGTGTGTGTCGCGTGCGACGGCGCTGGTAGTGGTGATGCTGTCGTTGCTCAGACGAGCCGGGGTTTCGTGATTGGAGGATGCCATTTTGAAAGGGGGCGTTTCGCGGCTTGGCCGATTAAATAGACACGATGCAGAGATGTGAAGCGGTGGGCGCTGGGCGTTGCGATGCGTTGCGATGCGTTGCGATGTTCGGATTCCAGCTTGGTGATGCGAAGAACGGGCGCCAGTTGCGGAGAGTGTGATGAAGAATCGAGGAGATGCGAGCGAAGTCGAAACCTTGAGCCAGCTAAATCCAGCGGAAGTTGCCGGTGTACTTTAGCAGCGACGGATGAGCCGATGCCGTTCGGAAGAAGGAGCACGCCGAATTGGAGAAAGAAACGGACTTGAGCTTGATGATGCGCAGCGATGGCGTGATCCGTAGTCGCAGATACAGAGGAGCCAACCTTAAAAGGGGACGCGTGGTGAGGGAGCGAGCGGGACGGATGGTGGGGAAAGGAAAGGAAACGGAACTCAAGGCACGCCGAAGACTGTTTTTTGTCCGTGATGGGATGGGGAGGGGCGTGGGAGCTAGATTGGCTGGTATCATATGGCAAGGGCCGACGGAGGATCCGATAGCTTGCTTGCGCAAAAGATCGTTTGCGCACCACGAACCCCCACCAAAGTCACCCCTTTGCCACTCCTCGGCGCCCGTCTGGTCACGGTGTGCGCGGGCCCCGCCTCGGAGCCAATGGATTGAGGCGAGCATGGCGGCGCACACCCAGGGTCTCTTTGCTCGCTCACCAGGCTATCAGATGCACTTCCTACTTTTGCTCGCGCCAGACCTCTCTCTGCTTCTGTGGCCAAGCCTTTTGCATCTGCATGCGTTGGTGCGCAGCGTCGGGTCTTCTAGCGGTTTGACTTGACCATGCCCACTTGCAAAAGGTGGGCTCACATGACCCCGCCCTGAGCGCCGCCTCGTTCCCTCTCACATTCTTTGACCCTTGCCTTCGCCTCTCGAGCGCCCGCTTGTTCAGAACAATGGCCAGCCTGGCCTTACGATGACTCCACCACGCTCTCGTTTGAGTTCTCTGCCGAGGAGGGAGCGTGGGGGTCGGCTTTGAGGCTGCTTGGGTCGCGTTGCGGTGCACACGTCAAGCGCATGCGCTGCGCCTTTCTGCCTTTCTTTCTTTTTTTTTTTTCTGGAAATTTTGGCGCAGCTGCAGGCCAGAGACGCAGACGGATTGAGCCTCGGCTGCCTAAATTTCGCACATCTGCAACGTCACCTGCCCTCCCGTCAGCGCCAATCCTCCGACGACCAGCCTCGTCGGAAACGCAGCCCGGATCGGCGCCGCCTCGCCGCTCGATTCGACCCACGCATTGCTGTTCGAAGTTGGACCCGGCCCTGACTCCCCCACCCCGCCCCAAGCCCACACACAGTAGGCTTTGTATAACTCAGTTCGGTATGTCCGGGTACCTTTGTCCGGTTACCGTTCGTCCGTCTGCCTTCGTCGAGGCCAGTGTCGGCGCTGGAGAGGAAGAAGGTGGGCGGAGGAATGCAGCTCAAAGTTCGTCGTCGGAGCATGCTGACGAAATTAAAATTTATTAAAATAACGGTGGGTTGAGGGAGGTCTTTGTTCATGCATATGGCGCGTCGCTTCGGCCGCTGACGTCGATGCGATTGGTCGACTTTTTATGGCCCACGGCCCGACTCTCCTTGCCCATTGGCCATCACCTCAGCCATGCTGAGCAGGCCAAACGTGACTCCAACCCTGGACTGATCAAGCAGCGACTTCGAAATCTAGGCCTAGAATGCTATTCCTCGAGTGTATGAGCTTGATTGCTACTGTGTGGGTGTCGACGCTGCAATGGTGGGAGGGATCTGCAATTCCGTGGGTCGAGCGGCGCATGTGCGGCAACTTGAGCGGCAAGGCTCGGAAATTTTTTTGGCCTCGGGCGGGTTGCCAAGAAGGCTCGCTCGAATTTGGACAGGCGGAGGCTGAAAAAAGTAAATTGCAACCCACTCCCAGGACCTGACCTTGCATTCGGCACGGCTTCCGATTCCGCCAATCACGTCCAGCGCCCCTCCTAGCAGCGCGACCGGCACAATAGGCTTCTGCTCGCTACAGAGCTGCGAATTGGGACGGAGGGCGAGAGGGAGAAGGGACGATCTATGGAGTAAACCCGATTCGATTCAGATCGGCGCTCATCATGTCTTTCTGGCTTCAGGCTTTACTCTGCGGGTATGCTCACGCTGATTACCCCGCGGGGCAGAAGCTGGATAACAAGGTTCCACACCATGCGGGGAAGATTACGGTCATGATGCACATGCATCGTATGTGCATGTGGGGACGAAGACAGCGCCACGATGATCGTACGAAGAACGGACGAAGGGACGAGCGTCGTGGCCGAGATTGCGACCGTTCAGCCCGGTTGGAATCGGCGTTTGCTGCCGATTCCACCGCCAATATGCGTGTCCCGATATGCAATCGCATCGATCTGGCCGTCAAATCCTGCTGGGCCGAAGCCGACGCCGCCGGCCGATGCATGCCGCTCGTAGCCGCACCCCGCGCGCATCCCCTCGTCTGTCGTCAAGCCAATCAATCAAGTGCTTGGCTTGACGCGCAGACATCCGTGTGACTGAAGCCGTCGATGTGGGGGACAGCAAAGCATGCGGTCGAGTGCGGGGTAGAGAAGATGCCGTGCATTGCCGGCATGGTACACTACCGTCATGCAGCGCTTCTCGGCGACTTGCACGGCCGTCCAGCAACCTTCCAACGCTCAATACCACATAGACGCCGAATGTGCACAGTCACGCAAGGCTTGCGATAGCTGAATGCAACTCCTTATTGCCTGTTCCGCCGCCTTACATAGCAACGAGCCTTTTGGCAACCGAGATCTTGTACATCGGCTGCCACCAGATCTGGATCTCGTCGACCGAGCTCACACACGCCAACGCGGTAGCCCAGCCGGGCCCGACAAACCCCTCGCCTGCCACCCTGCCGTGAGCGGGCAGCACCAGTCCAGGCGACCTCTCTTCTGCTCCCTGTGGCGGACGTAACGGCCACGGCGTGTGCTTTCTGAATCCCTTTGGAGGTGGGCGCCAGGGCACAGCGCTGCGGCCGGGATCGTCGATAAACGCCCTCCATGTGATTTGGCCTCGGGGAATGTTGGGATCGCCAAGCACCTTGACTGCTTCGAGCACGCGTGCTCCCGGCAGCGCCGCAGCACGACTGATGCGCGTCTGCTCGTACATGTCGTCGCTGCTCAAAAGCGGTTCGGATGGCCACTCGGGCAGAGCCGGGTCGTGCTCAAAGTCGTGTGCGCCCAGAGTGCGCGCGCGGATGTAGAGCAGCTCCACTCCGTGCGGACCGTACGTCATGCTGTATAGACCCTCCATCAGGCTCCAGTCGAAGTCCGCGTGGGCGGGATCATGAGAAGGGCCGGGAGCAACGTGGTCGTACTCTACGTCATCCGGTGCCGACGCTGGCGTACGCGCCGCATCAGCGCCAAACGAAGAGAGCGATACGGGCACGGCCACCTCGTGATCCATTGTGGGCTTGCGGAGGGCACACGGGACGAGGGCAGAGATTCGATCCGGATTTTGAATCGGAAAGAAGCGCGGTAGCTCGTCGAAAGCATAGTCATCGGTCGGGCCTGGCCTGTATGGTGGAGGCGGCGCCATGGTGATCGAGTCGATTGCTAGCCTCTCTCCTTGGATCAGCCATCTCCTTTGCGGGTCCATACGCTCCCAGATCCCGGACATACCGATCTGCACATCCGCCAATGTGCTCCACTCGACCGCACGGATTGCAGGCAGCAGTGCTGGTGGCGGGAAACTGATGGGCGGTGGCGGCCTAGAATTTGCTGCTAAGAAGACCGCATTGCGCATCTGGACATCCCAGTACGGCTGACAAGGTGCCAGCCGCACGCGCACCATGCCCTCGTTGCTGTCTGCCGAACGCGTCGCGACAGCGTCCGAGAGCCGGTAGGAACGGTAGTCCATGGCACCCACCACAGTGCGTTCGATAGGGCCGACGAGCCGCCGTCGTAGATTGATGTGGGCCGGATCATAGTCTTCTTGGCGCTCGAAGGCGAATCTGAACAACGCATCATCCCCGGCGGCGTGCTGCAAGACGCGGTCGATCTCCTCTGCCTCGTCTTCGAACAGGAGCTCGTCATCGCTGTCATGAAGCTGACCGCCCAGCCGTGCTCGGTGTAGCGCACGGGAGGCGCCGCGTGGGTCGACGCTCCGCAGCCACGATTCGCTCGAGATATGCGCGCGGACGTCGCAGATAGCAGCGTCCGGTTTTTCGGCGGATGCTTGGGATTGAATGGAGGCGGGATGGGTGGGCGGGGCAGGGCCAAGCCGGGCATCGTCCCAGCTGTAGTGCCAAAGATCTTCAGTGCGGATGCCCGGCTCACACAAGTCGGTGCGAATTTGCGTGAGGCTGCGGCGCAGGATGGTGCCCTGACCGATGACGCTCGAGCTGCTGGGCATGGGGAAGCCGACTACATCGGACCAGCGAGCCATGTCGCTATCGAGTCCTTGCAGGCGGTTGGTCGGGTAGATGCGCTGGCACACGATCGATGGCGACTGCCGCCGCGGGGGACCTCGCGGAGTCTCAGCATCAGTTTGTATGGCCTCGCTTCGAGCTGCTGCTTTGTGGCCATCCGCATGGTAGTCAGTGTAGGTGAAGTGCATGTCGAGAACGATGCGAACAACCATGCCGTAGGAGGGCAAGTCCGAGGCCCACCATCCGAGCAGCGATTCGGTGGGCCTGATGAAGCGCACATAGACCTCGTGCAGCGAAGCGGCGCCTTTGAAAAGGCTGAGGTCGAGTTGAGCCTGGTCGTCTGTGTCGTCTGTGCCGTTTGTGCCGGCTGGTTGGCGGACGAATTCGGCTGCGATGGGCCAAGAGGGTGGATGGATGGTATCGGCCTGCATACCGTAGTCGGGATGCCAGAGTGGTAGTGTCGACTCGAGGGGGTGGATGGCGGGTCCGCGCACCGGTGGGCTGAGTGTGTGGATGGCACGTGCTACGAAGGGTCTCCACAGCACGTCATGCAGTGCGACCTGGCGGATGAGGGAGCAGGTGGAGGCGACGTGGGCCAGAGCAGCTGCATCGAGGTAGCCGAAGATGTCGATGAGCACCTCGTTGGGCAGCTGCTCGATGGCGCTCGGTCCTGTCGGTGTGCCATGAGGGGGCGAGGCGCGCTCGGTTTGCCAGCCGCGCTCCATGGTCGATACTGGCTGACGTTGGTCGGTCCACGCCGGTGAGCTGGAAGCGCCAGCTGGCTTCAAATGGTGGTTTGCGGATGCTGCATCGGCGCCGTGAGACCCTTTCGCTTGAACCGGCTTGCGTGTTGTCTCTCGACAGTCAACTTGCCAGGAAGCAGCTGGTGTGGTTGCTGTCGCTATAGGATGGCGAGGCAATCGAGAGTGCGGCTCAGTTGGTGGTCGGGATGCGAGCCTGACAAAGCTGAGCCAGGCCGAAGCTCCTTTGGCCATCGGACCTGCCGAAGCCGGCGGTGCGGTTGAAAGGCTGCGAAAAAAAGTCGCGGATGCAGCCGTAACGCGCGCTCTCCTGCATGAGCCGCAGATGTGGAGGCGCAGCCGTTGTCACATCGCCGATTTGGGCGTGTAGATGCCTCCGATTCGCTTCGGACCGCCTCCACAAGAAAGAGTTGCCTTTCGGAAGTCGGCCCTCCTTGTTGCTAGACAACCACCATCTTCGGGCTCATCCTCACCTCACCAACGGCAACAAGCGAGCAACGATGGATGAGGCGGCATTGCGGGCAATGATGCCCATGTCCTTTGGCAAGAAGCCCGCCAAAAAGACTGTCGCTTCACCCCGCGCCGACGCAGCCGCGCCCGTCTCGGCCGCGTCCTCGAGCACTCTATCCGCCAGCGTGCTCGGCAAGCGGCCGGCGCAACCCTCGCCTGACGCCGAGGAGGACGATGGTTTGACGCCAGAGGAGCGGCATGCAAATGCGGAGGCAGAACAGCGCGATCGCGAGCGTCGTGCACAGGGCCTTGCCGACTCGGACGACGACAACGATGACAGCGACGACGATGTTGGTCCCCCACCACCGCCACCTGCTGCATCCCACGCCCCACCTAAGCGGGACGTGCGGCTGCCACCACTGGAAAGCGTGACGACATTCTCGGGCGTACACACCAAGACCCTCTCTGCGCTAGCAGTCGACTCGGCCGGGGCGCGCTTCGCCCTCGGCTCGTACGACTACACGCTGTCGCTGTACGACTATGGCGGGATGAACGCCTCGCTCTCGCCCTTTCGCACGTTCGAGCCGGGAGGAAGCGCTCCCGTTGTGGATCTGTCGTTCTCGCGCGATGCAGCGTCTCTGCTTGTAGTAAGCTCGACGAGTCAGGCCAAGGTGTACTCGCGCGATGGGGCGCAGATGGCAGAGTGTGCAAAGGGCGATCCGTACCTGCGCGACATGCGACACACCAACGGCCACGTAGCCTCTCTCACCGCCGGCGTCTTCCACCCCAACGACGCCAACCGGTTCGTCACCGCGGCGGAAGACAGTACGGTGCGCATCTGGGACGTCGAAACTGCCCCGCGGAAGCAAGTCGACACGGTGGTGCTCAAAAGCAAAGCTAGGGGTACGCGCACGAAGGTCACTGCGCTCACAGTGACGCCCGACGAGCTATTGGTCGCTGCGGCACGAGATGGCAGCTTGAACTACTGGGATCTGCGTGCGAATCTCAATGCGCGGCCGAGGGGGACGGTGGAGCATGCGCATGCGGCGGATAGCGTCACGAGCAGTGTCGCCGTTCGCAGTGATGGACGGACGCTGGCCACGCGTGGAGGGGATGATACGGTGAAACTGTGGGACTTGCGTTCGTTTCGAAGCCCGCTGGCGGTTCGCGAGGATATGCCGACCACTTCGCCCCACGCAAGTGTGCTGTTCGACCCGTATGGCGGCGACACAGTTATCGTGGGTACGGCTGACGATGGTGGGCAACTGCGCGTGTTGTCGGCGGTGGATATTTCGACGCTGCACGTGCATGCGGTTGCCAGTCCCGTTCGGATGGTGTGGAATGGCGCCACGGACCATTTTTACGCCACGTCGCGAAGTGGCACACTGTCGGTGTTGCACTCTGCCCGCTCGACACGGGGCATCACTTTGGCGCTTGCACGACCAGCCAAAGCGTCCAGCCAGGTTGATTCATACCCCGTTGACGTTGGGGAGGCAGGGATGAGTGAGGCAGCCAAGCGACGCAAGCTCGCCAAGACTCGCCGCGATGCAGCTGCTTCGCACATGCCCCAACCGCCTGTCGCGGGCCCCGGAAGCGCAGGTCGGATTGGGTCGGCTGCTAATACCCATCTCGTCCAGAGTCTGTATAAGCAGCCTCAAGTGCACGAGGACCCGCGCGAGGCACTGCTGAAGTACGCCGACAAGGAGGCCAAGTTCACAAAGGCGTGGGAAAAGACGCAGCCCAAACCCATCTACGACAATCAGGAAGATCAGACGCAGTAATGCCAAATCCTCCCTCCTTTGGTGCGGAATCGTGACCGAGTGTACGTGAATGGACGGAGAGCAAAAAGGATGTGTGCGCCATACTGATCCCCCTTGGCAACATCGTAGACCGAGATCTTTGCTGCTCTCACCGAAAGATGCACGAAAGAGAACCGAGCCCAGTATGGGTGTGTGGCTACGTGCCAGGAGAGACACTTCGTTGCAGTGTGCGAGGATTGGTTCCGTCATCGACATCGACATCAAGCACATCCTGACGCGTTGGGACTCCCCTGCACACCGCTCGCTTTGGGCCGGCGCGGAGAGCTTGCATTGCATCGCACACACAATCGCCACCTCAACCTGATGCCCAGCCCTAGCGCTCAAGACCAATCACCCTCAAGCACACCACAATGCACTCGTTCCTGTATGCAAAATCGCCAGTCTAAAGTTGGATCAGTTTGGACGACAGACTAGTGACCGATGCGCAGCGAGTCGATGCCGTTGGCCAGCGCCGCCTGCCCCGACGCGGGTGGGCTGGGATACCGCACGGACACGGCGCGTCGCTTACCCAGCGCTTTGGCGCTCGGCACCACAGGCGTCTGCATCTCCTCGTCGTCCTGCTCCTTCCTCCCCGCTCCAGGCCTTGGGGGTAGCGGTGGCTCGTGCGTGCTGATGCTCAACGCGGGCGGGGGGATGGGTAGCTGGCTACGCAGCGTCGAGGGTGGTGTGTGGTGCGACGACACCGACGTATCGCGCGAATGCGTCGGCGCGGGCGCACTGGCATGCATCCCCGAGCGGACGCTGTTGCTGTCCGACGAAGGTTCCGACCGCGGCACGGGCAGCGGACGCGACACACGCACCGCCCCACCCACAGGAGACGTGGCCAGCACCGCATTCGACCGCACACCGGACACACCCGCATTGGGCGAGGGCGAACGAGAGCCCGACGCCCGAGCCCCAAGATCCGCACCCAGCAGCCCGCGCCCGCGCCCGGCGCCGAGCTCGTACAGATCGCCCGTGTGCGCATCCTGCGCCATCGCGGCGCGGTCGATGCTCACCTCCACCTTGCTGCGCTCGGTGACCTGACGCTCCTGCTCCTCCTCGTCCATGTGGCGCCGGGCGTCGTCCACCATCCCCACCGCCTCGCTGGCCCGGCCGTGCGCCTCGAGGATGTCCGCGAGCAGTGCCTCTTGGCGCGTCTCGCCCGTCAGCGGACCACGCGTGCGCGACCGATCCGCCTGCGCAGACGCCCAGCCGATCTGCGACGCCAACAGCTCCTGCGACCGCGCCACCTTTTGGTAAAACTCGTCGACGAGCTCCGCGGTCTCGGCGTGCAGCCCCTCGTGCACGAGCGTGTCCATGAGCACCGAGGCGTTGCTGCGTGCGATATGGCACTCTTCGTGCAGCCGCCGCATGTCCTCTTCCTGCGTGACTACCTCGTTCGGAGTGCGGCACGAGGCGTCGGAGCCCTGCAGCGACGTTGAACGCCGCTCCATGGACTCGGCCGCAAGCGCCTCGAGGTTCGAAACGACGTCATGGGCCTCGTTGCGTCGGTGCTCTCTCGCCGGTGGCGGCGCAGGGGCGGCAGGGGCGGACCACGGGGCCCACGACCTAGCCTCGTATGCTGCTGCCTGGTGTGCGCCCACGTCCTGACCGGCTCGATGTTGGGGCGCTTGCGGCGGTGCGATGGACTGCGGCGGTGCATGCCATCCATCGGTGACGGCAAGATGCGCATTGTATGCCCGAGGATGCGTACTGTGCCCCGCGTACGGGGCCGCACGCTGGCCAGGCGGAGGTGATGCGCGCTGCTGCGGCAGACGGAACTCGACCAGATCATTTTCGAGCGCTTCGCCGTCCTTGGGCCTGTCGCTGGGCTTGACGCGATTCCAGCACTTTGTGATCGCCGCCAGCTCGGGCTCGTCGCGAAATTCAAAGGCAAGCACGCCGAGCACCCTGAGCATGGTCTCCTTGACGCTGAGCGGCGTCTTGGACGACGCGACGGTGTCCTCGACCGCATCCAGAAATCGTTTGCTCGCCACATGCTGGCGGAAGCGGTCGGTGGCGTTGAGCGTGAGCAGCGCCCAGGTGCGCACGGCGCGACGTTGGGCGTCGACCGAGCCGTACTTGAACTCCTTGCGCAGCGCTCGCGCCGCTTCTTTGCTGGCCGCGTCCGACTGGCTGACCATGTCGATGAGCGGCAGGATCTCCATCCAGTCCTGATCCTGGACCGCATTGGCCGAGAGCCATCCGACGCGAGACCCTGCGAGCTCTTCGGCTTCCTTGTCCTGGAGGCGCGCAGCGTGCTGCTGGTGCGCGCGCTTGTTCCACCTGTCCATCCATCCACCTTCCTTGGCGCGCTCTTGGTGTGCTTCCATGGGTGAATCTGATGGCGGCGACAAGAGCTGGCCGTCATCGCGATCGCGGCTCGACATGGGCGGTAGGGGTGAAGATGCCAATGCGCGATCTCGGTCCTTCTCGCGGCTCTGCTTGGCTTTCTTGTCCTTGGCGGCTGATGCAAAGGCAAAGAGCTTTTTGGTTTTGGGCTTGTCCTTGTCCTTGAGCTCGGTCAAGGTGGTTTCTTCATAGCGACCCTGCGACATGAGCACCTCTGCGTCGTCTTGGCCGCCGTCGGCACCCGAGTAGACGGGATACGCCGCTACGCGGGACGGACCGCGAGAGGCGGGTGAGCTCTCGTCTGCATCCGAATCCGACTCGTCTTCGTCTGACTTGCGGCGGCGGACGCGCGAAGGGTCAAATGCAACGTGGTCGGTGGTTCCGAAGCGGCCTGGTTCTGGCTGACGGTCGGATGATGCGCCGAGCCCATCGACGGGACGCTGGCGGGGAGGTTGATTGGCTGGACGCAGCGATCTTGGCGGTGAGAAGGCAGCCATTCTGTCGGAAGAGTGCTTGGACTGGAACGAGTTTCTCGGTGCAGCATAGGGGACGGGCTGAGAAGCGCGTTTGTCGCGATCCGACGCTCTGCTGCGATCGTAGGAGGCTCGGGTGGAGGTGTGTTCGGAGGGATGCGAGTTTGGGTCCGAGTAGGAGTCGTAGGGCACCTCGATGCCGCGCATCGAGTGGAATTGGTTCGAATGGCGCTGTTTGTCGGGTGACCGATGAAAAGTCATGGCGTCGGATGGGCCGAAATGCTGGCTGTGACGGTTGTTGGGGGGATACGGCTGCGCAAAGGCGGCTTCGTCGGAGGATCCGCGTGGTGGACGTGAGCGTGACTTGGAAGAGGGAGGCTGGTAGGAGAGGGGCCGTTGGAGATCGGAGTGCTCCGCCTGTGCGGCCATGCGCGCCTGGTACTCGTCAAAGGGGCGCGGAGTGCCAAAGGACGAGCTCGAGGCGGCGGGGCTGGTGGGAGGCAGGGGAGTGATGGTCCCTGCCTCCCTGGGCTTGAAGAACTTCTTCATTGATCAAGCGAGCGGTGCGACAGCATGTGCTTGTGCCATCGACATGCTGTCAGCGAGAAGCGGTTGTGGAGCGAATGTCGGTGTATGCGGTCCTGAATGCCAGACACGTTGACCGGACGTGGTGATGTGCGCTCAGTTGGGGAGAGGGCCGCGCTATAACATGAGCGATGCTGATGCCCGTGGATCGATCCAAATGCGTGGCGATGGTGGCGGTGAGGTGGGTCTAGCGAGGCTGCATGACATTCACTGCGTCGTCGGATGGGTCCGAGGTGGCTGATGCACTCGTTTGCGCAAGGTGGTCCGTTCGTACGTGAGCGTAACCCCGTATGCGCGCCAGTGAGAACAGCTATGAGCGACCGACTGAGCCGGTGGGATAGACGAATGGGTGATGATGGCGCGCACCACGTTCGTCGACTTGGAGGAAGGGATGATGTCGACAGGGTCGAGCGAGTGGGTCTCCAGCTGCGGGGTCTTGCCGAGGCGAGCCGCAGCAGCAGCGTCAGAATCGGGCGGCGAGGATTCCGGATCCCCTCCGGCAAGCCAAAAGCCAGAAAGGTTGCCCTGACCGCCTCAATGCTTGCCTGCCTCCTTAAATATTTAAAAAAAAAGACGCGGCTTCTGAAGGCGATGAAATTCCGGCGTTTCCACGCAGCACAGCCAGCTCAAACCCCCCACCCAAAAAGGAGCTCGTCGGCAAAGCAAATCCAGCACAGCTTCGATTCAGGGTTGCTGCTTTGCACATGTTGCAATGCGTTGTGCTCGCGTTGGCGTCGGCGACTGCAACTTCCAGACCAAGGTGGGGGGGCAAGGGGTTTCGATGTACCAAATTAGAAATGCTTTCCCGGATTCTCTGCGCTTCCGCCCTGTTGGTGGGGCTGAGTTGTGGGCTGTGTTGGGCCACCACGCCGCTACCATACGCTGGGCGAGGGCGGCGCGGACTACCGAAGTCGGTCGGCGATGAGCTCGCTTGGAAATGCCCATGCAGCCCGACCACGCACCGGATCTGGTGCATCGATCTAACAACCTTCAACCGGCCCCAGCCTAATGGCTCGGCTCGACCCTAAAAGACACCTTGGAGATGCTACTAGCTTCAAGCATGCCAACATTCTGCCACACCATGTGGCGTGGCTCCACTTGACCTGCCGAGAACGAAAAAGACGCGATCCGGATATGTCGATTCAAGCTATCTACAAAGGGGTATGCCCCGACGAAGCAGCCAACCCTCGCGGCTACTTGGCGGCTAGCAGTTGCAGGCGTCCTGCTGCTGTCCGCCCTGCTGTCCGCGCAGGTCGACGCCGGGCCTTGCTCCCGCTGCCCCCGAGGCACCTGCAGCACCTGCACGGCTGGCAGCGTTGCGTTGCGAGTCGGCCGCCTGCTCGAGCGGCAACTTGCGCGCAATCATGGTAAAGAGTTCCGACACGTTGGATGAGTCCTTGGCCGAGGTCTCGAGGAAGAGCAGGTTCTCCTCCTGCGCGTACTTCTCCGCCTCCTCGGTGGGGACGGCGCGACGCGTGCTCGCCAGATCCGCCTTGTTGCCCGCGAGCGCAATGATGATGTTGGGGTCGGCCTGACGCTGCAGCTCGCGGATCCACGCCCTGGCCTTCTCCAGCGACGACGGCTGCGTAATGTCGTACACCACCACCGCACAGTTGGCGTTGCGGTAGTACATGGGTGCAAGCGACTTGTATCGCTCCTGACCGGCGGTGTCCCAGATCTCGAATTTCACGGTGGTCTGCGCATCCAGGCTGACGGTCTGCGTGAGGAAGGCGGCGCCAATGGTGCTCTCGCGGTAGTCGTCAAACTGGTCCTTGACAAATCGGAGCACCAGACTCGACTTGCCCACCGCCGACTCGCCGAGCAGCACGAGCTTGAACTGGAGCATGCGTGGATTCCTTGGAGCTGCCATGGTTGCGGTTCGAATCTGAGAGGAGCCGGGAATGGACAGCGAGACGTGGTGACGGGGCGCTCTGGTTTGCTGGGTTTAGCCAAATATGTCGCGTGGGCAAATACAAGCTAGTGCTCTTCGATCGAGCCTGCGATGGGGTCGAGATCCGGATGCAGTAAAGCGAGAGCTTCTTCGGAGGGCGCAAAACAACGAGGCGGATTGCAATCGATGGCGCAGGCGGTGATGTATGCGCGAGCGAAGCTGTGCGTGGCGTGCTGGTGTGGCAAGCGTTGATGGTGGATGGAGAAAATGAACGTGACGATGGTGGTGGTGGTTGCGATGGCGATGACGGTGGAGGCTGGTCGGCGTATAGGGGGGCTTGCACTGGTGCGTCGATGTGAGTGGCAGTTGGGTGAGAGAGTTGCGTGTGGTTATCGGCTTCACGGCAGCCAGAGCCGAGTGTGTGAATTTGACGCCCGCCCACCGCGTGATGCTCTCTCGCAGAGGCGCAGCTGGGGCCAACCCGCCGATGCGCGTGTTGTGCGCGCTCCCGTCCAGCAGCAGCTGCTGAGCCCCAGCTGAGTTTTGGCCAAAAAAAAAATCCGATTTTAGCCCGCGATTTCAAGCGGCCTTGTTTTTTTGGCGCTCCGCAACAGAGCTTTGGAAGAGCCACGAGCAGCAGCGGACAGTAGATTGTCAAGGGTGCTGCTGCCCTCATAAACCCTACACGCCGTCCGCCGAGGCCAAGCCTTGCTCTACGGCCACAAACCTCCACTTTTTCCGGTGGGCTGGCCGCACTGACCCTTGCTTTTTGATGGGGGCCGGAAGAAAGCGAACGGATCATCCTCACTCTCATCGGCACTGCTCTTGATGCGCACGCTCTTCTCGCCTCGCACTCTCGGACTGGCGATTTGCAGTTCCTCTTCGCGCCTCGCCACATCCCGCATCGTTCATCCTCGCAGCGCCGTCGCTGTTCCGGCTCGATCGATCATGTCGCAGCCCAACTGGCAGATCACCGAGAAGGTCAAGCAGAACGCCATCCTGGCCGACACGATGCAGGCGATGCACCGGATCGCGCCGCTCCAGCTCGCCGACACCTCGTTCGACAACGTCGGCGTCCTGCTCCAGGCGCCGCCCTCCCAGCCACGCGAGGAGAAGCAGGGGATCATGCTGGCGATCGACCTGACGACGGCCGTGTGCGACGAACTGCTCGCGTCGCCCGACAACGTCAAGGTGGCTCTGGTGTATCATCCGATCATCTTCCGTGGGCTCAAGTCAATCACGTTTGCGGATCCGCAGCAGACGAGCCTGTTGCGGTTGGCCGCTGCCGGCATCAGCGTGTACTGTCCGCATACGAGCCTCGACGCCACACCGGGCGGGATCAACGACTGGCTCGGCAAAGTCGTGTCGTCCGAGAAGCCGTTTGAGCAGCTCAGCACGGACAAGGCGCTGGACGAGCTCCGTGAAAGGCCATGGCCGGTGCTTAGTGCGTCAAAGAACACGCCGAAAGGATACGAGGCTGCCGGCATGGGAAGGCTCATCACGCTCGACCAGCCGCAGACGTTCGAGGAGATGGTCCGACGCATCAAGCAGAACCTCGAACTCGACCATGTGCAGGGCTGCAAGGCTTCCGACACGCCCATCTCCACCGTGGCCGTGTGTGCAGGCTCGGGCTCCAGCGTGTTTGCGGGCGTCAAGGCGGATCTTTGTGAGTCGGCCGCGTTGGCAGACAGTATGGCTCGCGCATCCTACTGACTGATCCACCACTTTTATCGATTCGTCAACAGACCTTACTGGAGAGCTCTCCCACGTAAGTTGCGACCACGCTAGCCCGTGAACAAGGTGTCGCACGACAGTCGGCTGATCTTGCTGCATTTGTTTTTTGCGCCATCTTGGTGTTTTTCTTACAGCACGAGGTTCTGGCGTACAAGGCCGCAGGAGCCTCGGTGATCGTCACCAACCACACCAACACCGAACGGTGAGTATCTCGCACTCTCAAGTGGCGTGCCGTTAGGGACCCGACACTGACATCAGGCTTTGACTTGGACACAGCAAATACCTGCGAGACGTGCTGCAGCACTGGCTCAGGCGCGAGATTCCGGCGCAGTACTCGGTGTCGGTCTCCCAAGCCGACGCCGATCCGCTGAGTGTATTCTAGAGGTCAAAGTTGGGGGCCAAATGCAGGAACAGCAGCGGCAGAAGCATGAACACCGAGATTTGTGCCCGATATGAGTCGAAGGCGGCACCCGATGGCGAGACGCGTGGAAGTGGGGCACAGGTGCGCTCGCCGGTGCAGCGCCTGAGAGAGACAGCTGGCAGGGAAATAGAGCACACACACGCGCGCCTCCCCAAAGGGCTGAAATTGAGAAGATCCGAGCTTGCCGCGTCAACTTGACCCAAGTCCGTGCAGCGCAAAGGCAGCTCGACGTGGCCGGCTTGTCGGCATCCACCACCATCCTGGCGCGCACCTCGTCTGCCTCTCCGACACCGCCAGCAACGGACTGCTAAGCAACGCGCGCCATGGCCGAGCTTCTCGACTCGCTGGACAAGCTGCCCAAGATCCGCCAGTTTGACGCGTTTCCCAAGACGCAGTCGATCTATACGCAGCGGTCGTCCAAGGGCGGAGTGCTGACGATCATCTCTGCGCTGGCGCTCGTGTTTCTGCTATGGACGGAACTATCGACGTATCTGTACGGCGAGCGCGGGTATTCGTTCGCCGTGGATAGTCAGATGCAGTCGACGATGCAGATCAACATGGACATGACCGTGGCGATGAAGTGTCACTACCTCACCATCGACGTGCGCGATGCGGTGGGCGACCGTCTGCACGTCTCGGATTCCGAGTTCAAAAAGGACGGAACCACGTTTGATATCGGCCATGCCGATCGACTCGATGCGCTTCCGCAGGAGGCGCTCGATGTGGGAAAGACGATTAGCAAGGCGAGGAAGAAGCCGCTGTATAGGAGGAAACCGCGCAACAAAAAGTTCTCGAGACAGGTGGCGTTTCACAAAACCGCACACGTCGTACCGGACGGTCCGGCGTGCAGGATCTACGGCAGCATGGAGGTCAAGAGGGTCACGGGCAATCTGCACATCACCACGCTTGGACATGGCTATCTCAGCATGGAACACACCGACCACAAACTCATGAACCTCAGCCATGTCATCCACGAGTTCAGCTTCGGCCCTTACTTTCCCGAAATCTCGCAACCGCTCGACTCGTCGGTCGAGACCACGGACAAGCGTGAGTCCCTTCTTTACCTCGCCCTACTGACCCGCTCGGAGTATGGATTGTCAAACTGACTTTTTTTTTTGATTTTGCTATGCTGTTGGGATGGGGGGGATGAACAGACTTCACAGTGTTCCAGTACTTTGTCTCGGCCATACCCACGCTGTTCATCGACGCGCGCGGGCGGCGGTTGCACACGCACCAGTACTCGGTGACCGACTACACGCGTCCCATCGAGCACGGCAAAGGCGTACCGGGCATCTTTATCAAGTACGACATTGAGCCGTTGCAGATGACGATTCGCGAGCGCTCGGTCTCGCTCGTCCAGTTCCTCGTGCGTCTCGCCGGCGTCGTGGGCGGCGTATGGGTATGTGTCGGGTACGCATTCCGCGTCACCACGCGCATCTCAACCCTCGCTACGTCGACCAACGATCGAGACTCGCCCGAAGCATACGCCGCCAGCTACGGCTACACCCGCCCCGGCATGCACAAGTCGCCCAGCTGGGTAGCCGCCAACGACGCCGTGGGCAAGCTCAAGGACAAATGGGCGAATTTCGGCGGCGACCTGGGCCGAACGCCCGGCCACCGCAAAGTGGATAGCGTCCAACAACGCATCCTCTCCGAAGAAGGTCGTGCCTTTTAAGCTTGGTTTTGAATCCCCATCTGCTTTTTTTCCAGTCGTGGCGGTGAAAAAGGTTGTACATTGCAAAAGAAGCGCGAGTGCAGAGAGAGCATTAGGCATCGACAATGGCCGTGTCCAGACCCTGCGTTTCTAGATGGTCGAGTCCCTTGCGGAGCGTGGCGATTTTGGCGCGCAGCGTACGGATGGCTTCGGGCAGCAGACGCTCGGGCGGGATCACGCCTGTGCTCTCCAGATCAAACAGGAAATGGTCTCGGACACGACCGAGCTTGACGGTGTGCTCGAACTCGTCGTGCCTAAACACCTCTCTGCTGATGGTGTCCTTCCTCGCGTCCTGCACGAACACCTTGCGCTCATCGCCCTCGCCGCTGACGCCGATGACGCCGGGCGGGAAGCAAGCGACGAACTTGTCCACCGACGCCGCGGGCACGGGTTGGAGCAGCTGGATGTGCGGCAGCAGGCGGTACGTGGCAGTAGCCACCGGCGAAAACTTGGCATGGTCCTTGCCGATGCCCTTTTCGCAGTGCAGCTCCAGATCCAGCTCCTGGCCCGGGCGCAGCTTGGCGATCAGGATGCGGTCGTGCACGGGACGTGGGGGTGCGTCGCCAAAGTCGTCCTCCTGCCCACCCTTGGCATCCCACTCGAGCGCGCCCGAGTAGACGTTGTGGCCGATGTACAGCTTGTCCGGATCCGTCTCTCCGCGTGCAGCGTTGCGGTTGCGCTCGCACTTGGCCTTGAGGTGGAAGACCACCGTGTTGCTGTCGTCGGCATCGTCGCCCGGCTGGCGCATGAGCACCTTGTCCGGATGAATCGCAAGCGGCACCAGCCCCAATCGGTGCGACAGCACCTCGTCCTGGATGATGCTTGTGTTGTTCCAGATGTAGACGTGCTCGATCGCCACCGTGGGCACCTCGGCCATCAGCACGCGCCGGATGGCGTTGGCGATCGACGCGTCCACCCCGATCAGGTCAAACTCGCACGAGGCGTCCGACAGGCGTGTAATGATGAGCTTCAGCCTCTCGCCGAGCGCGGCGAGCGAGAAGGTGTGCGCCTCGCCCGGGTGATGCAGCGGGAAGTCGGTCTCTGCCACCGAGCCCACCCGTTCTGGCAGGATCTCGACGAGGCGGCGCGCGTCCACCGCTGCCGACGACTTGGACTGCTCAATGATGGTCGCCGCGGCAGGGTCGTTGGCGATGCTGCCGCTCGGCTGCGACGATGAAGGCTCGTCGATGTCCATGGCGCTTTCTGGTGCTGATGCTGCCGCTGCTGCGTCCGCCTTGGACGAGCGCTTGGAGCCCTTGGGCGGCATTGTGAAGAGGGTTGGCGGCGGTGCCCAAGTGTGTGCGCAAGCGCAGGGCGAGAGTAGGGTTGGTGCTCCGGTCGCTGCTTCCGGTGTCGTTTCGAGCGGGGAGCAGCAAAAGAGATCGGCAACCAAAGGCGAGTGGTGCGGGTATCGTTGGGTGCTGATGATGAGGAATGGAAGGTCGTTCGAACCCTTTTTTTCTTCTTGCAGCAGCCGCAGAGGCTGAGGCTGCTGTGCGACTTTCTGAAGTGGAGTGCGAAGATGCGCCGCCGAACCGAAAAAAAATCCGTCGTGCAGGAGTCTGAAAAAATGGGCCAAGATGTCAGACCTTCTTCAGCACACAAGCTTGAATTCTGAATTTCCTGTTTTCCAGGCTCTCTCGCACGAACCGGCCGTGGACACGCTGGGCGCCTGCCTGTCCGTGCATGAGATGAGCGCACGGTGCGTGGAGCCTCTTCGCTCACTTTCGACGAGCGGCCCAAAATCGATTTCACCGCCGACCGACGGCCGCATTGGAAAGCGTCAGCAGCAGCAGCAGCAGCCAGCAGCAGAGCGCGCCTAGCGATCTCGAATCGGCTGCTCCACACCCAAATTCCAGCTCGCCGCACTCGTTGCTCAGTTCTAGTCAAGTCAGCTGGTCCTGAGGTTCGCCAACTCCACACGCCTTCCAACTTCCGTCTTCTTACAATCACAGTCCCCCCGTCTCGCGACATCAAATCCTCCAGCCTTTCCTTCAATCACTGCACAGCCCCACCGCCAATGGAGGGAATCAACGCAGACACCAAGCTCGAGTCGCTCACCGATGCGCAGCGTCTCGAGCTCGCCGAAAAGGTGCGCGCCGAGTCCACGGCGGGTCAGCCGCTCATCTCGTCCGTAGAGCCCATCGAGGTGCTCGAGCACGAGTACGCCAACAACGACGCCTTCCTCGGCAAGATCCAGTGGCTCAAGGAGGCGGGCTTCATTGGTATCCGACGCGCCAAGGGGGATGGCGACTGCTTCTACCGCGCGTTTGCCTTTGCGTTTATCTACAAGCTCATGATGATGAACGATCGACCCATGCATCACTTTACCGTCAAGCACGTCGATTCGACGCTGCATCTGCTCAAGGAGGCTGGATACGACGAGAGCGTGTATACCGACTTTTACGAGCCGCTGCGCAATCTGCTCAACCGCATGTACTCGACGGATCCAGAAACCAAGGAGCTCAACGAAAGCGCCCTCGTCGAAGCCATGAACGACGCCGAACAATCCAACTCGATCGTCGTCTATCTGCGTCTGCTCACCTCGGCGTTCCTCAAGCTCAACGCCGACGAGTATACGCCGTTCCTGTTTTCGCTCGACACGCACACCGACGCCGCCGCGCCCGACATGCAGTCCTTCTGCGCAAACCACGTCGAGGCCATCGGCAAGGAGGCGGACCATGTACAGATCACCGCGCTCTCGCGTGCACTCAAGGTCTCGCTCGACGTCGCATACCTCTCGCCCGCACAAGCACCGCCCGCCACACCGCTCGACGAAGACTTCCCCGCCGAACAGATCCAGTCGTCGGAAACCAAGCAACAGTCGTCAAACTCAATACCCGTCCCCGGCAACGAGGCCGCCTCGCGCAGACACGCCGCCGACAACCCCAACCGCTGCGACGTGGTCCGCTTCGAAGTCGAGGGCGGCCAGATCACCGAAATCGGAACCATGCTCCTCAGACCAGGCCACTACGACCTCCTCGTCCAGGCGCCCACCCCCGCCTCCCCAGAACCCGAAATCCCCGCCATCCTCTCCACCTAATTTCTCTTCCATTCGCCCTCGAGCTGTCGAATCTTCCCAATGCCCCCCTCTCAACCACCAAACGCACTCTCTTCCTCTGCAATCCCATCTTTTCTTGGCTCCCATTCTCGCGCACACATCCGCATTCAAGTCGTGTGCCCATTACATTCGCATTCGCATCCCATCGACCGCCGCGAGAGAAGAGGCTGAGCGATCAGTGGTTGTGATGTTGACCCGTATTGCCCGCAGCGCCGCTGAGGTTCCACGACGACTGCGGCTGCCAGAACGACGAGTTGTCAAACGCAGTCATGTAGTTCCACATGCGCTCCAGCGATTCCGGATCGTCGACCACGTTCGGGATGGACGCCGCCGCTGCTGCAGCCGCCGCCATCGCGTCGGACGACACGCCGCCCGCTTGCGACACAGCGCCAGCGGCGATCGGCGTCGAGAGCAGCATGCCCGCACCCGTGAGCAGTTCCGGCCCAGCGCCGCCCGATGTCACCGCCGCATTGCTCGTCGACGGCCACGCCACCGACGCCATCGGTTCGGCAAGAAGAGGCGTCGTAGCCGTCGAGGCATCCATGGGCAGTCCTCCGAGCAGCTTTTCCATGCTCTGTGCATCCACCGCCGCGTTGGCGAGTGGCGCAGCCATGTCGAGCTCGCCATTCACCCCCGCATCGCCAGTCACAATCAGCGGCAGCGCTGCAACCGCCTTGCCCGTCGCTGTCTCGCTTACACCCGCAGTCACGGCCGGAGCTGCCCCAACACCTCCACCCAAAGCCTCGTTGCTGCCGAGCACTCCTTGGCTCGGCACCACCTTGTCTCCAGCAGCTGCATCTTCGTGTTTCGAGTCGCCAGCTTTGCCGCTGTCGGACGCAAGCTTGGAATCCCCATTCTCGCCGCCCAGCGTGCCGCTTGCCGCAGGAGGCTTCGCCTCGCCCGTTTCGGCGGTTCGCGACACCGCATGAGCAGCCGTCGCTGGCGGGCTTGCGCCGGCCGAGCGGCTGTCGCCGGGTGCAAGGCTACTTGTGGTGATCGACGTGGCCTGCTCGCTGTCCTTACCCGGCGTCTGTGCCGCTGCGGCAGCAACAGCACCAAGGGCCCCCGCAGCTGCCACCGCAGGAGTCTCGGGCTCGAACGCCGCCAGCACCGACCTGAGGTACCTTCCATACGGCGTCGCCGAACCATTGCGGTGGCGCGGTGTCTTGCCCGCGTTCGTCATGCTGGTAGCCAGGCGGCGTACCAGCGCCAGCAGCGTTTCCTTGTCCGCAAAGGCGTACTTGTGCTGCAAGTTGGTCATGCGCACCGCCGATACGGCAGCATACACCGCCATGACCACGCGGTCGTTGGACCAGGTGACGAGCGCTTCCTCGGTGAAATCGTTGAGCACCGTGTCGATCAGTGAGATGGCCGAGGTCCAGCAGTCGACCGACACGGCCGAGCCCGAAAGGAAGCCTTCGTACTGCTCGGTCGCGCCGAGCACGAGCGAGTTGATGAGCAGGCGCGAGTGGTAGTAGAACAGCTTGGCAGTCGGCGCCCAGCGAATCAGGTACTTGCCTGCCGCCGTGCTCGTGTCGACCTCCTTGATCTTGTCGTCGGTGTTGATGCACCACGTCTCCTTCCACTTTTCCAGGTCGGCGTTGGCATTCTTGCGGAAGAACTCGAGTCCGGAAAGTCGGCGTTCGAACATGCTCTGGCCGCCAACACCGAGCGCGGTGGCGGTCTGTGTCTCGTCGAAACGGTCGGGGCTGGTCAGGTATGCATCAAAGGCCTCGGTGTGCTGTGCGGTGATGCGGCGCAGCTTGATGAGGCTGACCAGCGACACGTCCTCGGGAAGCGCAAAGTCCTGGCGATGCCACATGGAGCTCTGGACGATCATGCGGTCCTCCGAGATCGTCCACGGCCGGCCAGTCTGTGCGCTGAGCGTGCGGTCGTAGAGGAAGAGGTTGTACCAAAGCCGCTCGCGGTTGCGCACGCGCCGCGCCACCTGTTCGTTGCCAAGCAGATTCTCGCTCGGCGTGACCTTGCGATTGACGCCGACCTCGGTGGCGGTACGGATGGCGAAGCCGAGGTACTGCCAGGAGCGGTCGTCCACCAACCGGTTCGTCGGTCGGCTGTATGTGGTGAGGATGAGGAAAGCCTGGCTGATCTCGACGCTCTTGTACCCGCCGAGCAGGATCATGGGCAGCAGCTTCTCCTGCCAGTGCTTATCGAGCACTGCGGCGAGACGGGCGTCCTGCGGCGTATCCGAGAAGCGCGCAGCCATGCTCGAGATGACGGTGGTGAGGAAGGCCGATCGCATGCGCACAAAGGCGACGCTGTGCAGGAATGGATCAAACAGATCAAGCACCGGGTTGATACGCGCAAAGAAGATGTCGAAGAGCCGCTCGAGCTCGCGCAGCTCGACGAGGCCGAGCTCGACGGGGTCCAAGCCCTCAGTGTCGTCGTTCTTGCTGTGGAAGAGACTGAGGTTGAAGTAGCCCTTGCGCGATGCGCCTGCCTCGCCCTCGCCGCCCGAGGTGACGCCGCTGGCCTCCTTTGGCTTGGACACGGTCGAGATGGTCACCTGCTTGGCCTTGACAGACTCTGGGGCAGTCTCGTCGTCGAGGCCGTCGCCGTTCTCGGCGTCCGTGTCCCACTCTGCGAGCCTGCGTCTGCGGCTAGGCAAGCCGCCTCCGCGCGCGGCACGTGATCGGCCGCGCTTGCGCTTGCCAAGCATGGCAGTGGTCACCTCATCTGCAGGCGATTCGATGATCTCGCCAGGCGATGCGCCGTTGATCGCCGAAACGCCGCCCGGTTTCTGGCCGTTGGCCGCGGCGCCAGATACACTGCTAGAGGTTGTGCCAGCATCGCCACTGAGGCCACCGGGGCTTGCTCCGGATCCATAGCCTCGACGGGCCTGCGCCTTGCCCTCGCGGTACTCCCATGCGTCGTGGTCGAGTGTGGACGGCGTGAGCACGTTGGAGCGCCCCAAGGAAGCGGCCGAGACGGTCTTGGACGCCGAAAGCTGGCTGGCTACCGACGGCCCTGCAGCTGGGACGCTGGGGTCCGATTCGTCCATGGCGACAGGTCCATCGATTCTGGGCAGCTCGCCCTCGGGGAAGGATTTGGAACGCATGCTGTCCTTGAGGAACGGTGGCTGGCTGCGGTGACTGGCGTCGTTGGCAGCCTCGTCCGTCGACAATCCGCTTCGATTCGCGTGAAGCAGCGGCGGCAGAACGCGGTTGGCAGGCCACCTATTGCGCGAAGGGTCGTCGTCCTTGCGCCCGTATAGCGGGCGTCCGAGTCCCGTGAGATTGACGGCGGCGCTGACAGCCATGCGGTTGGAGGGCAGAGTGGGATGGAGCAGACCCATGGTCTCGACGGCTGCGAGCGAGCTTCGACTTCCCGGCTCGACCCTGCCGCCCTCGATCCTGGCAGCTGCTGCGTCGGAGGCCTGGGCGAGGAGCTTGAGCGGGTTGGACAAGACATAGTCGTGCTCCTCGCGTGTGGCGTCTGCGTCGTCCTCGAGCTCGTCCTGCTCGTCTTCGTACTCCTCGTCGGCGTCCGGGTCGTAGGCATTGCTGCGGCTGGAAGAACGGTGGTGGTGCGAAGACGGACCGTCGCGACGCTGGGTGCGACCCTTGGAGCTGGACGAGAGCGTCTGCGAGCTGCTGCGCTCGTTGTTCGAGCCATAGGGCTTTTGCTGCGATTGGCCTGGATTGGCCGGGGCATCCGGACGCCTCGAGGGAGACAGATCGAGCCTGGATTTGTGACTTCTCTCGGAGCCGAGCTGGCTGTCCCAGTGCGCATAGTTGTGGCTGGGTGCGGGTGCGTTGTGCGGATAGGGCCGAGAGCGACTGTGGAGGTAGGGATCGTGCTGCTGCTTGACCGAGGCAGAGGATGCAGAATGAGAAGTGTGGGGCGAAGAGACGGCGGCTTGGGAAGCGTGGTCGCGCCAACGCCCCGGACTGGGATGATCGTTGCTGTGTCGGCTGTGAGCGTAACTTGACGCTGACTGCTGTTGCTGGTGGTGCTGGGGTTGCTGCGGCTGCTGGTGATGCTGCGGCTGCTGCGAGTGCTGCTGGGAATAGTGATGGTGCTGATGCGACTGCTGGTGGTGCTGGCCGGACTGTGAATGCACGGCTGGCGGATGGTGAAGATTCGACTGCGGAGCGTACGAGTATGGCATGCCAGCATGAGCGAGGCCAGAGGGAGCCGACATGGAAGACGACAGGCCGGCGTTGATACCGTGGAAGCGGTCGTTGGAATAGTGGGAGGCAGAGCCGCCTCGTTGCTGTGCAGACTGGCCAAAGTCGCCGCCGCCCGAGTTCCATGCCTTTTCATTGAAGCTGGGTCGGCCGGATTGGCCATCGCCGGAGGCAAAGCCAGGATCGTGTTTGGACTGCACCTTGTCGGGAGTGCCGCGACCGTTCTTATTGGCTGACTGGTGCTGCGACTGCGGCGGCTGCTTGTGATGTGACTGGGAATGCTGCGTGTCGGATCTGCCGCCGGACGAGGTTGGGCGATTGGGCGAATCGTAGGACTGGCCGTCGCCGTTGCGGGCGGATCGGAGGTCGGAAGGCACCGAGAAGCGCTTGTTGGGCTTTCGGCCGCGCTTGTGCTTTTCAAAGAGGCACTCGCGCTGGTGCTTGACGCAGCGCTTGCACGGCACCTGGCCGTCGGTGGGCGCCGAGCACTTGATCTTGGCCGAGCGACACTCGAGGCACGCGATCTTGGCGCCCTGCTTGGTGTCGGCACCTCCGGGTCCATCGACGAGGACGCGCGGTTTATCGTCGTTGTCAAAGTCGGCGCCGGGCGACGCGGGAGATGCGGACGAAGCCATTGCAGATCGGGTCACGACCGGCGCGGCGGTATAAAATTGCACGGAGGACTAGGCTTGAGGATGTCCGATGGTGATGTGGCGGCCAAGAGCCGAAACGGGATCGAGAAGCGCGTAGATATACGGCGCCGATGCCGAAAAGGATGCACTACTTTTGGACGAGAATCACGGACGCATGCAAGGCGAGGTTGCTGTAGCGTTCAGCAGTGATGCATGCGATGGAGCGGAGGCTGGACGCTGGAGAGGCTGGAGGCTGTGGCGTGCGTGTACGTCGAGGCTAAGTTGGGATGCAGTGCGGTTTTGCGAATTACGGCTTCACCAGCGGGGCGCCAGCGTTTTCATTTGGCTGGGAGGATGGCGGACGGTGGTGGCTCGTGGGAGCGAGAAAGCCGTGGCGCGGTCCAGAGACCAAGCAGCTGCGCGGAGCAGGATCGGACGACGAGCGACGCCGGTCAGATGACGGCAGACGAGCGTCGATAGATGCGACGACGAGATGAGGGCAAGCCGGAGCGCGATGGTCGCGATGGAAATGTGTGGGAGCGCGAGCAAGCAACGGCGGCGGATGTAGCGGGCGTCGTGGCTTGGCGAGTGAGAATACCGAGCACTTAGATACGTCGGATGACTGCGATGGTTGGAGTGCGTGTGTGCGCGTTTGTGAGTGTGATCAGCGCGAGACGTCGCGAGTGATGATGAGTGTAGGAAGCGTGCCGAAAGGGAAAGTGTGCTGAGCCCAAGAGTGTGTTCGGGGATGGTGGGCGAAAGGAAAAGCGACAGGATGAAGGCGCTTTCAGCTGCACGAGGCGAGGCGAAGAAGCTTGCTTATTCCAATCCAGCAGAGCGGCGACTAGCCAGCTCAGCCTTGAGCCACCACCAACACCACCACCGCCGCCGTGGGCCGAGATTGCAGCGAGCGAGCCACGAGAAGCGCAGTGCCGTCAGCCTCTGCACATTTCACGCTAGCAGTCCCACTCTGCGCGGGCCCGCAGCCAACGCCCGCTCAAGCGAGCAGGCGGCTGCTGTGGAGAGCCGGGGTACAATTCTGCCCTCTGCACGCACGCGGCGGGCGGTGGGCCGCAGGCTGCCAGTAAATCCATGAAAAAAGCGCGAGCCTTTGGCCAAAGTTGGTTGGCTGGTCGACCGTGCGTGGCCGGGGAGGGCGGCGGCGGCTGCAAGCACGAATCTGTCAATCCCGGCCTAGGCGAGACGGCGAGACGGCGAAACGGACGCGACGGTGCCTGCCCCGGACCTCGAAAATAGAAGCCCCACGCTTTCTTGCGCTGTACCTGGCTCAGGGCGGCCAACGACTGCCCGTGATCAGCCGTGCATCTCTCCAGTCCATCCAGCACCGGCTCGGCAGGTCTTGATTCGATTCTTGGCTCATGTAGCCGTGTGCTGAACTACCCGTTGGGAGGCGATGAGAACAAGTGGCCGGAGCGGCGCATTCGACCGAGTCCGGGCTGCGAACGCACCGCTGGCTAGCCGAGACTGACACGGTACCGCCTCAGTTCGCGTTACCCTTGGGCTTGATCTTGGCCCAAGCCGGATCAAGAATCGGGTCTCAGCCTCTGCGACATCCACCTGCACCCTTGCGCCCCGACGCGTGCCCCTTCCTCGTAGCCGCAATCGCTATGGTTCACCACTGCTCCTAACCAGCATCGCGGAAAAGTTGGGTTCGCCGTGACAAAGACGTCGACGCTTCAGGGCGGGTACAGTGGCTGCAGCAGCTGTAGCTCGATTTAGAAACGCCGCACGCACCACCGCTGCTTGCAGATGCAATGCGATAGACTTAACAAACCCGCCTGCAGAAATTCCTCCCGCGCCTTCGTCTTTTGGTTGCATCTCGTTCCCGATTCACTCCAGCGATCCAAAGCCCCACCACACTCGTGCACGCAAATCAACCGTCAAAAGCATCATCTTGGCTTGCGTAGGTGCGACGGAAACGAGCCGTCAATCTATACAGTACAGCGAAAGCGCACGCGCGTATCTGCACTCAGAAGTGGATGGCCTTGGAGTACGACGCCATGGCGGCCTCCTTGAACGCCTCGGAGAGCGTGGGGTGCGCGTGGCAGGTTCGTGCAATGTCCTCTGCCGACGCCTGGTACTCGATGGCCAGCACGGCCGACGCGATCATCTCGCCCGCGTTGGGGCCGATGATGTGCACGCCCAGCACCTTGTCCGTCTCCTTCTCCACCAGGAACTTGACGGTGCCCTCGGCGTCGGCGTTGGTCTTGGCACGCGAGTTGGCCAGGAAGGGGAACTTGCCCGTCTTGTACTCGACGCCCTCCTTCTTGAGGTCCTCCTCGGTCTTGCCCACCCACGCCACCTCGGGGTGCGTGTACACTACCGAGGGGATCGCAGCGTAGTTGACGTGGCCGTGGCCCGTCTTGATGATCTCGACGGCAGCGATGCCCTCCTCCTCGGCCTTGTGCGCAAGCATGGGACCGAAGGTGGCGTCACCGATGCACTTGACGCCCTTGCAGGTGGTGTTGTACTGGTCGTCGACGATGATGCGTCCGCGCTCGTCCTTCTCCACTCCGATCGCCTCGAGGTTGAGGCCGTTGGTCACGGGGCGGCGGCCGATGGCGACGAGCACAACGTCGGCGTCGAGCTGCGACTTTTCGCCGCTCTTGGCGTCCTCGACGTTGAGGAGCACCTTGCCGTCCTTCTTCTCGGCATCCACCACCTTGGTGCCCATGCGGAACTTGAGACCCTGCTTCTCGAGCGTCTTCTTGAAGCTCTTTGCGATCTCACCGTCGATGCCCGCACCGCCGACCGAGGTGAGGAACTCGACCACCTCGACCTTGGCACCGAGGCGGCTCCACACACTGCCCATCTCGAGTCCGATGACGCCGGCGCCGATGACGATCATCTTCTCGGGCACCTTCTGGAGCTCGAGCGCGCCGGTGGAGCTCACGATCTGCTTCTCGTCGATCTCGATGCCGGGGAAGGGCGTCACCTCGGAGCCGGTGGCGATGAGGATGTTCTTGGCCTCCACCTCGGTCTCGCCGCCGTCGTTGAGCGCGACCTTGACGGTGGTGGGGCTGCTGAAGCTACCGGCACCCTTGAGGTAGTCGACCTTGTTCTTCTTGAAGAGACCCTCGATACCCTTGGTGAGGCCGGTGACGGCGCTCGACTTGGCCTTGAGCATGGTGTCGAGGTTGAGCGAGATGGAGCCGACGTCGATGCCGCGGCTCTTGAAGTCGTGCTGAGCCTGGTGGTAGAGGTGCGAGTTGTTGAGCATCGCCTTGGAGGGGATGCATCCGACGTTGAGGCACGTGCCTCCGAGCGAGCCGCGCTTCTCGACGCACGCCGTCTTCAGGCCGAGCTGCGCAGCCTTGATGGCGGCGACGTAGCCACCGGGGCCACCGCCGATGACGACGAGATCGTAGGGCTCAGCGCCGGTGGCGAGGCCGCGGCTCTGGACGCGGGGCAGCGCCGAGACGACACGCGGAAGCGTCGAGGACTGGAAGGCGCGCGCGGGGGCGGCGACCGACGATCGCGAGAGCAGACCGGAGATCATTGTGGCGAAGGCGTTTGGTTGGAAAGGAATCTCCAAGCGGCCAGCAAGGGAGACGGGAAGGGGTTACGGAGGGTGATGGTGGGAGTCGGGACAGGTGTGCAGCTCGAGTTGTGCGCAGGGTTCGCAGCCCAAAGCAGGAAGGAAGCGATGCGATCCGCCGCCCTGCTCATTCTCGCCACGCACCCACGCCTGATCTTTCTGAGACGTCTCCAAGTGGCACGGTCGGTCGGTCACCTGTCGCTCAGCTCGCTTTTTGGCGCTTCAAAAGATCTTGATTTTCTAGCCACTCTGAGCCCCAAACTGAGCCCCGTGGCTGAGAGAAATTCGTCAGCGGCGATTTCCTGCGCGCGCGTTCAACCACCAAGGCCCCTCCGTTCCGCCCCAAACCAACGTCGTCTTTTCGAAAATTAAAAAACAAAACAAAACAAAAATCCGAGAAAGATCAGGGTCAGCTGTGCGCTGCAGTGCCAACTTGGCTCCCAACAATCTTGCTTGCTTGCTTGCTTGCTTGCTGCTTTTCTGATGATTTCCACCGAAAAAATCGCGCGCCTGCTGGAGGGGACTGCCGTCAATTCCCGCCTGTCTGTCGGCCGTCGAAGCCGAATCCGAAGACGCTCATTTCCTCGCCAACATGACGGACGGAGACATCCGGTGCCTTCGCAAGGCCTGCATGGCTCACACTTCCGATGAATCGCTCGCCAACCAGCCCCATGTCAGCCTGCCAAAGTGCGACCAAGACACGCGAGCCGCTCCTTTCGTGGAGGCCTAACCCACCGCCTTGGCGCGCGTGCTTTCTGTTTGCCATCACAACCTCACTCATTCACGCCTTAACTCCAACACGGTGCACTTGACTCCATTGCGTTCCACATTTCCATCATGGTATAGGGCTGCCCGAGCTAGGGTGTGACGGCTACTGCTTCTTGGGAAGACTCGCGAGCCTCCAACCGTTGACATTGGCCATCGAGGCGGCGGTGGCACCCGCGCCCGCCTCGGAGCTTCCGTGGCTCCTTCGTCGTGCGAGCCCGCCAAAGCTCTCGCGGACAATGAGATGGAGGCACGTCACAATGATCACGTCCTTGAGCTCCTCGCGCGTGAGACCAGCACCGTCGGGGCCCAGCCCGGTACTGCTCAGGTCGGGCAACGGGAAGGGCACAGCAAGCTGGCCGACGAGCTTGGGATGATGCGGCGCAGGCGAGAGCGTGCCGAGCGGGATGCGCGTGGTCGGTCCCAGCACCAAGTGGCAGTTCCAGGGCGTCTCGCTGTCCTCTGGATCCGACTCGTCGCCCGAATCGTCGCCGTGCGGGGCCGAGGATCCTGCGGCCGAGGTATCGACCGAGCGGCGTGGCGAGCGGTGTCCTGCGCCCGACACAAACGACGACGGCCGCGAGGTGGAGCGCAGCACGTCGCCGCTGCTCAGCCTCGGCGCGGCATCATCCACAGCGAGCGACTGTGCCGAGGTGGACGTGGTCGGATGCAGCGAGCCATTGGTGCGCGCCGGCTCACCCATGTGACGATCGATGCTCGTCACCGACGCATTGAGCGAGACGCTGGCGCGCAGCCGTGCCTGCATCACTTCGGCGCGCCGCCGGCTGCGCGACTTCCTCGAGTCGCGCGACCACTCGAACCGAACTGGGATCTGCGACGCTGGCGGATGCACCTCGCTGCCGCCCATGCGGTTGACCAGGTTGAAGCGCTTCCACACACTCGCCAGGACCGGATTGGCGCCTTGCCCATCGGCTGCCCGAGGCGCCGCTCCAGTGCGACTCACAAGGTGGCCGTGCTCGCCACCGTCGTGCGCCACCCTGCGGTTCCACTTTCGCACCGTCCAATAGTATCCCTCGGTGCGTTTGCCTTCCACGACACCGGCGCCGGGCGAGAACTGCGGAATTTCGTGGTGGCCTGGCGCGCGTGCGGGATCATTCGGCTGTCGGCCAAACATATTGTGCGAGTTGGAAGATCCGCTGCCCGTGGCGCGATCCTGCGTCGCTGCGCTATCGGGCCCGAATGCACTCGTTGCACCTGAAGAGCTCGCAGGGCGCACGTTGAGCGAGAAGCGCTTAAACTTGCCGAGAAGCTTGCCACCCAGATTCGCTTCGACGCCACGCGCCTCTGGCGTCATGGCTTGGTAGGATGTGGGCGGTTCGACTCCCGGTGCGGCACCGGCAGCCAAGCCGGCATTGTCGCGCGTAGGAGCCGAGAAGGCCGACGCCTCGTCGATGCTGTCGGACGAGTCGGTCTCGTTGCGCGGAGACGCAGACGAGGCAAGCGGACCGTGCACGGTGGACGAGCCATGCTCGGCCGCCGCATTGCGGTAGAGCGTTGCCAGATCGTTGACGCCGCCGACGAGCTCGGCGGGCTCGAGCACGCCGAAACCGTCGAGGTCGATGCCCTTGCGCACGTACTTGGCCACCTTCTGGTCGGTTCCGGCGTCGCTGACGGTGGTTGAAAGGATGGTGTGGAAGTTGAGGTTGTAGAGCGGTGTCACGCGTCTTCCGGAGCTGGTGGAAGCTACGGAGCCCGCGGCGGAGATCTCGGAGCCTGCGGATCGTGTCGAGGTGATCGAGTCTCTGCGACGGAGGTCGTTGGAGGAGCTGGGGGTGAGCTCGGGATGCGCGGCGGATGAGTCCATGGACGATCTGCGCTGGGAGCCTTCGCGACGCTGGAGCTGCTGGGGCATGACGAGCTGGATCTGGAGGTTGAGCGGATTAGCCTGCTTGCTGGGCGGTGGCTTGACAATGACGAGAAGCTCGGGCGGGGCGATCTTCTTGCGACGACGTGGTGCCGAGTTCTTGGCCGATTCGGGCTGGGTGGCGCTCCATGCAGCTTCGCTGTCGACGCCGCCGAGCGTGGAACTGAAGGCGGTGAGGCGATCATGGGTCAGATCCGAGGCGCCGGCCATGGACTGGGGCCTGCTGGCGGTGGGACGGATGAGCGACGGTTCGCGGGAGAAGGGCACCACGGCAGGCGAGTCGGCTGAGGCTCCATTGTCGCTGGCCTGGCCGTTGAGCGTAGCTTCGGACGTCTCGCGGTGATGGTCGCGGGCGGACATGCCCCAGTCGGGCTGGGAGGAGAACTGGTAGGGAGCTTTTGGCGTCATGGAGGTGGCGCGATCGATGGGAGACATGGGATTGGAGGCGGAGCTGAGGGCGCGGTTGCGAGATGGATCGGCTGGCGGCTGTTCGACATCGACGGCGAGCTTGTTGGAGCCGACCCAGCTGCTGAAGATGCTGGTCATGGCGCGAGCCTACGCTTCGACGCTGTATGCGGCCGAAAAACGATAGAGCTGCGTAGCAAAGGAACGCTATACGGCCGGCGTCACGCTGGAGAAAGCGGTGGTGGCAGCGCCGACGTGCCGTAGAGACGGTGAAGTAAGTGGAACTCGATCGGCTTTGCCTTACGGACCGAGCATCCCTATGCGGTGCAACCGAGGTATCGATGGGAGGCTTCGAAGCGCAATGGGCTACGCAGGTGAATCCGGGCTCTCGCTCCAAATTCGAGCGCTCAAGTCAAGTGGTGAAGTGATGCGAGGTGGTGATGCGGCTGCGACAGAGCAAGCTGGGTGTGTGTGTGCGCCGCGGAGGGAGTGAATTTGCGACCGGAGCGCGACGTCGGGATGTATGCGATGCGAGTCTAGTGGTGCATCGTGTGACGGCGTGACGACGTGAAGGGTATGGATGTCGAATGGCTTCCGACGAGGGAGACGGTGAGATGGAGGTGAGTGGGGAAGGGTCGGTAGCATTCAACAGCTGATGACGAGCATCGGTCCATCCGAGCCGGGGCGGAGCAGCGCTGCATCCAACTTCAGCGCCAGCGTTTGGCAGCGTGGATGCGGCTCACTCGAGCTCAAGCGATGCGACCAAAGCGAGCCTCGCCTCGAACCTGAGTCAAAAAAAGTCGCGAGCCAGAGTCGCGGCCTCGTGTGGAGTAAGCAACGCGGAACTGGCGATCCGCAGCAGGGCAGCAGTTGCGAGTAACTTTGCGGCGGCTGGTCCGGCTGAGTGAGGCCGTGCAGGCAGCTGGCAGCTGGCAGCTGGCGGCAGGCACAGCAGGCACAGCAGCCAAGCAACAGCGATCCGATGCTCCTCGGCAAGCTTGGTCCGTGGCAGCGGCCTTGAAATTCCGCCTCGTGAAAATTAGAGCGCGTGCTTTTTTCCCTTTAATTTCCCTGGTCCTGCCCCCTGTGCACCGCGGAGTGCCATCGAGATCGACGTTGCGTGTGTGTGGTTACGATGCCGCCTGAGCGAGCTACAGGTATCCGCTCGCCGCTTTGCTGCTTGCTTTTCTCATGAAGCTTTCAGGCGAAACGCCAAACAGCGACGCTCGACTGCAAAGAAACCTCCGCCGCGGACATGCAAGAGGCGGGAGCATGCGTTGGGCCAAGCACGACCGCACACGTACGAGGCTTGCAAGGCTTGCTGGCTGCAGCTGTGGCTGTCGTTTTTCCTTGTCCGGTTGCCGCACAGATGCACCACACGACAATGGCAGCCACCGCGGAACTTCCGACATCCGCTTCGTCATTCACGGTCCGACAACCGCCCGTCGACGTGTTGTTTCCACTTGTCCGCTACTCATTGTCCAGCAGGCCACGCACTGGCTTCGCCCATCCTACCGAGCTGAATGGAAACGCTAGTAGGCGACAAAGGACATCGAAGGGGTCGGCAGACAGTGCGAGTATGCAGCCTCGCAGGAGCGGCTGACCGGAACCGACGCTCCGCGAATCGCGCTGGTCCGATTTCGTGTCGAAAGAAACAAGAAAGGGCCAACCGCCGCTCGGAAGTGCCGATTCGGACCACGGAGCAAAATCTCGCACACTGTGCTTCGTCATCGAGCGCCGCCTGTCTCTCCTCCCGCGGCTCCCACGTCTCTTTTCCCGGCGCGGCTCTTCCGAGCTTGCCCTCGCCTCCCCTCCCCGCGCCGCGCGCCGCTCGCCGAATCGGGTCGATCGGTTGCGGCCCTGACTGAAGCTTTTCATGCTTTGTGGCAATGACGCAGCTTTGCCAATCCAACACCAGTCTCACCCAACTCTACCGTGGCTGGGAATGAGCAACATTACGATCCCGTTGCTGGCCGTTGACCAGCCCTGCATACCGGCAGGCTGACCGGGGCTGGATGCATCGCGCGGAGATGGCTCGTTGGTACCGCGCGGGGTATGTGGCGACCTTGCTTCGGAGCTCATCTCGGAAGATCAACAGGGCACCGCTTCTCCTTCGGAGTTGCAGACGGTGAGGGTGTACTGGACCCTGGCATGCCCGCACAGCCTTCGCGACCGCGTGCCCTGCGATGCTTTCTCCCCGCTTGTAGCTATGCATGGCAGTGCCAACCCCCGCGGTGTGCAGCGCCGTCGGCTCGAGCTGCAGTGTCACTTTGCCAGGTGCAGCAACCAGTGCCGAGCATTCGACGTGCCAACCACGCTGTCCGGGAAAAACGAGCGGCGAAAAAGGAGGCCTAAAAGATGGTCACAAAATACATCGCATTTCACTCGCAAGCATGCTGTCCACAATCCAAGGGCCAGAGCAACCCCATCATCCGATCAACCCGAAGCTGTGCCAGCAGCTAGCACAGCTTGCGACGGGTCGAGCCGCCGTCACTCGAGATCGGATAGATAGAGGCTTGATCGGGAGATGCCAATTCGGACGCGTCAAGACGACCCTGCGTCGGGATGCACACCGAAACGCTCAAAATCGAGGCCGCTAGAAGTTCAACACGGCTCCCCGCCATGACGTCGAGCATGGCCTCGACGGCCTTCACCGACGAGTGGGCGCAATCAACACCCTCTATATGCAGCTACGATCTCACCGAACAAGATTATACCACGAGCACACGGACAACCTCCATAGGCACTTGGATCAAAGGCAGCGACACAGCATCTCGACTCGACAATGGTCTCACCGACAGTGATCAAGGCGCTAGCACGCGAGCTGGCCACACTTGCACGAAGTCCGCCTGATGGCATTCGGGTCTCGCTGGATGATGCCGATGTGCTTTCGTTCAGTGGCTGGGTCTCGGGTGCGCCATCGACGCCTTACGAGGGAGGATGTTTCCGCATCACATTCGACTTTGACGGGATCGACTTTCCCGCCCATCCGCCACGCTGTCGATTTGCCACGCCCATCTTTCATCCGAACGTTTCGAGCGCCGGTGAGATCTGCGTCTCGACGCTGCAGAAGGACTGGACGCGAAATCACGGTGTGCAACAGATCCTGCTGGCCATCAAGTGTCTTCTCATCCACCCGAATCCGGATAGCGCCCTCAATCCCCAGGCGAGCAGTTTGATGCAGGAGGACTGGGGGTCGTTTGTGCAGACGGCTGCCATGTGGACACAGATCCACGCTGCAAAAGTTCCGCCCTGCTTTCAAGATGCGATGCAGCCAACACCAAACACCACCGGCAAAGTTGCGGTCGCACAACCACCACCGCGAGCCAAAGCTGCAGCTCCACCGGCACCTAGACGCGGTCTACGCCGCCTGTAAATCACACACACCACCACATCAACGAATCGAAATCATACCCGCAATACATAAAGGATCAAGTCGAAAGCAACTGAGATTGCCGTGATGGAATTTTGTAACCCCGCAGAGCCTGAGTCTGGGGAGATATGGACACAGTGAGTGTAAAAGGAAGAGGGTGGAAGGACAAGGGCGTCCATGCTGCATAGACGGCCTCGATGGATCATCCGCCGACTTGTCGCAATAACTTGTCGGCGAAAGAGCGTGTGATCCGAAGCATGGTGTTGACGTGGAGACGATGCGATTAGTAGAAGGTGTTGGGGCGCTGGCCGGCGAAGGTGCCAACGTGACGGGGGCGGCGGTGGGGGAGGGGGAACTTGAGACCCGGAGCCATGAGCTGCTTGATGTAGGGGCGCTTCACGTCCTCGTTCTTCTCAATCTCGGCAATCTTGAGAATGTGGATCGAGGCGAAACGGGCACGGTGGCGCGCAGCCATGTCCTGGTACAGCGACTCGGCAGCCTCGGCACGCGAGAGCGCACGGAACTCCTTGTACATGTTGTGCGTGCCCGAGCGCGAGTTGTATCGCAGCCACACGGCGAAGTTCTTCACCTTGAGGGGCTTCTTCTCGTTGATCTGTTCGGGTGAATGGGAACAAGGTCAGCATTCCTGCTCTGTCCTTTCTGCTTCCCGGCATCGAGAAAGGTGCAATCCAGTACGCCATGCTTTCCAGCGTCGCAATCCAGCAAGAGACTGCAGCGAAATCCAATCAGGTACGGCCCTCCAGACATTCTTTCCACGTCCATGCGACGCTGCCCCACTGATGCGACATGGCCTGCGTTGTGACGGCGAGGTCATCGTGTCCGTGATCCTGCTGCTGCGTGACTCTCTTCTGTTCTCCTGCTGGAATGCTGATGCGGTGGAATGCACTCCTCCTCGATGCTGACTTGCAATTGCGCGTGCGAATGATGCAAATACTTACGGCGTGGATGGCAACGATCTCACCAGTGGCCTTCTTCATCTTTCGGAGCTGACGAACGAAGTACCAGAAGCGGGACTCGGCGACCGACTTGTTGACGGCGAAGATCCTCATGCGGTAGAGCTTGGGAGAGGGCTCCTTCTCGGTGGGAAGGTGGCGTCCAATCACCATGTACTCAGTGAGGCGAGTCATCTTGAGGACTGTGGGTGGTGGACAACAAGAAATGGCGGCGTGGTCAGTATGCGGGTTCGCATAGTTGACGAACGGTCGGGCAACTTGATCGCATCAACGCAGGCAAGCTCGGCGGAAGAGCGACAGGAGACTGGTGCTGTCCTTGGCGGTGTCTAGTATGCTGGTGATGATTAGCCTGCTATGGCGGTGACGTTCCATCATGTCGGCCCATCGGAAAACGGAAGCATAAATGTCGACCCTCCAGTCCTGGCAATCGTCTGCCGGCTGCAACACTGCACTGCTGAGGCAGTTCAGTCGAAGACATATGCAAGATCGACTTGGACGGCTGGCATGCTGGGCTTGTGGAGACTGCCACCAGAGTGCCTCCTACGATCCTATCTGAACATCTGCCTTTTGCCAAATCTTCCGACAGTTTCTAGCCTAGCGGTCTGGCGAGGTGGTGGGCAAGTCGCACTATGCCAAACGTGGGAGAACAAGGTCGAGCTGATGCTGATGCTGATGCGTACTAGTACGGATGTGGTCTGTACAAGATGCTGCTGCTTTGTTGGTCTGATTCGCAGGCGGCCTTTCGAGATGGTGATGGACAGCGGTGATGCGAGTGCGATGTCGAGTGCGAGCGTTGATGATGCGTGTGCTGATGCGATCAAGATGTTGGGCGAAACTTACGTATTCTGTCGACGGGGGAGGGAGGGGTGGTCGTAGGGTGAAGCAGGAAGGATGGCGCCGAACGATCTCCAATGGGTCTCCACTGCGCTGCACCACCGAGTTGAGCGCTCACCGCGGCAGTCCGTCACTCGCATCCGCACTCTCTCGCCTGCCCAGCCGCAGTCCGACCTTGGCAGCCTTCGCGGCCTCTCTCCCTCTCCTTCTCCCTCTCCCTCGCTCGCCGTGGGCTGCCACCAGCTGCTGCCTGTCCTGGCTTGCTCAGCTCGAGGCGCCCACAGCCGATCGAGTCGAGAGCTCGAGCTCATTCCGCGCTGTGCTGCCGCCGATTCCCAGCTACCCAAACTCGCAGTTGCTCACGGCTCTCCTTTGGATGCACCCGAAATCCCAAGCGCAGCTGGAATTCTCGACCGAGCCCAGTTCTGAAGAAATATAGTTATACACGTGATTGACCTGCCTCACGTGATGCTTTTAAAATCTGAGCGAATCTGGCTGATACGGCGGCGTAACACTTGCGAACGAAATCCTAAATCGATCTTACGCCGGTGACCTGCCAATCGGCGATACTCCGATTCCCTCACGACACGCCAGGCCTGGGCTAGCCTGCTCACTCGCTACCAACGTTGTTCACCGCCATACTGGCGCCCATTTAGGATTATACGAAATCTGCTCGCCCCGAATCTCAGCCACCGTAGCAGGTGCATAGTAGGAGTCTTCTGCGCTCACCGTCGCTGGGGTGTTCGTGAGCACGAGACAGTAGCGAGGCGGCCGAAGGTGGTTTGGCCGGTTGGACCTGCTCTAACACAAGGTGGAGGCGCGCCGCGAGAAATTTCGGGCAGCAGAGCTGTGTGTTCAAGAGCGTGATCGCATAGGCGCAACTGAGCGCGAAGGAGCGGAGGCCGAGTTTGAGTGGATGGCCGTCGAGGGCGGAATTTGATGCATCGGCTTCGCATCTGGTGCTCGACTGTACCTTTCCTCGCATACTTCTTCTCTGTTCCCGGCTCCACCATCTCGATCTCTACCCCACGTCCCACCGGCTACTGTAAATTTGCAGCAGCATCAGGAAAGCAGCACAGCTCACCGTCCTTGCCGCGCTGCCGAGGATTCTCCGCTCGACTTTCAGCACCCTCGCTCGCTAGCTCTTTCCGGCCGGACACCGTGGCTGCTATCTGCTCCGTCGCTCGCTCGGTGGCCCTGCATACATCCGAGAACGCCACACCCTGCACCGCGAACACACCGACATGCTCTTCGACGAAGCACACACCGACGACATCAAGGCGTGGCTCACCTCGGAGCTAGGCCCCATCTGCGATGCGGATCCAGAGGTGCTCGCAGACTATGTGCTTGCGCTCCTCAAGCACGAGGGCCCCGAGGAGGAGCTCCAGTCCATGCTCACAGAACAGCTCGAGGACTTCCTCGCCGCAGAGACCGAGCCCTTTGTCACCAAAGTCTTCGCTGCCCTAACCGACAAGTCGTACCTGCCCCAGGCGCAGGCGCAGCACGCCCAAGACTCCGACAACGCCCAGCTCGCCGCATCTGCATCCACCTCCAGCCTCACCGCCGACTCGTCCAGGAAGAGAAGAGCCGATGACGACGCCGATGCCTCCACACGCTCGCCACCGCGACAGTCGCGACGCGTCCACGACTCCTCAGCAGCCTCGGAAGATCCAGCCGCTCGTGGCCGCGAGCGCGACTCCAGGGAAAGGCACGACAATGGTGATGCAAACGGTGCATCGAGCGAAGGCAGTCGCAGAGAGCCCCGCAAACAGCTTTGCAGGGACTACCACAACAAGGGATTCTGCCCGCGCGGCGACAAGTGCAAGTTTGAACACTCGTCCGGCGTGCTTCCCGGCGCGCCCAATCCTCGCCAGCAGCCCGCGCCTTACCACCTGATGGGTCCAGGCCCAGGAGGACCTTCCAACGGCATGCAGGGTCCTCCCATGATGTTCCCAGGCGCTCCCTACGGCATGCCTCCACAGGGCTGGCATCCGAGCATGGGGCCCGCACCGGGCATGCCCGGCGGCCCACCTCCTCAGTCGTCGACACCTGGCATGAACGGCGACGCACAGAACTTGGCAAATCGCATGGGGCATCCTCAACAAGGTCCGGAGGCGGGCGGCTTCGCGATGGGTGCGCCATTCAACGGCCAAGGCGGACGCGGAGGCGGCATGGGTGGACGTGGCCGCGGGCGGGGTGGTGGACCTCCCGGCACATTTCAATCCTCGCGCCGATCCAACACGACGCTGGTCATCGAAAACGTGCCTGCCGACAGCCTCGACCTGATCAAGGTCAACGAGTACTTTAAAAAATTTGGCACCATCACCAACATCAGTATCGACCAGCCGGGCTCCAAGGCGCTCGTGAGCTACTCGCAGCCGGGCGAGGCAAAGGCTGCGCACGAGAGCCCCGACGTCATCTTTGGCAACCGCTTCGTCAAGGTCTACTTCCAGCGCCTCGACGAGGCGGCGGGAGCAGCACCTACCCCGCGACCGCCTCAGTCCGCAGCAGCGCCTGCACTTGGGTCGCATGGCGCGCACAGGGGCGGCTTCGTGCCGGGCAAGTCGTCCAGCGTGTACCACGCTCGTCCGCCAACCGGAGGCGCCGGCGCTGGAGCAGCTGCAGGCGGCATGTCGGAAGAGCGCAAGAAGCTGTTTGAGGACCAGAGGACCAAGCAGGCGGCGCTGGATGCGCAGCTGGCGGAGCAGAAGAGTCTGCTGGCCAACTTTGGCAACAAGGATCTGTCGGCCGACGACAAGAAGGCGACCATGGCCAAGCTCAAGAAGCTCGGCGACGAGATCAAGGCGTCGACGGATGCGGTCAAGGCGGCGGTGGAGGCCTTGCAGGCTGCACCGAAGGATGCTGCGCCGTCTGCCGGCGGAGATGCAGGCAGTTGGAAGGCGGAGAAGGAGAAGCGCGAAAAGGAGCAGTTGGATCGCGAGCTCGAGCTGCACGCCCAGGGTACGGCGGCTGGATCGACCACGGACGAGCTCAAGAAGAAGCTCGAGTCGCTCAAGGCCGAAGCGGCGTCGCTGGGGATTGATGGAGCGCAACAGTATGGATATGGTGGACGTGGACGCGGGCGCGGAGGGTTTGTGCCGCGTGGACGTGGAGGCTATGCGCCGTATGCGCGCGGAGGAGGAATGGCCAATCGGTCGCTTCGAATCGACAACCGCACGACACGCATCAAGATCGACAGCCTTCCGGAGGGTGCTGATGCCGACAAGGTGCGTGCGCACTTTGCGGCGTTTGGCGAGCTCGACTCGTTCGACCCCGCAGCGGCGACTGTGGTGTACAAGGCGCGCAACAGCGCTGAACAGGCCATCCGTGCCGGCGCCGAGATCGCAGACGTAGGTGCAGTCAAGCTCTCCTGGATCCAACCGCCCCCGTCGGAGAATGTTGCCACCGATGCACAGGCTGCGGATGCCGAGCAGCAGTCGGCACCGCGCGACGCCGACGACGAAGACGACCGCGACTCCAACTGGAAGCGCTAATCATTCACCCACTTCGAGCCTCCTTCTATAGTCACGCATCCCTCCCC